GCACATTGCACCTTACTTGACACATCCAGGACATCTATACCAACATATATCCTTAGATGGGGATTGTTCCATTCATGTACAATACAGCTGCACTCTAAGCTCTATCAAATGTGAGTGATAACCACATAAGATTACTTCACAGCCTATTCACCAGATATTTTTCAAAAGATTTTTGTTTGAAAGTGTTTCCTTGATGACTTAAAAAAATAATTGTCAAGTGATGCATGTCCTTTTATATAAAGGTATTACATATATTGCTACAAGCAACAATAAAGGTGGACAAGCACAAAAGACAGGAGAGAGCACATTAGTAGATATGGCAGGTAGAGAGTGAAGTATTAAACACATCTATTTTAAAACGTATTTTACATTTTTGCTAAAGTGATCATCTAATTCACTATGTTTAAATATAAATGTAAACTACACTGATTAACCCCTTAATGACGTAGACAATTGTGCAAGATCTGATCAAAACAGAACCTAGAATTTGAGCTATATGTCCGTTCAAGCATAATTTAACTCTTTCATATTAAGTGTACCAATACTTATTATTTATAATTTTATTCAGGAGAAACAGGGCTTTCATTTCAAATAAATGTAATCTGAGCTACTGGGATAGGTCTCTTGACAGCATCACTGACTTACATACCATACATTTACATTAATGAAGTAATCAAAAGGCATTATGTGTCTCATCATTCCCCCCCACAATGAGTATTTATAGAGATAAAATGTTTATAAAATGCTCACTTTGACTTTGCTTTCTTGCTTAATAAGCCCTTAGGCAGTAACTGGGGCTAATGGGGGAGACGTAATTATGATAATATTATACACTTACATTTGGCAGGAGCAATGAGCTCTGTGTTCCTTCAAAGATGTATTTTTCTTCTCTTTCACGTGGACACTGTAACCCCCACCCCTGGTGCTATCAGACAATGATGTCCTCTAAATAGAGAGGCCAATAGCATGTGTCCGTTCATGGGCAGCTAACTCTGCTGACCAAATGGCAACTCAATGGAAATTCCTTCTTAAACAAAACTAAGCATGTGCAAAACTTTTTAAAATATGCTCTAAAGTAAGTTTTCCCAAACAGCTACCAATATTTTTTTGGCTTACCACCTTGACAGGATGGACAAAAATGTGGGCCTTGGGAAAGAAAATCTAATTTATATATCAACTAGGCTGGATGAAACAGTTCAACAGCCATATAAAATAAAATGTTAAAATCCACACTCAGCACAACACATTTCGATGCGATTCGTCTTCCTTAGGTACATAATTGCGCAATTCCTCAGCATTCCTTTATATAGACCAACCAACCACATCCGCTTCCTTGTATTCAGGCATCCATGCATAATGTCATTTCTCATTACAATATTTCTGATTCGGATACCAAGACGCAACCAGGCTCCATATTTAAAAGTCCTCTGAAATTTGAGCGTCCATATTAATAAATCCACATGGTAGAGTTATAAATGGATGGCCTATACATCTGCATATAAATAAAAACCTGATAATTCTTACATAAATATAACATTTCATGGCACAAATATATCTTCAACAAGAGTAAAAATACATATGTAAATAGAAACAATCTTAAAAGCAAAATGTTAAATAAACCCATTAATTTCACCGCCTATATTTAACCTTTTAGGGTGCAAAGTATCCATATTAAACATCCATCTCCACTTTGCTCATTTGACTTTGGATAATTCCACCATAAGTCTGTCAACTCAGAGCATAGTTGGCTGCTCCAAGTTGTGTAAGTAGCTATTTCTATATTCTCTATACTCTAAGTGGTGCATCACTTTTGGTATTTTCCCCTGTTTCTTCTCTGCTTTTACTGCATGTTATGTAGAGCATCTTCCTGTCTCTCACACAGAGAAGTATATACGTTCCTTTGCAGATACCTCTAGAGCTAAAGAGTGGTTAGCTCTAAAACACGAGTGTGACATTTGCTCTTTATTTATTGCTTAATTTTGCCAACATCAAAATAAAACTATATCCCCCCATGTTTTTCTTTGGAGCTTCCTGGAAAAGCCAAGGTCCAACAGGACATAATGCAAAAAAATAGATCCGTACTCCTTTTAAGACTAACAATAGAATACACCTACAAGATTTTGAAATTACTGCTAAAGAGTACCATTGAAACATTTTAAATTCCCTTCAAGTGGGCAGTCGAAATAAACTGCTGCCTACAGACTATTTCCATCACTGTTATAACATATTTCCTTCTGGTAAAACACTGCCATCTAGTGGAGAACATATAAAGTATATATAAAGTCTTTATTTCTGCAGCTTTATTTTCCTGTATACCACTATATTATCTCTGTTAACACACCATCTAGTGGATAACATTTTTATTGCCCATACAAAAAACATTTCTTTGCTGTAAAATACTGAGCACATAATTCAACCACTATTAACTGGATTTTACATAGAAAACATAATTTCAAAAACCAATAACAGCTTTCAGTTCAGCACAACCCTATATATTTTTTACTTTTTAATACTGATAAATTTGTCTTTGGCGCAACTTCTTTTTTTAAAATAGTTTTTATTCAATACCTATTTGAGCTGTGTTAAAGGGACACTATAAGCAACCACTGTCCATTATGCACTTAGTGCTGCAATGTAAAACATTGCAGTTCCAGAGAAACTGTATAGTTTACATTGCAGCACTAAGTCTACCTCCACTGGCTGTCTACCAGAGAGCCAATAGAGGGCTTTCTGGGTCGAAACAGACCTTTGGTCTGGTATCTGATGCTGGACGTCCTCACGCTCTGCATGAAGACATTCAGCGTCAGATTTTTTTGATTCAAACCTTTTCTACGGGGAGGTCTAATGCGTGCGCTGCATTTGACACACATGCGCATTAGCACCCGCTCATTGCAGGACCTCAGAAGCGGCGGAGCGTCAAGCCAGAGCTGAGGAACATCGGCGCTGGGATCAGGTAAGGTTTTTTTACCCTTTATTCACCGTGGAGAGGAAAGGAGGGGCAAGGACATGGTAGAGGCAGAGGAAGCAATACAACTTGGTATTATAGTATCCCTTTAAAGAAATCTCTTAGTTTGAAAGTCTTGCTGCCTTGCATTTTATATTATGTTATAACCTATGTAACATTCGCAGTAATGTGTCTTAAAACCAACATAAATGTGCTTAGAAAGGACTCTGTGTAAATAAGATACAAAGTTCTTGTTAAAAATTACATTTTAGTTGCATAAATAGTTATTAGTAAGTCACCTAAAATATCTCAGAACAGCAACACCAGTGGCCCTTTGTCTATTTAAAATGTTGGGTGGTATGTTTTAAGTGTTATACTGACATAGCACACATAATAATTACATAATATGCAGCAAAATCTCAATGTGTGAGTCAAAAAAAAACAAAAACTTATTACCACTGAACTTGGTACAAAAGAGATAAAAATAGTCCTACCATAAGGTTCAAAATATGGCATTTGAGCTATTCTCGGGTCTCTACTAAGAAATGGGGAAAAACAATTACTTAAATATATGACATCTCTTGGGGTGCTGCTTTAACCAAAACGTTTTTTGTTCTGAACATTCTAAATATTGATATGTCTATTGAGTACTAGCTCCGGTTATTTATATAAGGAATAAAAACTGTGACTTTAATCCCTCCTCATTACTGTTTTTCTTTCGTGAGTTGGATAAATCAGAGGGTTGAGTTATATTTTGGTGAAGAATAGGGTAGGTATGGTTTACCTTTCTGTTTTTCATATAAGGCTAATAAGGAATCAGTATACCAACAACTCTTATTTGTCTCGCAGTGTGTAGGGCAAAGTGGTGGAACAAACAGAGGCTAATGTTGATTGCTCCCAGCAATCACATAGATAGCTAGGATGTAATTGCCAAAATACTGTCAAAACGTACAGGGACACTATGGTTCTAGGAATACAAAGCTGTATTCCTAACACTATAGCTCCCACGCGCCCCCCACACCACGGTAAATAAAGAGATAAAACCCTTTATTTACTTACTGACCCCAGCACCGATGTCCCTTGGCGCATGGTCACGGCTCCGCCTCCTCTAACGTAGCTCGATGAGAAGGCGCGAATGTATGTGTACAGCGAGTGCAGCGCGCGCATTAGGCCCTCCCCATAGGAAAGCATTTAATCTGGTAGACAGCCACTGAAGGCAGGCTCAGTGCTGCGATGTAAACATTGCTGTTTCTCTGGAACTGCAATGTTTAACATTGCAGCACTAAGTGCAATAGGGACACTGCACCAAGACCACTTAATTGAGCTGAAGTGTTCTGGGTGCCTATAGAATCCCTTTTAACTGTTTAAGCATAAACCAATGCAATTTTTATTGCAAAAGCAACAAAGAGCAACTTATGTGTGTCTTTCCTTTTGGCTATTTGGAAACAACGAGCAATCCATGAGAGAGTGTCACAAAAAATGCTTGATTATCTGATCCTGACTTGTGCTTGAAAAAGCTTTACTGGACGATTAGCTTTGAGTGGTGATCGTGCTTTTACCAAACTGAAAGGAAAACAACTTGTTTTTTCCTCCCAAACCAGGCTACAATCTGTCTTAGGACTAAAATAAAAATGGGAAGGTAATGCTACCTGACCTGTCTGGAAAAAGGAAGAAACTGGTGCAAATTTAAAAAATGTTGCAAATTGAAAAAATGTTGAAATTTGCATTTTGTGTTTTAACCATTTCAATGTTACCCGTCCAGTGTGATAAAAAGAGCAACTACCTATTTATGATGACTGATGCTTGGACGCATGGAAAATGACATTTAGTTTGTATCATATTTTCCTTGCAAGACTTGTCAAATTATGTAAAACACAGTCCAAGTTAAAATTTGAAATAAAAATAACTTTATTGAAACAGGAAAGTTCACTCAATGTTCTCACATGAATTTTCATCCACCACACACATTCATGGGTATTACCATCTACTATCATCTCCTTTCGCAAACTGTCAAACATATGCTCAAACCATCAAATTCCCTGTATATGTATAAACTTTATTTAAGGTCCATAAATCGGATATCCATGATAAGTAACACACATTTTGGCAGTGGCCTGGGTGCAGGAGACAGCACTGTAAGTGTCTGCCTTTCACTGTCCACTCCTGTGATGACAATAAATCCTGCCACACTTCTCTCCTCCAAGCCTTCTTCTGCTCCCCCACCATCCACAGGTACCACACTAAGTAGATGATGTGCCATATCCCTTCCAGGTGTCACTGGCACCAACTTAAGCTGATTGTCTTCTTGTGACATACCCAAGGGAAGACAAGAATCTGGAATAGATGGTGCTCCAACTTTGTAAACTCGAACCTCTGAGAATTTCACTTCAAACGCATGGGGATAGAGTGAGCCTCGGGGACCATAGAAGTACTCACGCACTCGCTGATCTCGAGATTCCCTACGACATTCTTTAGACCGCTCAGACGCTCCTCCAGATTTTGGGAGAAGGACAATTCGTACAAAATGAGGAAGGTCTCGGAGGAGATCATTATACAAACGTTCCTGATCCAGCACCAGGACAACATCCACCTCAAATGCTGAGGCTGCATGGATCAGAGCCTGATATCCAGAACCTTTCACCCAGCCACAGGTGTTAATAAGACATCCACTAACTGATGCACGGCGGTTAGAATCACAACGCATGTTGAACACATGAGCCAGACGAGATGTAAGCTAGGAAGACACAAACAAGAGAAAGATGTTGAAGTTAAAGACTAAAAGCAAACAAAATGAAGACAACCCGATGAATGAAAAATGCACTCTTTAGAATTTCTAAAGTAATGAACAGGGATAATCCTTGCAATTGCTTATTCATTGTGAAAAAAAGATAATAGAAATACAACAAGCAATAAATAAAATAATATACAAGGAAAATAAATCCAAATACAGGCAATATAAATAATGAGGGGACACCACTAAGCAAATACACATTTCATGTCCAACATGAGACACTTCTTCAGAAATCAAGACAAACATTATTATTATCCACATAACAAGCAAAACTATCTATGCATTATTACATTTATTGAATAAGTGTGCTTGCATCTGTGTTAACATTATGCCTAGTGATCAGCATTGTGGGTTGCTGTGTTTGCTATTGCAGGAGCACAAAGTACGTTCCAAAGAAGCGACCTGCATCCAGATTTCAGGTTTGTACAATATTTAGTCTATACACTTACAGGGCTATTAAGTAAAGTGAAATCAAAGTGAATTTTACCCCTTAATTCCTTTTCGGCGTTCTATGCCATCCCGCATTTAATGGGCTTTAAAGTCGTTGCTGCGCCATAAAGCGCCGTAACGGCTTTCAGCCCCAGAGCTGCCGGGATACTTACCTACTTGTTGATCTGCTTCTGGGGCACTGCCTTATAACCCAGACAGCCCCCTCTGGCAAATCAGGCCCTCCCAGGCCATGTGATGGCTGACAGAGCCATCACATAGCTGGCATAGCAGAGTAAGAATCTGCCTGCAGCGGGAGTGCCCGGACTGTCAGGCAGTCCTGCAAGCTCTAGTGTGTCAAGTGTATAATCCTGTAGTGTCTGTCTATTGATCCCTTGTTTGCCTCTGACCTTGAACCTTTTCCATAGGTTTTATATATATATATATATATATATATATAAATAAAACATACACACACACACATTATTACTCACCATCATATATGCACAACAGCATTTTGTATTTGATTCATATTTTGTCAGCAGCATGAACTATCAATAGTGTGTAGATGCAGAGGTCTATGTGTATGGCTTGTAGGCATATGATGAATATTTATGCAGGGTCAGTGTGTATGAATGCCGAATGCTATTTGACCCTGCTTCTCCATATCAGTAGTATCCTTCTCCAGTAACTAACATGTCGAAAAAATGGGAAAGTTAAAGGTCAGTGGTTCCTTTTTCTCAAATTAAAACTTCTACCAATGCTTAATTTTTAATAATAATAATTAATTTAAAATTATTGGTATTTACGTATTTAACCTTTTTGAAGTTTGGTATGAATATATGAATCCTCACCTTGTTGTACAACTTTATGTTAGTTCCAGGAGTTGTAGATCCAAAGTGATATACAAGCGGAGCTTGGGCTGAGAATCCTTCTTCTACATCTGCTGGTCTTTCCACACAAAGCGCTCCAACTGTCCCAGGTACAGAAACTGATCCTTGACCAACATCCAGCTCTACAAGTGTAGGTCGTCGTCCCCTTCGTACAGCATAATTTAACAGAAGCCTGCAAAGTGTGGATTTGCCCACATCTGAAGGCCCTGCCACCAGCACCCGAGGTCCACGTTCCCCTTCACGCTCAGCTTGTGTTCTCATTTGCTCGAGTCCTACATGGGTGTTGAGATAAAGTAGCATGGGGGTATCTTTAGAAACGTAGGCAACATCAGCGCTCCCCCAGAGTTGCACAGTGCATCCATGCCACGTGAAAACTGCTGCACGACTTCCTGGGGGAAATGTATACTTTTTGTTTCGAGTCAGTTCAGTCCCAAACACCTCTGCATAACCAGACACCAGCTCTACTCGCACAGGAACTGGACCTTCCACCTCTAGTCGGAGCTCTGTCTCACGCTCCAACTCAAACTTAGTGGAAGGGCCGGATGAGGCAGGCTGCCATGGACCACTACCATCTAGAGTAGACCCACTAGGAGGCAGAGTTTCTTCTGAAGCCATTGGATCCTGCAATTAATTATAACACATTAACAAAAAAATATTACATGTTTAAGAGGAAGTCAGATTAACTGTGATTAATACATTTTCGTCACAGTTTCAGGTCAGTGATTGTGTGCTGCAGTGTATGTGGCAAAAAATAATGTGTGTGCCACTGAGAGCCAACATATCACACGTCCAACCACAGAGCGCCTGACAAATCACCCCCCCGCAGCCCCCTTGGTTAGGGGTAATCAACCCAAAACACGCTATCTACGACAAACAGCTCACCTCCACTAACGCATGTAGACACCTATACTCAGCACAACACAGCGAGTCTGACCATGAAACATGGAACTGACGCAACCTTGCTACTACACGACTCGAAAACCTACTCAATCTTCACATAGGGTCCCATCACCACCAGACCTACTCTAGACAGGAGCTACTGATTGAAAGCAAAGTCCTATCCCAACACAAGAACGCACAAAACATCATAACACCTAAATAATGAATACTGTTTTGTTTTAACATGTTACTGTTGTTTAAAAATTATTGCTATTGCTTGACCCAAAACGGTGCAAACTATGAACGGTACCGAACCTCAACTTTTTAACAATCTGTACAATCTAAATGTTGCACCAAAAGTGAAAAATAAAGAATTAAAAAAAAAAAAAAAAATAATGTGTGTGTGTGTGGGTCAGTGAGGACAAAGTTTGATTTAAAAAAAAAAAAAAAACAACAATTTTAATTGTTTTTCAGAGTATTATACATATATGTGTATGATACGAATACATGCCTCTTAGGCAAGTCCTACACTAACAACTTGCTTCTTTTGGCTAAAAGGCAAAATCTCTGAGACTATGTACTAGGGTTAATGTGTACTAAAGTCATTGCTGTCACACAGCAGTAATGAGAGTTTAAACACAGAGATTAATTTTGCATGTTTGTATTTGCTTTTGCATTACAGAGCTATGTTACAGTGTCGCTGCCCACCCCATGTGTGCCCTATTAAGAATTTATAAGTGTGTTGGGGTTTAGAAAGATGCAGCTCTCTGTCTTAGAGTTATTGCCTTTTAGCTCAAAGAAGTAAGGTGGGTTGTTAATGTAGGACTCCCCTAAGAGGTTTGCTTTGACGTGGCAGTTGAGCTTGCACGCTAATGGCCACTGAGTGATACTAAAAACCTTAATATACATAAGTATTTGGGATACTGCACAGGTAACTTTTTTTTTTTTTTTTCTTCAAATAATGGTTCACCACTGTAAGCTACCAGGGTCAAGAAAGGGGTAATACAAATATTACACTCACATTCAATGTTCAATCACATTTGGACAGCTCCACACACACACTATCACACATGCATGAGAGAACAGCATTGAAGTCTATGGAGCATTGATGTCTATGAAGCCATCCCTGGTGACGGCTGTCTGCAATGACTACGTCGCTCTGCTCATAGTCAAAGAAAGTCAGGCAGAGGAAATAGTCAGAGACAAAGTAGTCCCTACTTTGTCTCTGTATATCAGTGAATGTCAATGAAATTCCAGAAGAGTCATAATGAGTATTTCATAAGATAATAATCCCTGTAGAAAGAAATACTAATTTTTCAGGGGGGAGGGTGATAGTGCAGCTTAATTTCATTAAGTACTAAGTCTTGCATATAATAAAGTATATACGGCATTTCAGAATGTTTGTAAACAACAGGCACCAAGATACTACCGGGTGGCAGAACGCAAGTGGCCTGCTCTATATCACCCTAGTGTCAGCGCCCAATACTATCTCTCCATTGCCTTCCTGCAGGAAGTGAAAGGTAAGAACAGTCACGTCACCAGGCTCATGTCTGGAACCAGAATCCTGTTACCGGTTACAAACCACAGCCAGGTAGCCAAAAATTGTGATTTAGTAGCATTAGTTGGTTGTAGCTCCGAGCAGGTGTTAATGATTCACCAATACATCCTGCGTCACTTTGTGGTGCTGCTCCCTGAGTCGGGGACAGGATGGGGCCCCAGACACGCAGCTCACCGCAGGCAGACCTTTAACCAGCACTGCGTGGGGCACAGCACTGGCACGATAGAGCTTAACACAACCACTACTACCCCTCCATGTGCTGAGCCAGCCGGCGATTAAAGGGTTAACCCATCACCCCAGGTTTACACACATTGTGTATTGACATATAGTTAACCCTGAGAGTGCCAGAGAAGGCTGTGAAGCGCTGGGCACCCACCTGGCACTGAAAGGGTTAAACGGAAACCCAGCCTGACACTGCAGAGAGTATTGCATCCCCGGGGCCCCATACCGGCGCTCCCCAGCCAGGATTTAAGGCAATACAGAGGGCAGGGCAGCCTGTTAGCATCCAACAGTCAGCATGAAAGCCCCCGGGGCCGGCGGCTCACACTCGCCCGGCTGGTCACCACACATCACTCATCCCGCCTGTCCACCGCAGGCCAGACCTTGCTTTAACTGGGGAGACCAAATAGACAATGATCCGTCGCCGCCGCGCAGGGAGACAGGAGGGAGCGCCCCTTTAGGGATGGCGGCAAAATGAGAAGAGGAAGCAGAGAGCCCGCCGTTCGCGCTCATGTTATGATTGGTATGTATGGTATGAGTGGTCAGTGTCCACGGTGTGAGAGGACAAACTCCGTTAAAAAACAATTTACTCAGGGGTCAAGTCCTGGGGAAAAAAGTGTGGGAACTCACCCAAGATCCCCCCCCCAAAAAAAATTATACACTTGTATGCATATATAAACGCGTGCACACATACACTCAGACACACACAAATTATTCCTATTTTTAACATTTACAAATGTTCACCCAGTGAGGCGGGTGGCTCTCTCTGCTCTCTTGCGCGGGATGTCTAATGATGCCGTGAGCCAGAATATGACGTCATATTCCGGCTCACAGCATCAGCAAACGGCATGCGAGGGAGCAGAGCTGGAAGAACACAGCTCCCTCGCCACATCTAACAGGTAGACATCTTCCGCCAGGCTTGGTCCATCAGGTGGCCAGCATGACGGGGGTACACTTGGGGCTTATTTATTTTTTTCGCCTCCTGGTTAGTGCCTGCAGGAGCAATGGAAACGGCGTTCCACCCGTAAGAACGTCTATTATTATTGTGTCATGGTGGATCTCCTATTCAAAGCAGAATGTTCATGTGAACATTATATTCAAAATAGTTTGAAGTATTTAAAAATGGTGTTTAAGTAAGAATGAGAAGCGATATATAGAATAGGTTGGCACTATAGAACAAAGCACAATACGTGGTGGTCTTATTCGGATAAATCAGCAACATGAAAAGTTCATAGAGATAACTATTAATAAATAACTAAGAAAAAGAATCACCCAATGTGAAACACGCGGCCTTTTTAAACATAATGAGGTCACACGGACACAAACTCAGTGCTAATGCTTTACGTGATATTATCGCCACTAGTATACCATATAAATACACACACACACACACACACACACACATAAAGCACGATACATACTGTTCCACTCCACCGGAAGCCGCTCACAAACTACTTCCGGGAGGAGCACCCGCCCCCGGAAGTGACGCACACGGAAGGACTATGCTGGGCATGGTTTCGAGGTCCACGTGACTCAAGTTGTATCCTGCACGTGATACTGGGTGCAGTTGTCACCCGGACGCACTGGCTGTCGGGCCGCTGTTGACACGGGGCGGGGCCGACCAGAGAGATCACAGGATCTCACCGGCCCATTGCACACACAGGCTGAGGCTGACAAAGTGCATTGCTCGGACGGGGGGGTCACTGAGAGTGCTTCACCGCCATGCTCGCACCCAGTAATGCAGGAGCAATCACAGGAGAGTGCACATAGGCCAGTGGATCACCAGGATCTCCCCTTTGCCAAAAGGGACAGGGGATTTTTTCTTTTTTAAACAAGGGCTTAATTGCTCCCCCTTTTTAATCCCACACTGTGTGTCTGTGTCTCTGTGTGTCTTTGTCTGTTGGGGGGGAGGGGGTATATGTGTCGGGCCCACGAATATGGGAGGGGGGGTGCGTGTAAACAGAGCAGTTTCGCACCGGAGCCCCATGGATTGTGTGTACCCCACTGTAGTAGACCCTGGCTGCGGTACATGTTGTACCGGCAGTATTACTCTGTATAGCCTGTAATGCTTGGGCAAACTGGACTATCCTGTGTTCCATTTGCTCAAAGCTTGCTTCATTATTGGCTAACTGTTGTCCCAAACCTGTATGGGCTATGCCCTGTCGACATGTAATATCAGGATTGGATAACCCCTACACACAGAATTTAGGGAAACCGTAACCAGAATGAAGTAAAAAAATAAATGGAGGTACATATACTGAACTTTAGAGTGGCTGAGCTAACGTGTGCCCTACATAGGCGATAATACAGAGTCCATAGAAAGACAAGGTCAAGGATGCTAAAGGTACTCAAAACTCAAATATAGAATCCGAGGTCAGGGAACTAGAAAATAGTCAGAATAGTCAAAATGAAGCCATGTCATAAATAGGAAAAACTACAACCACACAGTATTCATTCTCTGGTTAGAATAAACCATGGCAGGGCAATGATCCTTAGAAAGAGGGGAGTTATATAGGGACAACCAAAATTCTATTGGAGAGCATCTTCACCCTGCACAAAGGGGTGTGTCTTGTCTAGGCAGATGATGAGTCCCACAAATATGACCTATCATTTAATTTTATATAAAAACCTAAACCTACAGCATCCTATCATGCCTAAGGACTCCTGTGAGAGGGGTGAGGCTGCCAGTGATCTGGCAGCCTTGCAAGAGAGAAGAAATGCAGACCATGCTCTGCGCCAGAAGCGTCAGAATGCTGCACGGTGTTCACTCTGGCTGGAGCAGTATGGCTCCCGCTCAGCAGTTCCAGGTATGACAGTGAGGCATCCATTGATACCCTGGACTTGGAGGAGCTACAACGGATTCACAGAAATTGCTGCTGTTTTGGGTGACCAGGACTCTCCACCCAGAGCCATGGAACTGTGCACCGGATTGGACGCTAGCCGCCCCCCTCTGAAACGTCAACTTCCATCTAAATTTGGCTAGCCACATGCGATCCGGGCGCTTTTTTTGGACAGAGTTGGCGCTTGTACGAACTTTCTTTTGACACTAGTTGTTTGGGGATGTGGGCATGGGAACATTAGTTATGTGTTTTGTTACCCCAGTGCCAAGGTGTCTGGCTGCTAATTAAATTACCTGCTCAGGTACAGACAGCAAGGTAAAGAATATAAGATCTACAGTAGGAAGAAGACAAATAGCATGGTGTACTATCAAAACATCATTTAAAAGTGGTGTTCAAGGTTACACTCACTAGAAATAATTTGATTGAAGGCACATCAAAAAGTAAGGTTGACAGAGAATCTTCTCCATGTTGTGGGTATGTAGGAGAGAGAAATTCTATAATAAGTGTAGACTGTTGGTAACCCAATAATGGGCTAAAGGTTAAAAACACACTTACAAGATTGTAGTGGTTTACAGGCATATCAGATCTCAGGTGACCAGGATACTGGGTGTCAGTCCACCAACACTCTCATTGGATTAAAATGAAAATAAACATCTCTCTAATTGAAAAATTTATTACAAATGAATAAAACAAACAAATCAATTAAAAATTTTCCTAATAGCAGCCAGAAACGTTCTCAAGGTGAAATCAAACAATAGGGGGTGGCAGGGAAATGCCCTGTTGGATACCTGTAACACGGGTGATTGGTCCTCAACTTGGGTTCCAGACCAGTGCCGCTACGCTGTCCATCCAGTACCAGGAACACCAACCGTCTTCCAGATTTGAAATGATCCATCTGCCCAATTTCACTTGAGGAGGAACTGATCCCTTTGCCTGCTCCCAGCACTGTGTTTATAAAATCAGATTTTGTCTCTTCGCCTACAGGGCTTTTGACTCTATAACCAATCCCAAATACCAGGGAGCAGTGCAGCCAGAAGACAGGCCCGTGTCTCGGCGAAAGTATTCCAACATTGGTAGAGATATTGTTCTTTGCCCTTCTCTTTCCTCACTTTGGTGTGTGGAGAGGGAGGCAGAGAGATCAGAAAAAAAAAAAACCCAAACACTTTTTAACCCTTTCAGTGCTGATCACAGTATTAATCCTGTGATCAGTCTGATTAGAGTGAATAGTATTAGTACTCTTCATAATGTTTTTGGTCAAAATCTTTTTTTTTTTTTCCAGCTAGACACATTGTTTTAATATTTAACCCCTTCACTGCTGTCTGATCACTGTACTGTATCTGGTCTGTACTAATAATCAGTGTGATCAGAAAGCTCTCTGATTAAGCTGGCATATATTTGTTAGTTTTTCTACATAAAAAAACAAAACCAAAATATACAAATACCCCTTTCATTGCTGTTTGCAACTTTTTATTCTGCGACCAGTTATTTTATTTAAATTTTTTGGGTTGGAGTGTAGGTTGTTCTGTGAGATTCCCCCAACATGACGCTACTGTAAGGCAGAAACTTCCACTATTCTTGCAGGCTGAAAGAGGGACACATTTGACATTGCAGGCCACGACACTGACAGCCTCTGATATTATTTTATATTGTTGTTTAGGTCGAAAAAAAGATTCAAGTTCAACCTTTACCCCATAAGCAAATCCTCCAGTGATGTTGCTTCACAATCATATGAAAGAAAGTGCTTAGGATGCTCTGCAGTGCCAGATGAAACTTTGGTACTCCCAAATTTACTTAAAGGACCACTGTAGGCACCCAGACCACTTCAGCTTAATGAAGTGGTCTGGGTGCCAGGTCCCTCTAGGATTAACCCTTTTTTTTTTTATATAAACATAGCCGTTTCAGAGAAACTGCTATGGTCATAATATGGTTAGTCCAGCCTCTAAAGCCTCTAGTGGCTGTTTCATTGACAGCCGCTAGAGGCGTTTGTGTGCTTCTCACTGTGAAAATCACAGTGAGAAGACGCGAGCGTCCATAGGAAAGCATTATTAATGCTTTCCTATGAGACAGGCTGAATGCGCGCGCAGCTCCTGCCGTGCATGCGCATTCAGCCGAAGAGGAGGAGAGCTTCACCACCCGGCGCTGGAAAAAAGGTAAGATTTAACCCTTTCCTCGCCATCCAGCCCGGCGGGAGTGGGACCCTGAGGGTGGGGGCACCCTTAGGGCACTATAGTGGTCCTTTAATCAAGAAATACCTCCATTCATGCTTATTGGTATTTCAACAGTTGGGGTTTTTGAGCTGTCAATTATTTTAAGCTTTTTATGTAAGACCCACAAAGGAACTGTAAAGTAGATGTAGTATCCTTGAAAAAAAAAAAAAAATTGCCCAGGGAGGGCCTCACAGATCTCCCTCTGCAGGTAAAAAAAATGGTTCTGCCACATAAGCTTTGCCCAGAATTGCTCATATGTAGCTTCCCACTTAGGTCAGTGTGCTGTGGATATTGGCCCTGGTCGCTCTTGTGCATCAACCATTTTCTGTAGCTCGGTCTCATGTTTGCAGAAGAGCATAGCAATAAGCATCTTCATGGGAACTAAATTGATCAAGTCCAGCAAGGATCACGATAACCCCCACCGTTCGAGAGGGAGGGGGAACAAAGTAAAGAAAATCAGTGCTTTTCTGAAGCGGAGATCGTCGGATTCTCCTACCCAGGGATAAACAGCAGGCTGCGGTAAGTGTTGGGCACCACAAATCACTCGATTAATCTGGTAAGGCTCGGTCCAAGAGCTGCCAGAGCATCCTGTGATATATGGTGAATGTAGCCATGAAATGGCTGGATTCTTCATATTAGAAGCATACTATCCAAACTACAGCCTGTGTCCTACTTGCTTGGTAGCCAGGCCTGTCCCCCATGTTTTTTTTATTTTTATTATTCTGTACTATCCCCAATAGGAATTTATAGTGTTTCAGGAAAGTTGGGCTACAGCCAAATGTACTTTGCGTGACAAATCTCAATATATATTTGATATGTAAGGAAGCTTCTCTGGGTCTCTCCTTTTCCATTAGTTGTTTAAAGTCTGGATAAAAATGAAAGGACTTAAGTCCTGTCTGATCTCTCACCATTTCCAATAATCAGATACACTTCTTGACAAGCCTATGGAGTTCTGACTCTGGCAAGCATTAATTCCCTGGAAAAACACCTACATGAATAGTAGCACTCAACAGAAGAAAGTTCAGAACCTGAAAACACACATTTTTCTATTTATGGGTGGCTGATAGAAAGGAACTAAAGGAACTTTAGCTGACTGACCGAATGCATTCCTAATCTCAAAACGGTTTCCTTGAGGTTAGATTTAAACCAAGAAAATGTGAACACTTACTCTTCTTTGGTTGATTTCACAGATTCTTTAGCACAGATGCCACAATTACACTTTTTATACCTATCTTGTAATTGAATGTCTGCAGTTAACGTGGCAGAGGAGTTTGGTCTAAGCAGTAGCTTTAGAATATTTTTCCTGAGGTAACTGTGTGTTTTCCATGAATAAAACATGACACCTAAAGCATGGCACCCATCTTGGTCACTTGATCCAGAAAGCCTGTAGAACACAAATCACTACTGGCGTATATTCCACAAACTAACGTGGAAGTAACATGGTGCGAGGATCAAGTGCCTGTAATGACACTAGACTGTGCAGGCAAATAAGAGGCAGTCTCAGCACCCTCTGCATCAGGGACTACCCATCCTGTTCCCACATGGAACAGACAGGGGAAGAGATTGTGAGCTCTTGGGGTTTTGAGGCTTATATTCACAGAAGACCAAGAGCAAGCCTGAAGAATTGTATCCAGGTACTGCCTGTCCAAACCAAAAGACGGAGCAGAAAGGCCAATTGCAGGTATAGATGTAGAAAATGCAAGTAATGCTGTAGAAAAATAATAGGAAAAAAATGAAAGGGTGGGTGGAGTGGGGTATGGACACTGGAGGTTGCCTAAAGTGATGTACTGAGCCACAAAAAGAATGCAGTGAAGTTTTTTTCCTTTTTAGTTACGACTTTATTGACATTCCAAATTAGTATAACATATTAAAGCAACATTAATGCATGCTGAAATATATACGTTTACAAAACCAGTTAGATGACTGCAAATAACACATGTAAATAACTATCAAGTAGGCTAATAAGCATACCCCCAGACTAATAATACATCCCACAGTGTGACCTTAGCTACACACAAACTATCATCAGTTAGCATTGCCCAATCATTTGATACATCTACACATTATACAATGTTGTGAAGAAAAAAAGGGAAAGCACTGGAGCACTTGGGATTGGGGTCGAAAATGTGCAAGAAGTCTGGGTCTACAATTAAGGAGGGGGGAAGGGGGTGTGAAAGGTTTGCTTTTCAAACAATATCCTATTAGAGTAGGAAGCCTGCAATGTGGTGAATAAACATAATGCACCCAATAATGCTTACATAACCTAAAATAAATTGATAAAAATTAGATGCCCTCTTCCCTAATTTTTAGTTACCTAGATGCTGCGGAAACATCCCACCATGATACACGTAAGAAACTCCAGCACAGAGCTTACATACACACAATCACAATATAACAGCATATAAAATCATGGAAGCAGCCACACTTTGATCATTCATACTCATTCCAAGCAGGTATATATCTATGTAGCAAATGCAAAAGCTCCTAAAATACACTGTATTACTCTCACAATTTACTCAGTTGCCTCCATACAGACACCATTTGGACTGAACAGTCATGCGTCCCATCTCCTGGCAGTTTCTGTAGTATTCTAGAATTTTTTTGTGACATTAGGTAAGAGTTGCACAACACTCCTTAAAAGAGCTATTTCACCAGCTCACACAAGGGCATGTTTAAATATGAACGCTGTGTGTATATAATTATTACAGCTATTTGATGCTCAAGTCACATGATTAATCTGGATTTCCTTGAAAGCCTCTTAATCCTATCCCAAACAAACAAAATCCATTTTATTTGGCACCAACTGGGTCACACATTCTAGGGACCTTATATTCTTTAGACATTACAGCAATTATGTAATTATTTTAGTACTAATATCCAAGCCTAGTAATAAACCATCCATTGTTCCAAAAGGACATGAATCCTTTAATTTAGATTAATATTGGCAAACTGGCCACAGGAATAGGAAAGAACCGTAACAAACGTTTGTATGGCTCACAATTTGCTTCAGTAACCCCTTTAATTATATTATGTTGTACCATATATTGAATAGAATATGCCTCTAAACATTTCAACCAGCATACTAACATACTCTTAACGGAATGCCCGTTAGCTTTGGGGACAACACCACATTTTTGTTTGTAAGTTTCACTTCTTTATTCCACATAGACACCAAACAAGACAGAATTGCCATGGAGACATATTGAGGAGAAAATCATGATACTTTGCGTATCATTGCAATTCATGGGAACCTGTCATAAGTTAAAACTACTTTGGGTCTTTTTAAAGAGCTTCAAATTCCAAAAGACACGCAATGTGGAGGAATTAGGCAGAGCAGCTAAGACCTTCCACAGGAGATACCGCTGCTCTCTACCCATAGTATGCACTGTGGTTTCTATAGTAACTCGCTAGTTGGATGCTGGCTAGTGAGTATAGGGACGGAGTGATGTCACTCCATTCAGACACTGATATCCTGGCAACTAAGCCAGCCTATTTGTGTTATGTAGGAGGATTGACCTGTTTGGGATAGTGTCCCCACACAGGGAAAATCTGCAAAAAAAGAGACTGTGGTGGGGTAGCGAAGAGCCAGGTAAGTGGTGACAAGTTTCCCTTAAACTACCTAACAAATGTGTGCATGTTAAGAATCATGGGAATGGAAGCTATTTCTGCATCAAAAGCCTTATGTCCTTTGCAAAATACAAACAATAAATAAATAAAATTGAAACACACACTAAACATTTCTCATAGTGTCCTCCTTTAATAGTTATCTGGGAGTTTAGAACAAACTAGTTTTAAATGTATTAGAACATTATTTGCTATATGAAAAAATAAGGATCTACAGTCCAAAACAGAACCGCACAGAGTTAGCTGCAGATTGCAGGGAGTAATTAACGGGGCATTCTAAGCAACTTAAACACTACAGCTCTCTTAGAGGCCATTGGCTTAATATCAAGCTATTCTTAACTTGGGGCTCTTTCCAGCAGTGAGAGACCATCTCCCTCTTGGCTGCATTAATAATGCAGAACTAAAACTTCAGCATTATCAATTTACTTCAACTTGGACAACCGTAATTGACATGGATAATGAAGAAATGTTAGTTTTGCATAATCAGTGTGGCGAAGATGAGAACAGTCTCTTGGCATAAGGAAGTCCCAAAGTTTTATAAAACCATTTTAAAATGGTTTAATATTAAACCTGAATATGGAATCTGGGGGTTTCTATGAAACCTGAACACAACAGGTTGCTTAGAGTATGGTTTTAAACTGATCTTTAACAGTAAACTGCTCAAAAGACTTCCCTGCAGATTAGAATCTGCAGATGATAACCAAGTGCATTAAAAGACTGGTCCCAATGTTCATCAAGTATCCAGCCTATTACATCAGGAACAAATCTCATTTTACTTCTCCACTGTCAATCAACCAGGTCTTCCTCTACGAATGCTGCATAGCTTACTTTTAAGTCATCCTACTAAATTGTATAGTATCTAAGTTATAGATCTAACACCTTAACAGGGTGCGAAAAACAACACAGCTCTACAAAAACAATGCTGCTCAAGACGTTTGACTGACAGTTTACCCCTTATTGTCTATGGTGACAATCAAAAAAACTTCAAGAAGAACAGGCATAAAATGTTGATTGGCACTTTACCTGTACTATTGTGCAATCATATATTCTTTTATTAAACTGATACTGCTAATAAGCAAACTTTATGAAAATGACTTACTCTATTATGGGATAACTTGGGATGCAATCTGTAGATTAAACAAGCTTTCTCAAAGTAACTATTAATGGTTGAAGACAGATACAAAAGCGTTATAAAACCATGATTTAAAATTATTTGTTGACCAGAGTTGTGCAAAAGCAAGGGTGGCACTGAGGGGAAGGACATATAACTGCAGTGATTTTTGCACGTTATTGCAGTTTTTAAAGAGGAATTACACAAATTAAAAAAACTTAATGTGTTAGCCGTTTTTTTTCCTCAGTAGCTACCCTCAGTAGCATACCAAGACATTTCTTTTTTTTTTTTTTTAAGCTGTGACCGAACTGTTTAACTCCTGAAAGTAAACTAGCACCCGAACTTCCTTGCACCGTATTGCCAAGAGTGGACTTTTAAATAACTGTTCATTTATCTGGCAAGATGGCGTACCCTTACAGCAACAGTAATTGTGATTATGAAAATATGCAGCTTTCTAAAACTACTGTGCACAGCAATCTGAATCATCCACTACGAAATCGTACAAAAGTCTGAAATTAATGCATTAGAACAGAAAGCCTGAGGCTATAGATATGTTATTTATATAAGTATTCAGGTGCAAACACATTACTTAATCCAATGTAGTATTAATTGGAAACAGACAAATGTGTGAGTGTTTTATGTAGTTATATTTGGATGTGCCTTTTCACCAACTTCTACGAACAAGATAGCTACGTTAATACACAGATAAGACTGGGATAAAAATTAATTTCTTATCCCCAAACATGCACTAATCTGATTACATATGAAAATTGCTGTTCTACCTAAACAAACCAATTATTCTGCATTTTAAAATAAATGTATACCTTTATTTCTTCCTCAGCAACATTTTTACTTTTTTAACTGCCATTTTTCTAACTGACAATGCACTTATTGAGATAATAATGGCCTTCTACATCTGTTATATGATTACAGGCTAAAATGAATAATACCTGATAAACAGGGAAAAACTAGTGCAAGTTTTTGGTATTCAAAAGTAGCAAGGATTAGGTTCCCATTTCTGAATTTGATCCAAATGGTCTATTCAGAACAAACTAATATACTGTGTACAGCGCTGTACACAATATATTGGTTGTCATTGAAATACTAGATGTAAAAGCTCCTAATTTGTACATAGTTGCTTTTATTTATGTTTTTAATCCTTTCTGTGCTGACTATTCTGTTTTACTACATTTAGAGAAGGAAGAACAGCACCTTTTGTCCAGGTTAATTACTATACTACAAACTGTAGCTGATTCAAATCTAAATGGCAAAATTAAGGCTAAAATAGCTAAGCAGTGACTACAATGGCGATAAAGAATTTCTCCATATTAGCTACCTTTTCCTATATTTTGCCATCCGGATTTCAATTCACTATAGTTTTGAGTTTAGTGAATAACCTTGTGTGTGTATACCAGAAAAAAACAAACAAAAAAAAAAACACTGGGCACAAACACCATGTGCCAGCAGAGTACACAAATCATTGCAGCATTTCTATGAGTAAGGACCTTTGGGTCTGAAACGCGTTAGGCTTTAGCTACCCAAGAGGTGCAATTCCTCATGCCAATGTTGTTCACACTAATAAAGCTGCAATTATTTGTGTACTCTACTGGAGCATGGTGTTTATGTGGTAACCGGACCAGTGTTTTTGTTCATCATGATACATTTCTCTTCTATCTGGCCAGCAGCAGTAATTTGGTGCGCATCTGCCATTTTTTCTTAATAATTGAGTATTTCTGGTCCAAGCTACAAAAAGGGGTTAGATCTTAAATGAAAAATGTTGGTTTTAAATACATTACAATTAAACAAAGCATTTATATTTGCAGTTTAAAAGTATAAAATAGTTTTCATAATTCCTTATGTTCATGATGGTTTTGATATTGCAAACAATAAAACATAAAAAACAACTTGTTAATCTGGCTGACTTTCCAACTTTTTTCTCCACAGCCGTCAGTTTGTAACTTTGCAAAAAAAAAAAAAAAAAGAATGAATGAATGACAAAACAACAAAATATAAGGTGTTTCTGACAACTGCTGGCTATCAAACTATGGCCAATGTCTATGAATTTCAAGAATTAATTTTACAGGATTCAAACAAAGAAAAGAAAAAAGCAGATCCAACAGCATGGTTTTGGTATGCAACTGAAAGGAAAAAAAAACATAAAATAAAGTCACAAGGAACCAAAACTACTCTAATTAAAATAAACCACAACAAACCCACACAAATCTTAGCGCTCATATTTGCAACAGTGGGCAATGTGACACTGCCATGAATTTCATTTGCTTTCTTTCTTTTTTTTTTAAGAATTTGAAGAAAAATACAAAAGTGATAATACTTTGTAGATTGCTGTATTAGCATATTAAGAGATGGGAATGCTGGTCTCTAGTTCAATTGCTCTTGTCAGCAACCCAAAAACACAGAAGACCCTTTTATCAATCTGGTGTTTCTCCCTTCTTTTTGATAGTAGTATACCTGTCAATATTGACCAGCTCACACAACAACAAAAAAATATATAAAACATTTCAAAAAAGGATTGTAATGCATGTGTGGGCCCTAGTTGCTACTACTATAACATGCAAAATAAACATTAAAAGGATCTGGAATTGTTAATTATATATACATTTTGTGTTGATTATTAGTATCTGAAATGTTATAGCCTGTTAGAATGTGCTACAGACAAATGTAACTTTCAATAAAGAATCCTTACATTAAAAGAAATAAGTTTCTTTTCTAAAATACTACTAAAACATTTCTCCACTCGTTAGGAAGATGGTAGCGGCGAAGACGGTTGTGGAGAAGGTGGTAATGGTGAGGATGCTGGTTGTGAAGATGGAAGTGGTGAGGATGCCAATTGTGAAGATGGCAGTGGGGAGGAGGCCACTTGAGTAGATGGCAGTGTGGAGGGGACCAACTGTTGACTCGCTAGTTGTGAGGCTGCCAGTTGTGAGGCTGCCAGCTGTCTATGTGCCTTGTTTAACTTCTGATGCTTAGTAAGATTTGAACTATTTGCAAAACATTTCCCACATTCAGCGCATAGATAAGGCTTAATTCCTGTGTGGACTGTCTGATGCTTAACTAGACTCGAATTATTGATAAAGCATTTCCCACAGATTGAACATAAGAATGGTTTCTCACCTGTGTGAATCTTTTGATGTGTAACAAGATTTGATGTATCAGTAAAGCATTTCCCACACACATTACATGCGAATGGCCTCTCCCCAGTGTGGGTTCTCTGATGTTTAACAAGATCTGATTTATGGGTGAAACGTTTTCCACATTCAGAGCACACATATGGTCTCTCCCCTGTGTGAATCCTCTGGTGTGTTACAAGATTGGAACTATTGGTAAAACTCTTCCCACATACAGAGCAGGAGAATAATTTCTCCCCTGTATGCAACCTTTGATGTGTAACAAGATTTGATTTATCAGTGAAACACTTCCCACAGTCAGGGCATGAGAATGGCTTTTCTCCAGTGTGAATTCTCTCATGTTTAACTAGATCTGACTTGTGTGTGAAACATTTTCCACACAGAGCACATGCAAAGGCTTTCTCCCCTGTGTGAAGTTTGTAATGTGTAATAAGGTTTGATTTTTTGGAGAAGGCTCTCCCACAGTCTGTGCAGGAGAACGGCTTTTCTCCTGTGTGAGTCCTATGATGTCTAATAAGTTCTGCATTACTTGGAAAACATTTTGCACATTCTGGACATACAAACAGTTTTGGCCTAATACGTTTTGGACGGGGAGGATCTGGTTTAGGTGGAAAAGGTTCAGGATATGAGAATCCTGCCTGGGCATAATCTATGAGTGAATACATGCTAGGATCTACACGAATTTCTTCTCCACCCGAGTTTGATTCCTCCTTAATAGGTGTAGATGTATAATCTGTCTGGGTTTGTGTAGTGGATGTATAAATGTTATCTTCTGTAAGATTTCCTTCATCACAATCAGCTAACTGCTCCTTGAGATTAGTAGATGTGTACTCTGTGTATGCATGTTCTTTATGCATATACATATCAGTATCTGAGAGGTTTCCTTCATCACACGACACTGGTTCTTCTTTAATATGGGTAGCTGTATAGTCTGTATAGGCATGTTCGGCAGGTTGATAAATGTCAGTGTCTGTCATATTTTCATCTTCCTGTTTGATTGGGCCCATTGCCATATCTGTTATAGGTTGGCTCTGCAACTTTCTGGGTATATTTTTCCTGCGGCATTTTGTTCCTTGGATAACCTTCTCAGTTTTATCTTCTTTTACACAATCAGGGGAAGGAATGGAGGCTTGATACCCTTCAGGTACACCCCGACTCACAGAGCCATCTATTAGAAAAACAGATGTTATTAGACTAGTTGTACTTTAAAAATAAAATATACATGAACTGCTTGTTTCTGCGATCAAGTAAACATCCAAAATTTGCCTTTATAGCCCATTTTTCTTATTCTCATTTGAGACAATATTTGCAGAGCAACTACAAATGTTATAAGGGACTCAATGTGAACCATCAGACAACATAACATTAAGAACTCATGTAATTAACAGGATAGAATACAATGTTCCTATTTTTTGCTTAAAACAAGGCAACACACAGTAGAACCTGCTTAACCCCGTAAGGACACAGCTTCTGTTGGCTTGTTTTTTTGTACTTAAAGAGACACTATAGTCACTAGAACAACTACAGCTTAATGTAATTAACTGCAGACTTTTTTTGTAAACACTGTTTTTTTTCAAAGAAAAGGCAGTGTTAACATTACGGCCTAGGGATACTTCCTGTGGCCACTCCTCAGACAGCTACATTCAGTGTCTCCACCCTCTGCATGGAGATGCTGATTGGCAAGCGTGGCGTTTGGCTTTGCCACTAGACCAACTCCTTGACAATCTCAGCCAATCCAATTCTTTCCTATGTGATTGGCTAAGATAACTACTTCTGATTATGTCAGCCAAGGAGACAGATCAGGGGCAGAGCCAGTACCAGCAGACTGGAATAATTGTAAGATTTTACTATATTTAGGGGTGTATGGGGCAGGGGGGATAGATAGTGTTTTAGCACTATTGGGGCAGGAATATATGTTTGTGTTCCTCACCCTATAAGGTACCTTTAAGGACACAAGCAATTTTTGGTATGTGTATGTGCAACCACAATTTCCATCTCACTCATTTATTGCATCAACAAATATTACATACTGTATTGAAATGAGAAAGGGGGATTTAATATACATTTACAAAGTTACATTATAAATGAAAATACAAAAATATAATTCCACAGTTTTGTCAATAACTATGCATGCATAATTAATGCAGCTTAAGAAAGTTAATTAGAAATAAATTAATTTATTTGCCCTGATTTACAGAGTACATCAGATATCTGGATTTCAGTTTGTTTTTGGTAGTTATGGGTCACAGAATACAAGGAGTGACAATTTCAATGTGGATCGATTTTAGCATTTGGTATGTTTGATTTTCTGAGATGGTTATTAAACAAAACAAATTGCCATGTAAAAAGTATATATTCATGCTAAGAAGACAGCACAGGCTTTTTGCCTTATTTTGTCACATTTTACGTTGCCCTTTAATTGCAAATCTCTGCTAAATATTGTAGTAAAACAGTGTCTTCCGATTTTGTTTTTAATTCCTAATTTTTTTGTGCATGTAGACATACAAAATGGCAATGCCAATATAGCAAAAATAAGCATGGTAAAATATGTGACAATGAACACAGTACATGGCATATCAAGAGTGCTGCACAAAATTAAAAAGTGTAACAATCTTATCATGCTAGTCAGTCATGTCCAAAATTTAAACAGAAGAAGTGCTGTGTAAGAATTAGGAAATTAAATAGACATGAGTATTATTTATAAATCATATATTGTAGTCATGCTAATGTGAAAAGCTGAAACTACTGGGACCGACCAGATTGCAAATCTAAGAAAGAATAATGCAGAGTGGCCGCCATGACGCTCAGGCCCCGCATCCTTCTGATATTTAACATACACTAACACACTTTAAATTTCTTCTTAAATGTGTATTTTGTAAACCTGATATGTACTACTCCTGTACAAAACCCCATATTGTGTTCATTTACATCTTCTGAGACCAACAATATCCCCAATATATACATCTGTCACTATCTGTGCAGCTACAGTGCCTATAAGAAGACCTGCCCATTTCAGTTTTTATGGTAAGACTGTTGATAGACTGATTTGATGGGCCGGTGTCTCATTTTGGGCCATTATAGCTGACTGTTCAAATCACCCCACAAAGGTCTACCATAGGCATAGGCACTGCAGATGTTTTGGACTACACCTCCCATGATGCTTTGCCAGCATTATGTGTGTAAGAGCAGTATGGGGGATGTAGTGCACAACATTTGGAGTACCGAAGGTTGCCTATCGCTGGTCTACCGTAATAAAAGTAGACACTCTAGGGCAGTGATGGCGAGCCTATGGCATGCGTGCCACAGCTGGCACGCCGAGCCCTCTCTGTGGGCACGCGGCCATAGGTCGCCGGTAGGGTGGCCAGTGGTGTATTCACCGCAAGGCTAACAAGGCATTTGCCTTGGTCGGCACTGCCTTGTTAGCCTCGTGTCCCAGGGGGCCCAAGAGCTGGCCAACTTTGTGGCAGTTTCTATTGCGGGCTTGCGGCGAGGGAGTGCTGTAGCCTGAGCTCTTAATATGACATCAGACCAGCTCACGCATCAATAAGCGGCATGCAAGGGAGCTGAGCAGTAAGATCAGAGCTCCCTTGCCACATACTCTGCCAGTTCGCCTCCTGCCTTCTTGTCCAGCAGCACAAGCAGCCCCACTGGACCCCAGGTGAGGAATACACTCCAGTTCTCCCACGGAGTCTGGATGGAGTTAAATTAAAATTAAAAGAAAAAAAATAAATAATAGTAATTTGTGAGTGTTGGGGGAAATGTGTATGAGTGTGTATCTGTCAGTCACTCTGTGTCTGTCAATGAGTGTGTGTGTCTGTGAGTGAGTGTGTCAGTCACTGTGTGTCTGTCAGTGGGTGTGTCTGTGAGTATCAGTGTATGTATGTGCATCTGTAAGTATGTGTGTGTCAGTGTGTGTGTATATATGTGAGTGTCTGTGTGTATAATTGTCGTAGTTAATTGCCGTGTTGGCACTTTGAGGAAAAAAGGTTGGTTTGTATTGCGGTTTGGGCACTCGGGCTAAAAAATGTTCGCCATCACTGCTTTAGGGTATTTCATATGGTATATATTGTGCATTAACATGCTGACATTTTGTCATCAGATTATGTCAAAGCTTGTGTTAAAAAAAATGAATGTAAAAAATGCAATCAAATAAAAATATGTACACAAAAAAAAAAACAACAACAAAAAAAACAAAAAAACACAAAAACCCCCCAAAACAATTATCGTCAGCAAATTCCTCTGAATTAAACAATACCTCCAACCTATGCATTTGGCACTGTCTTGTAAAGTTACACTGTCATACAAGAGACCTGACTTTTTACAGGTAGAAGTTTGATAGATGGATAGATTCAATAAAGTGAGAACTGGGGGCAGGGCTGACCAACGAGCTATTATCTTGTTTTTTGGCTGCTCCACGCATCAGGTTGAGATATACCGGACTGCCAGAAACTCCAGCACGCCATGGGGAAACACTCCAGAAAATCCTGGGGGCCCAGTGAACGGCACACCAGGGTTATGGGCCTGCTGCTCACTCAGCCGAGCAGGCCCAAGATGGCGGACCTCCGTCTAGATTCGTTCCAGGGCTCGATTACGGCCTCAGATGAGGATCTTGACCTCTCGGAAGCTCCATCCCCACCCCGCAGATATCGGGGACAGGTCCAGCGACAGCCTCAAAGTTAGACCTCATAATCATGGTCTCAGACCTAAAGGCCTTCTTTGCCTCTGAATTAGCCGTGCTTTGGGAGGATCTGGGCACGCTGACAGGCCGCATTAAGGCCACGGAAGAGGATATTCAAGACCTCAGAATCCAAAAGAGTCTTCGGCAACACAAATAAACAACCTCAGCTCTACCTGCGAGCACCTTAATGTCAGAATTGGGCAGCTAGAGGACAGTGCTCGACTACGCAATTCGAAGGTACGGGGGATCCCAGACACGATCGACGGAGCTGAGCTACTGCAATTTATTCAGAGACGGTTCTCCACCGCCTTGACAGGCAAAGGGAACCCTACTTGAAGGGCTATTTCGCTTGCCTGCTCGGCCAAACCCCAAGACCAAGACACCAATAGATGTCATCCTGTGCTTTAGGTCACGCAGCGACAATGAAGTGTTCCTGAAAGCCACTAGAGATCAACCACCATACATATTTGAAGAGCACCCTCTAACCTTCTTCCAGGTCAACCTTGCAGTGGCGTGCAACGCTGGAATAAGTGACATCCCAACTGCGAGCAGCATCCAACTCCTACAAATGGGGATACCCCAGGGCACTCATAGCCAAAAAGGAAGGCTGAAGATTCAGGCTGACGTCCCTATCGGGAGCAGATACCTTCAAGTGCTCCCTGGGACTAACGGCTAATACAGCCACTAACAAGCCAGTCAGGCTCCCTCACCAATGGGATGTGGCGAATGTAGAGGTCTTCACCCCATCGGGCTCCTCAGCTCCGGGCTGATCTCCCTTGGATGGGAGTAATACTCATTTTACCTTGGCCTAACCCATACTCTGTTTGACTTACCAGAGTCATATGCATATATGTTTGTTGATGCTTTATAATTTTTATTTTTACTGTTAGTTTATTGACTCAAATGCTACCAAACAGTCCACAGAGGCACTCGCCGGTAACTAATTTACAAGGTGCTCCAAGCTGGTCCCTTGGTACACCACTCCTCCCCTTGCCTCCCCCCCCCCCACATGATTACAGAGCCTCGAACTCCCTGAACTAAATCACTTGCCATGAGTATGCAACGCATGCAAGAGAACCTTCCTATCTGCCCCAGGTAGATTGCCTAATAAGGTCCATCACTGACCCCAACCCATGTAGCGGTAGAAGATGATGGCATCAGATACCCGGTCACAGGGGTCCGCAGGGAGGCCGGGCCCCCTGGAGTGGCGGGTCCGGTCGCAGCCGAGACTTTTGCGACCGCGGGATGTACGCCGTTGATTCCCGCACATGCGCATTAGGTCTCCCCGCTGGCTGATGACGGGGAAGGAGCGTGGGCGGAGCTTGACCCAGCACCGAGGGACATCAGTGCTGGAATTAGGTAAGTGGCTGAAGGGGTTTTAACCCCTTTAGACCCACGGGAGGGGGGGGCACGAGGGAGGGGTACCTATTAACCCTATAGTGCCAGGAAAATGGGTTTGTTTTCCTGCCACTATAGGATCCCTTTAAACTTAGATGCACAAAGACCCTTTGAACAGGTATCTTGGCCACATTGCTTTTTCGGAATCCAGTTCCAGAAGTTCATGAGAGATCTGTATTCCAAACAATCCACAAAAATAATAAAAACGGCAAAGACTCAAAAGAATACTATCAAACTCACTGGCTTTGCTGACGACCTTTTACTTCATCTTGCAGACCCTGCAACGTCGATACAGGCTAATCACAGGTTTTCAAATTAATTGGTCCTAGCGGAAAGCTTTGCGACTCTGTTGAGGCCTGCCAATACACCTTAACATGGACAACTTCAAACTTTAGATATTTAGGAGTTCTAATTCCAAAAAAAATAAAAAATATCGGATATATACAACAACACCTTAAAGCAACTTTTTGCTGTAGTAAAATATCTAGTGACTAGAGAGTACCATCTCTCTCAGGACATGATACGCTCTTAAAATAAGCTGGAATACCCAAACTCCTGTAGCCTTTTCAGGTTCTACCCATATTACTCTCACGCTCATAAGAGAAACTTTTAAAAATCAGCTTTTCTCTAAATTTCTTTGGTGACAAAAAAGTCCTAGACTTGTACTACACAAATTGTCCTAGCATAGATTCAATCTAGATCTGAGCATTCCTAACTTGAAACTTTATACTTTGGCAGCAGGCTTGGGACAATTCACAGTAGTACCCATAGCTGAGTCTAGTAGTGGTGCTCACCCAATTGCAGTATCCATTGTCCATTTATTACCTGTTTCCATAGATGGGATCCCCAACCGAATACTGAGGCATCCATGGTGACTATAAGATAATTCTTCATCTGGAATGAAAGGCCGCCTGTCACAAATGGATAGGTCGCCCACCACTGGAAACTTCTTAATATTCAAAGCCAAACATTTATGGATTGGTCTAGAGAGGAAACTTCTCACTCTGCTAAAATTTATTTCTGTGAAGGCCTCATTCTTGTCCTGGACCAGCAACTGTAAAGAGGCACGAAAGCCTCATTGCTTCCCTTATAGACCAGATCTTTTTTTGTTTGTAGATCTGAAGATCTAAGTTTTCTTCTCTTCTGGGAGGAATATCTTCATCTGGACAGAATCTATGATGACCCAAAAACTGAATAGATCGTGTAGGAACCATTCCAATTTCTCTTGATTTAGAATCCATTCATGTGTGCTTTGGCATTCTGAGCTGTTCTTATGTTTTTTAGGAGTTACTGTTCTGAGGTCACTAAAAGGAGTCACTAGTCTAAATATGGACAATACCGAGACCTTTTCTTCACAGGGCCGCTGTGATGACTACCAGAATCTTGGTAAACACCTGCAGGGCTGAGGAAAGACCAAATGGAAGGGCCCTGAATTGATTATGTTGAAATTCTTCCCACCTGATGCAAAATCTTAGGATTTGTTTTGCCTTCTTGTCAGGATACTTGTCAGGATTCCTCCATATTGTCTCGGAACCTTTCCATTTTGGCTTTCAACCCGATCGGTTTTTCAGGGTTTTGTTGCTCAATCTCCGCCCATGCGTCTGACATCATGCGCTTCCCTTCAAAAGGAAGCCGCGACCACATCTAAAGTGCTCAATCAATCTCTTGTGTTTGATGTGCTCTCGCTACTTGATACATTGTTGCCGCTTCGCTACAGAACTCTGCTAATCTGAATTCCTGTGTACTGAACCTCTGTCTTTGATCCTGGCTCTCCTCCACTCTCCCACTAAAAGAACAGACTTAACTTTGGATTCCTGCATCTCTTCCCTTACTTCAAGGAACCATAATTCATTCCACGGTGGGAAGGACTTCAACTCCTATCATTCAGGAAAGGCAAGATAAGTTCCCCAGTGAATGCAATTGTTAATTGGTTCTAACCTTATGTTAACTGGGAAGGATAAGGGATACCAAAGTCTGCCCTCTGGGATTCTACTTACTATCTCTATTTGAATAAATCATTTGACAAACAACTCAATGATATTATTATTATTGGACTCTTAACTACAACCACTACTCATACCAGGATATATTTCATTTCCAAAATAAATTCTCCATATTAAGAGACTGTTACTTTGTACTGCATGATTCACCTGCTCTGGCAACCGTATTGAAGTCATATGGACTATACTGCTTACTGATAATGAAGCATTCCTTATTTAAAGTCTATTGGACTATCCTAATTGTTGCAAATTAAGCATTTACTTAATTTTATATTTGCTATTTTCTTGTGTTTCCTGTGCATTCATGCATTATTATTTTAAAACATTATTGTTGCAGAAGACTGTCAAAGTTAATTTCCTTTATTTAAATAAATATTTTCTTAAAGTGACGGTATCAAGTTTATTATTTCAAATGCAGTTGAGTTCGCAAAATATTTTCTCCTGAGAGTATACACTACTGCAAAAGAGATATGCAGATAGGTAGCTTTGAGGTTGAGAGAACTTAGCCAAGACCCTTCTTGTTTGAATTAGTGTTGCTGAGAGATGGTCTCCATACAGATTCTTTTCTTGATTATTAATAGACTGACTGCTTTTAAATCGGGGAAGGGCCTAAATGAACCATCTGGGTTCTGGACTATAAATAGCCTTAAATATGTTCACGAAAATCTTCCTGTGGAAGATTTTCTTTAAAAATGACTGGACTTCTGTAAAAAGAGCTGAGGCAGTTCTGGGAGACTACAAAACAACATTCCCTTACCTCTGATTGGTATTCTCTTCTAACAATGGAAAGTACCCAGTTGTCACTAATGGTATTTTCACACTGGTAAGCGAAAGTCAGAAGTCTTCCTCCTATAGCTCTAGTGTAATAATCTGTAATCTTTAGTCTTTTCCTTTTTCTTGTAATCAAAACATTGTCTCGGTCTTCAAGACCTGTTTCTATAGAATAAAGGCTTATTCCACTTAACTTTTTTCCAATCTTCAGGTAAGGCCTTTTTCACTTCTGCCACCTGTTTAAGTAAATCATAAGTTGGGACCCAAAGAGTCTCCGCTGTTCAAAGGGAAAGTCATAGGAAATTCTTTGAAGCAGAGTCCCTCGACCAGTTTCTAAGCTAAAGTGCACATCTGGCCACAGTGGAAAGGCCTATCGCTTTTGCTTATAGTTTCTGATGTAGAATCTGAACGAAAATCTGATGCCATTCTAATGTTTTGTAGCATTGTAAAAGAGTCTTCTTTGGATTCAAAAATATAATTTTTTTTCCAATGGAAATCTATCCAGAAATGTTGGGTCTTACCTACATATGTTCCTGCAATCAAGGTTTTGCGCTGCAGTAGCAGATAATAGTTTGCACAATGATGACTCTGCTTTTTTTATCCATTGCATCCTGAAGACCACTGGGATCTCCAATAGGCAGAGTGGTTTTCTTCCCCAACTGAGCAATAGGTACATCTATTTCAGCAAGTTCTTCCAATTTTTGTCAGACTCTTCTTTAATGGCAAATATAGTTTTAAAGGGTTTTGATATAATGATTTTTTAGAATGATATTTCCATTATGTTAACATCAAGCAGGAGGAACAAAACAAATGCTAAGATTTTGCCACACATTTTTCTTTTGCAGTAGGTTTATCTGAAGTCTCGGGGTTAGACATACTACAAGAGATAGAAATATAAAAAATAGCTTATACCAGCTAAGAGGAATTTTATAGGCAAGAGATGATACAAAAGCAAAAAAGTCTCACCTGGGGGGCGGAGCCTGACCGTTGAAGGAAGCAGTCGCACTAACCAAGAGCTCCAGGCATCAAACGGAGAAACCAAAGAAAATCCCCCCAAATAACATACACCCGATACAAAAGACAGGCCCCCTGGACGTCCAAAACATCATGGGATGTAAAACGAAGAAAATAACCCAGGAAAAACCCACCTTAGGACTAACAATCGGGGACATGTGGAGACAGGCATGCGGTGCAAGTGGGCCCAACAAGGCGACGCTTCATGGAGGCTGCTCAGACTTCTCCGATGACCTTTCTGGAGAGGAGTATCTACCGGCTCCCATCCTGGGAAGGCCATCACAGTCAAGCGAGACAAACACGGACTCGCCACAGCGGTTCTAAAATGACTGCTCGCGGCCTTACAAAAAAAAAAAAAAAGCCATACTACAAGATGTCACTGCCCTACGGGGCGACCTAAAGGGGCTGACAGGCCGCATGAGCACGCTCAAAAGCGTATCCATAACTAATACCTGGGACATCGGCGAACTTCACAAAGCTGCAAGTGACTTACAACTGCAACAGCGGAAACACGAACAACGCTTTGCGGACCAAGAGGACGCCAGAAGGCGGAACAACCTGAAGGTTAGAGGGGTCGCCGACATGATACCCGAGCCAGAATTGCCACAAGTCAAACGTTTGCTCATAAATATACTGCCACCCACATAAGCCAAATATATTAACTCTGACAACCTCTTCAGTATCCCCAAACCGCCAAAAGCGCCAACTACAGCTACAAGGGACGTAATAGTCACGTTCTGCAATAGCCAGGACAAAACTGCAATCCTTAATGCACTACGGGGAAAAATGCCCCAACAATTCAAAAACATGGCAGTGACCTTCTTTGCCGACCTATCGAGCGATACCCTGGCATGGCGCCGTTCTCTCCAACCACTGGTTTCCTGCGGCTATTGTGGTATGGCAAACCGGATTGTTATCTCATGCACGAATAAAATAAAGAATAAAAAAAATTAAATAAAAAAGTCTCACCTGAATGGTCTCTGAGTGTGCTGGAATACAGAACTGAAAGCGTCCTGCAAACACATGGCAACAGAATTGAAAGCATACTGCAAAAAGGTAGTTGCAGCTGGGCAGATTTTATATATATATATATATATATATATATATATATATATATATATATATATATATATATATATATATATATATATATATATCAGACAAAAAGCTTGGCACTCACCCTTTCTCCAATTCAAAAATGGTTTTCTTAATGCCTTGGTGCAATCCCACGTTATGAAATATATGCAAAAAGTAAGATCTTGAGGAAGACCCTGAGGGGTCGAAACGTCGATCATATTATGTAAACCTTCTTTTTAATAAATACTGCATTATTGATTATATAAGTCCACACATAAGTCTCTTACTTTTTGCATATATATATGCTCTATAAAATTTGAATTTGGCACCTGAAAATTCAGAGATTAAATTGTGCACCATGAGGGGATAGGGAATGACTTCACCAATTGTGATTGATAACTGGACTTCAATTATACTACCCTATTTCAATACATGCAAAATTAAGGTGTGCTATGCGTTTAATATAATAAGACCAGTTATATAAATTGATTACTACATTTATCGCAATAGCAAAAAAAAGAGCAAATGATTGTGTATGCATAAAAAAAAAATGTTGTTGATATTTGCAGCCTTTTGTAGTGCAAAGACCCGATAAAGCCTCTATTCCAATACATGTAAAATTAAGTTCTGCTATGCCTTTAATTATACTATAACCATTTAATATCGTATGATGAATATATAAATTGATTAATACATTCATTAATGCAAACAAAAAGTTAAATTAAAAAATAAATTAAAAAAGTGCAAATGACTGTATACATATAAAACCAAAAACAAGCAAGGACGGAACAATATAAAGTGCAGAAATTTGATTAGTGATAGTGAACACACTAATAAATTGCTTTACACATACAAGAGAAACAACATAGTATAAAACTTTAAAAATGTAAAAGCAATGGGGAGAGAGTGTTAGGATGGCACTCACAGACAGGGAGCAGAAACTGCTTAGAACAATGCAGCTCCTGAATGAATCAGATCCAACAGTTAAAACCAGGACAGTGAGCAATTCCCCTCCAAATTCAGCAATTTGGCAAATGTCTCTGAATCTAGCATACAGTTTGTCAAATGCCTCCAAATAGACAGAGAACCTGGACAGCTACACAAACTGCCTCCGATACGGCCAATGCACGGTGAACCAGCTAGCAGCATACAAAACTTAGTTAAGGTTAGTGTAAGTCCAAGTATCTGAGAATACTTCAGTATTTAGTATTTAACGATAGCGATCTAAGAAAGCTAAATATGTGAAACTAGTCATCACTTAAGACGTCTTTGCCCCGGCCCCTGAAAGAAATACTGTCTTGTTCTCGGAGACTCTGATTTATACTCACCTCGGCTAGCTTCTGTATGCTGCTAGCTGGTTCACCATTCATTAACAGCATCGGAAGCAAATAGTGTAGCTCTCTGTGTCGTCTTTTCAGAGAAAACTGCCAAACTGTATGCTGAATTTGGAGGCAAACTGTGGGCTGTCTTGATTTTAACTATTTGAAATAAAGTCTTTTTCCTGTACAACCGTCCATGTATATTGAATTCACTGAAAAGCTGCTTGCTGTTGTTCTGAGCAGTACATAACTGCTCCCTTTCTGTGAGTGCCATCCTAACTCCACTCATCCCTTTATATTTTTAAACAGTTTTACACTATGTTGTTTTTCTCATCTTTTTATCCTATAAGCATTTCCGACTGTGATCTTTCATTAAAGCATTGTTTTGTGCAAGTCAAAATATTAGAGCAAACACTATCATTAACTGAATTTCTGCACTTTATATTGTTCCACCCTTCCTTGTTTATATGTATACAAAGTCAGTCATTTGCACTTTTTTTAAATTACATTTTTGTTTGCTATTGCAATACATGTATTATTCAATAAGATTACATATTCATCTTACTCAATATATTAAATGGTTGTAGTGTATTTAAAGGCATAGCAGAACAATTTTACATGTATTGTAATTCTTTATTGGGTCTTTGCACTACATAAGGTTGTTGCTGCATCTATTCAATTGTCCGGTTTTAAAAATGTTCACACAAATAAGTGACATACATTCACTTTTGTATTCCACAATTTGTTACACTTCCCTATAACGGAGATTGACTAACTGGGGAACAAAGGGTGGAGCCGAAGTTGCATTTAAATTATGATGAGAGAGAACGCAGGAATCATCTGAGGATAGGGTGAAATGTGTGACTGCAGGATGCACTGAAGACAAAAACTGGACTTTTAAATATAAAGTGTTGATGTGACAATCTGTGTATGCTGTTTTTCTCACCAACTTGGCAAGCCACTTTCAATAGTTTCTATTGGTGTACATTATCAATATGTTCATCTGAAGACTAATCTGTGGACACACTTGATTTATAAAAGGTATTTGGAGTGACACTCATATATAGACACATCACCTGATTCTTTCTGGCAGCATTTAACAAGTGAGTGTATTTGCTTACCTTTATGTGGAATACTTGTGAAAAATGTATCTGCACTAGAAAGTGCTATTTTTATGCTTTCTTTTATAGACATCGCTGTGAGAAAGGTGAATGCTTCCTGCAAGCAACATCATGAAGGACCTTTAGGAAATATTATTATTTTTGAACAAGTGCAAAAGATTACGAACTAGTCCAAAAAGGTCCCAGATGTGTAAATAGGTTTTCAACTATTACCCTTTAATAACAATATATATGTAAAATTATATATATATATATATATAAATACGCCATGCATCTCCAGATAATCAGTACATAAAATAAGTGTGTGTGTGTATATATATATATATATATATATATATATATATATATATATATATATATATATATACACACACACACACACACACACACTTATTTTATGTACTGATTATCTGGAGATGCATGGCGTATTTATACACTAATTTTTGGGTGAAGTTCAAAAGTGGATAGCTGCTGAGGGGAATGCACTAAATAGTGAGTTTATTTAAAGAATCATAAATGTCTTTTGCAGCATTTTTAAAAAATGTACATGTCACTACTACTCTTGGTCTTAGTAAAGGCACTACCAATCCATATCGCTAGATTATTCAACTTGATCAAAACTTTGGTAAAAGGACCTGGGCAAGCACAGATAAACGATATGAACAAATTCTCATGTACCTTGAACGTCTAGAATACGCCACCTTAGGCTCTCCAGATGGTGTGGACTAAAACTTTCCTGAGGTTTTGTCAGCATTATGGGAGATGTATTCCACAACATCTGGAATGCTGAATTTTGCTTACCTCCCAAACCAGTACTCAAGGCATGCCTACCAGTCCAGAATTTAGGGATCACCCAGGTGTGCCTCGGGTGTTTTTAGAAAGGTAAACAAACAAAAACTAAAAACAAACACCTTGTCTAACTGAGTAATGCCTAAATCCCGGATTGGTAGGTTTGCCTTTAGGACTGGTTTGAAGTGTTGTTGCTTACCTTATCACAGTCAACCTTTATAATCAAGAAATGTCCAGTAATGAGCATTGTTTAATATTAGCGCGAATAATATCAATTTGTAATTATGATAAATCAATATTGTGCAGTGCAAAAATTGAAATTAAACTAATATGTGTTTGCAGCCGTGCAAGTAGTAAAAGGGCAAAAATCCTCCACACTAATACAGTGATAATTCAAAGAATAAGGAAAAGGATTCCCCAAAAATAGTCACAATAACTATTTAAAAGCTCATCCAAAGCCTATATGTGCGAAACCAAAGAATACAAAAAAAAATATATAAACAAATATAGAAATTTTAGGTACAACATTAAACACAGGGTTAAACGGACACACTCAATTTAGATGGATTGGACAAGAACTTCCTAACAATACGGCTGGAACGCAAACACAAACAGTGTTATGTGCCATCCGGCAGTGACGTCATTGTGAAGAAAGCAGATGGGCTGATTTAACAGACAGAATGAAAGAATCAAAACACGTAAGTGATTTCAGACGCAGAGGTCAAGGAGCGGAAGGTGTTTGTCTGGATCTGAACCAAACTGAGTATTTAAACACGGAGGACTGAATGTACTGATACAGACTGTGGACGCCAGAAAAGATTGGTTAAAAGAACCTCATCTGAATCTTTCAGATAAGAATTGGCAAAAAGCTTTGTTGTTTGAGTTTTGAGTTGCACAGCTGTTATCAATGCAAGGATGCAATAACAAAGTACTCTCAATGTAGAATATCACATCAATTGACCTGTACAGAATGACACCCCAACATTTGGACTTGTGTTGGAAAAGTGACATTGTTAAAGGGTAGCTAATACACTTTTACATAGGCTGAAAAGAGACATGCATCCATTAAGTTCAGCCTTTCTCACATCTGTTTTTGCTGATCTAAAAGAAAGCAAAAAAACAACAAAAATAAAACAACACAGTTTGAAGCACTTTCCAATTTTGCAACAAACTAGGAAAAATCCTACTTGACATCAGAATGGATGTCAGATCTCTCCTTGGACCAATAAGCTGTTACCATTTGTTGGACTTGTACCAGTACTACACTAAAACAAGAAGAGTAACATCTTTCATTCATATGATTAGCCATACTAAAACAATGTCCAACCAAAAATAATGTAATTTCATCATACTCAATTCTCTTTGAAAAATATAAATAATTTCTGGAAGCACATTTACGTAACACAGCATCTGCTCATTTGTATTTTTTTTAACCATCTCTTTATTTGAATATTTGTATATTTAGCATAAATGTAATGTCTATACTTAAAAAAAGTATTCAAAGATATCACATTTCTGACCTATGCTGAAAAGAAAAACAAAGAAAAAGAAAACCATTGAAACATTAAAACAAATAAAATACTTACCCGTGACAGGCTATGAAGTTTGGCTAGCATCTTCTTTAACCCTGTCCTGGAAGGATTTGTTATCAGAACAAATTACAGGGGTTGCTGGCTGAGGCACATAGACCAACAACTCATGTACCAAAGATTTCACAAAGATATTGGACAAGGACATAACTTAACAGTCGTAACCTAGAGATATCCAGCACACGGGCCGCATGATGAAGGCCCCCATTAGAACATAATGTAATATTCTACTACAGTAATCTTGCTTTCCCAATTTGATTTTATCAGATTCATAGTAGGGGAGACAGCCTAATACACATTTGTGTTTGCTCTAAATGGTTGCCTTTTTGGAAAGAGTAGCAATGCTGCCCATGTAGCAGTATATACTTCCTCCTATGAAGCTGTGATTTCTCTCTTTGACATGGAGCCTTCGATCCTCCATATAAATGTACCCTGCCCATGTGCCAGTGTAATGTTTGCCCTGTAAATTACTTGAATGGACTGATCCTGGGAGTAGATATGATAATATGGATAATAGAGAATACCATTGCTCATTAGCTAATCGAATACAACATGATGCAGTTATTGGATTGTGCTCTATTATAAATTGCAGTTCTTACTCAAAGGTCTGTAGATATTGCATCTTGTAGAAAAGCAGGTAAAATCACTTGACCTTCAACAAGATACAAAGATCAGTGTAATAGCAAAAAATACCTCCTCGCTATACAAATAAAGTATAATAGTAAAATAAGTGAAAACAGGATAACAGTAATTTCAACTCTCCACTTACCGAGTGAGATGAGCAGCGGGGGATTCTCCATATCCTCCTTGTAGAGCTCGTTATGTTCTTCAATGTTATCAAAACCCTAAACCGTGAAAATAAACAGTAGAACAATATTATGTTATTACTCATTGCTTGCTTGATTTTGTCTATTGTGTAGTTTCTGGCAATGTGCTCACCTCTCTGGTTAACAGTGAAATGATCCTGCCTGTGAGTGTTAGGATTTGCTTCTCATTGTTTCTTAATTGCAGCAGTGAGTTAGGGGGAGGTTCCATACAGATTCTCTGGGTCTTCTTAGACTCATCTGACACACGGGAACTGTTATCTGTGACAAACTCACTTGTTTTCTTCACAATAATATAATCCTAAATGAGGAGAAACACTAAGAAACATTCCTACAGAAAGCACATTACTTTCTTTCACCATATGTATTGAAAATATGAAGGCAGATGTTTGGGTGTATAAACATTTCAGGTCTTAAGAACATTAAGACAAACTATGAAGAAGTCTGTGTTCCTTTAAGGATAAGAGGGTGCAGTAAAGGTTTGGAGAGTGCATATACATTTACAGAATATAGTAACTTTCTGTGGAATGCAAAAAGCTACAAAAGATTTTGAGTACATGTTGTACATTTATTGGTTACCCCTACTGACTTTATTATTTGGAATGCAAAAAGCTATCCTACAGCAGGTGAAACTATACATTCAACATGATAAGCCAAAATATAGTTTAAATGGACACTACCACCACCTGTTTTTTTGTTAAATTATTTTAATCTTTTAAACAATATTTCGATATGAATAGTGTACCCTATTCCAACCCCCGAATTAACTCACTTTCTACCCATCCTTCCTCCACCTATTTTCATTTACTCAGCCTGTTCCTTACTCCCCTCCTAATTCAACCTCCTTATTCTCCCATCCTCCATTTCTACCTCATTCAATCTCTCCTTACAATGCTTTTGCCTAATGACATCTACACATTTGCTCCCTCTTCACTCCTATTGCTATTAAATATCCCTTTCATCTGTCTTCCCTTCTTTATTCCATCTACCATTTTCTCTTCTCATTCAAATTTTCTTTATCCATTATTACTCATTCCATATCTCCACATGTCATTCCATTTCCTACTACCATGGACCCTTTACTATTCATCTTCTAATCCCTCTTCCACCTCTCACACAGATGGTATGCCACTCCAAAAGGTGCAGTTCTAAGTTGAAGGGATTTTTCCCTACACACACACACCAGGATAATATATTGTGAAGTAGCCTGAAGTCTGTATTTGCATCGTATTTTCTATGAATACTGCACATACAGAGTTTAATCCCTGAGATTTCACCTTTGGCAGTGTTTTTGGTGTGTCAGCCAATCCGGAACTAGCGTTGTGGGCTGGCTAATGTAAACTCTGTGAAACTTTCGATGCACAGAATGTCAATGAATGGTGATGGGGTGATGGCCGTGGCTTTACGTTTTTGCAGGTGAGCAGAAGCTGGAAGGGCATCACAGGATCACAAGGGAGTATCGTAGCCTGGTGTGGACCCAGATAAAAATACAAACTGTTGCTAATTGGTTTGCCCAATTACCTGGGAACTGGGCCAAAGTATTCCTGCATTCATAACCACTTAAAAGGGACACTATAGTCGCCAGAACAACTACAGATTTGTTCTGGTGAGTTTAAATCATTTCCTTCAGGCTTTTTTGCAGTAAACACAGTTTTTTCAGAAAAAAGGCAGTGTTTACATTACTGTTTAGGGAAACCTCCACTGGCCACTCCTCTGATGGCTACTGGAGGTGCTTCCTGGGGCAGTGCTGCACAATGCTGAATGCCAGTGCTTCCTGGGGCACTGCCATTAAGTTTTTCCACCCTCTGCATGGAGACACTGAACGTTCCTCATGGATATGCACTGGCTCTGCCCCGATCTGCCTCCATGAATGTCTCGGCCAACCCATTGCTTTCTTATGGGAAAGCATTGTGATTTGCTCAGATCAACACCTCTGATGATGTCAGCCAAGCAGGCAGATCAGGATCAGAGCCAGCAGCAGCAGAGTGCAATAAAAGGATTTGACTATATTTAGAGGGCATGGGGAGCGAGACTGTATTTTTAACACTATAGGGTCAGGAATACATGTTCTTGTTCCTGACCCTATAGTGTTCCTTTAAGTTGTAGTTGCTATGTCGATTGAAGTAACCCGATAATGTTGATGTTAAAAAGGTACACTTTCAAAGCACCAAAATCGCTACATTTCTTTGTATCATCATGCACACCGCTAAGGCTAAGGCAGGGGTCCTCAAACTGTGGCCCTCCAGATGTTGCTGAACTACAACTCCCATGATTCTTTTAATTACATAGATATCCAGAGAATCATGGGAGTTGTCGTTCAGCAACTTCTGGAGGGCCACAGTTTGAGGACCCCTTGGCTAAGGCATCATACAGAGAATCAATGGATTAAATACTTTGTTATAAAATGCATCAAACTGACCATGTGGTCTATGAAAAGAATTGGATTAAAGTTAATATAATTGATGACTTCACTGGATACTTTTTAATGAGGAGAGGGGGCATAATCTCACAATAAGGAGAACAACTAATTAAATAAAATAAAAAGTGGTAGTGTCCTTTTAACATGTTTTTTTGTGGTGTAGGATTCTAGGAAGGTTACTTAAAAGATAAAAAATTCCCTTGAATGGAGATGGACCACTAAAGCACTTCTGCTTGCTAAAATGCATTTTTAATTTTACAAAAATTACAGATTTCAATAGAAGTTTGCACTTTTATAAAATTACCTTGTTACACCCCCTTGGCTGTCAATAAGACAACAGGCCCAGTTACTTCCTGGCTGTTTAGCTCAACTGAGCTGCATTGGAAGTATGTAATTGGACTGCTACAGAAAATATGGGAAAGGCAAGGGCTTGCAGACTGTTTTTTAATATACCCCTAATGTAAAATGTATAACTAGATGCATGCATGTTTTCATTGGAGGTATATCTAATAAACAGTGATTTTTATATTTTTTTGTATTTTGGGTAGTGGAATGGAATGAGGACTATCCTGGCAAATAAGGGTTTGGCACTTATAACTCACAGTGGTGACTGTGACAAATTCCAGGCCAAACCCCCCACCCTAAAATATAAAACCGTTGATCTCTCTAAGGGGGCGTGTAGTTTACCAGAATCTTAAATATTTCCAAATGTAAATTCTAGTACTGCAAATAAGCAGGTGATATTACATCTGTCTTTTGTTCCTATGGACAATCTTTCTTCATTATTAAAGAGAGATAGACTTCAAAAAGTAGGGCAGCCCATGAAATTTCACTTTGCTATTTCATTAAAATAAAGTTAAAAGTTATACTTTTTGGTCCTTCAAAGGAACACTGCAGTGTTAGAAATACATATCTACGCTACAGTTCTGGTGTCCCTTACTCTTCCGCCCCCCACCCCTCCATCGTGAACGAAGAAATACATTTTTTTTTTTAAACCTATGCTCCAGTGCAGAATCTCTCTCGGTGCTGCTGTGACCTTCTCCTCAAGTTGTGCCTTCAGGATCGTGGGTCAAACTAATGCTCATCATAGAGGAGCATTGAAGAACAAAGGCACATGCGTGGTGCTCGCTCAGCTGCACCTACGGTTCCTCCATAGTGAATCACTGTATTCAGTAATTCTCTGTGGCTGGCCGTGATGTTACTGCACATGCACGTGTGACATCACTGATGTTAGTGGCAAGTAGGATTCCCGGCTCTTGTACCCAGAGGACTTTGAGACATGGCTTGAAGCCACACTTCTAAGCCTACTAATTAGTCTTAATATTGAGTTTTGTGGGGGATGGGGGGTTGGCAGGACTGCAGGCACTGTAACAACTTCAGTAAGATCAAGTTGTTAAAGTGCCTAGCGTGTCCCTTTAAGCATTTTCAATTTTCTCTTATATTACCCTGTTTTTAATCGAGCAGACTGTGACAATGTCACTTTCCATAAGCTGGTTTAAAAAAAGTGGTCCCAACATATTATTTTCATCTAACCAAGCTATAATAAGTTCAACTGTAATTACCACTCGAAGATCTGACAGTGTTTCAATGTGGAGATGGTCATCTTTGCATCACAATTTTCAAATCCTCAGTGACAGTTACTGATAAAAAAAACAAAACAAAACGAAAAAAAAGAATGCAGAGAGCACGTGATAACAGCAGCCAATCAAAATCTGTGATTTGCTGAGTAGCTCCCAGCATCCCACTGTGCAGGGGAAGAAGAAACGGTTCTTTAGAACTCTCTGATGGAACAGTGTACCCACCATATTTATGCAATATAAAAAAAGAATTTAAAAAAAAACCATGACTAATCCATATGTGTGTGGGTTATTGTTGCCTTGGATTGAGGACAGAGATTCAGTTATATACAAAATGGCATATTTTCTTAAGGCACACTAATTGTGTAGAATTGTGTATGTATGCGTAAATTGTGTTTGATCATTAAGATCACCCTGAAATTTCCTCTCAATTTTATTACGTTCTGGGATATAGATGTTATGACTATATTAAGGTCATCATTTTATTGTTTGAGGACAATCAGGAACTGCAATTGGTGGATGGGCTAAATGAGCGATCTGCACAAAAATTAGGCGACAGGATACACTGCCATTTTCATTTCAAGTGGCTTGTAACGAATACAACAAGAATTAAGGTCTAACATTAAAATAATTCTTACCTCTCCAGTCAGAAGGAAGATTATCTCAAGAGTAATATTCAACACCTCCTTGCTCATTAAACTATTTTCCTTGTTCATCATTAGCTAAAACCCCTGGTAGCAATCCTGAAAATGACTGTTCAGGATATGATGTTCTGGTTTTTTCCACAAAACAACCTAAGAAAAAAATAAAATACATAAGCAAATTTCAATGTAGAATCTTTAGTAGTAATCGTCAGTAAGCATGTAGCACAATAGCGCAAGCTATAAAGAAATCCTTAACCCTTCACCACTGAAGCAGTGACCCCCACTACAAATTTAGTATTTCAGAAAACATCAAATCTTTATGAAACACTCACATTGACGGTGTTGAAATTTCACTGAAACTTTATCTTCCCTATATATAGGGTTACAATTATAAAACATAAGCACCTGGAAGTATCATGAGAATCCACAAAAATAGTCAACGTGTTTTGTAACTATATAATCTCCAGACTAAACAGTTACCAGGAATGTGTATAAAGTGTAGTATGCCTGCTATCAATTTATTGTGCTGTTCCAAACACCTTATGTGAAGACTGAAACGGAGGTTGGGGTTAAACAACTCATCCAGTAAAATCCTGCAGGATAGTAGTTTACAGTATCATATAAACCTCCATAGACAGGAATGAGACTCTCCTGACGATGCTTGTGTGGGACTGATCTGCCAGCAACTGCCCACAACACTAAATTCAATGACGGAGATTTTGCAGACATGCAACTTTTTTATTTTATTTCATCTTTTAAAATACTTTTAAATGCATTATCTATAATATATATTAAAAGACATCAGGTCATCTAAAAAATAATAATAATTTACAAGACAATCCTTTTAACTTCAGTTGATGTACACCATACATTGATGGAGAAGTTCAGTGACTGTTATATCCGGAAAAGGCAATTTTGACTTTTAGCAAATTAAAGCTGCTTTGTCACAGTCATAATTTGCAAAAACCCACCATCACTGCTGAGGGTCTGCTGGCTGGCTATGGGGGTGTAGGGTTTTACCTGACCTTGTCCCTCTCAGGCGCCACCATACTCTTCAGCTGCTGGCTCTTCATTTGCCAGGAGCAGACGTCAGCGCTGTACTCTTTGTGGTCTATGAAGAATCAGCTATGGAGTACAGCACTGAGTTCTATGAAGGATCTTGCGGGATCCTCCATAGATCTCAGTGCTTACTCCATAGCTGTAAGAGCTTTTTTTTCCCCTATTGTCGTTACTGGTGACAGGTGGGGGAAACAACAAGCTTGACAAAAGGTAACTCCCCCCCGTGTCTAGCGTAGGAAAAATACTGTGAGGTCATCCCTACTTTGTTTCAGTATAGGTTTTAATTGGGTTGGAAATTCAATGAAATTCCAACGCAGTCAATCTGGGTATCTCAAAGATTTTATGTTTATGAAATACTCATTTTAGAGTGGGGCACTAGACACTACTTCTCAATGATGTGGGACTGAGTACCATGTCCCTGTCTGTTTAACCCTGCAGTTGAAAACATTGCCTTTATGAACACAGTGCAGTGTTAAGATGCCTCTAGTGGCTGTCTTCTAGATAGTCACTGTAGGCGCTTTGGCCCCAATAGCCGAGTTAAAGGGACATTATAAGACCCAAAACAACTTTAGCTCAATGAAGCAGTTTTGGTGGGTAGATTATGACCCTGCAGTCTCAATACTCAATTATTGCCGTTTATTATCTGTGATTCACACAGCCTGCATGGAACATTTTATTTTCGAGCAGATATTAACTTGCATTAGAAGTTTTTATCTCCTCCTCTGTAAATTGAAGTTTAATCACACACATGGCACCTGCAGGGTCGAGGAGGCTATTAGATTAGGAGATAAGATATTGCAAATTAAACAGAATGTGCATTAAGGAAGTATAAACATTAGATCTCAGTTTACAGAAAGTGTTTATGAAAGCTGTGCAAGTCACATGTAGGGTGACTACAGCTGCATAAAGTGATTTAACTCCTAAATGGCAGAGAAATAAGCAAGGAGACTGCATGGATATGATCAATACACCAACACTGCTCCATTAAGCTAAAGCTATTTTGGTGCCTACAGAGGTCTTTAACTAGGCTATTCAATCAGTTGGTCGCATGAATTATTTGATTAGCGCGACAGAGCATTTTGCTGCTCATACACACTAGCTTACGGGGAAACACTTAATTGGCAGGTTTTTTTTATCTACACCAGGGGTGGGGAACCTTCAGCCCTCCAGATGTTTTGGACTACATCTCCCATAATGCTCTTACAGCCATAATGCTGGCAAAGCATCAAGAGAGATGTAGTCCAAAACATCTGGAGGGCGGAAGGTTCATCACCCCTGATCTACACTAATGATCTCAGCCAAAGAAGCGGGAAGCGTAATTGCAGATACCAACATGGCGAGAACTGAAAGTTAAGTAAACCCTGAATTTTAAAACGCTTACATGCAAGACGGGGTGTGGTCAGGATACTATAGCATCAGTCTATACTCAGTACCCTAACACCAGATTTTTTTTAAACATGTTTTTTTCTTCTTTTATATAAATTTGCAAACTGAAATATCACATTGACAGAAGTATTTAAGTCCTTTGCAATGACACTTGATGTTTACCTTAGCTGAATTCCATTTCTCTGGATCATCTTTCAGAAGTTTCTACTCTTTGACACGAGTCCACCTGTGACAAAATCAATTGATTGGAGATGATTTGAAAAGGCACACACCTGTCTATTTAAAGTCTCACAGCCGTAAATGCATAACGGAGCAAAAACCAAGCCATTAAGTCAAAGGAAGACAGATAGAAGACTCAGAACCCAATGGTCACTCTGGGTGAGCTCCAGAGATCATCTGTGGAGATGGGAGAAACTTGGGGGAAGGGAAACCATCAATGCAACATTCCACTGATCTGGATTTCATGGCAGACTGGCCATTCAAAAAAATCTCTCCTAACTACAAGACACATGGCAACCTACATGAAATTTGCCAAAAAGCAGCTAAAGATTATTTGGTCTGATGAAATGAAAACTATCATGTCTGTAGGAAACCAGACATAACACCCACCAACACTCCTTACCCAACCTGACATAGCTTGAGAAATGAAAGGCAGAAACTAGCCAAGGTGTGCAAAGCTTGTCACATCATACCAAAATTAATCAACGCTGTAATTGCTGCCTACAGTGTTATGTACTTAGTTAAGGGCCTGAACACTTATCTCAATGTGATATTTCAATATTTATTTATTTTTTAAGCATACTTGCAATGGTTAAAAATATAAATAAAACAAATTTATTTTTTGTTTTTTCCCCTTGTTATTATAGGTTATTGACTTTTGGGGTCTGAATACACTGTACATTTTATGAATAATTTATCTACAGTTCATCTGTCAACTACAGAAAGCTACATTGTGAGTAGAAAACTAAAAGATTGTGGTGCATAGGAGGGAGAGTTTCAGATAAGCATATCTCTGTTCCCCTTCTCCCCCTTGGAGCTACCATGCAAGCAGACATATCACAGACACCACAACTAGGCACAATAACATTACATTTCATTGAGTCCATTGGCATTGGCCCTCCATTCAGTGTTAGACCATTTTTGAACAGTTTAACCCCTTAAGAAGGAAATTATCCCATCATGGTTGTCCTTCCCTTAAAGGTTTACTCTAGCCACCATGGCCACTTCAGTAATTTGAAGTGGTCATGTTGGTAGGATTCTGGATGTGCAGTGCTTCAGTGTAATAACAGGGTACATCCAAGGATATTTCTAATTTGTGCTGGGGGCTAGTTGTTCCCCCAACACACATGCCATTGGCAGACCAGAACTCTATTCAATGTCAATTCTGTGCATAAAATACATCTGCTGTTGGCACACACTTCACGCTGCCTGCAAGGGGAAGCAAGGTCTCCCCTCTTACTCTCCTTAATTATAACCCCCCCAAGCTCCCTATCCCATGCAATATTTTACATTTCCCCACCCATTCCTCCTCCTCTTTCTACTTTCCCTCATTCTCTCTCGGGCTCAGCGAGCGTGCATGCGCTATGAGCCTGTTAAATGGTACAATCAAAGACTTCTCTAAGAGAACCCTTTTATTGGTCCTTGGTGTGGCTCTCGTGACGTCAAACGGAGCATGCTGAAAGCTTTACCCGGTCCTAGATGGAGGTGACTAAAAACTTCATTTATTAGACCGCTTTTCTTTTTCTCTTTAAGTGTTTGGGAGGTGAGTGGATCCTGTTGACTAATGCCAGTTGGAAAAACCCTTTAAGGCATTTTACCAGAGACTTTAACAGAGGCTCCTCTAGATTATCTGTGGTCAGAACTGGTGGCCCCAAACTGACCAATGTTGCAATACATTATATATTGTAAAAGATATTATTTTATCAAGCTTTGGCACATGATTATAAATTGAATGCACAGCTTGCAATTTTCTGCTGTGTCGGTCCACCATATAAAAAAAAATGCAATGAATGCTGAATCCCAAAAGTAAGTGAAGATCCCTCTTCTGTGAATATTAAACTATTTACACTGTCTGGCAATACTTTTCCATGGCTGTCCATCAGGTAGAAAAATAACAACAACAAAAAAATATATGTAAAAAAAGCAAACAAACAATGAGCACTGTAAAATGAGCAGAGTGTGAATAGCTTATCTGGATGATACTCAGCGATGTCCTTTCGTTTAATAACACACATCCAATCACTGGCTATAAAACTGCAGCACATTATAATGAGATATCGCAATGTGTTATCGACTAATCAGATGATTACAGGGAGCTGTCCGGGGAATGACCCAGGGATCCTGCCCGGAGAGCTCGGAGGCTGGCCGAGGATGACTAGGCCATGAGGCACAGCTTCATTAATACATGCCCCAATACAGCGTTAACTTAATAAAGGGGGAGAGGGAAAAAAAAAAAAACAACAAAACGGATTTTCCCATAAAATACATACCAACTGCCCTAAATTCCCCGGGACAGTCCCAATGTTAATAAAAAAATTTTTTTTTTTTTTTTTTTTAAATTGTTGCCCCGTTTCTTCCGTGTCCCAACGCTTGGCCCAATTTGTAGGCGGTTTACCTGCCGCGCAGGCGCAGATAAAAAAAAAAAAAAAAGAAGATCCGAGAGCACAGGCGCAGAGTACAAAATACGCATGCGCGCAGTAAGACGCTCGCGCATGGTGGTGCTGGGGAAGTAGCATCTGCGTGTGCACGCGCCTTTCGGACAAGGAGACTAATAAAGTTGCTGTGGCGGGCATGCGCAGTTCATTATAACGAGGGCTTTCTGCCCATAAGTTCAACTGCGCATGCGTGGACAAATATGCCCAGTAGTGTCTGGGGGTACCTGTGAATGAAGTCGAGGCTTGATACGCAGGTTTCGGAAATGCACTGGAGCGGAAACCCCAGATTTTCCAGGTTGCTAACTTCCGGTTTAAAGCCTTAACGTAGCGCACGAAAAATCGTACTTGAGGTTGGTGATCCATTTCTCCCTGTTTTTATTTGCTATTATTGGGACAGTGGGATGTGACTTGGTTTGACAGCTTGATTTAACTGTATTCACATCACCGAGGCCTTAGCTAATCACACCTGTTAATCAAAGGGTTATCACACAGGTCTGATTATTCAGGTTTTCTTTCCCTTTTTGTTAAAAAAAAAGTGCAAATGTTGATAGTTATAATCTGGAATATTCTGGAAAATTATGAAATTTCTCAACAGAGCAAATTATGTTTAAAGGCATCCCTGTTAAAATATGATTCTTTGGGGAAAAAAATGTTTTAAGTTCACACAACAGAGCTAGGGAAAACATTGACAGGGTTATTCACTAAACAAAATCCAGTTAAAATCACTGATTTCTGACTGCAATGACAATTCTTAGATTTTCTAAAGTGAAATACAGTTGGAATCTGCAGCAATCGCCGAATGCATTCTGGGTTTGGATTAAAATCAGTTCTTTTATATCCGAACACTATACCAAATATAGAATTCAGAATATCTACAAAGCACCGATTTTTAATCAAATACATAATCTCAACTACTTGCTTATTTCAAGTACTATTTGCCCACTTTCAGTTCGTACCCAGCAGGCAATTATTTTAAAAACCTGCGGTAATAAGAGGGTTGACTATGTGACAGCAGGCTTTACTTTAAAGAGACTCATAGTTGCCAGAACTACTGCTTAATGCAGTTCTGGTATCTACAGCCTGTCTCTGCAGGCTTTTTAATGTAAACATAATTTTCAGAGAAAAGGCAGTGTTTACATTACCAGCTAGGAACAGGTCTAGTGCCAGCCACTCAGATGTCCACTAGAGGTGCTTCCTGGGTCAGTGAAGCACTGAAGTTCACTGTCTTCATGTTCTGCATGTAGATGCCGAACGCTCCGCAATGCATCTCTGAGGTTTTGTCACACATGTGCAATAACCTTCCAGTTGGATTGGCTGAGATTGTCAAATTGGATGCTGATATCAGCTAAGGAAGCAGGTTGGGACCAGCTGCAAAGAGACCCCCACAACGCAAAAAAAAAAAAAGAGTAAAATTACCTTTTTGACATAAAGGGGGCTGGCCACCTAAAGAGCACATTTAGAACTATAGTGTCAGGGATACAGGTTTATATAACAATGTTTAAAATAAAAACCCAAAACTAGGTCAATATTATAAGGAAGACTTTTAAATCTCCCTATGCCCCCAGCTAACGTGGGCCTGTTTTGGTAATTGTATACAAACTGGGCAGCCAAACTGGTGCCAGTAAAATAACGGGAGGGTGAGGCGTAGACCCCCCTACCTGTGCCCACACCCATGTGCGTGAACTGGACAGAAGCAGCTGGAACCATAAAAAAAAAAAACAGGTATGGCATCCTAGTGTCATGCGCCCCCCCATTTTATTCCAGGGGACCTAATGTGCCCAGATGGCCGCTGTAATAATAGTATACTGGGGGAGGGGGGAGTTTACCACCCCTTAAAATAAGTGAACCCTACCTACCCTCCTTAGCCTAATAATAGTGAGGTGGCAGAGGGCCATTAAAACTAAAACCTGTAAGATAAAAAAAAAAATGCTTACTGTCTTCTTTGTTGTAATTTTTCTTCAGGCCCAAAATAGGCACACAAAAAAGCCTAATAGCACAAAGCAATTCTTGGAAAAAAAAAATTTTTTTTTTTTTTTTTTTTTATTTGCGGAAACCAGACTGAAAGGCTTGAAAGCGGGGAAAGCCTTCATCAAGACTTTCCCATACTTTTAATTTTCACAGGAAATTTTCACTTTTCTCGATATTTGCCATGGTTGGGGACTGGGGTGGTATATTATTGGAGCCCTATGCCTATCCCACCACCTATGGGTAGGGGGTAGAAATATTAGGGTTGTCCCCTGAAAGGCTTAAAATGTTATCCTACACAAGGCTAGTGGTACCTTGGCTAACTAACCGCCCCAGTGATCGGTCCATACACCAGTACCTTGTGTTTTATTTTTTATTTTTTTATTTTGCTATTAGGCAGTAATAGCAGGTGGGGGCATAAGAAGGGTAAAAACACTATAGTCACCTAAATTATTTTAGCTAAATAAAGCAGGTTTAGTGTATAGATCATTCCCCTGCAATTTCACTGCTCAATTCACTGTCATTTAGGAGTTAAATCACTTTGGTTCTGTTTATGCAGCCCTAGCCACACCTCCCCTAGCTATGATTGACAGAGCCTGCATGAAAAAAAAACTGGTTTCTCTTTCAAACAGATGTAATTTACCTTAAATAATTGTATCTCAATCTCTAAATTGAACTTTAATCACATACAGGAGTCTCTTGCAGGGTCTAGCAAGCTATTAACATAGCAGGGGATAAGAAAATCTTAATTAAACAGAACTTGCAATAAAGAAAGCCTAAATAGGGCTCTCTTTACAGGAAGTTTTTATGGAAGGCTGTGCAAGTCACATGCAGGGAGGTGTGACTAGGGTTTATAAACAAAGGTATTTAACTCCTAAATGACAGAGGATTGAGCAGTGAGGCTGCAGGGGCATGTTCTATACACCGAAACTGCTTCATTAAGCTAAAGTTGTTCAGGTGACTGTAGTGTCCCTTTAAACAAGTTACTAGAAATTCACAATATATGGGAGGTACTTGAGCTAGTGTTGCTCAATTATAACAATGCTACTTGTCAATACTGTTTCATATAACAACACATCTCGGCCTAAAAAGAAACTAAGTATATACTTTATCACCGTTTTGTTGATTACACAAGTGTCTCTGAACATAGTAGAAATAATCACATTCTGCAGCTATATATTGTACCTTAAGAACACTCCCTTTCTCAGGCTATTGTGCCCTGCCTCTGTAGGAAAATTAATTGGTATGTTAGCTACATACGTAGTACTTCTCAGTGACTCAGCCAGAACATGTACTATCTTCCTGAAATATATATGGTTATAATGCTTGTACCAATTCTGAAATAAGGTTTCCAACAAAGACCCCAAATATCTATTTATCACTATAAAATCAGCATTCTCAAAATAAAACACAGTGATGAAAAATGAGTGGAGATAGTTATCCAGTTATAAGAGAGGCGAGGTCAGCTAAACTGTTACCACTGGCATGGAAAATTACTCTCCATGCTTATGGGATATCCCCATGTCATGTGCAAACTAATTATCACAATCCCCCTCCTCTAACTAAAGCTGTAAAGCACTAATTAAGAAAGGTTCAAAGCAGATCTGTAAATCAGAATTGTTGGCAGCAGAGACACACTAAACAGCAGTATCAAACGTGTAGCATAATGTTAGTGAGAATTAAATGCACAGAAGATAAACCTGTCCTATACTAATTTCATGGTTTTTAATTTCAAAGATAGGCACACCTCTTTACTCCTCTGCAACAATCACCTAACAGTGCCTCCTCCAGTGGGCAATTCTCTGCCAAGCTGTAACATCCCATCATTGAATAGCTTCCCATTGCAGTTGTCACTCACAGACATCACACATCTCCACCTAATTAAGGGGTGAGACTTCAATAATGATCTGTACATTACTAAATCTGTTTCCATACAATACATTTATATACCATTCCTTTCTTTCTTCAGATCTATCTATCTATCTGTATACACCACCCATGGGGTTTGGCACTCTTTTTTTTTTTTTTTAAATGTCCTAAGGAAAGTTTGTGAAATGAACTAAAACATTGACTTATTTGTATTTTATTTTTTTTGGATTAATTTCTGGATTAAATTACTCATTTTAAGAAAAAAAGTGCATTCGTTCCTTACTTCCGCCTTCCCTCATTGCCATAATTGCTGCTTTGCATTAGATTGTCCTTCAATTTCATGGTGGTTTATTAGCTAAGTGGTGAAATGTTCCTACATGAACATGTTACTTAACTATCATTACAACTATTTCTTACTTTATATAAAAATATTATCCTAACAGGATATCTCTGATACAGTGAGGGGGGAAAAAAGTATTTGATCCCTTGCTGATTTAGAACGTTTGTCTACTGACAGAAATAATCAGTCTATAATTTTAATGGTAGGTTTAATTTAACAGTGAGAGACAGAATAACAAAAAAAATTAATCCAGAAAAACGCATGTCAAAAAAGTTATAAATTGATTGATTTGCATGACAATGAGTGAAATAAGTATTTGATCCTCTATCAATCAGAAAGATTTCTGGCTCCCAGGTGTTTTTTATACAGGTAACAAACTAAGATTAGGAGTAGGGCTGAAACCTAAAATTCAAGATGCCTCTGGCCGAAAACCGAAACGAAAATGACTTTTTTTTTTTTTCCAACAAATGATTTAAAAAAAAATAAAAAAATTCTATAATTTTATTAATATTAAACATTTAAAGGAATTTATTGAATCTAATAGGAAAAACTACAAGCAAATAAAATAACCACACGTTTATTGAAAGTTACACACCAAAATTGGACAGAAAATAACTTAAAAAATATATAAATGGGGGCAGAGCTAGGTCCCGACATGAGCAGTCGCAGGTCCGCGGACCTCTGTGCTGGCGAGCTACAATTGCCCAAATAACGGCAGATCAGGGGACACCCCAACCCACTGCAAAGCCCACAGGTGCTTACTACAAGATGGGGAAGAGAATTAAAAAGCCGATATTAGAGATTTGCTGCGGAGACCGCATGTTGAGAGTAGGCCCAATATGCCGGCGGTCCTAGATGGCTTTTCAGACTCAGGAGACTCACTTCTCCACAGCATGGAAGATCTGGGCTATAAGGGCCCATCCAAGCCTTCTCCAATGAAAGAAGCCACCTCTCCTCCTGTCACAACTGCAATTCTCACCAGTCTGCTGGCAGATCTCAAGGAATCACTCTGCTGAAATCTCACAGGTGAGGGAAGATGTCCAGGGATTCACTGCATGCATAGCAGCAGTGGAACAGACCACAGACACACACAGATCACAGATATCAGAGCTGCAAAAACAGGTTCAGGACCTTACTTCAGCCCAAGCTCTCCTAAACCACCAACTGGAAGCACAGGAAGATAGAAGGTGAAAACACCTCAAGGTCAGGGGCATATCGGAAAGCATCACCATGGCAGAAATGCCTCATTTCAACCCACCTAAACAAGCAAAGGGCATAACACTCAAAGGTATGTTCCGTCTGCCTAAACCTCAGCCAAACTCGGCAACTGCTTCCAGCGATTTTTACTGGTACAATTTCAGAAGGGGCGAGATTAAGCTACTTTCCTGAACGCAACTAGAAAGAAGATACCGTACAGATTCGAAGAGATGAATCTTACTTTCTTCCCTGATCTCTCCCGTACCACCCTGTAGTGGAGAAAAACTCTCTGACCTCACACATCTTTCTTAACCACCAACGGTCTAAAGTACAGATGGGGATCTCCTCGCTTCCTTACTAAACCGCACCAGAACACGGAGTACAAGGTGTCAGATGCCTGCGAAATGGACGCTATTCTGTCTAAACTGGATCTCTGCATCAGCCCCCAGGCCACCACCATTACTATCTAGGATTCTGCTAAAATCGTTCCTTTTGTTCCTGTGACCCATGGTGCAGCGAATACATGACTTTTTTTTTTTTTTTTTTTAAGGGCATGCCCTATGTTTTTATGTAAATTTTTATGTTGGCTTTTTCACAGATGTTCTAACTTCACTACACCTGGTAAAGGTCACATGTTTTGGGACGACCTAAGCCAAGACCAGGAGAACTCCATTTAACACTAACCCCACCCCCCAGCTCCAGTCACTTTCCACACTGCACTAACCAATCATGTGGAGCTGTTGATCCTAACATGTTTTCCCAAATCTACCTTAACCTCTAATCTGTCACTTCAAATGTTCTATTATCTCAAATGTTTGCATACAACTAATGTTTACTCCTTAGAAAAACAAAAAAAACCTCAGTCTGACCAATTACTTTCATTACGATGGTCTTACGATGAACACCTCATTGTATTCCCTTAATTTTGATTACCACTGTAATCTTATTTGCCTGACTTGAACAAATATAAGAATTAAAAAAAAATGTATAAATAAAAATTACCAGATTTTACTAATTTCATGACGTAAAGTCATGATTTTATAAAGGACACGGAGGCGAGTATTGTGCTCTTTTTTTAATATACCTCAGCAGCAAAGAAAAAGAAATGCATAAACATAAACGAAATCAAACTGAGTACTCAAAGAGTTAACATAGTCTGTTATCCCAACCAATAGAAACAGTCCTTCTATCAATAACCACCCATGTGACCTTTCCTCTCCCTCTTTCTTTGGTCCTGCCGAAGCCGAACTGTAAAAACCTTGCGAAATGACTTGACCCATAACCGGTATGTCGTTATCTTCTCCATAACAAACGTGAAACATAAACCAAATGAACGGAGACGAGAACCGATCCTCCATGTCGTTGACGTGGAAACGTTACGCTGAAACAGGAGAGAAAAGAAATATGGTAATGTGTGGTCTAATAACTGCATGTTACATATGCCATACTATTCCTTATTATATCTGGCAACCTCTACAAATTATCATACCTGTTGTAGACTGCCTTATGTCACATGCTTGGAACACAGAATTCTAAACGTCATGTCAATCACCCTATAATTCTTATCACTTCAACTTACTGGGTGGGAGTCCGGAAATCCTGTTATCTAATACCAACCTCGCGGTACTTACCATGCCATCGCCGCGATCCTCCTCGGGTGGGCCAATACTCGCCTCCGTGTCCTTTATAAAATCATGACTTTACGTCATGAAATTAGTAAAATCTGGTAATTTTATTAAAGGACACGGAGGCTCATATTGTGCTAGTTTAAAGCTGAGCAATGAGTGAGGACGTGACATGTTCTGGAGGTCGAAAATAATATTCTTTAAAAGTTGACTCCCGCGACCAATCCGCCGTACGTAAAAGGTCTTCCAATCTACAACCTAAGGTAAATGCCTTGGTCGCTATGGCCCCCCTCGTGGAGTGTGCTTTGTACACAGAGGTATCAATATTTGCGGAGGCCATTACCCATTTTACCCATCTAGCTATCGTAACTGTCGATACTGGGTGATGCGGTGCTTTGATGGCTATAAATAGTTCATGCCTATTAGGGTCTCGTAACGCCCGTGTTCGTTCTTCATATTCTTTGAGACAAATTACAGGGCATAGATTTACATTATGAGGGAACGCTGGATAGGATACTGTCGAAATCGCTGTTTTTGTACGTCTGGAAATGTGAAACGTCACTCCTGATGGAGTGAATGAACGTGCGTCTACATCCAATGCCCGCACCTCGGATACTCTTTTGCATGATATCAAGCAGAAAAGCATTGCCAGTTTCGCTGATAGTTGTTTCAGCGTAAGATCAGAGTTCCGTGGCCATTGCTCTTGTAGGTTCAGGACTAAATTTACATCCCACGTGGATGTATATCTAGGTCGTGGTGGCCTTGCAAAATGAACACCTCGTAGGAGTCTGCATACCATTGCGTGTCTCCCTATCAGTGCACCTTCTAGCCCATGATGTCCTGCTGAAATCGCTGACATATAGCTGTTAATAGTCCGGTAGGCCAGACCTTGCTCGAATAAGGCTGTCAAGAAACGCAGAATGCTGGTTAAAGGGGCACAAACGGGATCCACTGGTTGTTCCATGCACCAACCACTCCAGACGTTCCATGCCCGTCTGTAGGACCTCCGAGTTCCCGGTGCCCAGGGCCCTGCCAATAGCTCCAACGTTGTCCGTGGAACCTCCGGCATGAATGAGAATCCCCGGAAAGGAGCCACGCTAGTAACCTGAGGTGTCCGTGCAGTACCAAAGGGTGCGAGTTCCCTTCCGGATCCGTCAATAGATGAGGGTCCGCTGGTAGCATTCTGGGGAGGTCGATAGACATCTCCATGAGTGACGGGAACCATGGTTGTGCCGTCCAAAATGGCGCGACCAACACTAAGGTCGTCTGCAAGCGGCCGAGGTGAACCAATGTCCGTGCCAGCAGAGCGGAAAGTGGGAAAGCATACAATCTCTTCCGCGGCCATTGTTGGAGGAATGCATCCGTAGCCACTGCATCCGGGTACAGTCTCCAGCTGAAGAACTCCGGTAGTTGTGTATTCAACAGAGACGCAAACAGATCCATGTGTAGCGGGCCCCACAACGTCTGCAGGCGCAGGAATATATCCCGCTTCAAGCGCCAATCGCTGTTGTCCCGTAGGTGTCTGGAATTCCAATCCGCTACTGTATTCGAGAGGCCCGGGATGTATTCGGCCTGCACTGAGATGTTGCGGTCCAGACAAAACTGCCAGAACTCCATGGCCAAATCCGCCAAGAGCTTGGATCTGGTGCCGCCCAGGCGGTTGATGTATTGCACTGCTGATATGTTGTCCATCCTTAGGACGATGGAACAATGTGTCCTGGTGCCCAGCAAGCTTTTCAGTGCGAATGATCCCGCCATAAGTTCCAAACCGTTGATATGCATCGACTTTTCCGACCGGGACCATCTTCCGCCTGTGGAAATATGCCCACAACGCGCTCCCCAGCCCAGCGTGCTGGCATCGGATTCTATTATGCAATCCGGGGCGTTGCCAAAAATCGCTTTCCCGTTCCATGCCGCCATGTGTTGCAACCACCAGTCGAGTTCCGCCTTGGCCGTGTGATCGATCGGCACGGAGTCTGCATAAGAGCGACCCAATTGTAGATGTGTGGTCTTTAACCTTTGTAGGGCCCTGTAGTGTAGAGGCCCGGGAAAGATCGCTGAATGGAGGCCGAGAGGAGTCCGATTATCCTGGCCAGTTGTCGCACCGTGAGTGTCGATCGACGTAGCGTCTTGTGGATCTCCTTTTTGATAACCTTGATCTTTCCCTACAGTAAATTCAGAGTCCCTTGGACTGCGTTGATAGTGAAACCCAGGAATGTGAGGGAATCAATACTGATTTTTCCCAATTGATGAGAAAACCGAGGTTGCGCAATAGTTGTATTGTCCATGATAAGTGTTGTCGGAGCATGCTTACCTCCTGCGCCATGATCAAGATATCGTCCAGGTAGACGATCATGCGCACTCCTCTGCCGCGAAGCAGCGCCACCGCCGGTTTCAAGAGCTTCGTAAAGCACCACGGGACGGACGACAGGCCGAACGGGAGACACCTGAACCTCCACACCTGGTCGTTCCACTGGAACTGGAGGAGGTGGTGACATTCTTCCGCTATGGGAACGGTAAGGTAGGCATCTTGGAGGTCCAATTTGACCATCCAGTCCGCCAGCCGGAGGAGATCCCGCAGACAATGGATTCCCTCCATTTTGAAGTGATGGTATCATACAAACGCATTGAGGGGGCGTAGGTTTATTACCGGTCTTACCCCGCCGCCCTTTTTGGGGACCAGGAAGAGATTGCTTAGGAAACCTGGGGAATGATACGCGACTCGATAAATCGCGCCCTTTTCCCTTAATGATCTGATTTCCTGGGACACGAGACTCCTGTCCGTCGGGGAAAAGACCATTGGTCGAGGGGCTGCTAGTTGGACTGGGGGTTGTACAAAGTCTATCTGATACCCCGCAACAGCGTTGAGAACCCAGGCATCGGACGTGAGTCCGTGCCACGCCCTGATAAAATGAGCTAGTCTGCCCCCTACAGCTGAAGCATAAATTCGGGAAGAAAAGAGGGTACTCACCATAAGGTCGTCGGCCGTATGTAGCGCCTCTGCGCCCCCTGGGTTGCCATCGCCAGCCCCGGACAGGGAAGAATGGTGAAGGATTCCTGACCTCTGGTGGCTGAAATCTGGGTGCAGGGGAGCCTCGGTAGCCCCGATAGGAGCCCCGTGATGACCGGCCGAACAGACGGCCCCATTGTCTGCCAGCCCCCCCAAAAACCTTTGGGGCGAACACCCGCTTTAAGTTTGTTTTGTGCCTTGTCCAGGGCTGTAAATGTACTAACATAGGTGCCCAACTCCTTGACAAAATTATCCCCAAAGAGGAGGCCCTTTGCCTGCGGTCCGGGTTCAGCAATAGCCATGTTGACCAGCTTCGGGTCAATTTTCATGAGTACCGCCTTTCGTCTCTCTGTACAGAGTGCTGCATTGGAGTTACCAATGAGACATATTGAGCGTTGCACCCACTCTCGGATTGCCAAGAGGTCCACAGGTGTGCCATTTGAAATCGTCTCTTCGACCATGTCGAAGATTTTTGCGCTGGGGCCCAGCGAGTCTAGCACCTTATCCTGACAATGGCGTAGTGAATAATCTAGGCCTTTTTTGGCTTTCCAGCCCGACCTTCCCAGAAACTGGACAATCTTTGGATCCAGTTCTGGCGTGGCGCACGCCAGATCAGGCACCGTTGGGCGTGGGCATTCGGCCCTCAACTTATTCCTAGTAGCCTTGTCTAGGGGTTTTCTAATTCTGGCTGCTATATACTGAGCCACGTGGTCCGCCGGGAACCACTCAGTCGACCTAGGATATTGCAGGTCGTCCGGGTTGAACAAAGGTTCCCCTTGCAGATAAAGGATAACGGAGTCATCCGTTTTGTCATGACCCTTAGTGGGCGGCCTGTCTGAAAAATTTCGTTCCGGAGAAGAGTTCTCCGAGTCTTGCGGGCCCATACCTTCAGACTCACTCAGTACCTCCTCTTGGTCCGAATCAGAGTCGGATATGTCTTTGCTGGCTTTCACCCATTTCCATGACCGCACCGCTTTTGCCCGGTGGGAGGCTCTCTTACGTGGGGGCCCCACGTCCTCATCAGTGACAGGGCGCAACCTGTCCGTCACAACTGTTTTGGAGGTGTGTTTGCCCATGTGATGGGTCTTTGCAGTAGCCTTGCGACCGCTCAGGGGAGCAGGCTCATCGTCTTGGGCCTTGGAGCTGTGGTCACCGGAGCTGTGGCCAGACGCCATGATGGCGTGGCTGATGGATTGGGTCAGGTTATCTGACATCGCCCCCATCGCCCTATAGATTGCTTGTGTGACCGTTTTTGCCATGGTCGCGTCAAGCAGGGAGTGGAACTCCTCTGAGTTCAATTGCTCTACCGACCCCATATCCTCCCTCTGAGAGGGAATAGGCTGCTTGTAGGTACAGTGGCCCGCTCCTGTTCTGTGGGGTGCTGCATGGCGAGGCTTATATAGAGGTATTGGGGAACACCCTATGGCAAATATGCAACTATTTATTGCTGGCCATTTAAGGCACCCTGTGTGGCATAAAACAGAAAATGTGACTGAAGGTGACACAACCACCAGCCTGTCCCTTTAAGGCCCAGGGGGAAATATCTAAGGGTTTCCTAACGCTCAGAGACTGCCACTGGCAGGTGTGAGGGCAAACAAGCTGTCAGCTTACCTAGTGTTCCCTCCGGAATGGTAGCAGAGGGGGGGACACTAGGGAGCTGACAGTTGCAGCCAACACCCACTCCGAACGCTCCCGCCCTTCAGGGGGCTGGGAGTGTCGGAGAAAGCGCGGGAACCAAGCCCGCCGAGAAACCGGCTTAGAAGCTGGCCGCCACGCTATGCGGCTGCAACCACGCATGCACGCGCCGACCCGGCTGAGATCAGCTGGGGAAGCCGCTGGTGATTGAAAACACGGGTAATAACCTACCCGACTGGGTGGGAGGGGGAGGGAGGGAAGGAGAGGAGATTTCCCTGAACGGGAAAGGGGACAGAGAGCCCAGACAGAGGAGCACTGGCCCCCCAGCCACTCCCCCAAAGCTACAGGAAAAAATAAGTGTACAAAGCAGAATAAATGACAGTAGGAAACAATAAGAGGAAATGAACCACAATCTAAAACATGGTAGCAAAACAAGTACAGCAAAGAAAAAATATTTTTCCAAGTGAATTAAACAAACAGTATGAACATAATTGAAGAGAGCTAAAATTAGGTGATACTTAGCTGAGGCAGCAGCAAAGAAAGAGGGAGAGGAAAGGTCACATGGGTGGTTATTGATAGAAGGACTGTTCCTATTGGTTGGGATAACAGACTGTTAACTCTTTGAGTACTCAGTTTGATTTCGTTAATGTTTATGCATTTCTTTTTCTTTGTTGCTGTGGTATATTAAAAAAAGAGCATAATACTCGCCTCCGTGTCCTTTAATAAAATCTGTTTCGTTATATAGGACTGAAGAATAATATTTATTTATATTTATTTATAAAATATTTTACCAGGAAAGATACATTGAGATTTCTCTCGTTTTCAAGTATGTCCTGGGTCCACAAATCATTGCATTGTTACATTAGGTACAACAAAATACAAAAACAATATTAATACATAATATATATACAAAATTTAACATAGAACAGGCAGGAAATATATAATCAACCATGACACGTGCATTCTGTTTTGAGGTATGTAGAGAGGGATCTCTTAAATGACTTTAGGCTTAGGGAAGATTTTAAATTGTGCGGGAGGTCGTTCCACAATTGCGGCGCTCTGTAGGAGAAGGAGGATCGGGCCGCTTTCTTTTTGTATTGAGGTAGACTAAGTAAAGTGCTTGTACTGGATCGGAGCTTATAGAAAGTGGGAACAGCTGGGGAAAGCATTTTGTTCAGGTAGGGTGGGAGTTTCCCAGAAAAGCTCTTAAAAACAAGGCTGGAAAGATGAAGGGTGCGTCTGGATTCCAGCGATAGCCAGTTTAGTTCCTTTAGCATGTCACAAATATATTGTTGATTATTAATTTAATATCAATATACATTCTTCATTCAGTTCTATGTAACAGAATCAGATTTAACAGATTTTATTTAAAAACATGTTTTTACCAACTATCCAAATAAAGTATAGTGCTAGAAAACTATTATATGCAAATCTATTAAGGGCTGGATATATTGCACTCGATTGGTAAGCATTACCAGTGCTCTATCTAATTACATTTCCAACTCCATTAAAGTCTATATGAAGTTGGAAATATAATCAGAGCATTAGTAAAGCTTACTAATCAAATATAATAGCCCTATGTCAAGTAATGAACTCAAACAGCAGCTCTAAGCAAGCATTTTGCAAGTACGAAAATTCTATTTATGCTTACACAATTTATGAAAAAAGACAAAACACAAAGGCGATGGGCCTCTATTCTGTTGTTTTATGTAAACTATTTCCAATTTAATTGAAAATTATTGTGCAAAACAGTGCAAGAAACCGCTGTAAAACCAACCTCAAACTGTAAACAGATGTAGCCTGAAGTCACAAACACATTTCTGCTGGGATAATGTAATGTTAATGTAAATAAAATAACTACACACATGACAAATTGGGCTGCTTTCTATTTAAGTAAGTAAAAGTGGCAGGTTTATTTTCAAGAACAAAAGTTGCTTAGCTTTCTCGCAGGGGAGATGGTTCCTCTTCTCATCAAGAACATGAGATGCTGCACTGAATAGTCTCTCACTCTCTGTGCTTGTGCTTGAGGCAGAGAGTGAGAGACACTGTGGTAGAGATTAACACAGTGGGGGAGTTTAAGCATGCGTGGGATAGGCATAAGACTATCTTAGACTTAAGATAAGGCCAGGGACTAATTAAAAGTATTTCGAAAAATACTGGGCAGACTAGATGGGCCGAATGGTTCTTATCTGCCGTAACATTCTATGTTTCTATATCTGCGTGCAATCCATGCAAGCAATGGAAAGCGATCTGTGTTCATGCGCCAGTAGTCAAGTGGATTGTCGCTTCTGGCGATGGGTAGTTCAGCGAGATAAATCTCCAGCTGTTGTGTAGCTGCGCTTCTTGTGGCACTGCTGTGAATTGGGGTGCTGCTTTTCTGTAGAATCTCGTCAAACATGTCAGAAAGTGAGGGAGTGTGCTCTTCATCACTTGTACGTCTTGACCGTTTCTCTGGCACACTTTTGTTCTGTGCTGCGCATCAAGTCTCCTTCAACAGATCCTTCCATCACCTTCAACTGTGCCTGTATCATTTCCTGTGCACGCTGCTTTTTGTCCACGTCGAAGTAATGTTCTTTGAATCAAGGATCTAGTACTGTTGCAATGCAGTACAGGGGGTTGGACTCAGTGTCTTGAAAGCATTTAACAGCCTCCAATAGAGTGCTTTTAACTGTTTTTACGTCGTGGTCTGTTTGCACCTCTTTTCCTAGCAGAGGCTTCAGTGTTGCAATCAAGGGAATAACTTCAGCAACAGATGCATTAGCTGAACTTATTTCCTTGGTTAACTGTTCAAATGGAGAAAGAAGAGACACAATATTTTCAATTAACATCCGCTGATTTGCACTGAACGTTGCTGGCAGTTCGTAATCTGCCATGTATGCAGCTAATACTCGCTTTTGTTCAAGTAGTCTTTCCAACATAAAGTACGTGCTGTTCCAGCGAGTGGCTACATCTTGCTGCAGTTGTTTGGTTGGCATTCCAAACTGTGCATGTAAACCTGAATAAGCAAGCGGAGAATGCTTAAAGTGACCCACAATTTTTCTCCCTTTGGCGGTTATATCTGATATGCTGCGCTGACTCAGCACTCCCTCATTCACAGCCAACTGCAGCGTGTGTGCCATGCACGGTATGCTATTGAGGCCACTGTCCTCCATAGTTCCGTGCATTATCTCGGACAATCAGATGCACTTTAGACTTGTCAATGTGCCAAGTTTGAAGCACGGTAGCTAAAGCCTCAGATATCGCTGCTGCAGTATGTGACCCAACAAACTCTTGTGCCTGAAGCAAAATTATTTGCAATTTAAAATCCGCGTCTATCCACTGCGCTGTTAAGCTGAGCATGCTAGCTGGACTTACATCTGAGCTCCAAATGTCAGTGGTAAAACTTAGAGTTGGGGTGTCTGTGGTCATGAGCTCATGAATGTGTTTTGAAACACGATCAAACATTTCAGGTAGACAGGTTTCTGCAAAATAACGTCTTCTTGGCATTGTGTAACGAGGCTCAATGTGTTGTATGAGCTTACGAAATCCAATGTCTTCCACAACAGAGAATGGCTGGCTGGTCATCTAAGGCAATAAATTCCATTATTTTCTCTGTAATGCCATGTGCTTTCGCACTATCGTTTGCAAATTTCTTAGTCTTTTCAAAGACTGTGGCGACAGATGGTGTTGGTGTGCTAGTAGTTTGGGTACTTTTAAAGGATTATGCCATCCTTGGGAGACCCTCACCCTCAGGGTCCCCCTCCCGTGGCGCTGAAGGGGTAAAAAAAAACCTTCAGCAGCTCACCTTAATCCAGCGCCGGCTCCCTCTGCGCTGGTGACCACTCGTCCCCGCCAGCTCCCAAGTGAAGCGGAATGCGCATGCGCAGCAAGATCCGCTCACACATTCCATCAGTCCATTTCTCAATGCTTTTACTATGGACGTTCTGCACGCTGGATGCGAATTTCGCATCCAGCGTCGCAGAAGCGTCTCTAGCAGCTGTCAGGAAGACAGCCACTAGAGGTTGGACTAACCCTGCTATGTAAACATAGCAGTTTCTTTGAAACTGCTATGTTTACATGTGAGGGGTAAAACCTGAGGGACCTGGCACCCAGACCACTTCATTGAGCTGAGGTGGTCTGGGTGACTATAGTGTCCATCTAAGCATTGTTTCTTTTCTGTACTCTTCATGCTGAATTGGATGTCATGTTTTCAGGTGGTGTATAAACCCTGTTGTGGAAAAGTGCTTCTGCACTGTACCCCTTCTTGATATTTCAGCTGAACAAAAACTGAAGACTGCAAATTTGCTGTGTCTTTGTCAGAAACTTTAAAATATGTCCACACCGCTGACATTGTAAAGTCACTGAAAGAGGACTATGCCTCAGCTATAGATTAAAAAAGTAGGAAAGTGACTAACTTAAAAATTTACTTTTTTTATTTTTATTTAGTTATAAAAAGGTACATAATAATATACACACAGTGCCACCCAAAGCTGCTAGTTTAAACTTAAATAATGGGGTAAAAGACCTTTAAAATATGATACGTGCATTAGGCTGATCTGGTTCATAATCATCTGTCTTTAGTGTGCACTGCACACTGGCAACTGACATAATTAGCTTCACCCCTGCAAGCAGAGCCTGCAAGGGTAAAGTTCGTGTAGCCCCTCCCGCCTCCCTATACCCTCTGCTATTGGTTTTCCAAATCATCCCTCCCCCTCACCTGCATTCTGAGATGGTAAGAAGGTCAAATCAGAGGCTTCTCTATGAGAAGCCTCTGATTGAACCTCACGTGACAGGCCCTGGCTAGATTAAGGTAAGGAAAAGCAAATTTTTATTGTTTATTACATAAATTAAAAAAAAAGTTCCTCAATTATTGCAAAACCCACTGATAAGGTTGGGGGAGTAGTGTTTCAGAATTCAGAGGATTATATACAGGAGATAAATAGTCAATAACAAGATAATGACACATATACTAAACTGAAAAAAGACCCTACTAGTGACATTAAACATATCAAATACATAGAAATATCAAATACTTTTGAATAAAGGTATGGATCTCAAAATCTTGGATAAAGGTGAAAAAAGTTTTAACAGTTGACGATCCCAGAATCCTTAAGTATATATATATATATATATATATATATATATATATATATATATATATATATATATATATATATATATATATATATATATATATATATATATATTTATATATATATATGAATTTTTGGAAGTATATAATTATATAAAGACCCCTTCAACCCTCCCGGTAGACCTATCATCATCTCTGGAATCTATTCTATTTTATCACCACTTTCCCAATATATAGATGCACACTTACAATCTTGGGTTAAGTCCTTTCTTTTTCCAAGACTCTATGAGTCTTTTAAATACTTTAGAGAATTTTAAATGGGAAGAAGACTGTTTTAATCACGTGTGACGTGACCAGCCTTTGCATAATCATTGAACACATGAAAGACTGTGGAGCCGTGGAATTTTTTCTTAAATAATCACATACCATTCTTGATGTAAAGTTCCAATTTATTTTGGTAGGTATTGACATGATTCTTAAAACAATTATTTTTGGTTTGGTAGAGAGTTGTTTTTTTGTTTCTTCTTTTTTTTCTTTAAAGTGGGAAGTACCCTGATGGGGACCAAGTTCGTGGCTAGCTGCGCAAATCTTTTTCTGGCATTCTAGGAGAAGAATTTTATTTACCAGAACCACCAGTTTGGCGCAAACTTGGTCCTCTATAGACGATACATAGATCATAATTTTTATTATTTGGAAGGGATCTATCGAGCTTTTAACTTATTTTATTTTTTTTTCCATTTTTTTATTTTGCATATTATTCAGGTTACAACAGATGCGCGGTATAGGCATAGTATATCACCAAACCATAAAAGACACACAATGTAGTATCAATGCCTCGTCTATGCAATACAAAGATATATTCATATATAATGTAACAAACATCTAACTGTCCCGAGGTCACTCTTCACAAGGACTTTAGCTTAAAGCGGCACTGTCATGCCGAACTTACCTTTCTTTAGTCGATTCCTCTTCTCTCCCTCTCCCAGGATCTGTTCTTCATTTTTTCCTGTCTGCTCTAATTTTCTTTAAAACATAAGACAAAGTAGGCACTATTTGTCTTATGGAGGTTTCCTACACCTGACCATTTCTGACCAGCGGAGGAGCAAAGTGTGCTTCATTTCCGGTGGTCAGAGAAATTTTCCCACAATTATAAGCTTTCCTCCCTGTTCCCGCGATGCTTCCTGTCAGTATTCCTGAAGGTCTTGTCACTTAGGACGCCGGCGAAACTGTCAAATTACATCCTAACACAATGAGAACAGTTTGTTCATTCATGTTAGGACGCAATTCGGGACTTTGTTCGTATTGGAATTTCATTCTAATGAATGAAATTCCAATCCTATTCGTGCCGCGGCTGCATCTTGCAGCTGCTTAGTAGATAACTCCCTAATTCCCACGGTATCAGGGAGCTATATACTAAAAGGCTGAAAGACCTAAATTGGTCTTTCAGCCAAATTTACTAATACTGAGTAAAGATTACTTAGTATGAGTAAATTATGCCCCTATCTAGTAGCCAGTGGCTGCTCACTGTTAAAACAAAAAACACCTTAGTATCCCTCCACCCTTGCCGCACAAGCGGAGGCTATTAAACTGATGGGGGGACCTAGAGCCCCCCTCCCAGCAGTGGGTGGGGGCCCTAAAGGATAATGAGGGGGGGGACCTATTGTCCTCCCCCCGGCCTCCAGCCCTGAGTGGCGGGGGGACCCATTGTCGTCGTCCCCAGCCCTTAACCCTGAGCGGCGGGTGGGGATCCTAAAGGAAAATGGGGGGGGACCTATTGTCCTCCCCTGGCCCCCACCCATGAGCATTGGGTGGGGGCCCATAAATAACAATAAGGGGTTGGGACTTATTGTCCTCCCACCCCTGAGCCCCCCTAAACGAAAATGCCCCCCAAGGTGACTAGGGGTACACAAGCCCCTAGTCACCCCCCACCCCCCCCCACCCAAATAAAAAATTAAGTTTAAGGAAGACTAGGAATAATCTCAGGTTGAGCATACTGACATTGAAGAGAACGTTTCACATTTATAAGGTGTAAAGATTATTTAGATATAGTATTCTTACTAACAATTAGCTTTTACTGTGCAGGTGCCCCTCCCCCATCGGCTGTCATGATCTCCCCAAAGGTGTGAGCCTAAAATTGCATGGAGTTCAGCTGGGTTGAGCTTTTTTGGGGAAACTGAGGTGTGAAACTAAGGGGAAACTTAATTTATGTAAATGGTTAATTATCATAGGGTAGCTTAAGTCCCGAGTAGGAGGTGGATGATAATATGGCATTACAGGAGGCTGCTTGTCTTAACTTAACCTATGCTCTCAAGAGTCTCTTTCCAGCGCTGTATCACGCAGTGGGACTAACCCATCCTGCTTTCCCGAGTGCCTCAGATGTATTTGTCTGTTTGCTTTGGTGGAGGTCTTTTGCACACCTCTCAGGCATGTGTGCTGGACGGGTCAGTCTCTGGTAGGGGCGCAGATTCTTCCCGGCACTGGTGTCGAGCTGCTTTGTGGGTGGTCTTTGCTGGCGAGCGCCACCGCGTGGGTTTCCCAGCCGGCGGGAGACAGAGTTTTTTTTTTTTGTGTGTGTGTGCTATTTTTTTGGCGCACTTTGTTTGGCCGGGTGAGACGCTTGGATGTTAGCAGTAGGGTGGCACCAAATTAGCAGGGTGGCACCAAATGCAGCATCTAGCTGCACCAGGATGCCAAGCTCCTGTTGTGTCAGATGGCCCCGGTTTGCTCTCTGCTATTTTGGAGTCAGCTCGCCTCTGTTGGGGTTGCTGCCACAGCCTCTGGAGGGGACTTCCTGGGACCAGGATAACCCCCACCAGTCCATAGGGGGAGAGGGGGGGATGAGAAGCCCACAATCAAACTTTCAGCCGTTGAAGGCAACATGATCTCCCCCGCGCCGACCATGCTGGTGGGCCTTGAGGAGTGCTTCAGTGGTTCCTGACGGTTGTGCCACATATTTGGTGTCTGCAGGTAGCCCCCTCGAAGGCACGACAGGTTTAGTGGGTTTCTACATACAGTGAAACTTTGGAACTCAAACTTAATCCATTCCAGAAGGCGCATCACCATTTCCCATAGGAATGCATGTACATTTGATCTGTTCCAGACCCCCAAAATTACAGCAGTTTACATTGTAAACGGGACCACTGTTCGTGCACACACCGCTGACATTGCACACACACACATAAAGCTGATATAGTACAGACACTGCACACACATAGCTGACATAGTACACACACTGCACACATGCCTGTCTGGCTCTAGTACTTACCGCTTTGGGGAAGGTGCACCGATCGGTGTCCACGGGGATCCTCCTTTTCAGGGTCTCTTGCAGAAGCAGTAATTACACGAAGAAGCCCAGCAAGTTGGTCCGGGCCCACATGTTGCCTCTTGGTGATAAGTTCCCAGTGAGAGCGATCTGGCATTTACCAAGTGAAGGTGTATTGTGCCCCCACTGAGGACGGTCTGCCCATCTCTGCCAGGGCTGGCTGCCAGCAGGGAGCAAAGGGGGGCTGCTGCACCTGGGTGCCGGGCTGTCCTGAAAGCTGCTGGTGGGTATATGGGTGTCCTTGCGCCCACTAGATGCTAGTAGGGTGCCCTGCGTGCTGGAGTGCTGCCCTTGGTGGTGTAGGTAGTTAGAGGGCTGCCCTAAGTGCTGCTGCTATAGGTCGAGGCTGCTAGGGATGGAGCAAGGTAGGTACCTCTCTGCAGGTCAGTAGAACACGCTCATCCTGTAACAGCTGGGCGAGAGAAACTTCCACACTTACTTTTCAGCCACATCTTAACTCCATGAGAGAGCTAGCTGGAGGCGTCACATGACCCTGGTGAGCAGCTCTTTGATGTTCGGGTACCGAGACATTTTTTACTCAAAATTCTAGTTTGAATACCGAATTGTTTGTGAACAGGAACGTTCGAGTTCCGAGGTTCCACTGTATTTTGGTCGCCATTGTGCAGTCTTCTACCCCTGTTCCCTTGTTATCTCGGCTTTTATAAACCTTTCTTCCTTCTCTTAAACCTCTCATCCATTTAAGACAAATTGTTACCCAGATTGATATGTTACCTTACATTTTCTTTTTGTTACTGTTGCAATTCTGTTTTCCCTGAAGGTGAGAGATACACTAACCCACTTTAGGGATTATTCATATTGCAGATTGTGCTCAGACTGTATTTATATAGATTTACGGAGTGCCACTGCTATTATAATGTTTAGTCCAGCATTTAGTGAATATACCATACTTGTGTTATTTAGAAATAAAATGCATCTATTTTTCCAATAATGCTGGTCGATTTTGACCCCTCTTTTTTTCTGTATATAACAGTGATACCCCTTTCTAATTTTTGGTTTTACAACACCTAGGTAATAATTTCACCATATTTTTGTTCATACACTTGTCACTATTTAGAGAATATGCCTCACCAAATGTGTCCTTTTTATTAATGGAACACCACTTTATCATATTTAACCAATGTTGCGCTTAGATTTATAGAATTCTTCTTTTTAAGTATTTTCATTAAAAGTTAAGTTTTACAATCTGGCTGACTTTGGGCCACGTGTGTCGCTTGTCACTAACTACCTACAAAACATTCTTGGTTCTTCCTTTTTGCATTGCTTATTTAGGTTATAGGGGTAATCCCCCAATTTGGAGTGTTTTGATAAATGAATTATTAGCTCAACTTTTGTTTTTAGATATAACTCCAATGGAAAAATGTTTAAATGCATGCAAGTATTCACTTGGGCTATATCTACTAAACAGTGATGTTTTAATTTATTCTGTATTTAGGCAATGGAGTGTCCATTTAACCTTGAATGTACTTTGTGAAACATTATTCAAACCAATGGAGGACTGTTACCTCTCAAGGAGCGTTCTTTTTTCCTTTACTATTTGCGCAGGCCCTTATTTATTATAGCGTGCGCATTAGGCCTTACCCATAGGAAAGCATTGATTCAATTATTGTGCGATAATTCATTTTATCTGGTGCTGGACGTCCTCATGCAGGTGAAGACTATAAAACGTTGCTGTACATATAGTTTACAAATAGGTGTACAACATGTGTATTGAATGAGTGAGAGAGAAACAAATACATAACAGTAATATAAACTGCCATAAATGATTTAAAAAGTGATACATCTGCATTCTTTCAAATATTTTTTTATTTTTGAAATATGTTGAATTATATGAGAAAAATAATAAACAATTTAATAAACTGTATCATGTAGTGATCATACATTTTAACAAAGATACATCTGTTTTCATATTAAAAAAAACAAAAAAAAACTTTATTTTAGAAGTGCTTCTCAGAAAACATGGTATGTAACAGGCCATAATACAATACTGTTGTACATTAATATAGAACTTATTTGGCCAAGACACAGCACAATTTTTATATGTACAAGTAATTGCAAGTAGGTTTGCCTGCAAAGTCAATTTTACAATATGTACAGAGTATGTAGGAGTCAAGTCTGAGGGGACCTTCGAGTGGAGATTGGAAATATGCGTGCTAAACCTACACAAGGAACTAATGGACGTACTAAATATAAATGAGTGTGGATGCTTAGGTAATTAACCTCGGTATTTGGGGTTCAGATTGGCCTGGAGAGGCTTGTGTAGGAGATATCTCTTGTTAGGTGTATAGTGTTATGTCGCCTGGTATAGATAAGGGAGAGAGAGTGTTGCCTCTTCAGTGGTGGGGTGCACCCCTAACCAAGGGTGCAGCGGAGGGGGTATGGAAGGTCCATCAGTCGCTAGTTGACTACCGTCTGGACTCCCCTTGTCTCTACGACATATTTCTATCCTATTAACTAGTTGCCAGTGAGAACTTAAATTAGAAACAAACAAAGTCAAAAGAAGAGTGTAGAGAGGAAACAAACATTAAAGGACCACTCTAGGCACCCAGACCACTTCAGTTTAATGAAGTGGTCTGGGTGCCAGGTCTATCTAGGATTAACCCTTTTTTTTTATAAACATAGCAGTTTCAGAGAAACTATGTTTATAATTGGGTTAATCCAGCCCTCAAAGCCTCTAGTGGCTGTCTCATTGGCATGCATGTGCATTCAGCCGAATGGGAGGAGGATCGGAGGAGAAGAGCTCCCCTCCCAGCGCTGGAGAAAGGTAAGTTTTAACCCCTTTCCTCTCCCCAGAGCCGGGCGGGAGGGGGCACCCTCAGGGCACGATAGTGCCAGGAAAACGAGTATGTTTTCCTGGCACTATAGTGGTCCTTTAACAGAACAGGTACACATCTGCAGTAAGCTATGTGCAAGACAGTTCCTAAGTAGTGCCAACTCCAAGTGGAGTCAGATAACTGTATCTTGCGATCCACCGGCTCTCCGGACAAATGGGACCACTGTAGCAGGGTCCCAGGTTTAAGCGGGGGTTTCTGCAGTCTGGTCTGCAGTTTAGTCATACAGGCCCAGTGATATTAGGAAGGTGAATACCTCTGCCACCGAGTGAGTGTGTGGGTGCCTCCCTTGCGCGGGGCCACTAAAGTTCCAGATGGTCCACACCTGTTAGCTATCCCTGCAGCTCGTAGTTTCGATGTACCCGGTCCTAGGGCTTTGCGCCATAGGAGCGTAGCTCCAGTGAGATCCTTAAAAAAAAAAAAAAAAAAGATAGGGATGCACCTTCAGAGGTCAGTGGCTTTTTGCCTCTCAAGGCAGACATGATCTGGCTTTTTTTTTTATCCTGGAAAGTCAATCAGCGGAGGATAACATCCCTGATCAGATTAGGCAACAATTTAGTTGATGATAGTTGATTTTTTTGGCAACAAGATGAGGTAAGATTGTTGCTGGTAGTCTCTGAATGTAGTGAGGTAATTCTTTAGCTTATATTGTGGTTGGGATGCCGCATATTTTAATGTGGTTGCGATGTTGTAAGTCCTCCATGGTTGTCATTTGGAGTGACAGGGTGCTTTGCTTAACTCTTTTTTTTTTTTTTTTTTCACCCAACTCTGTGTATACATGGGTCGCAGAACATTGCTACATAATCTGATCTTTGTGTTCACACAGATTTAGTGTGTGTGTGTGTGTGTGTGTGTGTGTGTATATATATATATAATATATTATATATATAAATTTTTAGAATGTAAACAGAATGGAGGGATTTTGTCTCCTACAAATCTCACATTATGCTCTGCAAACAACTCTGATGTCCTGGAGCTTAGAAACCAAAGCAGATAATTGACTGCATAGCTGGATAATGTATTGGGAATAAAATCACTGCTAAGAATATGGAATACTATAATTCACTGTACCCATACACATGTTTATTTTGTCATTGTAGGTTAGGATCCGTGGAAATGGAATATACGGAATATAATTCCAACAGCAGCAATGTTTATAAAGACGATGGCTCATCCTCGGAGAATATGCCCGACACACAGATAATGGACAATTATAAAAGTAAGATGGGTGAAATGGTCTTGAATATCACCCTGGAGATCATCTACGTGCTGACAGGAGAGGTGAGGGATTTTCCAGTGTATTGGATTTGGAGCTAATTTGGTGCTTAATGTGAATGGTTACAAAACACATGGAAGAGATAGTAAACTGCTATGAAACTAAGTGAGAGGTTCTATACCTCAGAAATAAATTCAAGAAGACCGAATGGATAGCAATGAGTAAAACTTTTATAAGTGTTATTGTACTTAGAATTTAAGTAAATCTTGGAACAAGTCCTGTACACAATAAAAAATGTATTTGCTGGCTGATTGCCCCCTCTGAGTAAGAAACCGATTGCATTCCTGATGAGCTTTGTTTCCTGACGGAGCAAAACACGTGTTTGGTGTTCACATCTACTATTTCATTGTTACACTGCCACTCTGGAACAATTAGCAAGCAAATAATAAAGGTTAGTTTAGCCTTCCATGGGTCTAGGGCAGGGATAGGCAACCTTAGGACACACAAGATGTTGTGGACTACACCCACCATAATACTCTTACTCTCATAATGCTGGCATAGCATCATGGGAGGTGTAGTCTAAAACATCTGGAGTGCCGTAGGTTGAATATGCCTGGTCTAGGGTGTTATAGGGAATGGTTGTATTGTACCAACTCTTCCTACTCCGAACCTTACATTGACTGAAACCTTAAGTCACCTAGTGGTAGACTTTCAAATTGCAGCCTTTATTGAAAGATAGGTTTTGACCATTACAAGGTATAGTAAGGACTCTCCAGGGATGCTAGAACCCCTCCCCCCCCGTAAGATTTACAACTAGCAGCTTCTTTACATGATTGGTATTGGTTTGGTGGTAGGTGTTTGACATTAATTATTCCCTTGATGTCTGCTCATTATTAGATTTTTCAATACAAATATTATTTTAGTTTGTAAATGACTTGTCTAAAGATCTAATTAAAGTGTAATAACAATAGGCTCATACTCATTGCTATCCACTCGTTTTTGTTGGCCACAATGCGATCTAGTAAATCAACACTAGCCTAGTTATAGCACTAGTTCAAATCCTACATGACATGCATACTGTAAAGACAAGCTGTAAATTGACCATATTAGATGAGTAGAAGTATATTGGATATTGTTCTTTTACTGGTAGAAACTATTTTAGTTCGATAGGCGTGATTATTCTACCCCCCATTCTTTTAACCTTGGATGAAGCCGACATATTTAAAAAAAAAAAAAAAAAAAACAAATAGAGGGAGAGCGAGCGAAAGAAAAGTGAGATGGATATACGTTGAGTGAATACTTGCCTAACCAGCTTTGAATTGTACTCATCAAGTTGCACACAGTATTATGTAAAATGATTTACATTTTTGTTAATAGAATTGCGCACAAATCTATAAAAATATGTATAGCTGTTGCCAGGCACCTGTAAATCAGTTTTTCACAAATGACACTATACAGACAATCAAGTGACAGGAGAACACACTTTGCTGTCGGAGCATAGAAATTGAGTGACAGATGCTACTCGATTTAGACCGATGTGCTGGCAAGGAGACCATCATGCTGTGTTTCACTCTACTTGGGGAAACCATTCCTCCTCCCAAACAAGACAAATAGTGTAAAGGGACAGGAGTCAGTAGAAAAACAAAGGTTGGGTGTTACATTAGTGCATTACCCACATTCCTAGCAAGATGGCTGCATTGTGTAACACTGAAAGTCGGGATGTTTTTATTAGGGATCGACCGATATTGATTTATTAGAGCCGATACCGATACCGATAATCTGCGAACTTTCAGGCCGATAGCCGATATCTTGCCGATATTCTGTACATTTACTATTTTGAATAAATAAACTAATTCGAAAGGTAAATGCACAAAATATACATGCCACATGTAGTGGATGAAGTGTGTTTAGACATGGGAACTGTGTGTGTTTGTGTAGTGTGTGTGTGTAGTGGATGCAGAGTGTGTGTTTGTGTAGTGTGTGTATAATGAATGTAGTGTGTATATAATGCAGTGTGTAGTGTGTATATAATGCGGTGTGTAGTGTGTATATAATGCAGTGTGTTTATGTAGTGTGTGTGTATAATGCAGTGTGTTTTTGTGTATGTATGTAATGCAGTGTGTGTGTTTGTGTAGTGTGTATGTATGTAATGTAGTGTGTGTATGTAATGCAGTGTGTGTGTAGTGTGTATGTAATGCAGTGTGTGTATGTAATGCAGTGTGTGTGTCTGTAATGCAGTATGTGTGTAGTGTGTCTGTCTGTGTAGTGTGTGTATGTAATGCAGTGTGTGTGTCTGTGTAGTGTGTATGTAATGCAGTGTGTGTGTCTGTAATGCAGTATGTGTGTAGTGTGTCTGTCTGTGTAGTGTGTATGTAATGCAGTGTGTGTGTGTGTGTATGTAATGCAGTGTGTGTGTGTGTAGTGATGTAATTTTTGTAATTTTAATATTTTTTTTAATATTTAAATGTTTTTTTTTTGTTTAGTCCCCCCCCTAGTGTGTGTTTGTGTAGTGTGTATTTGTGTAGTGTGTATGTAATGCAGAGTGTGTGCAGTGTGTTTGTGTAGTGATGTAATTTGTGTAATTTTTTATTTTAATATTTAAAAAAAAAAATATTTTTTGTTTAGTCCCCCCTCCCTGCTTCTTACCAGGGAGGGGGATATAGTATCCCCTGGTGGTCCAGTGGCTTGTTAAGTACAGTGGTGGCTCAGCAGCAGCAAGCGCTGACTTACCTTGCAAGCAGCTCCTACAGCTCCCTGTGTAAATCTCACGGCTCTTAGTGCCGCGCGGAGCGTTGCCATGGTAACCCGTGGCAACGCTCTGCGGCCGCGGGTCTCACGAGATTTACACAGGGAGCTGCTGGAGCTGCATGCAAGGTAAGTCAGCGCTTGCTGCTGGCCCCCACAGGACCGCCGGGCTTATAATGGGCCCGGCGGTCCTGTTATATATTATCGGCAATATCGGTATCTAAATTGGCCGATACCGATATTGCCGAAAATACCAAATATCGGCCGATAATATCGGCCAGACCGATAATCGGTCGATTCCTAGTTTTTATAGGTTGATCATCTAGTTTTTATAACACTTTGAATTACAAACGATACTATAGGTAGTTCTTCAAATGTAAACCTAAAGAGACAAAAATCTCAAAAGGTCACAAGTAGAAAAGTACAAAGTGGTCATTCGGAAGCAAGTTACTGATGTTTAGACCTTTTTTTTTTGTTGCTTGTTTGTTTTTTTCTTTATAAATTCTATCTACTCTCTATTTAGACACTAGTCAAACTGTATTTTAGATAATATTTCATAGAAAGTCTTGGTGGAGTATACAAAGAATAATACAGCAAGTGGATGCACAGAAAAGAAGAGTAATTTCAGTGGAATGGCATTTATTAGTATTTCTTTAATTTTAGGATTATATGGTTGTGAAGAAAAATAGTGACCATAGCTGCCACATGTGTGTGTCAGAAAGTTCCACTCAAACAGAGAAAGTCATCATGGAACCTCCACCAAACTCACTGATACATGACCGAAACAATGAAAAGAAGATCCTTGAACTGACGAGTAGGATTATTCAGCTGTTGTCGGATGTGAGTCATTTTATAGAGTATGATAAAGCCAAGGAAATGTTTAGCCGTATCATGTGCATATATAGTTCCCATCAAGTTATGCTTTTTTTCTGTCTTTCTATGTAGGAGTGGGCACATTCAGAAGAACACAATACACATGGTATAATGGAGGATCGTAAACCATTCGACTCACTTGGTATGAAAATTGGTGATTCGTTGGTGACTATACCGAATTATTCACAAAGTGTAAATTGTAAAAAATTCAAAGTGAATTTAAAGGGAATCTCTAACATTCGTAACACCAACTTTGATTTCTGCTTGCAGATTACAATTTAGAGTGCCCTGTTTTAAGACTAAATAAGAGATCCCTTTTTTTTTTTTCTCTCGTCGTAGCCACCTTCACACCCCCTGCTGAGATCAATAATGTTCTTGGCTAATCTATTGCTTCCCCATAATGCATCATTGGGAATCTACTGCACATGTGTGGCAATCGCTGTATTGTGCAATCAGAAACTCCTAACAGATGCATTATACCATGGGTGTCCAACCTTTTGGCTTCCCTGGGCCGCATTGAGCGCAGAGGAATTATCTTGGGCCACACATAAAATCTTCTATAAGTTCTATAATAAAACTTTAAAACCCCTTTTATTAATTTTGTTTAGTAGATATTCCCTTATTTGTTATCTTTATGTGGAATTGCCATATTCAAGGATACCAAATTAGGGAGCTATCTACTAAATATATACACATGTAAATGCACACCTAATCAGATATACACACAGAATGACAGACACATACACTCACAGACCTATGCGCACAATAACAAATATACTCACATACAATCACTGACCTATACACAGTCTCATACGCACACATAATCACAGATGTAAATACACAAACATACACATACAATCACAGACCCACACACATACAATCACGTACCTATACACACACACAATCATGGAACTATACACACAGTCACATACATTCACACACATACAATCACATACCTATACGCACAATCACATACATGCGCACACACAATCCGACCCACACACACACATACAATCCGATACCTAGACACACAATAACATACATTTACACATATAATCACAGATATATACACACAATCACAAATGCATACACTCAGTCACAGACCTATACACACAATCACATACCTACAAACACATAATCAGACACACACACAATTGGAGATGTACACTGACTTACACAATCACATACACACACAATCACTGACAAATCATACACAAAATTACATTCATCACTATGCCATGTAGTGTGTGTGTGTATATATATAATTACAAGCTTACTCTCTAGCAAGCACATACACACAAAGTCGCTGATAAATTAGCTGAAGCTTACATGGTGCTGAAGACTGGGAGCCATTTTTTGACCACTTCCTGCTCGTGTAGGGTGGGGCTTGTATCAGGGGCAGGACGTAGCGGGAGGCGGGGCTTGAGTGCAGGGGTGGAGCATGGACACGGAATTGCAGAGAATGGTGAAGGAAGACTCACAGTGCTCCCTCCGGCCGCCAGCCCCCACCCCCCAGCACAACATTCATTAATCCCCTCAGACTGACACAGGCTGTCAGCCTGGGTGGGCCAGTCCAGTCCGTCTCTACCCAGACTGCAACCAGGACGCACTGTTAGCGGTCCTGGGCCGCATGCGGCCCGCAGGGTGGACATCCCTGCATTATACTAATGCATCTCTGGGGTGTGTTCAGCACCTTCTTTGGCATCAGAAAGCTGAATGTCAGCCATGCAAAGATTGCAGGATTGTAAAGAGTATGCACTTCTAGTGCCTATCTGAGTGACCGTAGCTAGAGGTGTTCTTACAGCTCAATGTATACACTGACCTTTAACAGAAAAGGCATTGTTTGCAAACATGAGACTGCAGGACTAAGCTCTTTACAGCAAACCTACCAGTGTTCTGTACAATGGCATGAGCACTTCCCTCTTTCTACTGCTAATACCTCTCCATATACAACCAAGCATTCTGCTAGCATTTCCTGCTGCTCTATTACATTGTTTGCCTAGATTTAAGTCATCAGAAATAATCACCCCTAAATCCCTTTCCTCATATGTTGAGGTTAGGACTCTATCAAATATTCTGTACTCTAGCCTTGGGTTTTTACATCCAAGATGCATTATCTTGCACTTATCCGCATTTAATGTCATTTGCCACAATTCTGACCATTTTTCTAGTTTACCTAAATCATTTGCCATTTGGCTTATCCCTCCTGAAACATCAACCTTGTTACATATCTTAGTATCATCAGCAAAAAGACATGACTCACCATCAAGACCTTCTGCAATATCACTAATAAAAATATTAAAGAGAATGGGTCCAAGTACAGATCCCTGAGGTACCCCACTGGTGACAAGTCCAAGCTTCGAATATATTCCATTAACTACAACCCTCTGTTGCCTGCCACTCAGCCACTGCCTTAACCATTCAACAATATTGGAATCCAAACTTAAAGATTGCAGTTTATTGATAAGCCTTCTATGTGCAACAGTGTCAAAAGCCTTACTGAAATCTAGGTAAGCAATGTCTACTGCACCACCCTGATCTATAATTTTAGTTACCCAATAAAAAAAATCAATAAGATTAGTTTGGCATGATCTCCCTGAAGTAAACCCATGTTGTCTCTGATCTTGAAATCCATGTGTTTTTAGATGTTCATCAATCCTATCCTTTAACATGGTTTCCATCACTTTCCCCACTACTGAAGTAAGGCTTACTGGCCTATAGTTGCCCGACTCCTCCCTATTACCTTTCTTGTAAATGGGCACAACATTCGCTAACTTCCAATCTTCTGGGACTACTCCTGTTAACAATGATTGGTTAAATAAATCTGTTAATGGTTTTGCTCGTACACCACTAAGCTGTTTTAATAGCTTTGGGTGTATTCCATCAGGTCCCATTGACTTATTTGTCTTTACTTTTGACAGTTGAAATAGAACCTCTTCCTCTGTAAACTCACGTGTAATAAATTACTCATTTATCCTTTTCTCAACTGAGGTCCCTTTCCTTCATTTTCATCTGTAAATACAGAACAAAAATATTCATTGAGGCAGTCAGCTAGACCTTTATCCTCTTCTATATACCTTCCTTCTTTTGTTTTTAATCTAACTAATCCTTGTTTTTCTTTTCTCATTTATGTTCTAAAAAATGTTGTATCCCCCTTTTTTACTGACTGTGCTATTTTCTCTTGTGTGTGTGATTTGGAAGCTCTTATAACTTGCTTAGCCTCTTTCTGCCTAATCTTTTAGATCATTTTGTCTTCATCACTCTGGGTTTTTTTTATAATTCCTAAATGCTAACTTTTTGTTTTTAACTATTTTGGCCACATCTGTGGAGTACCACAGTGGTTTCTTGAATTTTTTTGCTTTTACTGACAAGCCTAATACAATTTTCTGTTGCCTTCAATAGTGCAACTTTTAAATAACCCCATTTCTCTTGGACTCCATTTAAATTGCTCCAGTCTGATAATGACTCCTCTACCCATATTCTAATTTTAGAAAAGTCTGTTTTTCTAAAGTCTAAAACTTTTTTGTTTTTGTGTGGTGTGACTCAGTCACTGTTCTTATATTAAACCACACTGATTGATGATCACTGGATCATAAACTTTCACCTACAGTAATATCTGATACCAAATCTCCATTTGTTAACATTAAATCTAGTATGGCCTCTTTACGAGTTGGCTCCTCAACAACTTGTTTTAGAGACAATCCCAGTAGGGAGTTTAGAATATGTGTGCTCCTGGCACAAGTAGCTAATTTTGTTTTCCAATTTACATCAAGAAGATTAAAGTCACCCATGATGATAACTTCCCCCTTCATTGTCATTTTAGCTATTTCCTCAACTAGTAGATTATCTAACTCTTCAATTTGTCCTGGGGGCCTATAAATCACACCTACACGAGTTACTGTGTGATTACCAAATTCTAACGTAGCCCAAACGGACTCTATGTTTGCCTCACTAACTTTTATTAGGCTAGATTTTATGCTATCCTTCACATACAAGGCCACCCCTCCCCCTTTCTTGCCTTCCCTATCTTTCCTATACAAAGAGTACCCTGGTATTGCTATGTCCCAGTCATTTTTCTCATTATACCATGTCTCAGTAACAGCGACTAAATCTACACTATCAGTTGCCATTATTGCCACAAGTTCATGGATCTTATTCCCTAAACTGCGAGCATTTGTAGACATGACTCTAAGCTTATCATTTTTTAACACACTTGCTACAGGCACCTTCTGTCCTTGTTTTGGGGACAATTGGATTGATGTTTTATCACCCTTTTGCCCCCCCCTCCTAGTTTAAATACATCCTAGCAAAACCTCTGAACTGCTCACTGAGAACATTTGTTCCCTTTTGAGAAAGATGCAAACCATCTTTTTGTACAGCTTATCTCCATTCCAAACAGAGCTACCATGAGAAATAAAGCCAAATCCTTGCTCCCGACACCATTCACCAAGTCAACCATGTTTCAGGTTCAGCAATTTTATCCGAAACTTTTAAATTTAATTGGAAATTCAATTGGAAATTCACAAGTCCAGACAATTAACACTTTAGTGACTACTCCAGACTAAAGTTTGACTTGTGAGTTCAAAGTGGTTTTCAAATTTTTGGTCAAAACAGCCAAATTGAAAAAATAGTCCAAGTGTGATTTTCTTAGATAGGTTTTTTGTTTTCTGGCCTTTAGTGAAAACAGGTGGTTAAGTTTTTATACTTAACACAGCCGTAGCTAAGAATATGCTGTAAGAGAACTTCTTAGTAAATACAGTGGTAAGTCGCTTAACATAATTTTCGGTTTACAAAGGAAAATCCATTGAAAAGAATGCCTCGGTTTACGATTTTTTTTTTTCCGCAATACAAAGCAAGATTCCCCTAGATGCGTTGTGCCTGGGATGTTTATAGCGCTGCCCCCGTACATGCTGGTGGTGGTTTTGTGTGTGTGTGTGTGTGTGTGTGTGTATGTATGTATGTGTGTGTGTATATATATATATATATATATATATATATATATATATATATATATATATATATATATATATATATATATATATATGTATATGTGTGTGTATATATATTTATGTATACATTTCACTTCACCAACTAAGACTATTGTGTTCTGATCCATCACATACAATTCAGATTAATAAAACATTGAACTTAAGGCTGTAATGTAAAAAGTCAAGGGGGTGAATACTTTTGCAAGGCATGTATGATCATACATTGCATAAGCCTGCCACAATGTCAATGTACCTTATTTTAGGCAGGTCCTACTCTAACAGCCTAATGCAGAATGGGGTACATTGACATTGTGGCAGGCTTATGCAATATATGATCATATAATGTAACTAAACCCCCATTATTTTTTGCCTAGGTGAGGTGTTTTTAAATAAAACTATTACTATCTCTAAGATTTTAAATAATTGTTTAGTGAATGAGCGAGTGCGCCGGATTCTGTATTTTGTATATTTTGGCCCCAGCAGCATCCTGTAATTTACGCATGTTCAGGTGAGTGCAGCCCTCTTGGTTTCTTTTATATATATATATATTTGTGTGTGTGTGTGTGTAAAACATTATTAAAGGGACACTCAACATCAAAACCACTTCATATGGTTTTGGTTCATAGCGGTGTTTAAGTGGCTTTGGTGCGTAAGCCCTTTTGTCTAACATTGCCATTCAATCTAGCACGAGTGTTTTAAAAACCGACAGTGTTTACATCTTTCATAAATTATACCTCTGTTGTGTGTCTGAGGCACTTGCTAAGTGAAGACCTTTGTGAAAGATATGCTTTAACTCTATATGTATATTTGTTAAAGAGTGTCGAGGAATAGATGTAGTGTTACATCTGACAGGTAGTTCAAGCAGTCTTGGGTTCTTGGTAGCTGGTGTAATAATGTACAGGAAATGTTAGAGTCTTGGGATTTTCTGGGCAATTGCAAAGAGTCTTTTTATATATATGTTTCTGTACGTGTGTTAGAAAATTATTCCAATTTAGCTATATCTCTCAATATGTCTTTGATACACTGCTTTAGAGTTGCATATAATTATTCATTTTCTGTTTCTTAGTAAGTCATGGTGGTAATTTAAATAGGTTTACAAGTGTGTATTTTTCTTCTCTTATAATAGATGAATCTGCAGACCGGACAAGTCCTGAAGGATTTTACAGCACTATAGATTTTTATCAAACTGACAAAGGGATTCAGAGATCAAAATGCAGAAGAAAAAATACACCCAGAAAGCTGCAGAGCCAATCTGTGACAGATTTAAACGTGGTTTGTGTATCATCAGGTGACGAATCTTTCTCAGATATTTTTATACCATCAGAATACATTTCTCATGTTAAAGAGGAATCCGCCTCATGTGAAGATGCAAATCTCACAGACACAGATAATTATACACTTGAAAGTTACACATCTACTTTTATTAAAGAAGAGCCAGGATCGCTTGAAGAAAGGAATATCAAAGACCTGTATGCACCTAAAGAGTTCACAAAGACAGATTTTGTGTTAACTGAACAATTTTCTTCAAAAACAGATCTTCCTAAGCAACAGAAATTTCCAGCAACTGATAAGCTGTTTGAGTGTTCATATTGTGGGAAATGTTTTACAGGTAATTCAGATCTTACTAGACATAAAAGGGTCCACACAGGAGAAAAGCCATTTCCATGCACTGACTGTGGGAAATGTTTTTCCCATAAGTCCAATCTGGTCACACATCAGAAGCTTCACACTGGGGAGAAAGCATATTTATGCTCTGAATGTGGAAAAAGTTTTACTAATAGTTCCAATCTTGTCACACATCAAAGGGTTCACAGAGGAGACAAACCATTTTCGTGTTCTGACTGCGGAAAACGCTTCACCCATAAATCAGATCTTGTTAAACACCGGAGGGTTCACACAGGTGAGAAACCATTCTCATGCCGTGAATGTGGCAAATGCTTTACAAACACATCCAACCTTGTCACACATCAGAGGATTCACTCTGGTGAGAAACCGTTCTCATGTTCTGAGTGTGGTAAATGTTTTATAAGCAATGCAAGCCTTATCAAACACGAGAGGATTCACACAGGAAAGAAACCATATGGCTGTACTGTATGTGGTAAATGTTTTACTGATAAGTCAAATCTTTCCAGACATCGATTGACTCATATAGATAAGAAAACACTCACTTTTCACTAATATGAAGTAGGTTGTGTTGATAGACATGTAATAGAAAGATATTTATATTTCCCTTTGTAAAGTTTCTGTACTTAACACACATTGTTGCAATCAGAGTGGCTGGTGTCAGTGAGCAGATTTTTTTATTTTTTTTAATTAGATTTTGTTCTGCGTTTCCACCATCTCTGCAAAGAACCTTTATGAAACTGAAAATTCATTCTCAACTGTGGTGGTAAAAACAGACAAATTGAAAATCTGCTTTTATGCTTACATGGTTCTTTAGGGAGGAATTTAGTTTGCTTCCTTATTATTGAAAAATCATCATATATAAAAAATACAGGGTACCCCAAATGACCATAGACTGCTTGAAACCTTGAGCTAGCATGTTGTCAAGGCACCCTTATTCAACCAGCGCAAATGTATGTTCCGTTCATCATAGTAGATATGTTCTAAAACTAGTGTCCAGTGCAACAGGAAGAAACAAACCATGATTTGATTTCTTTTGGGTATGGATAGTTCACAGCATGAAATAGGTTATTCCCCTGCTACTGGAAACCTGTGATTGTCATAAAGAATTGTTTTGTACAATTTACTATTTTGTAGTCTCTCACAGTCCAGTGTTTTTATGAAATATGTTGGATGGTGTATTTTTTTTTTTTAAACCTATTTATGTAGTGTCAATGCCCGAATGAGTGTATCATGTATCTATTAAGGCAGTGGTTCCTAACACCTGGCTTCTTGTGCCATTTTAGTGGGTTATCACATTTTGGAACAGGCACATTATATCATCAGGCTCCAGGTGATTGCCCACAGTGAATTATTTATTGTATAGACCCTGTCTTTCGCAGTGCATTGGAGACCAATTGGTTAACAGGCAGACTAATGAAGGTTTTAAGAATGTGGTTTCCTTTTTTTTTTTTTTTTTTATAAATATAATTGTATTAAAGTTTTAAAGATTGGGTCACAGAGCTCATATAAAAATTGAAGAATGGGTTTACAAAGCTAATGTCTTGTACATACTGTAGTTCTTTGTCAGAAATGACAACCATTGCATCAGGGCATAATCCTTAGTGCTGCCGCACTGTCTTTGTAACAATCATTAAGTGTTCTTGCATAGCAAAACCACTTAATATTATCTCACATATATATTATTCTTATTATAGCCAAATTTACCACCCTAACTTTTTAGTATTGATGTTATCATTAATATTTTGTCCCATTACAGTATAGCTACCATGCAAACAGCGGTTTAATGAATTTTCCTTCACAAATTAGAAAGTTGTTGCTTAAAGTAGAGCTTGTTGCTTAATGTTTTCTCAAAACAGTCTGCATGGAAGCTGACTGGACCACTGTTTAAGAAAAATGAGCTTTCAACAATCAAACCATAGATTAGTTTACATAACATAAACTAAAGAAAGTATTGTGAGTCCCTGAGAAGCCTATAAGAGATGCACAATCAGAAAACAAAACTCTTTCTACCACCTCCTGGTCTAATTAGATGATGGTAATTACTTTGGTCACAGAGAACCCCAAGCCACCATACTCCAACCATACTACAACTTTGTGTTTTTGGACCTGAAGCGGCCATTGAGCAAGCAATCTATATGTGGGGTGTGTCTGCTTGAAATGCTGCCTGTACAGAGAAAGTATATAATAGGATATTACAAGCAAAAAATAAGGAACAACCCTTTAAGTGCTATTTTTATTCTTTTAATTTTTTTTTGTGGTCTAAATAAATATCAGTACACCATGAATAATTTATTGGCTTCAGCCCCCACCATTTGTAAAAAGTTTATTTTTATTTATTTGTAAAAAAAAAAAAAAATATTTTGATGATTATGATTTTAAAAAGCAGCGATCTCTCCCTAATACCTCTCCTAGTCACTGCTTGATGTTACCTTTATGAGATACGTTGTTAATCCCCAAAGTGCCGTTCCAACCATCCTATGTGATCTTACTGCTCTTTAAACGGTTAGCAGCAATACTGTGCATAGCTTGATTCACTGTTCAATGAACCAGACTGTTTTAATGTCTTATGAGCCACGGAGCTCAGGTGGTCTTTCTTTTCTAGTATGGTTGCATACACAATTTACACTGGTGCCCCGGAAATAATAGGGTTACTTACTAAAGTGAATTTAATAGTAAGGCCAAAGTAGCTGAACTGGAAGAATGAATTTTCTGAATAATCCTGCCCGTGTTCCGAGCTGCCTGATTTACATCTCTGCTGCTATAGACTTTTCTCAGAAATGCGAGCAGGCTGAATATATTTACTTATGCCCTATATTTAAAATATGTGTATAAATCCACACCACTGTATTTAACTTTATCCTGGAACTGAGAACCTCCATCTTGCTTGGTTCTTTTTCTATCATTAAAGGAACACTAAAGTGTTGGGAATAGAAATGTGTATTCATAAGCCTATAGCACCCCATTAGCAGCTTAGGTGTAAACATTGCAGGGTTACACAGACCGGGACATGGAACCAATACCACTTCATTGAGATGGAGTGCCTTCTGTGCCTAAAGTGTCTCTTTAAACACAGTAAGTGAAAGAAAACCAGAAAATGTGGTAGAGATTTATCACATTGTTGTGTTCTACAAATGTTGCAAAAACTTAGTGGGGCATAGATGATGCCCTTGTATCATTGCAAATTAAAACCGTTATGTTTCTGGGAAATGGCATGGTTTACATTTTGCAGTTTTTAAGCATTCAGCTACTATGGGCTCTGGATTGGAAAAGATTCACATTAGGGGTCAGCATGTAAAGCATCAAGTGCTTCGGGAATTGATGCTTCACAAATATACCCTGTTCCAAATTATTATGCAAATTCTATTTAAGTGTCACAAAGATGAAATATTTTGTTTTTCAGTTTAACTCATGGATGGCATTGTGTCTCAGGGCTCTTTTGATCACTGAAAACAATCTTGGACACCTGTGATAATTAGATTGCCAGGTCCAAGGAAAAACTACTAAAGGAGGGTGTTCCACATTATTAAGCAGAGCATTATTTTCATGCAATATGGAGAAGAAAAAGGATCTACCTGCGGCCGAAAAGAGTGAAATAGTTCAACGAGGTATGAAAACATTAGATATTTCACGAAAACTTAAGCGTGATCATCGCTCTATTTTGTGGCTGATTAAGAGCACAGATGGGTTTGTGCAGATAAAGGCACATTGAGGAAGATTTCTGCCAGATCCATGCATCGGATCAAGAGAGCAGCTGCTAAAATACCATTACATAGCAGCAAACAGATATTTGAAGCTGTTGGTGCACCTGGAGTCCCACGGACATCAAGGTGTAGAGTCCCCCAGAGTCTTGCAACTGTGCATAAACCTTCTATTCGGCCACCACTAACCAATGCTCACAAGCAGAAACGGCTGCATTGGGCAGAAAAATACATGAAGACTAATTTTCAAACAGTCCTTTTCACTGATGAGTGCCATGCAACCTTTGATGGGCCAGATGGATGGAGTAGTGGATGGTTGGTGGACAGCCACCCTGTTCCAACAAGGCTGCGACGTCAGCAAGGCGGTGGTGGAGTCATGTTTTGGGCCGGAATCATGGGAAGAGAGCTGGTCGGCCTCTTTAGGGTCCCGAAGGTGTTAAGATGACCTCTGCAAAGTACGTGGAGTTTGACTGACCACTTTCTTCCCTGGTACAGAAGGAAGAACTATACTTTCCATAATAAAATCATCTTCATGCATGACAGTGCACCATTTCATGCTGCAAAGAATACCTCTGCATCAATGACTGCTGTGGGGATAAAAGGAGAGAAAGTCATGGTGTGGCCTCCATCCTCCCCTGACCTCAATCCTATTGAGAACCTTTGGAGCATCCTCAAGCAAAAGATCTATGAGGGTGGGAGGCAGTTTACATCCAAACAGCAGCTCTGGGAGGCTATTCTGATATCTTGCAAACAAATCCAAGCAGAAACTGTCCAAAAACTCACAAGTTCAATGGATGCAAGACTTGTGAAGCTGCTATCAAATAAGGGGTCCTATGTTAAAATGTATCCTAACTATAAGATAAGGCCAGGGACTAATGAAAGTATTCAGAAAATTGGGCAGACTAGATGGGACGAATGGTTCTTATCTGCCGTCACATTCTATGTTTCTATGTAACGTGACCTGTTAAAATGTTTAAAAAGTTAAAATGTTGTTATAAGTTTGATTGAAATAGCTTTTGATTTCAGTAAATATGCTGCAAACACAACAAATGACAATTTTCAGTCCTTTACAACCTATAAAGTGTTTTGAAACTTACTGTGCTTAATAATTTGGAACAGTGCATTGTAAGTTTTTTTTATGTTTAAACAAAATACTGTTATCATTAGGAGGTTTGTTCAATAAAATTTGAATTGCACTCTTAATAGTTGATAACATGAGAATTATGCTGACTGTTATTTACATCAATTATTTTGGTAAATTAGAAAAATATCATTTGCATAATATTTTGGAACAGGGTGTAGCAGTATTAAACTGGTGGACATTGCTGCACTTGCGTCATGATTCCTTAACACTTCTCCGTGAGACTCCTCTAATTGGACAAAAGCGATCTGTCTTAATAGGGGGTCAGGGTGCTGTGAAGAAACAGTTTTAAGTGATGGAATAAAAAGTTAAGTTTAATGGCAACTTTAATGATGTACAAAAGAAAAGTGGTTGTCCTAATTTAAAAAAAAAAAAAGACATCTGATAAAATAGTTTTACTTTATTATATTTAGGTGCGCTTATAATTAACATTTAAGATAAAAACACATAAAGAAAAGGTTGTATTCCTAATGCTGTAGTGTTCTGCTCAACATTTAGATTCAGGACACCCACAATCTAACTTAAAAAAAACTTTTAAAAGAGGTATTACCTTGTTTTTCAGCACCGAGATCCACTCCCTACAGCTACCCGTTCCGCTACCCATTCTAGTGCTGCACTTCTTCAATCAAATGCTGTCTAAGAGAAGTATTTGAGGAGGTTAGCTGTGAGCGCAGAGTGTGACTCTGTTCTCATAGTGGAAGCACGATCTTGTAGCTTTTAGGAAAACAGCCAGTATAGGTGTGCTTAGCCCTTTAATTAAATCATTGCCATATTTACTAAATGACAATGTTTTACATTGCAGAGCTAAAATGATAAAGGGCATAGCACACAGGCTATTTCATTATTATGAAGTGGCCTGGTGCCTATAGATTTACAAAAGGGTTATTCCATGTTTGATGACCACTTTAATTATTTGAAGGGGTCACGGTGCCTGATGTGCAGCAATTCGCTATGAAACTCTGCACATACAGAGTTTAATTGCTCTGCTGCAGGTGTAACTCCAGATTCTGCAGCATCTTTGGGGCATCTAGGCCTGAGCTATCGAATTTTAATTCAGTGCATATTGAACATGTGTCCAATTGCAGCACAGCTCCCCCTCAGCCCTTTCTCTTCTTACATACCTCCACCAGGCTTTGGGGCGGAGGGACATCAGCAAAGGATGATCGCGCTGCAGAGATAACTTGGCATCGGCACAGGAAGTGCATGTTTTATTTCTATAACTTTGCTCAGGACTAAAAGGCTTTTTCTAACCAAATCCTGTTTTCTTAAAACTAGGGAGTAATGAGTGAAATAGATCAGCTACAAAAAGAAAAAACACCTAGACAATTACTGATATGAAACAAAACCTACTAAATGTAATCCCATAGTTGTGTAGAATTTACCAGTCCACACGTTTCAGGTGCTAAGAAATAATAATAATTAATTTTGCCACTGCGAGGTTTTCTCCCAATAGCAGCATTAAATCTCAAGGCTAGTGGGATGTGGCGTAAGGCTGTATATGTTTGGCACAATTAAAGGATCACTATAGTCACCAGAACAACTACAGCTTATTGAATTTGTTCTGGTGAGTAGAATCATTACCTTCAGGTTTTTTGCTGTAAACACTGTCTTTTTAGTGTAATGTAATGCAGTGTAATGTAGTGTAAGTGTAATGCAGTGTTTATATTACAGCTTAGTGATAACTTTACTGGCCACTCCTCAGATGTCTGTTAGAGATCCTTCCTGGGTCATGGCTGCCTAAAATGCATCCAAACATTTAGTATCTCCTCCCTCTGCATGCACACACTGAACTTTCCTCATAGAGATTCATTGATTCAATTCATCTCTATGAGGAGATGCTGATTGGCCAGGGCTGTGTTTGAATCATGCTGGCTCTGCCTCTTTGTCAGTCTCAGCCAATCCTATGGGGATGCATTGTGATTGGATCAGGCTACCACTTCTGATATTGTCAGCACCCTGTTAGTTTTTCTGAGTCTAACAGCATGCAGAGTTACATCTTCAAGCTTGCATACTGTAAGATACTTACTATATTTATGGAGGTATGAGGGGCCCAGGGGTGCTGGATGGAGGTTTTAACACTAAAGGGTCAGGAATACATGTTTGTGTTCCTGACCCTATAGTGATCCTTTAAACTAACTATATGGATGCAAAGAATACTTCATGTTCACACATGCATTTTTTTGAAGCCTGTTTTATACTGCATATGTTATTTACAAAGCTATAAGTTAAATCTTTGTCCACTTTTATTTCTTGGATTTTGCTCCAAAATCTCATTTGCATGGAGCTTTAATACACCCATTTCCACTTTTTCCAAACTGAATTCTTGACAAATCACATGAAATATTACAATTATGTAAGCTTATTTCTGAACATTTACAATTTCCATAAATTATTTTAAAACATCTCTTAGAGAATAAAGTGTTTTTACTGTTTCTTTTGCTAATTATTGGATTTATTGAAGAGAAACTCCAAACACTATAGCCATTTTAGTTCCTGCAGCCTTGTGCTTGGCTACTTTTGTCAAGATGACAAGCAAAGGACATTAAAGCGGAGCTGATAGCTTTGCTTTAATGACTTGTGCATCCAAAGAGGTGTGAGATACAATTCCTGGCCTTGAGCACGCATGTTGACATGGATGGACTTTCAGGCATCGCTCTCAGGAGTAAGAGCTTGCAAGTCTAAAAACAGTCAAGTCTTTCTGATAACTACTCTTAAATGATAAATGTCTACGTCTGAGTAGTCCCCTTTCCACACTTTGTCTAAGGGGTCTTATATCATTTCATATTTAACAAAAACAACAGAAACTATGTCATTGGCAGATAGTAAAGAGATTGTCCTGTATCCTTCCTTTGCTAAATCAGCCCTTTAATAATTACCTTTTATTTATTCACTTCATGCCATTTGCTGTTGAAAAAGCACTTGTAGCACTGTAAAACATGCCCTGTGTAGCCTTCTTTTTGACATTATAGTTTAGTGAAAGTATAACAAAATTAAAAAAACTACACAATGCTGTTAAAACATGAAACACATGGAATAAAACTTGCATTCTATTCATCATATGCATTAGTCATAAAAGAAAGAATAACCTGTAGTTACTGTTTAAATGGAGGCTTTTAAGATGCTCGGATGAGGATGATAGTATTCCACAGAGGCTGCTATTAGTGCCAGCAAAAGGCTTGAAAAAAGGGTTATATAGGCGTAGTCTTATGAGCCTTAGTTCTCCCAGTTAAGAAAGGAGTCTAGTCTCCTGTATTTGCGGTAACTTTTGTTCTCCCCATTTTGTCTACCTATGTATGTGGGTATTCACTTTTACTTTTAATGTTCCAATAAACTTACTTAAATTTCCCTAAGGCTATCAGTGTCTGATTAATGTGAGCAGTGGCCATGAAGAAGTTCAGTTTTTCTTCTTCTGTGTTGAAGCTACACTCAGTTCAGAATGATAGTCGGGAAGAAGAAGCTATGAATAACTGGAGTTTGTTTGTAACTCTCCTTGTTATTGTTACTGCCCGCATTATTACCAGGTTTTATATATTTTTTTCTACTTACCTTCCAGGGACAAGGCAGGATAAGATTCATAAACTATACTGCCCTTCTTGTGGTGACCTTGTTTCAATTATGCAAATGTCAGCTGTCACAAACACCACTACTCCAAGCGGGGCACGTGACTTATTTCAGTGGGTGAAAGAATTAAAAATCAATATTTGTCTGCAAAATCCCTCTTAACACCACCCACGCTTAACTATAGTATCAAAAGCTGACACCACCAAGGCAATTAATAAATTGGGCGTCTTAGGTTACAACAACAAATCAGATTTAAAAACCCACAATTTAGCAAAATATCTTTGGGGAAAAAAATTCTAATAAATAGGCCTTTACAGGTAACCTGATTCCTATACCAGATGAAGGCTGAACACTTCATGAACAAAAAATCATAACAAAAGTCACACTGCATGCATAATAATATATAATGGTGATCAACAAATTATTTACAAATTAACTGACAGTCCAAGTTACTCCCTTTCCTCTACCAGCTATTGTATCTACTGGTCCCAGAGGACTCCTGCATGGAAAATGGCAACTCACTCAAAATTAGATTTTGGCCCCAAGAAAGTACAATGATCATTTGTATCTTATGGATTTTATACCCTTTGTGCCCATCTTGAGTTTCTAAGCTGGCCCTGAAAGAGTTACAGAGTGGAGGGTAAAAGTGGCTATAGTTTTTGTTGAAATGTCTCATCTCATCTCAACTTTGGCAGATTTAAAAACAAATTTATATTAAAGAGTTTTACAAATTTTCCCTTTCAAAAACACCTTAGAAAACTCATCTGTGACTTAGAACAACTGACATTCTCAATTCCCCCAAATGGCTTAAGTTACACTAGACATGTTTGAACTTCTCATGTAGAGAATACCCTCAGAATTATAAATCCCTGTATTTACTCGAATATAATGGGCCACCGAATCTAATGCGCACCTCAATTTTTGAAACCTGGAAGCTGAAATTTCTTTTGCTGGTGAATGTAATGTGCATTTATACAAGAAAATACTACTATACAACATTGTGCTACAATGAAAATGTTAACATTGATGGTACTTAAATTTTAGTGTTACATGTAATTTGTCTGTGTGACTTCGCCGAAAAGGAATTTGCCTGTTTGAATTCACCAGTTTAAATTTGCCGTAATGAAATTCTCTGGAATGCAATTCGCCAGAAAAATATAGAATTTACCTCAAATGTAATGTGCCATCGACTAATGCGCATTCAAATTTTTGAAACTTTATTTTCCTAAAAAGATGCGAATTGGGTTTGAGTAAATACGATATATTATTATTATAGGAGGCACAATTATCCATCTTTGGATTATTATAAAAAAAAAATTTGCATACGATTTAGCAGATTGGCTCCTAACTTTTAATTTTGGATTTGCATATCAAAGGCGAGGGGTTTCCCACCCATGACGACAGGGGGTCCTCATCCCAGGAGCCTCTGTGCCTTGAAGCCAAAGCGCGGGAAGAAAGCTAAGGGGTCTCCCAGGCACAGAAAGGCCCGCCAAACTCATCAGTGCCCCAAAAGTGTCCCCACCAACCTCAGGCGACCTCACAATGGCCCATTCTCCAATCAATCTTTGTTTGCCAGGTTCCTGTGCTAAAACCTGAAAGGGAAGCGTCTCCTTTCAGGGTACGACTGCTCCCCCTGGTTGGCGTTTGTCTATACGACATGGTGGCCACCAGGGACGTATTTGCCTTGGCGGCAATTTCCAGGGGGCGGCAAACAATGCGGCCCCCAAATGCCCCGGCAAATACCTTGCTCAGGATCCAGGCAGGCGGCTAACTAAAAATCCATGCGGGCGGCGCTGGCGAGGGAGCACTGATTTGTGAGCTCTCTGCTCAACTCCCTTGCGCGCCGTAGAGTGTTGCCAGGATATGACGTCATATTCCGGCTCCTGGCATCACTCTGCAGCGCGCAAGGGAGCTGAGCAGAGACAGTGCTCCCTTGCCAGCGCCGCCCGCCCACATGGATTCCTTGTTAGCCGCCCACCTGCCTCCCTTCCTGTCAGAAGGGACCCCAGGTAAAAAAAATCCACCCAGCACTCCCAAAGGTAAGGAGGCTGGGTAGATTTAAACTAAAAAAAAAAAAAAAGTAATCGGTTAATGTTTGGGGAGGGGCTGTCAGTGTGTGTATGTCTGAGTAATTGTGTGTGTCTGGCTGTCAGTGTTTGTATGTCTGTCAGTGTGAATGTGAGTGATTATGTGTGTATGTCTGGGTGTCAGTGTGTGTATGTCTGTCAGTGTGTATCTGAGTGATTGTGTGTGTCTGGCTGTCAATGTGTGTTTGTCTATCAGTGTGTGTGTGTGTATGTCTGTCAGTGTGTATCTGAGTGATTGTGTGTGTATGTCTGTCAGTGTGTCTTTCACTGTGTGGCTGTCTGTCAGTGAGAGAGAGTGTGTGTGTGTGTGTGTGTCTGCAGGGATGTGTCTTCCGCGAGGCAAACAAGGCATCTGCCTTGGGCGGCACTTTACAGGGGGCGGCAAAAAAAAAGCCGCCCCCCCATAAAGCCCAGGCAGATCCATTGCTTGCCTCGCGTCCTGAGGAGGCTCAAGAGTTGGCCGGCTGGCCACTTATGAGCCCCCCTCCAACACCCCCCGATGCGGGCAGCGAGGGAGCATACTCACCTGAGCAGTTCCTGCTCAGCTCCCTCCACACCGCTTAATGAAGGAGGAATATGACGTCAGACCGGCTCCCGGCATAACTAAGCGCTGCCAACTCAGCCTGTGCGCCCCTTGCCTGCCCGACCAGCAGCACCACTGGACAGGTAAGCAATCCACTCCAGCTCTCCCAGGGAGGCTTGGTGGATTTAAAATAAAATAAAAATAATAATTTGTGTTGGGAGAAATGTGTATGTGTCTGTAAGTGTGTGTGAGTGAGTGTGTGTGGGTCAGTGAGTGTGTATGTGTCGATCAATGAGTGTGTGTGGGTCAGTGAGTGTGTATGTGTCAATCAATGAGTGCGTGCATCTGTCTGTGTGTGTCCAAGTAATAGTGTGTGTATGTCATTGTTTGTCAGTGTATATTAGAGTGTGTGTCTATCAATGAGTGTATGCATCGGTCAGTGAGTGAGCATCTGTCAAAGTGCGGCCTTGACAGGAAGCGGTGGAGAAAATTTAAATTGGGGGCCACACCACTGGTGGCCACCCATGGGAGCATTAAATTACTTCCTTTGCTGTTACACACTTATGTTGCCAGTGCGAATGTTGCAGTTTCACACTTATGTTGCGACTTCTAACGTTCTAATTAATTGGTGGGAGCGTTCAAATGGGACACTGGGGTGGTCCTCGTCAGGGAGACGAATGAGTCGGGAAACAATTCACGAATGCTCCCCCTGTCTGGCGTTCGTCTATACGAAATAGTGGCCACCCAGGGGAGCACTCATTAATTGCTTCCCTTGCGGTTTCGCATCTATGTCTGAGGTGAGAACGTTCTAATGCAACGTTCTAACTAGCGTTCTAAATGGGATATCGGGGTGGTCCCCGTTCGGGAGTGCTCATGCGAGAGAAACTCCTTCGACTCCTGGGGAGCGGGTATAATATAAGAAACGCAGGGAAAAAACACAATACTAGTGGGAAGCACCCGAACAAGGAGTGGTTCTGCCACACACACACAAAGACTGCTGAATAAATGCATAAAGACTGCTGAATACACGCGCACAGACATTACTGAATACGCACACATAGACAGCTGAATACACACACAGACTGTCGAATACATACAGACTGCTGAACTCAAGGTTCAGAGTGTGTGGAGGAGGTGCTCTGTGTGGGGGGGTAGGGGTTCACTGTGTGGGAGGTGCTATGTTTGTGTGGTGGGTATGGGATCAGTGTGTGAGAGGTGCTGTGTGTGGAGGGGGTGCAGTGTGTGTAGTAGTGGTTCAGTGTGTGGAGCGGGGGTGTTTGGGGAGAGTGCTGTGGGGGGACAAGGGAGCAAACGGACTTATTTTAAAAAATATATATTTGTTGTCCAGTACATCCCTGAGATGCTTAATCAGACTGAGATCTAGGGAATTTGGAGGGCAAGGCAACAGCTTTGTCTCTTTGTCATGCTCCTCAAACTATTCCTGAACATTTTTTGCAGTGTGGCAGGGTACTTTATCCTGCTGAAAGAGGTCACTGCCATTAGGGAACACGATTGCCATGAAGGGGTGTAGGTGGTCTGCAACAATCTCTAGGTAGGTGGTGTGGGTCAAATCCATAACACTACACACTTTCGACCCTACTATTGACGATACCTGCTGAACATGCAAACCGGAGATAGGTGGGAGACATTTGCGACAGGGCCCCTGTAGTATCGGATGCTGGGAGAAAATGACAGCCTGTTACTTCCTCACAGACATAGAGCACGCCGGGACAAAGAGAAGCTGCAGCCAACAGCCTATCAGCAAGCAGCACAACAGCCTCAGCCTGCAGCACGAAGGCAGCCAGCAGCACTCCGAGCAAGTCACCCTCCTGCAGAAAAAGGTAACCTAACAGTGTGTGTATCTGTGTGTATGTGCCAGTGCGTATCTGTGTGTCAGTGTATGTGCCAGAGTGTATCGTGTGAGTCAATGTATCCAGGGCCGGTGCTAGGATGTTTGACGACACAGACGAAGATGCATTTTGACACCCCCCTCCCCCCCAAAGAAATAAACAATGCATCTTCACCTCTGTGTCTCATAGCCCACTTTTGAATTTCTTACCCCCATTAGGAGTTTTATGACAGTCGATACGTTGTAGAGTTGCCCTAATCTTATTGAAATTGGCTTTTTTAAAATTATACGTTTTAGTATACCCAACATGCTTTTGCTTTTTTGAGTTTATTTAAAAAATTACCGTATTGTGATCACTATTTCCCAAATGTTCCCCTACTTAAATGTTGGTCAAAAAATCAACATTGTTTGCTACAACGAGATCCTGACAAGCATCCTTTCTAGTTGTTGCTTGGACCAGTTGTGACATGAAGGTGTCATTTAACACATTCAAAAACCTGATTCCCCTTGCTGAAGTACTAGTCACTCTATCCCAATTTATGTCCGGGTAATTAAAATCTCCAATAATTAATGTGTTACCCTGATTTGCAGCTTTCCCAATTTGCTCTAACAGCTGTTTTTCCTCATTAATATTTACATTAGGTGGTTTATAACATATCCCAACCAATAACTGATTTCCCTTAGTTTGCCCAAGCATATCCTATTATTTAGTGTATGCTATTGCCTTTAGTTCCCCCATTTTGTTATATAGGCTCCTTGCATTGGTAAGCATTAATTTATTATTATCATGAGTCATTTGTATTTTTTGTGAATTTTTATCAATATTATATACCTCCTCTGTTCTGTGCTTTCTCCTCTCCAATCCTCACCCCCTTATACTGAGCTAAAGTCCATCTCCATTTTCTAGATTGCTATGACCCTTCCCCCCACTACTAGTTTAAAATCTCCTTCAACCTTCTAGCCACTCTATCCCCCAGCACAGCAGACCCTCTTCCATTTAGGTACAATCCATCACGGCTATACAGGTTGTACCCAAGCACAAAATCGGCCCAGTGTTCTAAAAACCAAAAACCCTCTTTCCTGCAACAAGACTTCAGCCACTCATTAACCTCTCTAATCTCCCGCTGCCTTTCTGCTGTAGCACGCGGCACAGGTAATATTTATGAAAATATTACATTGCAGGTCCTTTTCTTTAGCTTACTTCCTAGTTCCCTGAACTCATTCTTAAGGACCTTCCATTTTCCTCTGACTTTGTCATACATAGACGCATTCCTCGACGCTCAGCACACAATGCCATAGACGTGCGGCGTCTATGTATTCTATGTCTATGGCTACTAATCCCTAGCAGAAACCGGAAATGCACATCACGCGGGACCGGAAGTGATGTGACGCGCCGAAAAGGGATGGGGCTTTAAATGGGGGCAGGGCTTTTAAACGGGGTGGAGCTAAAATGCATTTTTGGCACCAAATAATGGAATAACAGAGGAGAAAGGAGGATTACATCTTTATGCACCTCATGAAGGCATCCAGCCGAAACGCGTTGTGTTTGAGTGTTTGACCTTGGAAGATTCCTTGTATGCAGCTTGCTGTGTTTTTTATGTCGTTTTATGCTGTGATTTTATCTTTAACCCCTGCCCATTATTTCTGATTACATGTCCTGTGGGGGAGAGCACAGAAGCTGAAGGAGTACACCTATACATCCTACTTATATGTATTTACCTGAGCCAGTGTCTATATACAGGCAAATGAAAATGTGAGTAGGATGCAACTTTTCTTATAATATTTTAGTCATAGTGTGGACATTTATACAGGCTATATTGCCCTATGTGAGCCTTTTTATTTTTCAGAAAATTCTCTCTGGAAAAAGTCTATTTTAAGTGTATGTACTATATCTTATTACTGCACTTTTGAGATCACTGTGCACTTTATTCTTGTTATCAGTTCACAGAGCGTTAACCTCCATTTTCTGGCTTTGTTCTATATGTTTCATGGGGAATTAAGTGGTTGATTTCACAGGGTTTTTTAGCTGCACTATTCCAATATTACAAGCGCCAACTTACTGCTAACTTTCTCTTTCTATAAGGTTCGAACAATAAATGCAAAGTTTTAAACCTCATGCACAGAACACACAAACTGCAGATTGGGGGCCTCCTTGTGTCTTTGGAAGCTGAGAAGGCCTTCGACCACTTGAACTGGACGTTTTTAGAAAGGGTGCTCCACAAATTCGATTTTCCCAAGCAATTTATAGATGGAGTCTCAGCAGTATATAGTCAGCCCTCAGCCCGGGTCCTATATGCTGGATTTTTATCTAAAACCATAACCATTACCAACGGCTCCAAACCCTCCTCTATGTACTGGCGCTGGAACCCCTAGCAGCAAAAATGATATCAGATCCTAACATACAAAGTATCCCACTAGGAGGCCAAAACTATAAACTAAACATTTTTGCAGACGACATTCTAGTCACATTAACCCAACCTTTCATTTCCCTACCTAACCTAATGAATCAGATTGATGTTTTCGGACTACATTCCTACTATAAACTTAATGTCCCCAAAACACAGGCATAAACTATCGGCGTGGAAAGCAGAGAGAAGAGTACACTTCAGATACCCCTACCCAACAATTATTTAACCTCCATTACAATATTATTCTTGAAAAAAATTTGGCAACATAAAAGAATCAAGGTGGCTACAAAAATCTTGCAAAGATCAATAGCAGAGGGGTACCTGGGCATACTAAATTTACAAACGTACTATAGGGCAGTTCTCTTAATCACAATGCTTAATTTAAATAGCGATTCCCCACACCCACAGTGGGCCAAGACAGAAAAACATTGGACAAAAATATCTGATCCATGCCGTATCTTTTGGATAGAACAGTGGCTCAGACCTGACCTAGCTTATACACACTTCAAACAGCGTGGGGAAAACACTAATATACTACTCCAATGTATCATTAGCAGCCCAAATGTAATCCCTTACCTTAGCAATCCCGACATTCAACTATAAACCATAAATAGACAAAGGAATCACACATGTCCTGCAATTGTATCGGAGGTGGAAACCTTAACATATTCCCAGACTTACAAGAGCAGCATGACCTACAAGCAGGACGTATCTCCCATAACCTTCCACTTAAATAATTTCTGCATGATAACCAGCTCACACTCTCTTTACAAAAGGATAACAGCCCTATTTCAGAGTTTGAAATGGCATTTACGGAACGTACACCCCTTAAAAAGCCCTTAATCTCTGTGTTATTCTATATTACTTCAAAGGCAGACACAACCACAAAAATCATACAAAATAACATGGGGCAAATACATGGGATTCAAGATCAGCACAAATCAGTGAAATATGGTTCTAACTATACACAAGGGGCTAGCCTCCTGTGCACAACACTTAGAACTTCAAAGCAAGATCCTGTATTGATAGTATTTGGTACCAGATAGGATACAAAAGATATGGCCTCACACGCAAGTGGAGAGACCCACAGGGACATGCATCACTATCAAATAGCATTCAATCACTAGCACACGACCAACCTAATCATACTGAATAATCAAACACCAAATCACCATAACCGACGCACCCCTACAGACTGGAAACACGGAACAACAGTACTGAGAGGCCCTGTCCCGAAAGCAAACATTACTCCCTCGAACCCCAAAACCTCTCTGGGAACACAACCACCACACCGCTGATAAGACAAGCTTATGCGCGCTGGCAACAGTACAAGGCAAACAAATGTAACCATTCAAGTGTACACTGTGCTCTAACCCAATTCTTTCACATTTCTGTACAACCCTATTCTTATAAAAAAAGGCAAAATACAAAAATAAAGATTTAAAAAAAGAAAAAAAAACAATAGGGCACCCAGATTCCCTCCCTTTTCTATTCTGTAGCCCTCCCCAATCCTTAGATCTAGAGCAGCAACAAATGTTATGTACAGAGAAATATCGTATAAGCAAACAACAGATACTATAACCAAAGACAAATCGTCATAATCCTGTTTCATATGCAAGACTGTCATAAACCACAAAAATAAGCTCTACGAACTCTGTAACAATAATCTTACTCCCTTGTTCTATTGTGTACCCTAACCCCAACGAAAATGAAAACATTTCAAAAATAGAGAATTTAAAAAAAAAAGATATGGCCTAACTCATCATGCATATGCTGAAGATGAGAACATTAAAGAGGGACAATGTTTCACATATGGTGGGCTTGTAACCACATTAGGCCTTTCTGGCTCAGGGTGGCAAAACTCATTTTCTCCAGCTCCAGAGGCATGCTTGTTATTAATGCTGCCTGAGCAAGTGCCAAAAACTCACCTAGCACTCATGTACCACACACTTATCTTAGCCAATATGCTCATTGCAAAACAATTAAAAAACCACAAAAATACCAACACTCACCCACCTTATTAATCAATCAGTATTGAATTGGACATATATATCCATACACTAATTCTGAATCAAACCGGTGTGAGTGAATGCAAAGGAAATTTGGGATAACTTTACTCAGGACAGGGTACAGGACACAGGATAGATCATAATAATAAAAATACAAAAAAAAACCTCACCTCCAACTTCCACATGAACAGTAAAACCAACATACACTGTGTAATGCTAACCAGATGTGAAGACTTGATCTGTGTTGATGTCAGCGGGGTGTACTCCTGGAGCCTATGTTCCTACTCTCCCTCCCCCTTTCTCTTCTCTCACACGGATTTATGGGGTCACCTGATTCTAATAGATGCTGTAGATGAGGTTATAATGAAGGTACATACATTCATATTTGGTGGGAATATGCTTTAACCCCTTAAGGACACATGACATGTGTGACATGTCATAATTCCATTTTATTCCAGAAGTTTGGTCCTTAAGGGGTTAATCAAAACATTGGTCAACAGTATTCGATAAATTAAAAATATTTAATTAAATCTAGATAAATGGCCCGAAACTACTCTCCTAAATATAAATTGGTACAATGTACCCAAATCTATAACAATGATAATTATTAGTTTTTTTGCAGCAATACAGATATTAATAGCTAGACACTGATTTGGAGTTTCTCCAATCTCTTGGAACCAACTAAAAAATCAGATCATATACCGACTAAATATGGAAAGAGGTCTGGATCGGTTCAACCTCAATTTAAAAAAAGCATTAATGCTGAAAAATGGATAAAAAAAACAACCAACATTTTCCATACATAGACAGAGGAAATATTCTTTTTATAGGGACCTCTGAAAGTTTTCTTTTTTCCCCGCCGCTCGTATCAACCCCACACATTAGGATTTCAATGCATGTCATTATCCCTCAGAAAATGTTAGTTATGTTTTTTAAGAACACAGAGATTCTATTGAAAAATAAATGACTGACTCTCTGAATGAAATGAAAGAAGAAATAAAACTGCTACATCGGGGGGCGTGGCCTGACCGGGTATGGAGTGAGACGCATCTCCCTGCAGCTCCTAGGCCCCAGCTCACTACCGCACCGATACACGGGCACGAATTGACCCGAGATGGGTAAAACTAAGAGGCTACTCACCCCTGGCCCCTCACAAATGGGCTCACCGAGCCGCACAGCGGGACCCATGGACGGGTACCTCGGAACGCCGCGAGACATGCGGGCGCACCAGGCCGCAGCCAAAATGGCGCCGTCCTCGCCGGACACCAGCAGCACAGGCAGCCCAGCAACAGGCCCAGCCAGAGAGGAGTCACTGACCCAAATTGCAGCAGACTTGGCCACAATATCAGCAAACATGATGTCCAGGGCGGATAAAACGGAACTGCTGGCTGAAATTAGGGCAGTTATCAGAGAAGAGGTCATGGAGGTGAGGAGAGACCTGACAGCACTGGAACGCAGAGTTGAGGAACTAGAGGCAGAACGTGCCCAAAATATACAACACCGCCAAGCCACAGACACAGCCACTACTAGACAAGGCAATGTCTTGTTGGAGCTAAGAAGGAATCTGGAAGATTTGGACAATCGCAGACGGAGGAACAACATCCGCGTCAGGGGACTCCCTGAATCAGCAGGGGAAGCACTACCAGAGCTCCTGCTGGGCCTGTTCACCCACATACTAGGGGACAGAGCCCCGGCAGACTTTGGAATTGAACGTGCACACAGAGCCCTGCGCCCCGTGACCGCTGAGGGACCGCCTAGAGACGTAATATGCTACCTGCTCTCCTACTCGTTAAAAGACGAAATCATGAGGGAAGCAAGAAATCAGCAGAACCTCACCTACATGGATGCCCAGATTTCCCTATACCAGGATCTCTCAGTACTCACCTTGGAAGCGAGAAGGGCACTGAGACCACTAACCACCCTGCTCAGAGAGCGGCGGATATAATACAAATGGGGATTCCCCTTTAGCTTACAGGCAAAGGTGAGCAACATATGGCATATCATACGCTGGCCAGCAGACGTGCCGCGCTTTCTCCGAGCCGCAAACCTCCCAACCGTGACAGTCTCAAACTGGGTCCTGGAGAGACAGCCGCAACGCCCAAATGCTCCAAACACTAGGTCGGGTACGGGCCTTACAGGAGCTGGGTTCCGCAGAGGCGGCCCGGACAGCCATGAGGAATAACGGACTCAAGAGCCCAGGAGGGCGGCGACCGGCGCACCCACCGACGGCGGCACTCCCCAGTTTTCACACCCCCATTTAGTCCCAGAAACCACGTCACAGTGAGACAGACTACCAGACCGCTCCCCCAGGGTCGACCCGGAGAAACATCCATCGTAAGCAGAAGCTGACACACCGTTGGGTATGTACTTGCACCCCTATCCTGGGCCCGTAGCATTTACGCCCTAGCCAGAGTTACCGGGACTTGAGACAATGGAGTGCCACATTTTTGGGGTGGTGGGATCTGAGGGGAACGGGTAACACCCGGGGAAGATGAAGACAAAGGAGGGGGTCACCCCAGATTTTGAAAGACTCGGGCTCACCGCCCACAGAATCCCCCCTTTGGGTGGTTGGGGTAGGGGGGAGGCATTAACGGGCACCAACTACCTGAGTTGCATCCCAAGATAAAGTCTGGACAGTCCCATGCAGCCCCAGAGGGTCCCACGACTCAAGCATCGCCCAACCCCGGAAGGGATTAGCAAGCCAACTAGCGGGATAGGACACCACTTTACCCGGCTGGAACAGGGAGCAGAGGAGGGGGGTGCGGTCCCTGAGGGAGAGGGGAGAGGGGAATGTTAGCGGCGGTGGTCTGGTCTTTACAGTTGTTATTGTTATTAACGTTAATGAAGTTCACATGTTCCGCACCATACCAAGATGGTCACACACCTACACAAGGGGGTTGGAAACACACCTGAGCCCATGGAGCCCGAGGGGCTGGGCCGGGGCAGGGGCACCCGGGGAGGCCGGACCCGTCGGGTAGCAGCGGGGCCCAAATACCAACTAGACACGCGTTACTTAGACCCTTAAGAACAGAGAGGAAAATGGATGATGGGGAGGTGGCACCCTCGTACTACTTCTCCATACCCGTAGGGAAAATTCCAATTAAACAAAACTAGTGGGCTGGGTGCCGTGAGAGCGGTGCGATTCATTAGACGGTTCACCCCAGAACGGACGACCCACGTACCCCACATGACGGACTCACACTGTACAAATCCTCGGGGGCTACTCTGGTGACATACCCCGAAGGGACTAGACACCGGTGGGCGACTGACCCCGAGGCGAGTCGTAGTTACCTTAAAACCTGACCCACAACCCTTCCCTGACTTTGACCTGACTTCTCTCCTTCCCCCCCCGAACCTTACCCCGCGATACTCTGACACACCCATACCCTACCCCACGAGCAGATAGGGATGGGCTCTAACTATGTACCGGCGCCGCTTACCCTGTGGTCGAACAACGTTAGAGGCCTAAACGTACCCGAGAAGCGGTCTCAGTTACTCAGTACACTCTGGGCGGAACGCATCTCGGTGGCGTTTTTGCAGGAAACGCATCTTAAAGGTGCGGAGGCCCCCACCCTGAAAAACAGAAGGTACCCCACAGGCTATTACTCTAACCATGCCGACCAAAAAAAAGCGTGGTAGCGATCCTCTTTTCACATACTGTCCCGTTCGTATGCACAGAGCAACGAACAGATCCAGGGGGTAGATACTTATTTATCAAAGGAACCATAGCACAACACCCTTACACATTCGCCTGCCTGTATTCCCCGAACCGTAACCAACATGTCTTCCTGAATAAAACACTCACATTGCTCAATAAGTTCAGAGAGGGCCTACTAATTATGGCAGGAGATCTTAACACTCTGTTAGACGCTAGACTAGACACCTCTAGGGGAGAAAGCTCAATACCAGGTCATTGCACACGCGCAGTCGGGAGAGCACTGACAAGGAGTGGATTAGTGGATTGCTGGAGGGCGGCGCACCCTGACGGCAGGGACTATTCCTACTACTCAGCTGTGCATCAGAGATACAGTCGGATTGACTATATCTTCATGGCACAGGAAGCCCTGCCACTACTCCGCAAGGCTAGCATAGGCCTGATTGTGGAGTCAGATCACGCCCCGGTCTCAGTCCAGATCCAATCCCCATTACACAAACCAGCGGAAAGGCACTGGAAGCTAAATGAGAATATGCTGCCTAACCTGGGAGACACTGACCCAGTCAGGCAAACACTAACACAATACTTCGACACCAACACAACCCCCGACGTATCGCCCTTGACGGTGTGGGAAGCACATAAGTGTGTCGTACGGGGACACTATATTAAGGTCTGTTCGCAACGGAAGAAAGAACATACACGACAGCTGACAACACTAAACGCACAAATAGCCAACCTAGAGCAAGCTCATAAACAGAGTCAGGATGAGGACACGTTCCTCCAACTAACTGCGCTCCGAAGGCAGAGAAGAGACATATTAGCTCAGGGTCTCCTACGCACCCTTAGAAAATCGGCCCGGTTCTTTTTTGAACACTCGGACAAAAGCGGCAGACTGCTAGCCCGCCAGCTCCGAGATCGTCGGATGGCGAGCCACATACACAAAATTAAGCCCAGTGACAAAGCTGAAACCCGACTGCCGGACGGAATTCAGCGTGCGTTCGTAGACTACTACACGGACCTATACAACATCCCCCAACCCAACACTGACGCTGCCCGCACGCGACAGACCTGCCATATCACTGAATTTCTGGAACAAAATATAGATAAAAAGCTGACCGCTGAAATGCGGGACGACCTAGACCAACCCCTCGCTGGCGGCGGCCCTGAAGATCTCCAAATCCCACAAGGCCCCAGGACCGGACGGCCTGCCTCTGATGTACTTACGTACGTTCAAGGACATCTTATTACCAAACCTCTTAATGGGCCTCAACTCCATACTGGGGGGGGGGCGCTTCCCCTCGGACACGTTAGCAGCCATATTTACTGTAATACCAAAAGAGGGCAAGGATCCGACGAACTGCGCGAGCTACCGTCCCATATCGCTACTAAACGCAGACCTGAAACTATTCGCAAAAGCCATTGCCCTGAGAGTTGCAAGACACCTCCCCCACTTGGTACACTCGGATCAGGTTGGGTTTATCCCGGGCAGGGAAGGAGAGATAACACGATTAAGGCCCTGAACATCCTACACATAGCACGGACGCGCCGTAGAGAACTTCTACTACTTTCCACCGATGCCGAAAAGGCTTTTGACCGGGTGAGCTGGTCGTATCTGGGGAGCACCCTCACACACATGGGATTCGGCCCCAACATGCTGTCATGGGTGCTCTCTCTGTACACGTGCCCCACTGCGAGGATCCGCATTAACGGGGCACTATCAGCCCCTTTCACAATCAGGAATGGCACCCGCCAGGGATGCCCGCTTTCCCCCCTCCTGTTTGCCCTCTCCCTAGAACCATTTCTGGGGGCGGTCAGATGGAATGGGGGAATCTCTGGATTCCGCCTTGGTCGTCACGAATACCGAGTAGCCGCATATGCAGACGACATGCTGTTCTTTCTTACACAGCCGTTGATCTCACTGCCCAACCTTCTAGCATCTTTCCGGGAGTTTGGGGCACTCTCTAATCTTAAACTCAATACGGATAAGTCTGAGGCCCTCCACCTCCCACCCCCTACAGGCCCCCCAACACACCTTCACACCCAATACAGGTTCAAATGGTGCGATATCAAATTAAAATACTTGGGCATATGGCTGACCAAGGACCCGTCCCAATTATACCACCATAACTATCACCCACTCCTACACTCACTTCAGACAGACCTTAAGAAATGGGCCCCATATTACATCTCCTGGTTCGGACGTATCAACGCGGTTAAAATGAACGCATTACCCAGGATACTCTACCTATTCCAAACAGTGCCAATTACTCTCCCCAGGGCCTTTTTCAGCTCCATGATGACCGCCATTCGCAGATTCGTTTGGAACTCCCGCCCAACCCGAATAAAAAAATCAACCCTAGAACTACCAAAACTGATGGGGGGCACGGGACTGCCCTCCATAGAGACATATTACCGCGCCGCACACCTGCACAGACTGACGGACTGGCATGCGCAACACCCATTAAAACAATGGGTGACCCTAGAGCTAGAACAAACAGATAGAAAAATACCCTCTAGGCTTTGGTTACACACCGCCACATACTCCGACCTACACACCGAGAACCCACTAATTGACGCCACGCTCCGAGTGTGGATGGCTATACGCTACCGACTGCAACTCACCAGCTCCCCCAGCCCCTTAACACCCATCACGCATAACCCAGACCTGGCCGATGCTCTATCCCCACAAGACCTAGCCGGCCTCCAGCAGGCAGACTGGATGTACCTACACCAATGGCTCAACACTCAGGGACTTAAACCACTCGGAAACCTCTGCCCCGATAGACCACCGACGTTACTCGAACAATTCAGATACCACCAAGTTAAGACGTACTTTCTATCCTTGCATGGTCGAGGGCACCTGACTAGACCCCTCACCAGCTTTGAACACCTGTGCGTACACTGAACACACGTTCACAGAGGTATCTCCTCTATACAGACCATACTCAAGACCCAAACTAGTGAGGATGTGGTGCTCAAATTTAAGGATCATTGGGAGAGAGACTCGGGGGAAGTCCTTACCGCGCAAGATTGGGACAAGATCTACACCCTCACACATAAATGCTCTATCAGCTCTAAGTATCAGGAGCTGAACTACAAAATTTTAACCCGCTGGTACAGAACCCCAGACATACTTAATCGCATGAACGAGGGTGCCCCGGACACCTGCTGGAGATGCGGCATGCACACCGGCTCGTACTTCCACATCTGGTGGAAGTGCCCCGAGATTACCACATACTGGGAGAGGATCAGGGTAGAGATAAACAGAATCACAGGAGCGGAGCTACCCCTAGTGATGCTATTACACCACACCCCCACACCCGTCAAGACATATAAGAAATCCCTCATGCTGCCACTACTCAACGCAGCAAAGGCCCTTATCCCGGCAATGTGGAAACAGAGGGGGGCGCCTACCCTCCAGCAATGGGTGACAAGGGTGGAAGAGATCCACTCAATGGAATCCTTAACTGCAGACCTCCATGGTAGACAGGAGCAATGTGCACTGACCTGGTACCACTGGGAAACATACCTAGCCAACAGATTAGCAAACCCAAACATGGCCCCCCAGAGGCCCGCAGTAAACTGACTCATACAGAGCTAAGCTACCAAGCTACCCCTCCCCCCTGTGTCTCCTACCTCCCGCCCCCCTCCCAAGACTGTACACTGGACCGAACCCCAACGACTGACGCTGACGAGCCCGTAACAGGGGCATATTAATATACACACTTACTGTAAACACAGGAGCATAATACACAGGAAACCGAGACCCAATCTAGCGTTGATACCGGCATGAAAACATCCCGCCTGGCCACCTAGACTGGTACCTAGAGTACCCTCCCATATGTCGAGCTATACCGATAAGCATACAAATATATACACCGACAACTGCCTACCCACAGTAGAGGGGAACTTTATCTAAACCATCACACTTTGCTCTCACCCAGGTGACCAGATGGCCTTGAATGTAAATAATTGCTGTGTAGACATGGGAGGTGTTAAGGCACTAAAGGTATCTTTTTTCGCTCCCGTAGCTCTATATCATGCTCAACAACATATATTTGTCAAGCGATAAAATGCTCTCTGACACTGTTGGTATGAAACGTGAAATGAAAAATAAAGATTGTCAAAAAAAAACAAAAAACTGCTACATCATAAAATTCAGGAAAACCAAGATACAAGTGAATCAATCATAATTGATATTTCTAAAGTACAAGACATACAGGAAAATTCAAACAAAAAATTAATGGAGATGGAAAGAAATATCAAGGATCAAGAATTTTTTTTTTGAGAATTAAAGGAGTTCCTGAAGAAATAAAAAATGACGAACTGAAAGAATTTCTATATGAATACTTTAAAGAAATAGCAGGGGATTTAGGAGAAAAGGAACTACTTATGGCAAGAGCTCATATTATACAAACCTTCAACAGTATCTCCCCAGTCGCCAAGAGATACAATAATCTGTTTCCATAATTATATTTATATAAAGAAAGAATCTGGAAGGCTAGAAATATCACGCCCCAAAATAAGGAAAAATGTAAAAATTTGAGAATACTCAATGATTTATCTAACTTTACCCGACAACAAAGATGGAAATTAAAACCAGTGATTGACATATTGATTAAAGGACCACTATAGGCACCAGACCACTTCAGCTTAATGAAGTGGTCTGGGTGCCAGGTCCAGCTAGGATTAACCCTTTCTTCTATAAACATAGCAGTTTCAGAGAAACTGCTATGTTTACATTTGGGTTAATCCAGCCTCTAGTGGCTGTCTCATTTCACAGTGAGAAGATGCCAGCATCCATAGGAAAGCATTGAGAATGCTTTCCTATGGACTGGCTGAATGCGCGCGCGGCTCCTGCCGCGCATGCGCATTCAGCCGATGACATCGCTATGGAGGAGGAGAGTTCCCCGCCCGGCGTTGGAGAAAGAGGTAAGTTTAACCCCTTCCACCCCCTAGAGCCGGGCAGGAGAGGGGGCCCTGAGGGTGGGGGCACCCTAGGGGCACTATAGTGCCAGGAAAACAAGTATGTTTTCCTGGCACTATAGTTGTCCTTTAAGGAGAACATACGATTCACTTGGCAATATCCAGCAAAAATCCTATTAACTTTTAAAGAAGAAAGACACACCATAATGACAAAAGAACAGGGGATTCAATGACTAAATAAATTAAATATTGCAAGGGATAGTTAGAATAAATAATAAAATGTAAAGAATAATTAAGTGAGTTGGGGGGGTATGGGAGAAGGACGTGGGGGAGGGTGAGGTGGGGGGTTGGGATAAAGGCAACAGCATTAAAAGGTGGATAGAAAGATGAGAAGAGAGTTATAGAGTTCCCCCTAACAAAAACTAGGAAGTTTAAGTGGATTTTTAAATATATCTAGAGGAGATAGGAATATCACAAAGTATAGCTCTTTGGAATGAGAGCTCCCCCTCCGCACGGGTATCCTCCCTTCAGTCTCCCCCTACCAATAATGGTGTTTTTTTCTATATCTCCCTAAACTATACCTTTCTACGCTCTGCTCTTATAGGATAAACTTTCGCAAGCAGACCTCCTCTGGAATAATAGCCTGATTAACCTTAATAGCTCTGAAGGTAGTATTAGGATGGGCAAGAGAAAAGCTCCTAGAAAAGGAAGGTCTCTTGACCTATCTATGTATGAATGAGTTGTATGAATGTGTCTGTGTTAAGGGAAAATTAAGGGAAAACAAACGCATCAAAGTTTTTTAATGTTAAATTTATGCACTATAAACGCACAAGGATTAAATTCCATTTATAAAAGATGGACAATAATAGATACACTAGACAACTTTTTTTTTATATTGCACTAGTACAAAAAACAGATTGGTTATTGTCACAAAAAAAAACAAATTTTGATAAAAATTATACACATCAATTTTTTGCAAATTATTATGAAAAAGTAGAGGCATTCAGATACTGATTAGGAACTCAATATTACTTAATGTTTTACACAAAGGTATAGATAGAGAAGGATGATATATTATTTTAGTATGTTTTGTAGATAATATTCTCTATACAGTGGTGAATATTTATGCACCAAATAAGAATCAGTTTCAATTTCTTGAGTCTCTTATGTCACAAATTGAAAAAATTGCACAGGGTTATTTAATTTTAGGAGGGGACTCTTTTAGTGATGTATTAACGGATAAAAAAAAAATCAAAGAGGAAAAGAAATTAACACAAAACAAAAATTGGGAGCTAAAAGATTTAATACTTTTCTACAAAAATATGATTTAATGGATATATGGAGGATACTAAATCCAGAAACAAAAGATTATTCTTTTTATTCAATCCCGCATTATTCGTATACAAGAAAGGATCTATTCTTAACCAAAAATAATCTTTTTAATGAAGAAATCACCTGTAAAATAGATATCTCAACTTGGTCTGATCATGCACCAGTCTTTTTAAAACTGAAAACAAATAAGAATAAAATACATCAGGAATGGAGACTTAATGAATCATTATTAAAACAAGAGAAAAATAGAGATAAAATTGCTAAAGAAATAAAAAATATATATGTTTTTTTTTTTTTTTTTATTCTTTATTTTGTCACAGTCAACAAGATATATATATATTGCATGTAATACATTCAATGAAGCATATCACTGTTTTTACTCTTCTGCATACATTGGTGGGGTAGCGATGTTGGCTGTGGTATTTTGTTTTATGGTAATGTAGCTTGTTACTGCCATGGTCATGTCTTTAGCGATGGTTGTGGTTAGTGTAGGAGTCTGGGACATGTATGGCTCTGTGGTTTCAAAAAGTGAGAGAAAATGCGATATATTTCTATGGCGGGTTGGGTGCTGAGTGGGCACAGCTCCGCTTTGGTAGAGTAAGTGTAAGTGGTTCCTAGCGCGGAGCTGGGGGGGTAAGGTGTTCGTTAAGGAGCTAGTGTTTCTGAGTTTCGACTTGTTTAGGTCTGGGAGGTGGCGGAGATGGGTGTGACCCGCTGTTAGTGCATGGTGTGGTATGTTGCGCGGTGTCTAAGCGGAGTATGTAACATAAACAACAACAAACAAAAAAGAAAAAACAAACAAAGAGGGTACAATACCCACGGCATAACTTATGCTGCATCTACGGTTTCTCAACGTGAGGCTGGCCCTATGAGGTGCCTGTGCCTCATAATACGAGGGAAAAAATAAAACAAAAAACGATAAAAACGATAAAAACAAAGAATCCCAAGAGGTTAAGTAACCATATATAAAGGCAGCTATATAAATGAAAAAATGTAATGTCCAGAGTCACGTGGTTGCACGGTTGGGTAAGTTCCGATTTGCCGGGATGAACGGGACAGAGTTGGCCGGGTCCCATGTTGTCGGTGCCGGCGTTGCTGCGTGGTTCAGGCCCAGATTGGTCAGGGTTGCCTCTATCTGCGATGCCTCCGCTACCTTGATCTCCGTGTTTTGGTGCTGGATAATGAGCGTGTGTGTTGGGCCCCATCGGTACTTGATTCCGTTCGTTGATAGTATGGATGTGAGGGGTCGTAGCGTCTTCCGCCACTGAAGCGTCGGTCAAGAGAGATCTGAGTAGAAGGTAACGTCCATATCCTCAAAGCGGAATGGGGGTTTCCCCCTCACTGCTTTCAAGATGGCTGCTTTATTTTGGCCATTTTGGAATTTGACCAGTAGGTCGCTGGTGTTGGAGGCCGCAGCTGCAGGAGGCTTTGGGAGCCAAAACATCCCCTCTAGTGTGATGCCTTTTGCCTGTTTGGGTGTCAACAGTGCTGTGAAGAGTCTGCGCAGGCAGTGGGGTAGTTCTGCTTGTGTGATAGTGTCCATGAGGCCCCTGATCTTAAGGTGTTTCCACCTTCTCTTGTCCTCCATTGCTGCTAGTTGGTGGCTCAGAGTGGTGTGAGCTGCAGTGAGAGTGGCAATCTGATTCTGCAGACCTTGGATGTGGGCTGCATGTGTTGTGGCTGTCTGCTCAATTATATTTAGGCGCCCATTGAACCCCTTGAGGTCTTCTCTCACCTGGGAGATTTCTGAGGAGAGGCTGTGACGGAGATCCGCCAGGAGGCCGGTAAGTATCCCTGTGGTGAGAGGTTCTGACCCTTTGGCTGCTGGCTGGGCAGATGTTGTAGGGTTAATTCCCCTCTCTTCTGTGTCGTGGAGGGAGTAGTCAGCCGAGTCGTCTGAGAAGTCTCCCATGTCCGCCGCCATGTCAGTCCTCCCCGCGCCATGCGGTCCCCTCAGGAGGTCGCCGATATCGGCACAGAATCTCGGTCGATCCGGACGGGGCTTTTTGTTTTTTCTCCCCATCGTAAGGAGAGTTGTCCGGGGCTTGTTGGGGGGTGTTGTACCCCTATGTTCGGCAGGATTAGGGCGTTTTTCGTGCCCGTTTATCGGAGCTCATGCAGAGAGCGACCGTTGCCGTCGGATGCTAGCTCCGCCCCCCTCAAAAATTAAAAATATATATATATTTTAAAGAAAATATTAATCCCCAGACTTCAAAGGGAACCTTATGGTGTGCCTTTAAGGCAGTTATAAGAGGTCACATAATTAAAATAGGAGCATATGAAAAAAAAAAAAGTTTATCATACCAACAATTACATATTAAATTAGCCCAATTAGAAGTGCCTAATGAAGAAAATACTACAAAAATAAATAGTATAGAAATAATTAAAATTAAGGATAAAATAAAAATTAAAGATATGGATAGGATTAATTTTAAATCTACTTAGTCTAAAACAAATGTGGTATGCACAGGGGAATAGAGCAAACAAACTCCTGACCAACAGATTGATATTACAAACAAAGAAAAATAGAATCGTAGAAAAAGGTAAAATAATTATGGATCCAAAGTTTCCATAAAAAATTATACCACCTAGAAGAGGAGACCAATATTAATCAATGCCAAATGAGAAGTAAAATTAAAGAATATCTAAGAAAAATAAAACTGCCAAATCTTGATAAAATTGACTTAGATATATTGAAAGCCCCATTGACCTCTAAAGAGATTATAGATTTTATAAAAGATCTAACGAAAAACAAGACACCAGGACCAGACGGTTTTTCAAATTGTTTTTATAAAGCTTTTGGAGAAAGTCTGGCTGGCCACTTAGCTATAATTTTTGATGATATGATAAGGAATAACCAAATGTCAGGTGAAATGTTATCGGCAAATATTTATCCTATCTTAAAAGAAGGAAAAGATAAAGCATTATTTTAAAATTATAGACCAATTTCACTCATTAATGTGGATACAAAGATCTACTCAACAATATGGGCAAATCGTTTAAAAACGGTTATATCTCAAATAATGAATGGAGATGAAACAGGATTCATTCCAGGAAGATCAGCTGAAGACAATCTTAGGAAAAATATCAACTTAATACTAATGGCTGAAAATTCAGGATAATCCATGCTGACCCTGTCATTGGATGCAGAGAAGGCCTTTGACAGGGTCGGCTGGATTTATTTGGAAGAATTTTCAACAGCACCAGCCAGGGATGTCCACTAGCCCCTATGTCATACGCTTTATCATTAGAACCATTTGCTCAGAAAATTAGACAGAATGGAGATATTAAGGGCTCTCAAATTGGGAGCAGGAACTATAAAATAGCAATGTTTGCCTATGACGTTTTACTTACATTAAGGGACTTAGAGAGATCAATGGAGGCATTGATGAATGAGATCAAAATATACTCGGAATTGACCTATTATAGCCTTAATATAAACAAATCTCAGGCATTAGTCCTGAAGAAAAAAACAATTTAAAAGAGAAATATAAATTGCAATGGTTAGATAATACACTTAGCTATCTATGGATTAAAATCTCATATTCAAAAACATTCATTATGGATTTAAATTCATATTATTAAAGAACTTAAAAATAAACTTAATGGGTGAAAAAAAAAAAGTAATATCTTGGTTAGGTAAAATAAATGTAATTAAATAATATGTTCTACCAAATTTAACCTTTTTATTTAGATCTATCCCTTTGAAAGTAGAAAAAAACATACTTTGGGGTTTTCAGAAATTGTTTAACAACTTTTTATTGAATCATAAGAAAGCAAGGATAACACTAAACATGACATCTAGAGGGGAAAAAAATTGAGGTTTAGGAGTGCCCGATGTAAATAAAATTTATGATGCAATTTTATTCTCTCATATTTCAAAATGGTTCAGAACAGATAGTTGCTACCAATAGCTGGGCATAGAGAATGAAACATTAGTGACAAAAGATGCCATAAATATTACCTGTGATAAAAAAATAAATAGAACTCAATATGATGAATCCAATAGTCAGGGACTTGAGCATAGCATGGAAAAACCTACATTATAAGTATTTAAGTACATGGGACTTGAATATGTTTATACCATTGACAATTTTAGAAAATCTAATAGGTAATATCAAATTAAAAAATTTGAAAGGAAAAGGGAATAGTCCATATTTATAAGCTGAATGAAAACTTCAAGGTAAAATAGTTTTTATATAATTTAAAATACTTATGACATTCCATCAAATTAGTTTTATAACTATATAAGGATAACATATCATAAAGAGAAATAATTATCCCAAAAAAATCATTATAGAGAGGATAATAAAATTAAATATATCTTTCTGGGAAAACAAAAAAGAAAACCAGCAGATTGATTATGGATATTGTGAATAAAAAGGTTAATTTTAAATAATTTCCAACCATTAAAAGATGGATCAACGATTTGGATTTAAAGGTGGAAGAAGAAATTTTGATTAGATCAATCAATTTTACGAAAACAGCTATTCGTAATAAAAATCTGTTAGAAACGTATTTTAAAGTAACTTTTAGGTGGTACTTGACTGCAGAAAGATTAAGTAAATTTTTCCCTAATGATAATGGGTTGTGCTGGAGATGTATGGAAGAAATAGGCTCACTAGTTCACATATGGTGGAAATGTAGTAAGATTCAATCCCAATGGTCTAAAGTGTTTAATATAATTTCTACTCTACTTAATAATAAATGGGATCCAGCATGTGCCCTATTCCATATGGGGTCCAGTGGGGCTTCACTTCGGCGGTGTAGCGGTACTTACCTTATCCGTAGGCCGGTCGAGGTCCTCTATCCCCGCCGCGCGCGGCCCGCTCAGGGCTCAGATGATGGCGGGCACTGACCGCGAGATGCGGTCACGTGTCCCGCCTAGCTCTACAAGCGCGCCGCGCGTCTTGGGCACACTCTTAAAGGGACAGTGGGAGCCGAAAACTAAAACTGTCTCCCATTGGCCCCTGTCATCCCACATTCCCCATACACTCACATTTAGGGGGCGTGGATATGACAGGTGCCAATCAAATTAAATGCTAGGGTATTTATACTTACCTCTCCCTTAACTCCCTGCCCTATCATGGTTTCTGTTTCAGTTCCCTTTAGCGCTTGTTGTGTTCAGTTGTGATTTTTTCATACTTGACCTTGGCTTTGTATCTGACTCTGTTTTGTCTTGTTTGCCGGCTTACTGATTACTGTGTACCAGACCTTGGCTAGTTCTTGTTTTCGCTGTCTCTTTTTACCCTTGACCTCGACTCGTTCCTGACTCTCTCTTTCTTTGCTCTACGTCGAGTCTAGCCATTCTAAGGTCCGGTAAGACGTATCTGCTCTATATTGTCAATTGTTGGACTAAATCGTGCATGTTGGGGTATACTACTGTGGCATTACGATAGGGCCATGGACCCCGCAGATTTAGGTCAGAAAATGGCTTCACATGAGGCTAGATTTGTAGAGCAGGATCACCGTATGGATCAAATAGCTCAGGCTATTCAGACACTCTTATCTAGAACTACTCTGGTAACCGTACCAGCTCCTCCTGCACCCCTTGTTCCAGATGTATCTACCATGCCTAATGCTTCTGCACATTTAACCCCTCCACCTAGGTACGGAGGGGATGCTAAGACATGCAGGGGATTAATTAATCAAGTGGAATTCCACTTTGAGATGTATCCACGTTCCTTTCCCACTGATAGGTCTAAGGTTGGGTTCCTTATGCACCAACTTACTGATAAAAAACTTGAGTGGGCAAATCCTATTTGGTGCATGATTTCGATAGCTTCCTTACGGCTTTTCGTAGAACGTTTGACACAACTAAAAGGTTGAAGAATGCTGCCAGGGCATTAATGAGAATTAAACAAGGATCTAGGTCTGTTGCTGATTATGCTTTTCAGTTTCGTACCCTTGCTTCACAGGTAGATTGGACCAACAATGGGCTAACTACTGCGTTTATGGAAGGTCTATCTGACACTATATTGGATGAGGTAGCAGCTAGGGATCTTCCTATCCCATTAGAGGACCTTATCGACTATCTCATTGATATAGACAATAGGATTCGTGACAGACTCTATACTAAGAATAGGAATAGACATTTTGTTACATTAAATTCTCCTAGTGTTGCTAATCCTGAGAATTTCAATGTATCAGAGGAGGAGCCCATGCAATTAGGGGTTGCCAAACTCTCTGATGCTGAAAAATTGTATAGGAGAAAGGAGGGACTTTGCCTGTACTGTGTTAGGAAGGGTCATATGCTAAAAGAATGTCCTGTGCTTCCGGAAAACTATTGCACCTAAGGCCATATAGGGGACTGGCCTTGGGTGTGATATCTAAGTCCTCAAAACTGCCTCTTAACTGATTACTTCTCCCTGTTTCTCTGCATCTGGAAAAGAATTGCATAGCTGGGAACATACTAGCCCTGGTTGATTCCGGGGCCGCTGAGAATTTCATAGATTCTGGTTTTGTTAGGAAACACAACATACCCATTAGAGAGAGGAAGACACCCTTGGCCATTGAGGCCATAGATGGTAGACCATTATGCTCCTCAGTTATTACACATGAGACTGAACCGTTGCATATGTATACAGGGATGTTACACTCAGAAACCATTTGGTTTCAGGTCATCACCTCTCCTTCCTCTCACATTGTGTTAGGGTACCCATGGTTACATTCTCACAATCCCATATTTGACTGGGAGTCAGGACAAATAGTATCTTGAAGTGAGACCTGCCAAGAGTCTTGTATCGTTAAAATCACCCCTTTAAATTCTATTAATGTTCCTACTACTCCTCCTTTGTCTACTGTTATACCTCCTCAGTACATGTCTCTCAAGTCTGTCTTCGATAAAAGGGAGGCTGAAAAATTACCACCTCATAGACCCTACGATTGTGCTATTAATTTATTGCCTGGCACTACACCTCCCAAAGGCAGGGTGTATCCCCATCTCATGGAGGAATATATTAAAGAATCTCTACAAAAGGGGTTTATAAGGAGATCCTCTTCTCCGGCAGGGGCTGGGTTCTTCTTTGTGTCGAAGAAGGAGGGCGATTTAAGACCTTGTATCGATTATAGGGGTCTAAATAAAATCACCATAAAAAATGCTTACCCTATACCTTAAATCACGGAATTATTTGACAGGCTCAAATATGCTACTGTATTTACTAAACTGGACTTTAGAGGTGCATACAATCTAATACGTATAAAAAAGGACCATGAATGGAAAACTGCATTCAATACTAGGAGTGGTCATTACGAGTACACTGTGATGCCATTTGGTCTTTGTAATGCCCCAGCAGTATTTCAAGAATTTATTAATGACGTATTACGGGAGTTCATTCACACATTTGTAATAGTGTACTTGGACGACATATTAATATATTCAACAGATTTGCATACTCATCACATGCATGTTAAAACAGTTTTGAAAACCCTTCTTGTTAATGGTCTTTATTGTAAACTAGAAAAATGTTTATTTGATCAATCCGAAGTCCAGTTTTTGGGGTATTTAATTTCTGCCAAGGGCTTTCGTATAGATCCCCAGAAGCTTTCTGCTGTCATAGAATGGCCTCTACCTCAAGGTCTGAAAGCCATTCAGTGTTTTCTAACTATTATAGACGCTTTATTAAAGGTTTTTCTTCTATTGTAGCACCTATAACCCGTATGACTAAAAAGGATGGCAATACTCGTATCTGGTCCCCAGAGGCGCTTGAGGCTTTTGAATTTCTTAAGACTGCGTTCGCCTCTGCTCCTATTTTACAGCATCCTGTCCCTTCTTTGCCTTATAGTCTTGAAGTTAATGCTTCAGATATTGGGGTATGTGCTGTCTTATCTCAAAGAGAATCACCTGAAAAGCCATTACATCCTTGTGGCTTTTTTTCCAAGCAGATTTCCAAAGCCGAAAAGAATTATGACATAGGCAATCGAGAACTCCTTGCTATTATTTTAGCACTTAAGGAGTGGAGACATCTTTTAGAGGGTACTAAGGATCCCATCCTCATTTTTACGGATCCCAAAAACCTTTCCTAACTTAGTGAAGCCAAAAGATTGTCTTCTAGGCAGGCCAGGTGGTCACTGTTTTTATCTCATTTCAATTATATCATCACCTACAGATCAGGTGATCGTAACACTAAAGCCGACGCTCTGTCCAGACAATTTGAAACTACCGACAAACAAGAGTTTGATGATACCCCTGTCATTCCCCCGGACAGAATAATAGCTACTACGGTTCTATCTATTTCTTCTTCACTCTTGCAAGTTAAACAGGCTAAACAAAACATGGCACCCAGAGAGAGACCTGCTGATAAACTGTTCGTTGATGTTCCCGAAAGACGGGACGTTATGTCATTATATCATGACACCAAAACTGCTGGACATCCTCACTGACGCACACTTGCTCACTACAGACAAACTCACTGATGCACACGTTTCCTACAGACAAGGTCACTGACACAAACGCTCACTACAGACAAGTTCACTGACGCACACACACTCACTACAGACAAGACCACTGTCACACACTTGCTCTCTACATAAAAACTCACTGACACACACGTGCTCACTACACGCAAGCACACTGACACACACACACATGTTCTCTACTGACAAGCTCACTGACACACACACATGCTCACTACAAACAAGCACACTGACACACACACATGCTCTCTACAGGCAAGCTCACTAACACACCTGCTCACTACAGACAAGCTCACTGACACACTCAAATAGAAGCTTACTCACTAGCAGGCACACACACACACACACAAGCTCACTAACTAGCAGACACACACACAAGCTGACTCACTAGCAGGCACACACATGCACACACATACACACAAGCTCACTCACTAGCAGACACACACACATACAAGCTCACTCACTAGCAGGCTCACACACACTCACACATCATATGTTATTATGTACAGGGCATTTGGTGCTTTTGCCGGTCAACTTTCGGGAGCTTCTGCGGTCGCAATACGCAATTCTTCCCCTTAGTCTCATGCACCTTCCCTCTAAAAAGCGCTCTCCTGACAGATTTCAAAGTGGTTCAAAACCGCAAACCAAATTGTCCGGGAACCGCACAGTCACCTCATGCCGAAAACAGTTCCATAACGGTCGCGGCTCAGTACCGCTGGGTTTGGTTTATGCAACGGCAGCCAGAGAGCAGGCAAACACACACAATCCCACACAAGCTTACTCACTGTACCCTGTACCCTGGCTGGGTATCTCTGCCAAGGACCGCTTCCTAGCTGGAACAGGGACAACCTCAGCACTTCTGCCCCAGTCGCAGTGGCTTGACTGGGGTCCTCCTGGAGCTTCGCCGTCCTGGAGCAGGATAGGGGACTAGCTCTATTCCCTCCCAGGGACTGGATGGCACACAGTCCTGGGAGTTCTAGTCCTTACAAGTACTGTAAAACAGCCTGGGGATGCCCATATCAAAATCCCCCCATATCAAAATCCCTCTTCTCTCCTCAGTGGATCCAACACCGGCCGCTGTTGCTCCACATCTTTTTATGATGCGGCGTGCGCGCACCAACGTAATGTGGCTTATGATGACACAGCCCGCCAAAAGTTTTGAGTGCAAATGTTTTGGGGGAATGGTTGTGTAATTAAAGCTACAAAATATAAAAAGGCTTCATAAGGCAAGGATCATTGCCCTGTTGTGATTCTAAGTTTTGGTTCACAATAGTGCTTGTATTTTCTGTATATTTAAGGCTTATTGATCTCAGCTATTCTGACTATTCTCCATTTTGTAATCCTGTGACTCGGCTATTGGTTCTCATTTCCCTAATTTCTGGTTTCCCTGACTTGGCTATTGTATCTCGCTTTCCGAATTTCTGGTTTCCCTGACTCGGCTTGTCCATGACCATTCTATATCTAAAAACTTAAGTTTGGCCACAGGGCCAGCGCACCCATTAGGTGAATTAGGCATTCGTCTGGAGCGATGACCTGCTAGGGGCACCCATCGGGATGTTTTCTGGTGGGCTGCCCCTGTCTTGGGCCGGAGCGCTGGGCCAGCGGGTCTTGACCTGCCCACCCAGCACCAGGCCAATCCTCCAGGCACCCAAATGAGGGGGATGCCAAGAGAAGCCCTGTAATAGGAGGCCCAGGAGCTGGAATATGGCCGCGCGGCACCCAGGTCTAGCAGAGAAGGCAATGGGGATGGGGGGTGTGGGCGAGACTATACAAGCGGCGGAGGTGGAGATAAATGTGGCCCGAACCTGCTGCCTGGTAAGTGTGGGGGAACCCGGATGTTCCCCATCTATTTACCACAGTGTACCTGCTCCCTATCTACCCCAGTACCCCTGCTCCCCATCCATCTACCGCAGTGTCCCTGCTCCTTATCTACCCAAGTGCCCCTGATCCCTATCTACCTACTCCAGTGTGGCCCGGCACCCTATCTACCCCAGTGCCCTTGCTCCCTATCTACCCCAGTGCTCCTGCTCCTTATCTACCCCAGTGCCCTTGCTTCCTATTTATCCTAGTGCCCCTGCTCCCTATATACACCAGTGCCCTTGCTTCCTATTTACCCTAGTGCACCTGCTCCCTATATACACCAGTGCCCCTGCTCCCTCTCTACACTAGGGCCCCTGTTCTTTATCTACCCCAGTGCCTCTGCTCCCCATCTAGTAAAGTGAGTATGTGAGTGTGTCTGTCTGCTTGTAACTGTATGTGCCTATCTGCTTGTAACTGTGTTACAGTCTGTAACAGTGTGTGTAAAACTGTCTGTAAATGTGTATGACTGTCTGCCTGTGTCTGTGGCTGTCTCTACCTGTGTGTGTGTGACTGCCTGTAACTGTGTGTTTGACTATATACCTTGTTGTCTGTTTCAAAACTGACATGTAAGACTTTTTCGTTTATTACTGGCCCTTTAAGTGAACTTCGTGATTTTCTCCTCTAATGGCCTCCCTAGCCACTAATCTATTCACTCACCTTAATAACCTCACCTGGATTAATTATTTAGGAGGCTTGTCTACTCTCGGCACACAACAGTGCCTTAACATTGAAGTCTATGCTCTGATAAAGAATCTCTGTTCCTGGTAATATCCTGTATTTTATCTACATTATTTCATTCTGTAGAGAACTTACCTGCAGTGCCTCATCCTGTACTCATCTACATTTCCTCATACTGAAAGGCACTAACCTGCATTACTTCATCCTGAACTTGCCTGAATTACATCTTACCGAAAGTCTTTCCTTATCAGCTTCCAAGAATCCTGATTTGTGGCATATTGCCTTCATTGAAGAATCTTAACTGCTTCAATTGCTGCATCACTGCATGATCTCGTAAGAAACCTGCATTATATTATTTTGGAATATACCTACCTGTTTCAACCTCTGCAACTCTGCATGACACTGTATTGTCTTATCCTAAAAGGTATTTACCTATAACACAGTAAAGGAGTTTAAGCATGCGTGGGATAGGCATAAGGCTATCCTAACTATAAGATAAGGCTAGGGACTAATGAAAGTATTTAGAAAATTGGGCAGACTAGATGGGCCGAATGGTTCTTATCTGCCGTCACATTCTATGTTTCTATGTTTCTATAACTAGCTGCATTGCAAAGTATCCTGGAAATCCTTAACTACTAAGTATAACTTCAAGCCTGCTTGTATACAAAAGACTGTATTCATTTACTTTCTAAAGATCTTGTTTGTGGCATATCGCCTAAATCCTGTTTTTTCTCACAAAGTATTCTGTTTGTGGCAGACTGCCCTTTATTCTTTATTTTCAGTAAATATTTATGTCTAATATGACAAATAAAGTTTTAACCAATAACCCTTGCAATCGTCTCCTCTCTGACCTGCTCAGGAGCATGACACTTGTCTTGCATGTAAGCGGGACGGTTGGACCACTAGGGGCATTGAAGACTCTACACCCAAAAACAGACACCTTATAAAGATACTTACTTCTGAGTGAGACCTCACTATTATTGGACTTTACCTTTAGTTACTCCATCAGAACTTTAGTCCCACCATATCAGTGAGACCAAATGTTATATTGCCCTACCTATTCAGACAAACTATTGTACCTTTTAACTATTGGCGCAGCCCTTTTCCTGTATTTCTTTGTGTTACATGTGTGTATAAATGCATATATTAGGCAGTGTGTGTTTATGGATGTACGCATTAAGCAGTATGTGTGTATTAGGCAGACCTAACTGGAAACCAAATGACAAAATTTAGGACAAAATAGCTGATTTAGAAGAATTCTCCCATTCAGCTTGTCACGGTTCAGCTGTTTTTCCTTAACCTTTGCAATTTTGTTTTCAACTCACTTAATTTCAGGTAGCTTACTCACATTTGGTGCAGCTATGGCCAGCTCCAGTTTTGATAGCGTATAGTGGTATAATCCCCACTTAAAGTATGTGTTGGTGAATGTCCGTAAAAGATGGTGTTGTGGGACCCAAAATGACAAAAATATAGAAAGCAGATAATAGTGCAGTCTATTACAATAAAATTGGTGAAATATTAAAAATAGTAAATATTCACAAAGGTGGAGCAGGCAAACCGCTCTATGGATAAGGCGCCGGTTGTATGATCCCCACCTGGGATTTCTTTGGAGAGTACAATTAAATTAGGTCTAGCACTTTCCCTAACCCAAGTGTTGAACCTATCCTGACCAAAGCCATACTAGTAGAACTTAAGGTAAGTCATGACTGTGAAGGTAAAGTGACCACTTTTTTCTAAGCCCCATCAGTGCCTAGTTTCAAATAAAAGTCCACTGCCTTTTTTTTTTTCCATTTCAAACATAACCACAAGATCTTCCTAGAAATGTTACTAGCGTTCCAATAACTGGGTGCCACAATTTACTTCAATTGTTGGATTTGATTACTTTTAACAATAATCTTAATCTCATGCCTTACCCTCATCTTTGCACTCACTCTATTCATTATTGTTTCAATTAAAATAGACCTAGCAGGGGGCGTGTCCGACTTCTGGCCTAATCGGACGCATGGAGTAGGAGCTCCTCTCCATACCGAACCAAAAAAACTGTTTAAACCGCACAAATTTAAGCCACAAACTAGAGGAGTGTGAAGGGGACCGTGTCCGGTCAACGATATGTCTCCATCAAAGCAAACAAAACTTACTGACCCATCAAGACAAGTGAAAAAAGAAAGACACAAAATGACCCAAGATGGTGCTGGGACTGAGACTTCACCCAGGCCTCAGAAGGCCCGACAGACCCCGATCAGGCACAAGGAATTAATGCAGAGGGGCACATCACTAAGATCTATCTCAGGAACATGCTCCAAGACCCGAGGGCAACGATCCGAGAAGATTTTACTACAATCACCTCCAGCATCCAGGAGATTGCAGAGCTGGGCGACCACACAGACCACCTGGAACGGAAAACTGAGGAGTTATGCTCGGCTCATAACAAGACGGCTGACAAACTCCAAGCACTGGAGGCTGATAATGCAAAGCTGTGGCAAAAATTGGCAGACATGGAGGACAGGTAGTGCAGAAATATGTGAGGTGAGGGGGGATAGTGGAAACCATCCTGCCAGACAAGCTTGCGGACTACATCACTACCATGTGTGCAGCCCTGGCAGCTACTGTCAGCGGCACAGCATGTGAGCTAGATATAGCGCACCGACTACCGAGGCCCCCGCGCCTCACATTGCATACACCACGCGATGTAATTGTACGCTTTCACCACTTTAAATCTAAGGATGCCCTCCTTACAGCGGTGAGAGCAATGCCTAACATTCCTGCACCGTATGAGCCCTTACCATGGCCCGGCGCAGAGACTTCTCCACGATCACCAAAACGCTGCGCAACCACAAAATGGCATACCGGTGGGGCTTTCCCACCAAACTTCTAATCTGGCGCAATGGCAAACTTACTGTGATGGCGGAGTGTGAAGGGGACTGTGTCCCCTTCAGTTTCTGCTTGAATTTGTTTGCAAGGTGTCAGAATAGCCTCCCAGAGCTGGTGTTTGGATGTAAACTGCCTCCCATCCTCATAGATCTTTTGCTTGAGGATGCTCCAAAGGTTCTCAATAGGGTTGAGGTCAGGGGAGGATGGACACATGACTTTCTCGCCTTTTATCCCCATAGCAGCCATTGATGCAGAGATATTCTTTGCAGCATGAGATGGTGCATTGTCATGCATGAAGATGATTTTATTACGGAAAGCATTGTTCTTCCTTCTGTACCAGGGAAGAAAGTGGTCAATCAGAAACTCCACATACTTTGCAGAGGTCATCTTTACATCTTCAGGGACCCTAAAGAGGCCGACTAGCTCTCTTCCCATGATTCTGGCCCAAAACATGACTCCACCACCGCCTTGCTGACGTCGCAGCCTTGTTGGAACAGGGTGGCCTTCCACCAACCATCCACTACTCCATCCATCTGAACCATCCAGGGAACAGGACTGTTTGAAAATTAGTCTTCGTGTATTTTTCTGCCCAATGCAGCAGTTTCTGCTTGTGAGCATTGGTTAGCGGTGGCAGAATAGAAGGTTTATGCACAGTTGCAAGACTCTGGAGGACTCTACACCTTGATGGATGTCCGTGGGACTCCATAGGCACCAGCAGCTTCAAATATCTGTTTGCTGCTATGTAATGGTATTTTAGCAGCTGCTCTCTTGATCTGATGCATGGATCTGGCAGAAATCTTCCTCAACGTGCCTTTATCTGCACAAACCCGTCTGTGCTCTGAATCAGCCACAAATCTCTTAATAGTGCGATGATCACGCTTAAGTTTTCGTGAAATATCTAAGGTTTTCATACCTCGTCCAAGGCATTGAACTATTTCACTCTTTTCGGCAGCAGAGAGATCCTTTTTCTTCCCCATATTGCATGAAAATGGTGCTCTGCTTAATAATGTGGAACACCCTCCTTTAGTAGTTTTTCCTGGCAATCTAATTATCATAGGTGTCCGAGATTGTTTTCAGTGATCAAAAGAGCCCTGAGACACAATGCCATCCATGAGTTAAACTGAAAAACTAAATATTTAATCTTTATGACACTTAAATAGAATTTGCATAATAATTTGGAACAGGGTGTACAACAGACAAGAAAATACCCCATTGAGACTGAAAGAAAGGCATTTTTACTTACAGCAGAGGAAAGGATTCTTGACAGTAAGAACTATAAATATTTGTTATAATCTACAGATGAAGAAAAAGGTATACATTTTTGCATAAACAGAATATTGAAGGATATTATTATTATTTATAAAGAAAGCACTAACACATTCCTCAATAAAGAAAGGAAAGTTTTAAAATCACTCATGAACAATCCCGATATTATAATAAGATCTGCAGATAAAGGGGGAGGGGTTGTTGTAATGAATATTGTGGACTATGAGAAAGAGGCTACAAGACTACTCAGTGATTCAAATACATATCTACCTCTCACAAACAACCCCCATGAAACTTTCATGGAAGAGTTTTTGGAACTAATAAATGAAGGCAAAGATAAAGGAATTTTAAATAAAAGGGAATATGATTTTATTTGGTGCCGACATCCAAAGACAGCAGTATTCTACTATCTACCCAAGATCCATAAAAATCTTACCCACCCTCCTGGAAGACCAATTATTTCAGGTATTAACTCATTGACATCTAACCTCTCCCAATATGTGGAGAGGTTAGATGTTTTTACAACCCATGGTGGACAAATTACCATCGTATATGAAGGATACCACACAAGTTATTCAAGCACTATCCAATATTGAATGGAAGGAAGGATATTTTTTAGTGACTGCTGACGTAACTTCACTATACACAATAATAGAACATCTTCAAGGATGTGAAGCCATCCAATACTCTTTTGCTAAATATTCGGAGTTAAAAAATGATCAGATTAGCTTCATTGTCCAAGCAATCGCTTTTATCTTGAGCCATAACTCTTTCTGGGCACAACAGAAATTTTACTTCCAAATTGAGGGTATTACCATGGGAACTAGGTTTGCACCGAGTTATGCCAACTTATTCATGGGCAAGTGGGAAGAAGAATTTATTTGGAATAATACCACACACGGTGCAAACCTGGTCCTGTGGCAGCACTATATTGATGACTGTATTTTTATTTGGAAAGGGGATCTATTCTCTTTAACTGAATTTAAAGATTACCTTAATTTTAATCCATACAATTTAAGATTTACTTTTAATCAATCTCAATCTTCGGTCGAATTTTTAGATTTGGAGATATATATTAAAGAAGAGAAAATCCACACAAAAACATTTAGAAAACCTGTAGACTGCAATAGCTTCATTCCTTCAGACAGTCACCACAAGAAAACTTGGTTAGACAATATCCTTTATGGGCAATTTAGGAGACTGAGAAGAAATTGTACAGAATTAGATATCTGTACAAACCAGATGGAGGAAATGAAAGGCCAGTTCTTGAAGAAAGGATATGGCCATGATATGTTGACTAATGCGATGAATAAAGCTCTGAAATTATCAAGAGAAGAGACTCTGGAAAGTAGAAGAAAATCATCCAAACCTGATACAGAGACCCCCGCATTCATCACCCAATTTAGTGATCAAGCAGGGAGAATCAGATATATTTTGAACAAACATTGGAAAGTCTTGAAAGAAGATAATACACTGGGTGTTATATTGGATGATAAACCTAAAATCTTCTATTCTCGGGCTCCAAATTTGAAAACCATATTAGCTCCAACAATCAAAGAAATTAGACCATTAAGAACTAACCAGGAGATGGTGGGCTTTTAGAAATGTAATAAATGTCCAGGCTGTAAGAATAAACCAACACAACCAGCTCTAATAAGAAAATTTAGTAACATTAATGGAGATGAAGAATTCAAAATTAAGTCAAATTTGAATTGTAACTCCACTGGAGTCATCTATCTCCTAATATGTCCCTGCAAGAAACATTATGTGGGTAGAACAAAAAGAAAATTTAGAATGAGGCTAGGAGAACATATCCGTAACATCAAAAAGGGATTAAATACCCACAATCTTTCAAGACATTTCTCTAACCACCATTCTAATGATCCAATGGGTCTAGAATTTTATGCCATTGATACAGTTAATCCACATTGGAGAGGAGGGGATTTTTTAGAAGACGCTTGATAAAAATGAAGCAAAATGGATATTTCAACTCAACAGTCTGGAACCCTTCGGTCTTAATGTGGATTTTGAGCTTAATGCCTTTCTCTAACAATATATTTTATATTTTATATATATCTTTATCAAGATATATAATTTTTTTCACACTTTTTAACTCCTTTTTAACCTTTTTTATAATATTTAATATTTTTTATAAAATATTTAATATATTTTTTATTAGCTTTTTATATACATTTTCTATAATCATTTGTTATTTGCCTTTCTCTCCAGATATTTTAACATATTCCAGTATACTTCATTGTTATTTATCCCCTATATCACTTATCTCATCTTATTTTATTTTTATCTTTCAGATGGTTTGTTATAACACCATATGTATCAACCTACTACACAGCTTTTTACCATGTTATATTTTTATTTGTTACAAGTATCTAATTTTATGTCATTCAGATGAATTTAATCTTTATTTTTACTTTGTAAAATTGTATGTATCCAGTGCTATGAAGATGTGCAATAACTAATTCCTTGAATTAATTATTAAAATTGATGTTATTTATTTATTAACTAATTATGCACAAATTAAGTATGTTTATAATGCATTATTATTAGATAATGTCTCCATTTCAGCCGCTAACCAGAGGGAAATCCATATTTGCACAGACACATCAGTTGAAGCTATAGCTGCAGTGGCCTATTTGAAGACCTCAGGGATCAATGGAGACATACATTGCAATTTTGTTCTAGGCAAGGCAAAGCTAACACCAAAACCTGCACATACCATACCCAGACTTGAACTTTGTGCAGCCGTACTAGCCATGGAAATAGCTGAAGTCATAAAGCGTGAAATGGACATTAAAATAGATTCCTTCACATTTTACACAGACAGTAAGATAGTGCTTGGATACATTTACAACCAAACCAAACAATTTTACGTGTACATCAGTAATCGAGTAGAACGTATCAGAAGGTTCTCTCTGCCAAAGCAATGGCATTATATTCCCACTGACCTTAATCCTGCTGATTATGGGACAAGACCCAAGATTTCTTCATGAAAACTCCTACTCAATTTCCACTGACTTTACCTAGGAATTGGTACTTCTTCTCCCAAGTGAATGACTTATGCAAGAGTACCAGGCGGTACAGTGCTGTGGCGGGGAGAACGCCTCTATAACTGTTAACTATGCCACTGATGAAGCTCCACGGCTATAAACTGTAGACTACAGGACTTTAGCAATCTGTTATTGGAATTCATGTTTTATTGTTCATTTACTGCATACCTCCTTTGTTTTGCAGGTATCTCGTATTTATGGTTTACACTCTAGTATTATTTTCCAATGTTTTCTTCACTTACAGGTTCAAGTTGGACTTTTAGACATTTGGACATATATATATATATATTATAGGATGAAATCTAAAGATTTCAGGCAGGGAGTGTCATGTTATATGATATCGTTTTATTATAATGTACTGTTTCTTTAATGTTCATCTTAAGTTTGTCTCTTGGGCCACTCCATAGTTTGCATGCTGCTTCAGGTATTCCCCTCCCCCTCTCTAGTGTTTTCTATGCTGTACATTCATATGACTTGTGATATCTCTCCTAACCTGTATGGAAGAATCGTTCTTTTACCTGTTGTAACTGCACATTCTATAGATCATACGACAAATAAACATCGCCAGATCTTCTTTCATGTGAGTTGTGACTGAGTAAACTATCTGGGAAGGTGATTTGGTATGGATAATCTCATCAGGGCAATGAGCGCCATGTGCTCCTGAAAACCACATTCATAGCCTTTGCAGCTGGTCCAGAATAGGTCCCCTCGCAGCCTAAATGCGGTCCCCAGCATCTCCCTCCTTCTTTCCCTCGTACTGAACTGTCACAGTCCAAGAGAAAGTTGGAAAAATCCAGGGGGGGCAAGTTCCCTCTCTTGCTCCCTTCTGCAGATGCCCATACCTATATAAGGAAGCCAATAATGCTTGCAAAAAGGCAATTAAAGTGGCTAAACTAGAAAATGATAAATTGCCTCAAATTCTTTTTTGAAGTACATTAATTCTAAGGAACAAAAATAAAAGTGTAGGTACACTGAAAACAGAGAAGAGAGTGTTAGTTAATGAAGACCAGGATAAGGCAGAAATTTTAAATAACTATCTTTCTTTAGTATATATTAATAAGGATCCAAGGGCAAGAGATATGCAAATGATTGCTGCAAAAAAATTGCTGATAACTTGTGATTGGATGAGTCGAGACAAGGTGCTAAAGGAGTTAAAGAAAAGGAATGTATATAAAGCTCCTGGGCCTGATGGTGTTCACCCACGAGTACTTAAGGAGCTAAGTGTGAAAATATTTAATCTGTCAAGATTCTTTTGTTTCAGGAATTGTACTGGAGGATTAAAGGAAGTCAGGTGTCGTTCCTATATTTAAAAAGGGTTCAAAATCCTTACCTGGAAATTATAGACCTGTGAGCTTAACTTCTGTGACTGGGAAAGTATTTGAAGGGTTATTAAGGGATAATATTCAGGAATTCATTGGGAAGAACTTTGTTATTAGCAATAATCAGCATAACTTTATGAAACATAGGTCATGTCAAACTAACCAAATTGCATTCTACAAAGAAGTAAGTAGAAGTATAGATCACGGTGTTGCAGTGGATGTGATCTACTTGGATTTTGCCAAGGCATTTGATACGGTTCCTCACAATAGGTTAGTGTTTAAACTAAAAGAAATTGGTCTAGATTAAAATTCTTGTTCTTGGGTAGAACATTTGCTTAAAGATAGAGCAAAACAAGTTGTTACTAATGGTACATTTTCAGGCTGGAGAAGAGTGGTAGTGGTGCCCCCCCTCAGGGTTCTGTTTTGGGACCACTTCTATTTAACATATTTATAAATGATCTTGAAATAGGCATTGAAAGTCATGTTTTAGTGATTGCAGATGACACAATACTCTGTAAAGTAATACAATGTGAGCAGAATATTGCTTTGCTGCAGAGGGATTTAGATAGATTGGGTGGGCACTCATTGGTAGATGAAATTTAATGTAGAGAAATGCAAAGTTATGCACTTCGAGGTAGAGAATTCACAAGCAACTTACACCCCAAAATGTTAGAGAATTAAGGATATCTGATGGAAACAAATTGTTTTACCTACGCTTAGTGAATATCCACCTAGACATACAGAGCTAATATATATTTTTTTTTAATGTTACTGTTATTCTTGCGCATGACACCAGCTTTCGCTATCTTTTATAAATACCCTGCACTTGTAAAAAAAGAGCATTCTTTCTAGCAGCTGCAATTTTTAATTGGGTTCCTAAATCTAAGACTGTCACTTGCATCAGTTAACAGGAGACTAACAGCATTACGAAATGTTATATGAAAAATTATACTTTCTGTTCTGAGACTCTGATGATTGGTTAATGTTGATGCATACACCCCTAGACCAACTGTGTTTTATAGATATACAATGTATGACGCATAAAAACTTTGAATGCTTATTGATAATCCATCTGAAATGGTGTGACTTCTTTGAGTATTCCCAGAAGCTGATTACACAGACAAAGGAAAGCAGAAACGTGTTGGTGCATAAGTCCATGGCAGCTTGTTTCTAGACCCTGTGGTGATTTCCAGCCTAACAACAACACACAAGAAGGATTTGGGAATTGTTATAGACAACAAATTAGGCAGCAATATGCAATGTCAATCTGCAGTTGCTAAGGCCAGTAAGATTTTGTCATGTATAAATAGGGGCATAAATTCTTGTGATGAAAATATAGTTTTGCTTCTTTATAAATTGCTGGTAAGACCACACCTTGAATATGCTGCGCAATTTTGGGCACCTGTTCTAAAGAAGGATATTATGGCACTAGAAAAAGTGCAGAGATGAGCTACAAAATTGATAAAAAGAATGGAGCCTTCTAGTTATGAAGAAAGGTTATGTTTAAACAGCAATTGGATTAATACTTGCAAAACATAATATACAGGAATATCATTTCTAATTAGTGGGGTAATAGCGTCTTGATCCAAGGAGATATCGGACTGCCTTTCTGGGGTCAAGAAGGAATTTCTTCATAGTTTGTAGCAAAATTGTAAGCGCTTCAGGCTGTTTTTTGCCTTCTTTTGGATCAACAGCAAAACCACTCACACGTCATTCACCCACTGCACACACAGTTTCCTCCACACAAATACAACACTCAGCCACCACATAAACAGACAGAGTCCAGGGTTCTGGGAAGGGTTCTAGGCAGGGTGCCAGGCTAGAGCCCTTTCCAGAACCCTTTGGACAATCTTAATCCAGGTCTGGCTGCTAGACGAGTAACTCCACCTCCAGAAGAGTCATTGGAGTATCTCTAGTCTGCTCAGAATAAGAGATCCAGGCTGACTAATGGCAATTATGTGCTTAGTTCTATGCACAGAGCTGCATTCATTTGCTGAGTGCAATCAGTTGACACTCTCAGATAATGAATACTGATGGCATCTGGCTTCTGCAGAAGCCGGATGCTCGTCACTGGCCACTGAAAGAGAGGACACACCATTGCAAAACAGTTTGTCCATTACTGGGATTTCGGGCCAGGGTACTCCTAGCATCATAACCACTACAATGGATGCTTACATGTGCCTTTTCAGTTCTAATCAGTAAGTAAACTAGCTGCTAATGGAAGATGGAAATATCTTTAGGTTTTTTTTTTTGTTTTTTTTATCATTGCATGCTATACTGTTATTATCAACAAGAAAATATGATTATTCCCCTGTAAACTGATGCCTATCAAATGGTGTAAGTGGAGAACTCAATTTATTCTTACAACAAAGATTAACTTAAACTACAGTTCAAGGTGATAAGTCATTAAAAGTAAATCTGGCTAAATAACTGAATTCAAAACAGTCTACAGAAATGAGGAAACAGAAGAAAACTGTAAAACTGATAGCAACTTAACATAATATTTAATACATGCTTTTATGCAGGCCAAGCAAGTACTCTAAAATAAAAATAGCATCTTAGATTCCAATCAAGAGATTGCCCCTGCTCTTCATGATTCTCACGTCATGGAACAGCATGTGAGCTATTGCAGAAAAAAACAGCTTCACATTTATAACATGTATATTACTTTTGTCCAATGTGAATCCTCTGATGTGATACAAGCTGTGGTTTTTGGTGAAACCTTTTTCCACATAAAGTGCATGCAAATGGTTTCTCCCCTGTGTGAATTCTCTGATGTTTTATTAGATTGGAGCTGTTGCTAAAACTTTTTCCACAGTGAGAGCATGTGAATGGCCTCTCACCTGTATGAATGCGTTTATGTTTTACAAGACCAGAGTTTTCAGTAAATGATTTACCACATACAGAACATGAGAATGGCTTCTCCCCTGTGTGGATCCTTAGATGACTGGTGAGAACAGAATTCTTAGTAAAACATTTACCACATTCAGGGCATACAAACAATTTTTCACCTGTGTGATATCGCTGATGTAGAACAAGATCTGCCTTATATGTGAATCGTTTACCACAGTCAGAACAAGTCAATTTGTTCTCTTTGTGAAAGTTTAGGTGCTGAACAAGATCTGAGTTGTTAGTAAAGCACTGGTGACACTCTTTGCACCTAAACATTCTTGCTGTGGCATGTGTTGCTTGCTGGGATGTATTCTCTAAATGAGGAAAGTTTTTGCCAATAGGAAATGTAATAATCTCATCGCTGAGATGTTCTGTGGGTGTAGAAATTCTAGATTCTATTGTATCTTCGTCGCACGGGTCTGATTCATCTTTTGTAGATGTATAATCTGCAGCATTATAGTCAGTATCTGTAAAACTACTATCTTCACATAAGACTGATTTTCCTGACTGCAGAGGTTCTGTAGATGAATAAAAGTCAGTGTCTGATCTATTTCCTTCATCACTTGAGTCTGATTCCTCCTTAATATGATATAATACATATTCGGGCTGTGTATTTTCTGTGGCATTATTTTCATCTGTTAAATTTGTTTCTAAACATTCATCCACTTTTCTTCTTATGTTGTCTATAGATTTGTGCGGTCTTTTCCTTATTTTACTTATACCCCAGCATTTTGATTCGTGATTGCTATGAAAGACATGACTATCTTCACCTATAATATCATTTGAAGAAACAGGCATTTGAAGATCTTCGGTGTTGTCCTCTCCCATCGAGTCACCTATGATGAACAAGAAAGCAAACAGACTGATTAGCTTTATTTTATAATGTAAGGTACAAACACACAAAATGTGTAGATCAATCTTCTCATTTTGGATAACGCAAACTCCTTATAAACTGCTATAAAGAAGAGGGGAAAAAAGACTGCCTTATAAGGAATGGATAGCACTATTTACACAAAGTTTAGCTCTGTTTCCGGTCTTGTTTACTGGGAGGAGCTATTGAAAATGATGCCCCCATATTTTGATCAGGAAAATCTAATTGTTAGTAAATATATATTATGAGAATATTTAGATTTACCTTACAGTCTGACTAGAAGGAGTTTTTTTTTAACCTGCAATGCATTGATTGTGATCAGATTCATTTTTCTTTTTTGTAGGTGTACACATTAACTAAGAAAATAAAAGCACAGCAAAAATAAATATTTCTTACCCTTTAGTAAACTGAAATAGACTTGGTCGCAGCTCAAAACTGGCAAAAAACTATGCAAAATTAAGCAATCAGGTCCACTCACATACAGTTGATAACAGAAAAATAAAATATCTATTTTTCTTGCTGTAAAATATCCATGATTATCATAAAAAAAAAAAACAAACAGCTACAGTGAAAAATGGGACAAATAGAAAAGAAAAAATAAGGAACGTTCTAGGTTTAACACCTAGGACGGTGCTTTCTCATAAGCAAATTAACTAAACCAACAAAGGTTGTTACTTAAAGTGTTATAAGCAGAGAAAGGGAGCAAGAACCGAAATCATCCAAAGAAGAAAAAGCTAGATGTATCACTTGACATTTAAAAAAAAAAATTAAACCAGCAAACACTTTTACAAAAACTAAAATAAAGCATGAAAAGTATGTAATGAATATTTATAAACTTACAATAAAAACGTTGTCATTTTGCTTTTTCTGTCACGCCTCTGAGCTAGGGGAAATGTAACAACTGACTGCAGTGGCGTAGCAAAAAAGGGGGGGGGGGCGGGCGTCTGCCCCGAGCAGCGGCAGTGACCCTCCTCCCACCTTCTGAGTGAGACCTTGTAGCGATCCTGCTCTGCTTGCTAGGTCTCCTCCGTGAGGTGCAGTGAGTGAGAGGAAGAGGTGGGGCCGGAGGAATGGGAATCACTTTCTGTGCTCTCATGTCCTGCGGCGTGAAGAGCAAGAGCAGCCTGGAAGAGACACCAAGTATGCAAGGATATCTGGGCTGGAGTCGTATGTAGGGATGGTCTGAGGGGCTTAGAGAACCATAGCATATGGGGGAGTTTGTATAGTTCCATCAGTTGTCTTTCTATTTTAACCCATTGGGGGGAGGGAGGGTTGATCTACAAAGTGTGGTATTGTTGATGCTAGTATGGATGCGTAGTAGTAGGTGCGAACATCCGGGACTGCAAGGCCACCTGCCCTAACTTGAGCTCTCAGGAGTTTCATGGATACTTGGGGTCTCCCTCCCGCCCAAATAAATGTGGTTATATCTCTTTGGACCGTTATGAAGTAGGACTGTCACAAAGAGCGGTAGGGTTTGGAAGACGTAATCTTGGGAGAATTAACATCTCAATTGCCACTATCCTTTTGGACCACGTAAGGAAAAGGGGGCCCTATTTTGCTAGGATTTACTTACAGTCATTTCAGACCCTGATATAATTACCCGTGTTTAGGTCAGTGGTCCTTCTGGAGAACAGTAGCCCTAAGTATTTGATATCGTCTCGTCTCCATTCAAAGGGATAAGTTGTATACAGATGTCAATCACTGAGGAGGAAAGGCCTATTCCTAGAGCTTGTGTTTTTGTAGTACTCAGAGTAGTATGAGCGGGGTTTTAGTGGGGTCCGAAATGTATAGCAAAGTGTTGTTGGCAAAGGCGCTGATTTTATATTCTATTCCTTTCACCTTTATACCCTTTATGTTGGGGTGGTCTCTGATATTCCGTAGGAGGGACTCCATGGCCAACACGTACAACAGGAATTGTAACATTGCTGCAGACAAGACCGCAAATATCTTTATCTGCCCATAGGGGTCCGGCGTGTCCAAAGTTCTGCTAGCTCTCACCAGTTGCTCCTTGGCATGGAAAAAGTGAACTCGGGCTATAACATCCCTTGGGGCTGTCAGTGGAAGGTGTTTTGGGTGTCTGAGCCTGTGTGCCCTGTCTACAATCAGCTGGTCCGGGTGAATTGCAGGGGTGAGGGCCTGGAACAGATCCATCAGGCAATTGTTGAGATCTGTAGGAGTAACTGTCTCCAGTATTCCATGGATACGGATATTGTTGTTCCTGGACCTGTCTTCGAGGTCTGCTAGCTTAAGCCTATAGGAGTTTAGGGCAGTCTCAAACCCCTGGACCTTATCTACCAAGCTGTTGTGGGCCTCTGCAAAATCATCCATCTTGTGTTTGATTTGAGACGTGCGCTGGCCTAGTTCCGTGATGTCTTTGTGGAGCTCAGATGCTAGTGCCTGCAGCTGTGTTTTCATATTTGCCTGTAAGGTTTCTGTGAGCTCCACCAGCATATGGCGCATGGTGCTTGCCGTGAGGGGTCTTTCCTCCAAGATAGAGCTAGGTGAGGTGGGGGCAATAGGATCCTTCTCGGGATTGAGTTGTGTCGTCATCTTTAGGAGTGCTGCGGCCTTTCCGCGGTTTTGTTCCGGCGGTCCGTGCTAAGAAGAAAGATGCTCGTTCTGCTTTAGCTGCTTTGCTTTTTTGTCTCTGTGACATGATACACATTCTACATGGTTATTGCTCGGTAGACCAATTATTTATGCTCCTGGGCACCTGAATATCGGGAGCTTCATCAACGTGCATCCATCCAGTTCAGGCACCAAGCCACGCCCCCCCACACGCCCCAGGGTATTTCAAAAGGCATATTTTAAACCTTACAGTAGGATCATTTTTCTGCTAGTTTGTACCAAGTCTAGTAGCAATTAGCATTTCTTCTGCCTTTTTGACACACACTTGGAGAAGTTACTGCATATTTTGCAATCCTTATGCGTGCTACGGCAGTATAACACCTAATATTTTGCTCAGCTATTTTGTCTTAGTACAACAATATATCCCCATGTGTACCTTTTTCAGGGATGCGTGGATGTTGAAGGGGCCCATTTGAGACACACCAATTTCATATTTTTTAAAAGCGGATGCTGGGCCCAAGTCATTTTAGCAGCTCATTAGTACAAATTACCTCTCAAAGGCCACATCTATTTTTAAATATAAGCAGCTCAACAATTAAAATTATGATACTAATGCATACTATTTGTTGTTGTAAACTTATCAGGGGGTAGTACCCAGTCATCTGCATCACGGGCAACGCTAGCATGGATTCCGGAAACCAAAACACACAGACAGACCACAAAGAGAGAGAATACAGAGAGAGAAACTTGTAATACTGATCCTATACAAGCAGAGAATAGTCAAGTTACAAGCCAAGGTCAAAGGAGTAAAGAGAAACGAAACAACAATAGGACAAGCCAAGGTCAAGGATCAGAGAAGACAGGATAAACAGGACACAAAGCCAAAATTCGGTATCCAAACAATCAGACAGATGACTAAAACCACACCGTAAAACCGGTCTACCTATGGAAAATTTTAAAACAGTGGCCAATACATGGGCCGGACTGAGAGGGGCAATCAGGACAGTAATAACTGGTCACAGCTCTTACTACCCTCTTGTAACACACCCTGCACCTTTTCTGGGGGTTTTCTTTTTGGGGATTGATGGAATCCTGAAGCAGAAGTGACCTGCCTCCATTCTTCTGCAATGCTCCACTGATGGTCCCCCTCTGTGGCACTCAAGCAGCCCAGAAAAGAGCTGAAACTGAAATGTAAGAAACATGCATTTCAGCTCAGCATTAGCCTTTTTAAAAATTACAAAGGCATTGTGGAATGCCGTCTGCATTATATATATGCCCACTTTTGCGTACCATGCCGTGGTCTTTCACATGATCAAATACGGCTACATCAGTTGATCAGACAGGTAGACTCCCGCCATATACCGATTGTAATGTTGTATGCAGACTGGCACCAGTTTAATTTCCTCTCTGCCACGAATTGCGACCTTGCGTGTGCGTTCACCATGAATGGTGGTTAGGATGAACACCTCCTTTTTATTGCGGTACTTTAGTGCCAGCAGTTCAGAGAGCTGCTGTTTTTTTTCCCCCTCTATTTTTTTTTCTGCTAGAGCCGAATAGATACTCTTCCGAATAGTGCCACAGGCCACGATCTCAATGCAGTACAGCATTTTTAGAAGTGGGATACTGTTGTAAAAATTATATATATACAAGTGATATCCCTTGTTTAGTAACAGTATGTTTAGGTCCCAGGCAATTTTCCAACTTGACCCTACTAAATCTGGGCAACCGGGGGATCAAGGTGGCTATCCCTTCCTTCGTATACACGGAAGGTGTACACATAGCCACTGACACTTTTATACAAACTTGTAAAATTTAATCCCATAAATCTTTTGGATGGGATGTACGGTTTAAACCCCAGTCTTCCCTTAAACTTCATGAGGGGGTCATCAATAGAAAAATGTTTTGGGGTTGTATAAATAGTGGCAATTTTTTTGTTAATGTGGGCAATTGGAGGGTGATTTTTATATAGAAGATCATACTGCGGATGACCTTTTGGGGTACAGTTCGTATTATAACGAAAGTGCATAAATCACAGTATGTCTTCAGATCTGGGCCTACTCATTATCTGGGAAAAAATGGGGGTATTGCAAATGGTGTTTTTAGACCAATACATTCTAATGGTGGGCTTTTTAATCATCCCCATTAGCACTGTCAGTGCCCAGAATTGTTTCAACTCTGGCACACTGGTGTGGTACCATCTGTCTTTCCTGGCGATGAAAGACTCTTGATTGTGTGCCAGATACTGCTCAGCGTACAGATTACTCTGGGTGACTATCTTTCCAAAAATCTCATCCCTCAAGAACAGCTGCATACAATCCAGCGCATTATAGGCAGACAGGTCAGCCTGTGTGCCAGGATTGGCAGTGAAATCTGGAATGTCTGGTGAAAAATTATTAGGGGGTACCCAGTCATCTGCGCTATGTTCGGCATCAGGGGAATCAGCGATTCTCCTGTTGGTCCTGCAGTATCTGGCACATAGTCCCTGTCCCCTGCGTCATTCCCTGCGTCACTCTCTGAGGCAGTGTCTGTCGCCTCTGAGTCGGCCGCTAACAGGGCATAAGCCTCCTCTGTGCTATACTTTCTAAACATAATAAACTTTAACTAAATAACTAGCTTATCACTAAATTCCCCAATTCACACTAAATTCCACCCACCCCAACTAACTAAATCACAAATTGATAAAATAATATATTAAAATGTAACCCCTTAGGGTTAATAAAAAAAAAAATCTAATTTAACCCCTGAAGGTAAAAATAAAACTAGATTACAGTAAAGTACTGTGATCTCTATTTTGATCACTGCTGGCAGCGATCAATCAGCAAGGATATGGTGAATTTTTAAAAAAGAACATTGGAAAGTGGATTTGGAACCTCTTCAGACAATTTATTCTCTTGAGGGATACAATGTAACAATGATCCCTCACTCTCCACTTCAAAAACCCACAAGAGGTGGAGTGAGGCGGATCTGATCACATACGCTGGGACATCGCGATTTGCTGTTGCTGGTCTGCCACTGACTCGGAGGCACCCAGTGTAACCAACGCTGGTATTGCAGGTACCTGTTCACCTATTTTCTCCCAAACTGCTAGAGCCTGAGTGATTATAGCTCGCAGTTCGGGTGTTGGTTCGAACGTTTCTCCAGACGAAGTACAGCATCCAAGTATATTCTCCCAGCAAAGTAGACAGGTACCCAAACACCACCCTAAACTAGATAAAATGTATAACAGGAATGCTTTATTCAGGCAAGCAGCCTAGTTTATATGCCGTGAACAATGCACAGGGTTTCAGTTGACATATTCCAGGGGCATTCCCCACTGGACCTGAGAGGGGACAGTGACAAAATACATTCTGCAAGTACACTCTCAGGTCCAGGACACTTCTACATACAATAATATAATCTTGCCCCTGTACAGGGGAGATAATGGAGTCAAGCACTATACTGAACTCAATTATCTCTCAAAAAAACATACATTTCCATAAAACTTAGAAAGTACCCCAAACTCCAGGGGAACCCCATAAAAGTCATATCCCCTGGTAGCCCCGATCTGGCGGACCAACATATTAAAATATCACCAAGATCGGTTCAGGGGTTCAAGAGTTACATGGAGGTCCTAATTTGACCAACCGCACACGATGCTCCTGCCCAGAAATAGTTCAATGAAATTGGGCTGTGCGGTTGGTCTATTTCGAAAAGTACAAAAAAACAAATAAATCCATGAACGGTTCCCCTGGCTCGTAGGTAGCGTGTGTTCCCTACTGTCACGTATTCATCCGCACAACGTGGTTAATGGCATTTACCATCCTGACAGGAAAAGTTGTGCCGAGCAGCATTACCGTCCTGACACGAAAAGTTGTGCCGAGCAGCAATCATGCACATGGAAACATGGTAATTGCTTTTGGGGTCAAACACCGGTCATGGCCAGTCAGATCCACAGGAGGGTTTGTGCTGAGCAGCAATCATGCACATGGAAACCTGGTAATTGCTTTTGGGGTCAAAGGCCAATTACAGTCAATTGGATCCACAGGATGGGTATTTAAACCCAATTCTCCTTTTGCTTATTATCCTGTCGTGGTTTCATCCTGATGCTAATTCGAGAGTGTGTTCCTGATCTTGATTTTATGGTATTTGGCTTTGTTTTGACTTCCCTGAATTCTGGTATCCTTGACTTTTGGCTTTCCCTCATCGTTGTGTCTGATTCTGTGTTCCTGACCTCGGCAAGTATATTGACTATTCTTGGATACGTTAAGTTAAACTTACAAAGAAAGGTTAAAGGAACTTAACATGTATAGCTTGGAGGAAAGACGAGACAGGGGGGATATGATAGAAACATTTAAGGGAATCAACACAGTAAAGGAGGCGACTGTATTTAAAAGAAGAAAAACTACGACAACAAGAGGACGTAGTCTTACATTAGAGGGGCAAAGGTTTAAAAATAATATCAAGAAGTATTACTTTACTGAGAGGGTAGTGGATGCATGGAATAGCCTTACAGCTGAAGTGGTCGAGGTGAACACAGTAAAGGAGTTTAACCCCTTAAGGACACATGACATGTGTGACATGTCTTGATTCACATTTATTCCAGAAGTTTGGTCCTTAAGGGGTTAAGCATGCGTGGGATAGGCATAAGGCTATCCCAACTATAACATAAGGCCAGGGACTAATGAAAGTATTTAGAAAATTGGGCAGACTAAATGGGCCGAATGATTCTTATCTGCCGTCACATTCTATGTTTCTATGTTTTCATGCAAAGCCCTGGTTGACTCAGGTGCGGCTGGTAACTTTATTGATTTATATTTTGTTAAGAAACACACTATACCAGTCAAGGAGAGATCATCACCTCTAGTGGTTGAGGCTATTGATGGGAGACCTCTATCTCAACCATTGATAACCCATTAGACCTTGCCTATTTGCATTACGATAGGAGCTTTGCATAACTAAGATTACCTTCCAGATAATCGCTTCCCCTTCTTGTCCCATCGTATTAGGTTTCCCTTGGCTCATCAAGCATAACCCTCATATTGACTGGACTAAAAGGGGAAATACTGGAATGGGGTAAAGACTGTCAGGAAAATTGCACATTTCACATTACTAAAAAAGTGGGCATTGTTACTTTACCCGCTGCTACGTCTCTGACCCCTGAAATTCCCGTACAGTATTGGGAGGTTAGGGAGGCATTTAGTAAAAGCCAGACCGATGTTCTTCCTCCACACGTCATACGATTGCTCCATTGATCTGTTGCCCGGGCTATAAGGGGGCAGTATATGCCCTATCCCCACAAGAAAATAAAAACATGGATGAGTACATCAAAGAATCGTTAAGAAAAGGCCATATACGTAAATCATCCTTGCCTGCTGGTGCAGGAATCTTTTTTGTAGCTAAAAAAGATGGAGAGTTACATCCTTGCATTGACTACAGAGCATTAAACAAGATTCCTATAAAGAATGCCTATCCCATTCCCCTTATATCCAAATTGTTTGATAGACTCCAGGGATGCCAAGATCTTTACCAAACTTGACCTTAGGAGTGCATACAATTTGGTGAGCATTAGGGAGGATCACGAATGGAAGACAGCAGTTAACACTAGGAGTGGGCACTATGAATACCTTGTCATGCCCTTCGGATTATGCAATGCTCCGGGGGTGTTTCAGGATTTTATCAACGATGTATTCAGGGACTATGTCTATTCATTTGTTCTAGTTTACCTGGATGATATCCTTATTTATTCTCCAGACCTCCAGACTCATCATGAACATGTTAAACAAGTATTACAAACATTGCTTGATAATGGACTTCATTGTAAACTTGAGAAATGCATTTTTGATCAGCATGAGGTTCAGTTTTTGGGGTATATTATTTCTGCCTCTGGTTTCCAAATGAACTAGAGGCCATTCTACACTTGCCGTTACCCAATGGGTTAAAAGCCATCCAAAGGTTTATTGGTTTTTCTAACTACTATAGGAGATTCATCAAAGGTTTCTCTTCGGTAATAGCCCCCATCACCAATATGACACGCAAGAGGGCTAAATGTACTATATGGCCTAAAGAAGCTAAAGAGGCTGTTGAGCTTCTTAAACAAATGTTCGCATCTGCTGACATATTAAGACATCCTGACACTAGGAAATCTTTCCTACTTGAGGTTGACGCCTCCGAAACAGGGGTCAGGGCTGTTCTTTCTCAGAGAGAGAGAGAGAGAGTCAGGATGCCCCTTTGCATCCTTGTGGTTACTTCTCCAGAAAGTTGTCTCCTGCTGAGCATAACTATGACACTGGTAATAGAGAACTGTTAGTCATCATATTAGCGCTTAAGGAATGGCAACATATTTTGGAGGGTTCCAAGGATCCCATTCTGATTATTACTGATCACAAGAACCTGGCATATATTGGGGGTGCCAAACAACGGTCTTCTAGACAAGGTAGATGGTCATTATTTTTGTCTCGCTTTAACTTCATTATCACCTACAGACCGGTTCTAAGAACGTTAAAGCAGACGCCTTGTCTAGGCAATTTGACGTTGAATCGGATCTAGAACAAGAGACAGCCAGCTCTGCCTGTGCAGTTTCGAAGATTCCTCATAAACTTCTGTGTGGATTGTTACAGCCATTTCCTATACCTAGTATCCCATGGTCTCACTTATCGATGGATTTCATTGTTGAACTGCCTAGTTCCAATGGGTATACAACCATCCTCATGGTAGTTGACTGTTTTTCCAAAATGGCACACTTTACTCTACTTAAAAAATTGCCATCGTCTCAGGACCTGGTGCACATATTTATAAGCGAAATTGTCAGGCTACATGGAATTCCTCAAAATATTGTGTCTGACAGGGGTTCCCAACTTGTGTCACGGTTCTGGAGGGCATTCAATAAACAGTTGGGCATTGAATTGTCATTTTCCTCTGCTTACCATCCCCAAACTAATGGTACAGCTGAAAGAGCTAACCAATCACTTGTGCTGTATTTACGTTGCTTCGTGAATAGTACACAGTCTAACTGGGCTGAATTATTGCCCTGGGCTGAATTTGCAAGGAATAACGCTACCCATGACTCACCTGGGCATAGTCCATTTTTTGTCAATACGGGTCATCATCCTGCTGTTCTCCCTGCTGTGTTTTCCGATACGGCTATCCCTACTCTGGATGATCACCTTACCTCTATTTGTGATACCTGGACTAAGGTTCACTCCGCTCTTGAAATTGCGGCTGCTCTCTTTAAATTTCATGCAGATAAACGGCGGAGTGCCAATCCAGTTTACCAGGTGGGTGATCGGGTTTGGTAATCCTCAAGCAACATCAGGTTGAAGGTTCCCAGCATGAAGTTTGCTCCGAGGTTCCTTGGTCCTTTTTGTGTGGTTAGGAGAATCAACCCTGTTTCTTATTCTCTGGCCCTTCCAGCGTCCTTACGTATACCTAATACTTTTCATGTGTCCTTGCTAAACCGCATGTTTGCAATCAATACACAAGTCTGGTTGTTCCCCCCCCCCCTTTGGTTGTTTTTGGACAGGAGGAGTATGAAGTCTCCTCCATCATTGATTCTAGGTTTTCTCATGGTTCCCTACAGTATTTGGTTGATAGGAGGGGGTATGAGCCTGCTGACAGTTCTTGGGTTTTGGCTTCTGATATCCATGCTGGACGTAAAATGTGTTCTTTGCATGCCAAGTTTCCTCTTAAACCTGGTCCTGCCTGCCTGGGGTAATGTCACGTACTCATCTGCACATAAAAAATGTGGTTAATGGCATTTACCGTCCTGACAGGAAAAGTTGTGCTGAGCAGCAATCATGTACATGGAAACATGGTAATTGCTTTTGGGGTCAAAGGCGGGTTACAAGCCTGTTTAAGTCCCACAGGAGGGGTATTTAAACCCAATTCTCCTTTTGCTCATTGCCTTGTCGTGGTTTTATCCCGATGGTAATCCGAGAGTGCGTTCGGATTTGACTTTGGCTTTGTTTTGACTTCTCTGAATTCTGGTATCCTTGACTTTTGGCTTTCCCTCATCGTTGTGTCTGATTCTGCGTTCCTGACTGTGGCAAGTATTTTGACTATTCTTGGATACGTCAAGTCTGGCCATTCTAAGATCCGGTTATACATTATCCTTAGTCCTAGGTGGACACAGTTCTGCGTGCTGGATCAACTTGTAATTCTGATACCTAGTTCATGGAAACAAATCTACCGAATAGCACTTTTCTGGCTGGTCTGTGAAAGGAAGCAGGCGTTCGTGTAGTTGACGGGCGTACGGGAAGTCGAGTGTCCGATTTTGGTTCCAGGCACTCAACGACCAAGTATCGCTGCCTCCATTTGTGTGAACAAGATGGCCGCCATATTCTCTTGCACGTGGCGTTAGACTATACGAACGGTGGACACACAGAGAGAACAGTAAATTGGCTGTTTGCTTTGAAGTGTATGAGCCAGGGGGTGGTCAGTGTTCGGTAGTTTTATCTCCCGAACAGGGAAAAATGAAAGTACCAAAATAACAGGGATACTTTCTTCACATCCAGCAACAGCGGCGATCTGGGGTTAATTGTAGCGCATGGCGTTGTTAAGTGCTTCCCCAGCATGATGGAATGCGTCCTTAAGGGGTTAAGGGATAATATTCAGGAATTCATTAGGAAGAACTTTGTTATTAGCAATAATCAGCATGGTTTTATGAAACATAGTCCTGTCAAACTAACCGAATTGCATTATATGAAGAAGTAAGTAGAAGTATAGATCAGGGTGTTGCAGTGAATGCGATCTTCTTGGATTTTGCCAAGGCATTTGATACGGTTCCTCACAATAGGTTGTTCTTTAAACTAAAAGAAATTGGTCTAGATTAATATTTTTGTTCTTGGGTAGAACATTGGCTCAAGGATAGAGTACAACGAGTTCTCATTAAGGGTACATTTTCAAGATTTACAACAGTGGTAGTGGTGTCCCCCTAAGGGTTCTGTTTTGTGACTGTTTCTTTTTAACATATTTATAAATGATCTTGAAATAGGCATTGAAAGCCATATTTTAGTGTTCGCAGTAAAATATGTAAAGTAATAAAATGTTAGCAAGATATTGCTATGCTGCAGAGGGATTTAGATAGATTGGGGGACTGGGCACTGAAATTGCAGATGAAATTTAATGTAGAGAAATGCAAAGTTATACACTTCAGGGTCAAGAATGCACAAACAACTTACACCCTAGATGGTACTGAATTAGGGATAACAACACATGAGAAGGATTTGGGAATTGTTATAGACAACAAATTAGGCAGCAATATGCAATGTCAATCTGCAGTTGCTAAGGCCAGTAAGATTTTGTCATGCATAAATAGGGGCATAAATTCTCAGGATGAAAATATAATTTTACCTCTTTATAAATCGCTGGTAAGACTACACATTGAATATGCTGTGCAATTTTTGGCACCAGTTCTGGCACTAGAAAAAGTGCAGAGACGAGCTACAAAATTGATAAAAGGAATGGAGGATTTTAGTTACGAAGAAAGGTTAAAAAAAGTTAAATCTCTTTAGTTTGAAAACACGGCACCTCAGTGTCACATATTCATCCGCTTACAAAAATGTGGTTAATGACATTTACTGTCCACACAGGAAAAGTTGTGCCGAGCAACAACCAAATCCACAGAAGGGTTAATGCTGAGCAGCAATTATGCAAATGAGATCTAGTAACTGCCTTTGGGGTCAAAGGCCGGTTAAAGCTTATCAGACCTAGAGGAGGGGTATTTTCCTTATCGTTGTGTCCAGTGGCGTACACATGACCCATGGGGCCCCAGTGCGAAAATTGATCCGTGGGCCCCCCCCCCCGCTCGCGGGCCGGGCCGCAACACATGGCGGTGGGCACCTGGTCACAGGGGTTACAGGGCTGCGACCCCTGCGACCGCGGTATGTACGCCAGTGCATGCAGATGCACACACACTTAAAGGACCACTCTAGGCACCCAGACCACTTCAGCTTAATGAAGTGGTCTGGGTGCCAGGTCCAGCTAGGGTTAACCCATTTTTTCATAAACATAGCAGTTTCAGAGAAACTGCTATGTTTATGAATGGGTTAAGCCTTCCCCTAATCCTCTAGTGGCTGTCTCATTGACAGCCGCTAGAGGCGCTTGCGTGCTTCTCACTGTGATTTTCACAGTGAGAGCACGCCAGCGTCCATAGGAAAGCATTATGAATGCTTTCCTATGTGACCGGCTGAATGCGCGCGCAGCTCTTGCCGCACGTGCGCATACAGCCGACGGGGAGGAGAAGAGGAGGATCAGAGGAGGAAAGCTCTCCGCCCAGCGCTGGAAAAGGTAAGTTTTTACCCCCTTCCCTCTCCAGAGCTGGGTGGAGGGGGGCCCCCTGAGGTGGGGGCACCTCAGGTACTATAGTGCCAGGAAAACGAGTATGTTTTCCTTGGCACTATAGTGGTCCTTTAAAGGACCACTACAGACACCCAGATCACATCAGCTCAATGAAGTTGTCTGGGTGTCATGTCCCTCTAGTTTTAACCCTGCAGCTGAAAACATAGCAGTTTCAGAGAAACTGCTATGTTTCACTGAGGTTTAATCCAGCCTCTAGTGGCTGTCTCACTGACAGCCGCTAGAGGAGCACACTGAACGTCCATAGGAAAGCATTGAGTAATGCTTTCCTATGGGTGGTTTGAATGCGTGCGTGGTCGCATTCTGAGCTGAGAGGCTGAGGGATCCTCAGCGCCATGGGAGTCCGGCGCTGGAGAAAGGTAAGTGCTGAAGACACACACACACACTTACAGACGCATACACACTAGCTAACAGACACACACATTTACTGACAGAGACACAGTCAGCGACAGACATACATACACACTCACCTACAAAACATACACTCTCATTGACAAACACACACTCACTAACAGACATCAAACAGACTCACTAACACACACACTCAGTAAGACACACACAGTGATACATACAGTAACACACTCACTGACACTCACTAGCAGACACACACACTAACACTCACACTAACACTCACCAGCAGACACACACACTAACACTCACACTAACACTCACCTACTCACTCTAACACCTACACACACTCAAAACACTAACACTAGTTTTTGTTTGTGTTTAATCCCCCAGCCTCCTTACCTTTGGAGTGCTGGGGGATTCCTGGGCGGCAGGTCACTGTGGGCTGGCTGGTCGGCCAGTAGGCGGCTGCCACAGGGAGCACTCAGTGCTTCCTTCATTCTCACAAGAAAGGTGGGGATGCCGAGCCGAAGATGACGCCATCTTCCGGCCCGGAAGATCACTATAGCATCAGCAGCGCGAGGGAGCTGAAGAGGAAGCACTGAGTGCTCCCTCACGCGCCCGCCTGCCTGACCGGCCACCCGCCCGGTGTCAGCAGGGCCAGCCTCGGGGGGCCCTGGGGTGACCGGCTCCTGGGCCCCCCAGGGGAAGAGGCTGGCCCTGTGTGTACATACCGGGTCGCAGGGGCGGCCGGGCCCCCTGGTGGGCCGGGCCCGGTCGCAGCCGCGGACCCCCAAGCGACCCTGGTATGTACGCCTACTGCTGTGTCTTTCTGTTTCCCTGGACCTCAGCCATTCCCTGACTATTCTTTATAAATGCTAGTCCGCCATTCTAAGGTCCGCATAATGCTACCTATCAGTCCTCTGTGTTACACAGTTCTACGTGCTGGATCATTCTGTAATCCTGACATTACGACATGGCCATAGATCCTGTAGAATTGTGTAAGCACATAGCTGCTTGCCAAAGGAAACTGGAGGATAATGCTTGGATCAATTTGCCCAGGCTTTCAGTACGCTTCTCACTCGTACAGCACATCTGCAACCTGTGGCTGCTCCTACTGTGTCACCTCTGCCTTGTGTACCTCCGCCTATAGTATACAAGGTACCAACTATCTCTCTATCTCCTCCTCTGCATTTTTTTGATGGTAATTTCCAAGAATGCCGGGGATTCCTTAACCAAACAGAGTATCATTTTGAGACCTCACTGGGATCTTTTCCCACAGACAGAGCTAAAATTGGTTACCTGATGAATCAACTAAAAGGTAAAGCTTTAGCTTGGGCCAATCCATTATGGGAGAGTAATAGGAGTGTGGCACACAATTACCAAGAGTTTATTACAGAATTTAAACTTCTGTTTGAACCATTAGGCAGGGAGGAAGACGGCTCTACTGCCCTGATGCATATCAGACAAGGGAACCAGTCTATCTCGGAGTATGCCATAGAATTTCGTACCCTAGCTTCCGAGGTAGACTGGACTAATAGTGGGTTAATCTCTGCATTTAAAAAGGGACTATCTGAAACTATGCTAGATGAGATTGCCGCCAAAGTCTTACCCAAAAAGCTTAATGAATTTATCACTTTTGTCATGCAAATTGATAATAGATTGAGAACCAGAGAAGCTACTAGAAACAAGACCAGACACATGAATATGCCTTTAGCACCCCACTTCTCCAAACCTATTGTCCCTGAATTTCCTGTACAGTCCGAACCTGAACCCATGGAGTTGGGGGTCACTAGACTGTCGGAAGCAGAAAGACAATATAGGAGAAAAGAAGGCCTATGTCTATACTGCAGTAGAAAAGGACATATGAGAAACAATTGTCCCATACGTCCGGAAAACTACCGTACCTTAAGGGGACAGGTCTTAGGTGTAATGGAAACGTCCTCTGGAATGGATAAAAATAGGTTTCTCCTTGATATTACTATTGCCTTTGAAAATAAGAACTTTTCATGCAAAGCCCTGATGGATTCAGGTGCCGCTGGAAACTTCATTGACGTTCAATTTGTTAAAGGTAACACTATACCTATCAAGGAGAGACTATCACCCCTAGCTGTTGAAGTTATTGATGGGAGACCACTCTCACAACCACTGATTACACATGAAACCTTACCCATTAATGTGTCCATTGGTGCCTTACATAAGGAAGAGATTACATTTCAGGTTATTGCATCCCCTTCCTGTCCGATCATATTAGGCTTTCCATGGCTTAACAAGCATAACCCTCATATTGACTGGGCTAATGGGGAAATATTAGAATGGGGGTAAGGATTGTTATGAAAGGTGTATATTGAATCTTGTCAAAAGAGTGGGCACTATTGGATTAACCACTAGTACACCTCAACACCCGGAAATCCCTATACAGTACCAAGACATTAAAAAAGTATTCAGCAAAACTCAGTCGAATACTCTACCTCCTCACAGACCTTATGACTGTTCTATTAATTTACTACCTGGCGCTATGCCACCTAAGGGAGCAGTCTATGCTCTGTCACCTCAGGAGACTAGAGTAATGGAGGAATATATTAAGGATTCATTGAATAAAGGCCACATACGAAAATCATCCTCACCTGCTGGGGCAGGATTCTTTTTTGTATCTAAAAAGAACGGTGAGTTGCGCCCATGTATCGATTACAGGGCATTGAACAAAATCACCATTAAGAACGCCTACCCCATTCCTCTTATTTCTGAATTATTTGATAGACTCCAAGGTGCTAAAGTATTTACTAAGCTTGATATTAGAAGTGTTTACAATTTAGTGAGAATCAAGGAAAACCACGAGTGGAAGACTGCATTTAATACCAGAAGTGGACACTATGAATATCTAGTGATGCCATTCGGGTTGTGCAATGCTCCAGAGGTTTTCCAAGATTTTATAAATGATGTACTCAGGGATTACATTTACTCATTTGTCTTGGTCTATCTGGATGATATCCTTATTTATTCTCCTGACATTCAAACTCACCATGATCACGTTAGACAAGTTCTGCAGACCTTGTTAAAGAATCAACTTTATTGTAAATTAGAAAAATGCATCTTTGACCAATCTGAAGTACAGTTTTTGGGATATAATATCTCTGCCTCGGGGTTTCAGATGGATCCTAAAAAACTGGAATCAGTTCTACAATGGCCTTTACCCACTGGGTTGAAAGCCATTCAAAGGTTCATTGGTTTTGCCAATTATTACAGAAGGTTTATAAAGGGATTTTCTTCAGTGATAGCCCCCATCACCAATATGACACGCAAGGGAGTTAGCAGTACGATATGGTCTAAGGAGGCTATAGAAGCCTTTGAAACTCTCAAACAGCGGTTTGCCTCTGCCGACATATTGATACATCCTGACAACAGTAAACCTTTCATACTAGAAGTTGATGCATCAGAGACAGGGGTAGGGGCAGTTCTCTCCCAGAGGGAGAGCCAGGATACTCCATTGCATCCTTGTGGTTACTTCTCTAGAAAGTTGTCGCCTGCCGAGTGCAATTATGATATTGGCAATAGGGAATTGTTGGCCATTATTCTAGCTCTCAAGGAGTGGCAACATCTTTTAGAGGGTTCCAAGGACCCCCTTTTGATCATTACTGATCACAAAAACCTGGCTTCCATAGGAGATGCTAAATGATTGTCTTCTAGATAAGCTAGGTGGTCTCTGTTCCTTTCTCACTTTAATTTTCTTATTACTTATAGACCTGGTTCTAAAAATGTCAAGGCTGACGCCTTATCCAGACAGTTTGATACTGAGTCTATACAAGAGCAAGAAAAGTCCCATATCATTCCCCCGGAATGTATCATTGCTTCCACTATCCTTTCATTGTCCTCTCCACTGCTTGGCTCCATCATGGAGGCTCAGTCTCAGGTGCCCTGTGGTAAACCTCAGGACAAATTGTTCGTTCCATTGGGGGAAAGGGTTAATATCATGAAGGTGTTTCACGACAATGTGTCTGCTGGTCACCCAGGTATCAATAAATCCACTTCTGCTATCATGAGGTAATTCTGGTGGGATTCCCTCAGAAAGCATGTTAAAGAGTATGTGCAGGCTTGTTCTGTTTGTGCAGTTTCCAAAGTACCTCATAAACTCCCTTGTGGCTTGTTACAACCTCTTCCCGTTCCTGAGGTCCCATGGTCCCACTTGTCTATGGATTTCATTGTAGAACTTCCTAGTTCTAATGCTTATACCACTATTCTCATGGTTGTTGACCATTTTTCTAAAATGGCTCAATTCATCCCTCTCAAGAAATTACCGTCATCTCAAGACCTGGTACTGATCTTTATACGTCAGATTGTCCATCTGCATGGCATTCATCACAATATTGTATCTGATAGAGGTTCTCAGTTTGTATCCCAGTTTTGGAGGGCTTTCAATAAGCAATTGGGGATTTTTTCATCCTCTTACCACCCCCAGACTAATGGTACAGCTGAGAGGGCTAACCAATCTTTGGAGTTATACTTGCTTTTTTATTTTTTGACAAACATACCAACTTCTAAAATTCTTTCACATTGAAATTTTATTTTAATCCTTTTATTTTGTGACCTCTAACGTTCAAAATAAGCGGAAATCCTAAATATATTATGTACTCTATAAATCAAGACACAAATTTATTTTGAATTACTTTTTTTAAGCTGCACATATTATGCACACGCTATTATTGCCAAAACTGTGGGGGAGGGGGAATTTTTTTTAAATTAATGAGAATTTATGTAGAGGAATGGGCTTTCCACAGTACCCATCTTTGTACTAGGGGCTGTGCATACCCCTTGTGTGCCTATAATTTCCTATGTTGTTACCGCTTGTTACTTGGGGAAACAAGTAAAACAGGATTACATTTTGTCTTTTCGTCTGGTTGTTCGGTATTATCCCTATTTCAGCTGACTTTCCAAATATAGTTCGACAAACGAAGTACCGAACAACCAGACCACCCATGAGAGGAGCGTGGCACCAACTGACCTTTCTAACCATGTTCACACTTTCTTAACTACAAAACACATAAACCAACTGGGTGATCCCCTGGGTGGCCGTCTTACATATACGCGAACACGTGGCAGCCGCCATCTTGGAATGCGAACTGTCTGGAACCCAAATCGGACACTCGATGGCACGAACACCGCTGAGACTTCCATCCTCGTATAAGTTTGTGTAAACTCATGGGAATACAGCAGCATTCGATGAAAAGAACCACACGAACGAGATGATTTCAACGAACTAAGGCACGAACCATCTTTATATGCAATTTCGTGTAATTCAGACTCTTGAAAGTAGACCGACCGCACAGCCCAGTCGCACGGAACTATTTTAGGCATACACCTCGTGTGCGGTCAGGGCCGGTGCTTGGATTTTTAGGTACATAGGCGAAGATGCCTTTTTCCGCCCCCCCCGCACTCCCCCCGAAAAAAAAACATCTTCACCTATGTGCCTCTTAACCAGCCCCTCTCCCCTCCCTGACCATTAGTAGTCCCTTCCCTTCCCTGTCCCTTAGTGTTCTTCTCCCCTCCCCCCTCTTTTCCCTGTCTCTTGGTGTTTCTCTCCCATTCCCTCCCTGTCCCTTGGTGCACCCCACACCCCTTTAGTGGTCACACTCCCCTTCCTGGTGTGCCTCCTACCTCTATTGTTGCATTGCCGAGTGGAGCAGATCCCCTAAAGGAGCTTCAGTTTTCTGTACCCGGCTGGACTGACAGGGAGTGCTCTCTCTGTGAGCACCTCCTGTCAGTCTGGCCAGGTACAGGAAACAGAAGTTCCTGTACCGCGCTCTGCTCCGCTACACTCTATACACACTGACAGTCACACACTCAATGACAAACACACAGACGTCACTGACAGACACAGACTCATTGATCTGACACACACTCATTCATTGACACTGACAGACCCACACTGATTGACACTCATTGACAGACACACTGATAGTCACACACAGACTCAATGACAAACATACTCTCACTGATTTGACAGACAGACACACTCATACACTCGCACACACACTCATACAATCACTCACAGACACACACACTGTCACTCACAGACACACACACACAGACACACACTGTCACTCACAGACACACACACTGTCACTCAGACACACACACTGTCACTCACAGACACACACTGTCACTCACAGACACACACACACACTGTCACTCACAGACACACACACACACACAGACACACACTGTCACTCACAGACACACACACTGTCACACACAGACACACACTGTCACTCACAGACACACACACTGTCACTCACAGACACACACACACAGTCACTCACAGACACACACACACACAGTCACTCACAGACACACATCACATGCATTCACTAATTATTTTATAAATACATATTTTCCACCCAGCCTCTCTACCTGGAGAGCTGGTGTGGATTATGGATCGGTCCCTGGGGCTGCTGGGAGGCGTGCGGCAGTGCTGTGAACAGGCGCGGCGAGGGAGCTCTAATCTCCACCCTCTGCTCCCTTGCGGGCTGCCTACTGATGCCGCGGGAGCCGGGTTGATGGCGTCATATTCCGGCTCCCGCGGCATCAGCAGGCAGCGCGCGAGGGAGCAGAGGGTGGAGATTAGAGCTCCCTCGCCGCGCCTGTTCACAGCACTGCCGCGCCGGGGGTCGAGATGGTGGCCTGGCAGGAGGGAGAGCTTCCCTCCTGCCGGTCACTGAAATATTGCGCCCCCAGAGCCCGTGCGCCCTAAGGCGGCCGCCTGTGCCGCCTTATGGACGCGCCGGCCCTGTGTGCGGTCAGTAAAACTAAGACTTCCATAGACTTGCCGAACCCCTGAGCCGATCAATCTGTGTGATTTTTTTAGTATCTTGCTCCTCCAGATCGGGGCTGTCAGGGGATGTCTGAATTGTGGGAGTGTGATATGTTTTTGGGGTACATCCCAGATATGGGGAAAAATATACAGCCTGGATATAATTAAGTTGGCTATAACACTTAATCTAGTTATCTCCCAAGCTGAGGGGAGGGAAGGGATGAACTGTATGGGAGTGCCTGTAACTGTACTGGTCTGTTTATTGGCTCCTTCAACTGTAACCCTTTCCCCCACCAGGTCCTCGGTGGGTGTCTCCCTTGCACAGGAAACTTGCATAAAAGCCGAGTGTGTGGTCATTAAAAATGAGTTCTGCTCCTAATACTGAGTGTCGTCCAGTTATTAGAAAGGGTGATGGGAGATTAGTGGATTATTCTATACCTGTATACCTGAAGTATCCTGTTTGTTCCTGAGTAGCTGTTGGAGTAGCCAGCGGAGGAGAGTCCGGGCTAGGACTAGTGCTCCACTACAATTTATCTATGTATAGGTCACATCAAATTAAAGCCCTTTTTGCCCTCTAAAAAAACTGTATATAACATGTGTTGGTGCAATAAATGACAGAGAGGCAAATTGCATTTGAACGCAAACAGCAAAAAATGAAAAAAATTGCTTATGTCCAGTTTTTGAAGCTGCGTCCTTAAGGGGTTAAAATAAATTCGATCTTTTGTTTACTTTGAAGCCCTACGAGGGTGAGGACGCCCAGTGTAAGTTAGGCAACTTTTTTATTTTTTTATTTTTACTGTACTTTTCTAAATAAACCTATGTTTCTATGAAAACTTAAAATTTATTTTTTTTGCGGCCCACATAAACTTAAAGGAGCACAATATGGTCAGGAACACAAACATATATTCCTGACCCCATAGGGTTAAAACCACCATCTAGCCACCCTGTCCCCCTCATGCCTCCCTAAAAATAGTAAAATCTTACTTGTATTCAAGCCTGAAGCTGTAACTCTGCATGCTGTTTGCCTCAGAAAAAACAAGCTGTCTGCTGACATCATCAGAAGTGGTGGCCTGATCCAATCACAATCACATAGGATTGGCTGAGACTGACAAGGAGGCAGATCATGGGCAGAGCCAGCACAATTCAAACACAGCCCTGGCCAATCAGCATCTCCTCATAGAGATGAATTGAATCAATGAATCTCTCTATGAGGAAAGTTCAGTGTGTGCATGCAGAGGGAGGAGACACTGAATGTCTGGATGCATTTTAGGCAGCCATGACCCAGGAAGGATCTCTAACAGACATCTGAGGAGTGGCCAGTGAAGTTATCACTAGGCTGTAATGTAAACACTGCTTTTTCTCTGAAAAGACAGTGTTTACAGCAAAAAACCTGAAGGTAATTATTCTACTCACTAGAACAAATCCAATAAGCTGTAGTTGTTGTGACTATAGTGTCCCTTTAAACCTTGTTTATTTGGCCCGTGTTAGCCTTTGAGTTTGACATGCTTGATTTAGAGTGTGAGGTGCAGTTGAGAGAGTCTGATATTTGCAATATGGGGTCATTGTTGCAGTGTCTTTTTTTCGTTAGTTTTTTTTCCCCCTTTTGTCAATCTTTGTTTTTATTGTGGCATAGATTATACAGATTATGCAATAGGACCTTTGTGACTTTTTCGTTATAGACCAAAACAAGACAGTGTGAGAAGAAAGACATAGATCTGTAATAATGAGCATGCTGAATGTTCAGATAAGGTCACTGAGTATACAGGCCACTTTTACAGTAGGAGAAAACAGGGTTATATGCCTTGAGTAGCTAACTAAGTGAGAGTAACAACAATGCCATTGGCATAACATGAATGCTGCATAACAAGCGGAGTGATCAAGGTGATATAACCGCTGGCCCTCCACTCAAGCCTATAACTGTAGAGTGCAAAATCAAAGAAAATGACTAACACAACACAAACAAAAGCAGTTTAATCAGTTCTGAGTTACAGCCTAAAGATACCGGCTATTGGGCATACTGCAGTCGGGAGGGTTGTTAGGTAGCTAGATGCATAGTTCGTGCCACACAGCCCAAGGTGGTATCAACCAATGTTTACATGGAAGAGGGAGGCATACAAGAGGTGATATGAGGCAGGAGCCGAGATCAGAGCCCTCCCAGACCCAGGATGATGCGAAGGCCTGCGCCCCAGACCCACAGACTCGGGTCCTCAGCAAGGAGTCCAAATCTTTCCCTGTAGAGGGATGGCTGGAGCTCCTGAAGGACTTTTGCCGTTTGCAGCCCAGGTGGGCTAGAATTAGGAGACTTATTTGCTTGTAGGGAGGCTGTGCCCTGGGGGGGTCCGCTTGCCCCGCTCTATTCTCCTCTCGTGATTCCAGCTGGTGTTGGCATTGCCGCGGAGCAGGCTTCTATTTTTGCCCAGAAGCTGTCAAAAAGCTCATTCAGGCATGTCAACATTTGCTCTGTTTTACCACGAGAAGCCTTTCATGGATTGCGACGGTCTGAGTACTCGATGTCGCTGCCCGTCCGCCATCTTGAGGATTTTTGCTGCCAGTCAGTTAAGCGTTGGAGTGGCTGCATGAGGTCGGCTGAGGAATGGTGAGTAGGTCAGCGGGGACCGGGATAACACCGAATGGTCCAGAGGTAGGGGGGTGGGGGGGACAGCTGTGTGCAATTGTCACTTTGTGAGCCAGAGAACTGGGAGAGCAGCCGCCTCTCCACAGCTCGTTCTCATGTAGGTGGGCTTCAGTTTAGTTGGTCCAGTAAGGGAAGAACAGAGTGCCGCCGGTTCAGGGGTGACGCTGATTGGCTGAGAGTGGTCAAATGAAGCTTTCAGCAAATCTGTGACTCCCCATTCACAAAATTGACTTGCAAAACAGTCTTGAATAAGAAAACCCTTTTTTTTTTTTAATCTTTTTAATTAATTACTCACAGGGGGAGGGGCAAGCTAAATATAATTAGGAACTAGGGCACTATAGGATTAGAAATACAGGCTTGTATTCTTAATATTAAAGCGTTTCTTTAACATTCTAATTTAGACATGTAACAAGCATGAAAGCCCTCCTGTCCCTTGCCCCTCCCCTTCTGTCCCTCTGAGAATTGGTTAAGTGGTGCTGGCACCCTAGCATTATAATGCTGCACACAGCAGTTGCAGCTACCAAGGATTAGTCCCCAGGATGAGGGTAGGAATGACCCCCTGTAACCCAGTGCAAACTCTTGGCTAGTCTGCTCTACCCAGGGGTAAACCTGATCCTTTATCCTCTTTCTGGGGAATTACGAAGGAACAGCTCCCATAACAGGGACCCAAAAAGCTAATGTTCTTCTTGCCATTTCTAGACATGGCTGGGCACTTCAGGGCTGTGCAAGACAACAAAACCAAGAAACGCAGCAAGAAGAAGATGAGAACACAATCAGCGGAATAAATGCTAAGGGGCATTATCTTTGGTAACCAACACATTTTATGACTATAAGCCCATATATATATATATATATACATACATACATACATACATACATACATACATACATATATATATATATATATATATATATATATATATATATACACACACACACACACATTCAATTGCACCACATACAAAAAAATTTAATTCAAAAAATAAGTCCTATTTACCTGCAAGTTAATTTTCAAAATGAAGAAAACAAAACAACTGCTGATAACACGTCATGGTAATTAAAGTTTATCTTCAAGCTGTTTTGTTTGTTTGCTTATGAGGTCGCACTCTCCTAGGTGCAAATTATGTAAAAGGTTACTACAACCTATAACAGCAGAAGAGGTCATGGTGATAGTTGTCTGTATGTGCAGCATTATGTATGTGCCGAATTTCAGGTCAAAACGCTGCAAATACAGTGATCTACGAATGTTTGTGCTGGGGGCTAGTTACACCTCTGGCGCACATGGGAAATCTTGCTTTCCTACCTGGCTCAGAGGCTAGCTAATGACTGCCAATGATACTGCTAGAGGTGTAGTTACAATTCTAGCAGCAGAGGGCTTACTCTCTATATGCGTAGCTGCACATACAGACTCCAGGCTCCATGACCACTTCAAAATCACTGGAACTGTCATGGTGCTTGGTACCACTGTTTAAACAAATTTTGTACATAGGAACGATTCAGCACTCACCAAATGAGCTTGTAAATTTCTGATTCACCATCATCCTTCCATTAAGTACATCCCATGGACCTTCCAAATAGTCCCACTGCTAAAAAATAAAATAAAAAAATAAATAAAAATAATACATATACAAAGCACCATCCTTAGTCCATAATGCAGAAATAAAATAGACCTACACATTTATATTATAAGGCTGGAACTTAATGGCAGAGAAACACACCATTATGTGATAGAGATGGAGTCTGAAAGCAGTGAATGAGATGGTTGGGACAATACGAACACCAAGACATCATAATACATGTGCACAACATGGGTAATATAAGGTATTTGTTTTTTTTTGTAAAGCAATATAGGATGAGGACGTGATCACTTCCCTGGTAAAGATGTTACGTGCCCCTCTGCATTCACTTTACGGAGGTTTGAACTTGCATCCCCACCTTACCACAAGCCAGCACAAACACCGCAACCTACCATGATGCATTGCAACTCTTTGGAATGCAAAATTAGCATCAAGTAAAAGAATGAAAGTAAGATAAACAACCCCAGCACCGAAACACGACAGACCAGAGTCCTGACATTTGTACTTTATAAATAACACCCCAAGAAGTACTCACCACATCAGCCAGCAGGTGAATAATTTTGTTTGTTAATGCCAATATCTTCTTATCAGTGCTTCTGTTTTTCAAGGGAGTTGGTGATCCCTCCGATACATGAGAACCTCTGTTTTTGACACGGTTGCAAGGCTTCTTGACAACTATATAATCCTATATATGGAGAATGTCACAAGTTACCTCTACCTCTGTAACCAATTCACACATGACACTTTTCTATTAATTTAGAGTACATGGTTATGAGCACCAATACGACTGTGTACTAATACTAATATTCCAATTAGAAAAAGATTTAAATAAAAATCTCTCATAGAATATAATCTATGCATACACAAACAGGTGTGGACATTTTTTTTTACTCTACTTGTCCAGTTGACAAAAGAAGTAGCCCAATCTACTTGTCCTGACACAAAATAAGTGTACAATTACAAAGAGTTGGGCCCATGCCAAGAGCCCTGGACATTGGCAGGGCCATTTGCTAAACTCAGAATTTTCTCAAATTAGATTTGAATTGAAAACAGAAGCAAAAATTGCTGATTTGGAACAATTCTCTATCTCTGCTACAGTCACCACATGGCTATTTTTGCCTTAGTTTTGCTCATTTCATTTTATTTTACAAAAAACTCAGAGTTTTATGAATTACCCTGAGGGTCTCACCTTCTGCCCTCCCACATTCTCCCCCTTTGTTATAGTGTGTACGCTAACTGTGCCGACTGCTGGGTGTGCGCTGCTTGTGTGTAATGTGTGTGTGTGTGTTAGGTGTGCAGTCTGTATTTAACATGTCTTAACCTCACACACAGCTATTAAGTGTTAAATTACCAGTAGCTGCCCAGATGTCTTTATTATTCAGCAGTCAGTGTGCAGCCTGACCAATGCTCTTTCTTATCTTTTGAATGGTATGCTTCCCAAGCGTCCACAGTCATTTTATGCACCATTAATAGCATTTATAGGGTTATACACCAAGCTCAAAATCTAAAACTTACATTTAAAATAAGACAACTCAGTCTACAATCCAGACATCTGCCATGCACAGAGTGTTGGCCACTGGGATATGGCGTCCCGCTGTATCTGTGCGGCCTTCAGCCCTGTGCATGGCAAGGATCAGAAGTCTGCTGCCAATCCTTGCATCTTCCTGTAAGCCACCAATCAGCAGCACCCAGTGGAAATTGTGAGCCCTGAGTGTAATAAATTAACACAGGAATAGTGGTAATGAAGAATATTCACCTCTCCAGTTAAAAGGTAGATAATCTCTAGGGTAATATTTAAAATCTTTTGTGTCTTCACATCCCTGTGTTTTTTCATCATTTTTTTCAAAGAGCCTGATGTATTCAACAAGGAGGGGCTGTGCTCCATGTGGATGTCTGAACTTGACGCAAAGTAAACTCTGTAATTAGAAACATATTCAGCATTATAGTTCTTCTAAAATGTAAGTTTATTCCAAAGTACAATATCCTATAGAGGATCCAGATATAATTACACTGTAAATACCTGGGAATGCTTGCTTAAAATCTTTCCCTATTTCCTTCAAAATAACTTATACTTAATTTATAAATCTTAAAACTTTTGTTTTTGAATATTTTTATTTAATAAAAAAAAAAAAAAAGGAAGCAATATGTAACGTAACATCCTTGGTAATTCGTGTCACAGATACATTGTAGAAGAACGATTTGTTTGCTAATACTCATTTTATTTATTTGCTGTTGTGAAGCTCAAAGTAAATTTAGAGCATCATATTTCAACCGGGATAGCCAAGTCAGCAGCAGACATCAAGAGTAGGTTTTTACAACTTTAGTAAATAAACACACTTAAAATAGACAGAACTTCCATCAAGTGGAGTAAGATGTTTTGAATTCACGAAGAGTTGGTTAAAGTGACAAATAAGAGAATCAAATTATTTTAAAAAATGGAATTCTTTATTTTTGCATGCATTGTGAAACATACAAGAGTAGAATAGTGTAAATATATGCAAGAGTCATCAACATAGCATAAAATGTCATCATTGCACTTTTTAGGATAGTGAACCATAATGAGATGTGCCAGAGAGTGAGCGAATGCACAAAACTAAAGGCTGTACATACTGACAGTGAGAGTGATTGGTAAGACCACTGGGTTAAGATAGAAAATTACACAGGGGAGATAAAAATAAAATAGAACAGAAGGCAAACAAGTGAGGCACCGCTTTCAGCACTGGAAACAGGAGCGTGTCACACTGGAGCTCTGGATGCCCTAATAGTATATCACATTTTGCCACAGATAGGCTAGGAATGAGAGTTCTGTTCCTCTTTAGGACCTTCATGCGTCCCCTCCGCCTAAATGCTGTGCAGATTCTGCAAGTTACCACACTTCAAAAAGGTAGGTAGGCCATCCAGCTGTTTTTTCCTGTAATGACAGCTCATGGCTTGAAAGGGGGCTTGTGCCCTATGGCCATAGATTTGCCTTCTCCAAGTGGCTAAATCTTGTGCCTGCAGGGTCCCCTTGGATTGGTTGCCCCTAGGGTGTATGGATGGCAGCCTGGTTGGTTTTCCAGGCAGGCCCCCAGCCCAGAAGAGTAACTGAAAGCGAGAGCATTTGTGTTGGTTGGTGGAGTAACTGGAGGAGTGAGTATCCAAGGAGCCTCCATCCCAGTGGGAGGGCGATGAGTCACATCAGTGACTTGGTGCAGGGGGAAGGGGGCTGAGGAAGGGGGACAGGATCTGAGAAAGGAGGACAGGAGCTGAGCAGGGGGATTAAAAAAAACTCCCTGAGGGTTTCCTTGGGCCAGGTGGCCATTTTAAACATGATTTAGTGCGGCCCGGGGGGCTGCACCGGGGCCTGCGTGCTAATAGGGCCCAAGCATTTAGGGCCACCTGATGGGCCCCATATCTTCAGGGGCCCAGTCCACGCTGCAGCCGTGTAATAGCATGACTGGGGCCCGTAAAAAAAACAAAACAAAACAAAAAAAAAAAAAAAAAGTACTGCTGGGATGGAGTGACGACCGGTCATTTCCTCCCAGCTCACTCCGCACGGGAGGAGAGACAGCCAGGCAGTGAAGAAGGAGAGCCATCCGACTCCCATCAGCTCCAGTAAATGTCTAAATTCAATACTTTAAATAGGATTCTGATGCAAAAAGCACCGATTTTAAAGCTGAAACCGAATGATTTGGTGATTTGTTAGGGATGATTGATTTCTGACTGGAATGGCAATTCTTATATTTAAAGGGACACTCCAGGCACCCAGACCACTTCTGCCCATTGAAGTGGTCTGTGTGCCAACTCCCATCACCCTTACCTTAACCCTGCAAGTGTAATTACTGCAGTTTTTATAAAGTCCTCCTCTAGTGGCTGTCTATCAGACAGCCAGTAGAGGGACTTCCTAACATACAGGGGGTCTTAAAACACGAAAAGTGCTTTAAACTAGGCTGGATGTCCTCACGTTATGCATGAGGACCTCCAGCGTCGCCGGAATCACCATAGGAAAGCACTGAATAATGCTAACCTATGGTGAGGTCTAATGGACGCGGGTGGCCATTGCCACACATGCGCATTAGGTCTCCCACGTCGAGGGACATGGGCGCTGGATTCAGGTAACTACCTGAAGGGGTTTTTAAAATGGGTTTGTTTTCCTGGCACTGGAGAGTCCCTTTAATAAAGACACAATCTGGTTGGACTATGGTTATTTTTACCAAATGTTGCAGAATTTTTTTTTTTAAATCACTGTTTAAACTGGCCAATGGACAAACTTGGCAAAAGGGCTGGTGTGCCTCAATTGCTAAGGGCCGAGGCTGACATGTGAGATCAAAGGGTCTCCCAGGACATGGCATACACTGTTACACTACACTACTGGAGTGCAGCAAGTAAGGAGATTAAAGATCTCACTCACCAGCAGGGCCACCTTAATGTGGCTTTGGACCCCGGTAGGCATGACGACTCATCATCGGGCATGACGCGGTGGTCTTGCACATGCTCCCAACCTCCATCAGATTTCCCTACCTGCCAGGAGTGCTAGCACACACATGTGCAGCACAGGGGACAGCTGATCTGCGTCACTGGATATGATGTGGGGTAGGGAAATCTAATATGTTAAAGTGACATAACACCAGCTAGGGAGTTGCCATAGCAACCACACTGCATGTTGTTGTTGATATGGTTGGAGAGCAGAAAAACTTTAGCAACTAATTCTTCGCTTAGAGTTTATACTGAATAATTGACAGCACCTTATTTTTATATAGGTGCTTACTCCCAATGTATACCTTTTCTAGCACAATGCATGGATGGAGTTTAATGTTCTTTAAAAAGAGCAAAAGTAGTTTTAGACACTACAGATGCCCTTTAAATAGTACCAGTGATCCAGATGAGAAAGCTTGCTGTAAGGAGAGGGGTATTAAAGGGTAGTCGTGTGGTGTACTAAATGTTCCTGCCTACATGGAGGGGGTAAAGTGTACTTTAGCGTATTTTATTATTTTTCGATTTTACTCAAAGCAAATAGCATATATTTTCACCAGTCCACCAGTACCATTATTAAAATATGCTTTTACCTCAACTCGTTTAATTTTAAGCTGCCCTTCCCCCCCAGGATTAACTAGATGAGCATCACAACTTTAGACCTACTGAATTCATGTTATGAGTATAAAAGTAAACAGGCATCCAGATATTTAAATCCCCACCAGGAAGAGGGATGAGCTGTACATATATTCCATGGAGGCTAACGTTGTAGCACTATACATGTTTCATGGAAGGACTGCATTATCTATGGGCCCATCCTGTGACATGTCTGGCTGAGGGTCACAGCAAGTCTAAGGCACAGACGTGTGGCTCAGCATTATGGGATTAGCAGTTTACAACAGAGGACATGGTCTCACTATATCCCCACTGTGATCTGCACTGGGCACTGACACTGTTTTATGTAATCTGGGATATAGCCAGTTACTGGAAATAAATCCTACCCCAGGCCAGCCCCTGTAATGACTGTAGATATTCAGTGTGAGAGTACTTACCATGCTCCAGGGATAACAATACCCAGCACACAGTGAGTGGCCCCCTGCACACACACGACAGATTACAATTTGCCACTCGCCATGGTGTTAGTGAGTAGACGCTTATTAGCTAATCACATCATGGCAGTGTCCAGATTTGGGATATGGTATGCTGAGAGAGATAGCCTCAAAATGTACCTATTTTATTGTTTTTATTGTTTTTAGCTAGCTTGGCTATTTTAGCTCAAAATTAACTTTGAATTCCAGACAATTTAAACCTCAGAGCAGGATTACTAATTAAATAGTGAGTTACCATGAACCATTGTACAGCGCTATAGAATTTGCTGGCGCTATATAAACAATAAAATAATAATATTAACTAATCAGGAGACTGCAAATATTGAGACCTAATACGGTTTTAGTGAATACAGAAATGCAGGCATGTAACAGACAACTAACAAAATGTAACAAACTGAAATCCAGGTAGGACAATTTAGGCAAGAATAGATCTGGAAAAAGTCTACAACTTTGCTACTGGTTATTTTAGCTTATTTTTTTACATTTGGATTTCAGTCAGAGCTTAGTGATCAAACACAATGTAAGATATTTCTAAATAATGTTCTATTATTATACTGCCATGTGTAATGAGGTACCTTACCATTACATGGCATAGACTTACCAAATCGAAATATGTGATTTGAGGTAGGTAGATGATAGTCCACAAGCTGACAGCAACTATTTTCACTATCTGCACCAGACCTGTGCTCCTGAAAATAGAAATGGAGAAGCATTTAGTGCGGGGTAGGTGCACTGACATCACGTCTTCTATCACTTACAAATAATTCTAAATGTCTCCCTACTCGAATCCCATTTATTGCTATCCTGATAAACTCCAAGAGACTACTATTAGTGCGTTACCCCTAAAATTACCACCACATACGAACCTAGAATTAAACCTCTTTTTTTTTTTTTATCAATTAAGTCACTTGCCAAGCTGCCGTGCGATTCTTGCACATGCGCTACCTCCACTTCTGATCTCACACGCATGGGCAAAAAGTTTTCCAGAAAAAAACTACGTTTCCCGTGATCCCATGCTCTGACCGGTGTTCTGCGGTCGTGGAACGTCGAATGGAGGACTTCGGGAGGTAAGATTCTAATTGTTATCATCGTGAACTGTGTGCGATCTTAGAATTAAGCTGGTCTTCATTATTGAAATGCTTTTGGATTTTCTTTTTTTATTGTCAAATATTAACAAAACATAAATAGAATTCCTTGAGATTATCCCCATTTGTACCAAAAAAAGAGGACTCTCCTTTCCAAATATCTAAGCAGACATCCTGTTGTGCATCCACTTCCCATCAGGAATTCAAAATAAGGATCTCTGCCTATAGTTACACATTTAAGCAATGGTTATTCATTTGATTGCTTTAGGGCTTTTATTTTCCAGGTATAAATCATAGCTACAGAGGTGTATTCACTTAACAATTCAGTCTAGAATTTTTTTTTTTTTAAATGCCAAGTTGTGTAGAAGATTACAAGTTTACGCGAAAATAAATGCAGTTAGCTGTTTAGTGTGTTGACAACTTATCTACAAATTGCATTTCATTTTGGATTGGGACCATGGGTAATACAGTTGTGTATGTGGCTATTATTGCAAGTCCATTGGGATGGAGTCTTATTGTTTAAAGGGACACTATAGTCACCAGAACAACTACAGCTTAATGTATTAGTTCTGGTAAGTAGAACATTTTGCTGTAAACACTGTCTTTTCAGAGAAAATGCAGTGTTTACATTACAGCCTAGTGATGTAAACACTGGTCACTCATTGGATGGCTGCTAGAGGTGCTCCCTGGGGCTGTGCTGCCTAGTGTGCAGCACTGCATTTTCCGTGTCTCCACCCTCTGCATGCAGACACTGAACTTTCCTCATAGAGATGCATTGATTCAATGCATCTCTATGAATAGATGCTGATTGTCCAGGGCTGTGTTTGATTTGTTTTGGCTCTGCTTCCTTGACAGTCTCAGCCAATCCTATGGGAATCATTGTGATTCCTTAGACCACCACTTCTGATGATGTCAGCAGACAGAGGCAGTTCACAGGCAGACAGGGGCAGAGGTAGCAGCTGCAGACTTGGATACAATTAAGATTTCATTATATTTAGGGTGGCTAGATGGTGGTTTTAATACTATAGGGTCAGGAATATATGTTTGTGTTCTTGACCCTATAGTGCTCCTTTAATTATGAGGTGTTCCTGTCCAATTTAGAAGTGGGAAAATCTATACCCATCTAATGCTGCCATGGATATATCTGGGATAAATATATATATATATATATATTAGTGTTCCCCAACTTAGTTCTCAAGGCACATCAACAGTCCAGGATTAAGGTTTTACTATCAAATTCTAGACTGTTGGCATGCAGGTAAGGTGGGCACTTCTGTAATCTAAATTAGACATTTGCCTGGACATCTGGATCTGTGGTAGAGCCATGCAGCTCCACAAGCTGGTAGGGAGATCAAAAGATCTTCCTGACTGGCCATACACTACAGGTGATGGGATTGTGGTCCTTTATGTGAGTGCAGTTTAGCTCAGCTGTCCCTCGTGGTGTTTCTATGGGATACAGCACCTCTGTCTGGTTGATCATTCAGCGTTCGGAATCCTTCAAAAATACTCCATGGCAAGGATTTACTTATGTGTAGAGAATGAAGTGATAACACACCAGCACCCTACAAATAATACCTCAAGCAGGCATCTCACATATTGCTGAGCCATATAAAGCTGTCTCAGACTTTCAGGACTCCTGTTATAGGTTATAGCTGGTTTCTTGTTTTAGGATCCCACTGGTACGTTTAAAAGACTCCTCTCCGTTGTGTATGAAGCAAACATATAACAGGAATGCAAAAAAGTACCATATTTATTTGGCCAAAATATTAAGTAAAAATACAGTGCAAGATAAATACAACACTTTTTTTGTATTCTTGTTATATGTTTGCTCTATATACAATTGAGATAAGTCTTTTAAAGGTAGCAGTGGAATCCTAACTGTAGAGGTGTTTTTATGTTGTGTTATATTATCATTCAATAGCTCGTAGAACCACCTTTAGCAGCAATAACTCGAAGTAATCATATTCTGTATGACTTTATCAGCCTCTCACATCTTTGTGGGGACATTTTGGCCCACTCTTCTTTATAACATTGCTTCAGTTCATTGAGGTTTGCTGGCATTTGTTTATGCACTGCTCTCTTAGGCCTGCCCCGGCATTTCAATTGGGTGCAGGTCTGAAGTTTGACAGGGACATTGAAACACCTTGATTCTTTTCTTTTTCAGACATTCTGTTGTAGATATGCTGATGTGCTTGGGATTATTATCCTGTTTCATTGCCCAATTTTGTCCAAGCTTGAGCTTTCAGACAGATGGCCTCACATTTGACTCTAGAATACTTTGGTATACAGAGGTGTGCATGGTCGTCTCAATAAATGGAAGGTGACTGCAAAACAAGCCCAAATCATTACCCCTCAACCAAGCTTGAGAGTTGGTTTGAGGTGTTTGTGCTGATATTCTGTGCCAAACGTGGCACTGTGCATTACGACCAAACATGCCCACTTTGGTCTTGTTAGTCCAATGGACATTGTTCCAGAAGTATTGCGGTTTGTTTAGATGCAACTTTGCAAACCTAAGCCATGTTCTCCAAGTTTGATGTGCAGCAACAATTGCTTCTCTACGATCATTGCTGATGTCTTTCCTCCTTGGCATTGTGTTAACACACACACCTGAATGCTCCAGACCAGCAAACTGCTAAAACTTCGGCTTTCATAGAGGTAGTAACACTTTCTGATGATTAATTAAAGGGACACTATAGTCACCAATGCAACTACATGTATCCCTGACCCTATAGTGTTAACACCACCATCTAGCTCCCCTGGGCCCCTCATGCCTCCATAAATATAGTCAAAATCTTACTGTATTCAAGCCAGAAGCTGTAACTCTGCATGCTGTTAGACTCAGAAAAACAAAGCAGTTTGCTGACATGTGGTAGCCTGATCCAATCACAGTGCTTCCCCATAGGATTGTCTTAAACCGACAAAGAGGCAGATCAGGGGCAGAGCCAGCATGATTCAAACACAGCCCTGGCCAATCAGCATCTCCTCATAGAGATAAATTGAATTAATGAATCTCTATGAGGAAAGTTCAGTGTCTGCATGCAGAGGAAGGAGATACTGAATCACAGGATGCTGTGCACAGTGCTGCCCTGTGCTCTGCTGACAGCAGATCTGAGTGGATGGAGGCATATTAAACCTCCATCAACTCGGAAGTCCCTCTGGTGGCAGTCTGAGTGACTGCAACTGGAGGTGTTCCTAGCTTTCAATGTAAACCCTGTATTTTCTCAGAAAATATAGTGTTTACATGAGAGAGGCTGCAGGGAGCTATAGTTCTCAACTGAATAACCTCATTGAGCTGAAGTTGTTCAGGTGACTTTAATCAAGGGTAGTTGATTAGCAGCACATGTCTGCTATTTAGCCCCTTAATTCCTACACATGACTTCTCCATTTTGGTATTATTTTTGTTAAATAAATTAGGTGTAATGTGTCATGTGTTCTTGTTTATCTAAGGTTATATTTACCTAATTGTAAGACCTACTAAGGAACAGATGATTGTTATTATTTCCTGATATGTAAAACCATAGAATTCAAAGAGGGTGTACTTCCATTTTCCAATGACTGTATATGTGGGGGTAATTGTGAATGTTTTATGTAGTTTCCTAATGTGAGAATTAGTTGTATGTGGTGGCCTAGACACAAGGGAGCCACCATTATGTGGCCTAAAGCAGGGTTCAACAAATCCCAGATGCCAGGTCGCCGTGGCAACTAGGATTTTTGTCCTGGTATTTGCTGGCCCATTCAGTCCCCAAGGTTGCGGGCGACAGGCTCATAAAGAGCATGGGCGTGCGTGTGGGTGGTCAGTTGGTCTTCCAGCCCGCTCAGTAAGCGTGGGCGGGCGCCTTGCGAGTGAGAGGGTTGGTGTGCGCACGGACGGGCGGCTCCTGGAGGTTTGAGGCAGAGGGACAGGCGCATGGGGGAGCTGTAACCTCCCTCCCTGCTCTGCTTCCTCCAGTGATGCCAGGAGACGGAATATGACGTCATTCCGTCCCCAGAATCACTAAACAGCGCTCTATGGAGCAGTGCAGGGAGATGAACCACAGGGAAAGCTGAACCCAGGTAGGGAGACGGGTTGGTCACATACGTGTGTGATTAGTGCAGTGACAGTGAGTGTGTGTGTCACTGAGTGAGTGTGTTTAGATGACTGGTCCCCATCCAAGTACATGGGAAAGGGTTTTTTACTCACCTTTTTCTCCCACGTTGTACTGATCTCGCTGCAGCTGGCCCTGCCTCCATGACTGGTATCATCAATCTTGATGATCTCAGCCAATCCAATGCTTTCCCATAGGAAAACATTGGGAGGCTATTGCGCATGTGTGGCAAAACGCCATGCTGCGCCAATAAGCAGCTCCTCATAGAGATGCATTGATGCAGGGCGTGGAGATGCTATACGTAGATGCTGTGCAGCACTGACCCAGGATGCACTCCAGAGGCTGTCTGAGTGACTGTCACTAGAAGTGTTGCAAGGCAGCAATGTAAATACTGCCTTTTCTCTGAAAAGGCAGGGTTTACATTGAAAAGTGTGCAGGGACAAATTATAGACACGAGAACAACTACATTAAGCTGTAGTGGATCTGGGGACTATAGTGTCCCTTTAAGAATTGTACTTTTGACATTGAAAAACCTGGCTCCTAACGTTTTTTTGCTGGCTCCTAGATTCCAAGCTAATTTGTCAAGCCTGGGCCTAAAGGTAAGCAAGCAGGTACATGTTTAAAACAAAATGTTTTTTTTGATATTATGTATTAGCCCCCAAGTTTTAAAGTCTACAACTTTCCATTCCTGGGCTATTTTTATCCAGCCCTGTGTGATTTCTCCCCTGCCTACCACGTTCATCTGATCTCTTGTGAGCGGAGAACTATGTTTACAACATGACGAGGCTTCGTGTTTTGCTTTAACCTCTTCTTTACTAAACTCTATCAGCAGCAAAAAGACTTAGTAACAAATAACCAATTCAAAAGAGATAGGTCTTAGATATAGAGTCTACCAACAAAGGGCGTCTGCTCTTTCTTTGCTGCTCCACCTGGCAATATTTATCCTTTGTCTGTTCTTGTTATCACCCATTCCTTTAACTGCATATCACTACCTCCTCCTGGGGTGTTTTGGTTTAGTTCTGTGGATCTTCCTACCTTCTGTTGGATCCCTTGCTTCTGCTTTCGACTTGTGTGCAGTTGTCTGCTGTCTCTGTTTGATCACAGCAACTCTCTTAATCTCATGTTCTCTTAAGTCATGTGTTCCATTTTCTCACATTGCGATTTGGATCATCTCTATGTCCTTTGTCCTACAACCAGCTCTGAAAGGATTGTTGCAGGATATTTACTCCACATTTTGGCTCTGTGGTCATACCCCTTCCTGCATTTACTTATTGCTGCCTGCATGTTGCTTGTGCAACCTTCTGTTATTTGGGATGAGCACCCATTAAAACCACCTTTGTTTGACTGTACACATGGTTGGTGAGAACCAAGAAAATCAGTACTTACTTTACAATTTAGAATGTGTCTCCTACTGACTGTGCAACAGATGGCCTCTGCATCCGTACTATTACGTCTATTTGAGACCCAATAGAGTGAGCCCCAATATTGTTTGTAGTGCCCTAATACAGCATTTCTTACTTATGGTCCTGAGACCGTTTCCTTAATTATTGGGTGAGCCCCAATCAGTAGTGTTGTGCTTATACTGTAAGTTTGCATATTGTATCCTACTTGATATAGAAAATGCTTGCTAAACACAGTAAACTCTCAATGACCATCGAACCCCATAACTACACAGGGTAATCATTTGATGAAGAGATGAGTATTTGCCACAGTCTCTTTAAATTGTTTACAAATGACAGGCAGATAGATCCACCTTTGTCAAAGAGAACTGGGAAGATGGACACACATTGGCCATTTGTTTGTCTTGGTGGATGGGCTCCCCTTTAATTCAGTATCCAGTGGTCTTAATCAACCTCCTGAAAATGATGTAATTCTGCATTTAATTGGCAATGAAATGTTTAATCCCAGTAACATTAGACACCCACAATCAGGTCAGTTCATGAATTTCTGGCTGCAAAAGTCATTCAAAAATTAAGTTTGCAATCATCTGAGTGTGGAAAGCCTGTGGCATTCCCTCCAAATAAGGTGTCTCAAACTCCTGAAGTTGATCAGACAATAACTACCTTTATGGCTTAAATGGTCGCTACCCCTGAAAGGGAATTGAAAAGGGCTGAAGATTCTCTATTTGGCAGACTATACCCTTGGGAATACACTTGACCCACATTACGTGCAGGCATGGGCACAGTGATGCATATGCTTAAGTGGTAATGCCTATGTTGCACTTCACACGGTATAGTAGAAAAGCCGCTCTTCTGCACATTGATCATAAGCTCATAGAATTAGGCTCCAAAGAATTAGGACCATTGGCACAAGGCATGCTTTTTAATGGAAACTTCATTAAAGAGTTGACCAAGCATGTAAATTTATACACGTCACTGAGCGGGGCACAATCTTCCCTGTGGAAGACAAGCCCTAATGAGTTTTAATTCGTTTTTTTTTGGGTGGCCATGCCATCACCCAATTTTAGCCTAATTTATCCATAGCATGTCAGCCGCAATACCTTCTACCAAGATATAGTGGGCAGAACCTGCTCCAGCCACAATGTGGCATGGACCGGGGCTATGGTTCCCAAGGATGTGGTAGTGTCACGTTTCCAGCAGGTAAGCAAGGTCTTCTCAAATCCGTCTTCGTTTTGTCTCATTGTTTGAACTGAAAACTAATTTCCTTAGTTGCCTGGAGTCTTCTAATGACTTGAAGATTTGTCATATTTTTATTTCCTTCATCTGATTTGAACTAAAGCTTCCCAAAGACATCTGATAGATATAGAGGTCCACAACTTTCTTACCAAAGGAGCCATCCAGTTGACTTTGGATACCAGCGGATTCTTCAGAAACATATTCAAGTATAGAAAAAGACCAGAGACTTCTGCCCAGTGATACATTTACATGATCTCAATGCCTTTTAAGTGTATTGCCACTTCAAAATGGAAGGCATACACCTGCTAAGGAAATTGTTGTGACCAGGCGATTGATTTACTTGCCTAGATATAAAAGATGTCGTTTTCCCAGGATTTTTCTGGACAGGTTGAGCATTACAGTTCACTTTCATGCTCTTTGGATTTCGTTTGGCCCTTATGGTGCTTAAAAAAGATCCTTAAGCCAGTCAGTCATGGCCCATCATACCAGTATATGGGGCTGGGGAACCACTTGTGCTGATCATTCCATGGGAGAAACATATACACATTAACTATCTGAAGCTCATAACTGGCTCTTTCACCATAAGAAGCTTTTGACTCAAGAATAATGTGTCAGCAGTTTTAGTTGGTAGGTACTTGGTTTTAATTGCGTTCAGACATTATGAACGACATTTATCGATACAATTATAAAACTCCAGCACTCTTCAACTGGCTTCCGGATCCAGAGAGTACAGCTGTAGACAACCTTTTACAGAAAGTTGTCAAGTGTCAGACGTATAAGCTTTTGATGTAGACACATTTTCCTTTTCTCTGGAAAGCATTATTATTTCTATTTCCTTTGATATTCAGTGAGATTAGTCTATTTCCTATTCTTTTTCTCATTTCGAACTGAAAATGTGTATAGTTAATTCTCTTCTTTGTTATGTCTCTGCTATTTCTTCGCTCTTCTTCATTCTGTTAACTTCTTATTTCTTATGTTTTAGTTAGAACTCTAGACCACTGGGTATAGTGGCTTTTGTCTTTAGTAAGTGTGGATTCTGCTTTTGGAGCTCACACATTTCGAGGTGCTTCTGCCCACTGTGAATATTCTTTTGGAGCTTGTTGGTTGATATCTTTCTGTCTGCCAAGTGATACAGGAGAGATACTGGGTGTTCTATTTTCACCTGACGTTGCATGCTTCGTTTTTGCTTTTATAAGAGGGTTAAAGCAAAATACAAAGCCTCCTATCATGTAGTAAAATTGAAGATTATTCTAGCTTTATTGTACACTTAATCTTAATTTCAAATAATACGATAAAATGCTGCTACATTAACGCAGGGGAAATGACCTCATAAAGCAACTATGTGGATGACATAAATAGCAGTTCTGTTGAATTCTTGATTTTGCTGAATTTATTAATTTCTTCTGCAATCATGTGTGAGTCCAGAAAAGGACTAAGAATGCTTTACACTAACTACTCAACAGATAACATACAAACAAGGATGCTGGTTTGTAAGTTATTGGCTTTTTAGTTAATGCTCCCTAAATTCTCACACAAGCAATTCTCAGTTATTTTTTTGGTCTCTTCAATTAAAAATATGCCCTCCTGTTCTTTTAAGATATAAATGAGTCATACATGTTCCACTTGAAAACATGGCGGGACTAAGAATTGGCTTATCCATTGGCACTGCAGGATCAGGCTTAGAAATTTGATGGGGAAACAAAATGACTACTGTAAGTTAGTTGGGGGCGTATAAGGACAATGTATGTGCTTTGATCTATAATTAGTTGTGGCTGTTTGTTCGTTATCTTTGTTAACTTTGAAACCTTACTAGAAATAATGCAGGATCAACTGTCAATTGTATTCCTTGTCACATGTTGTTACAAAGGCTTACACAATTCTTGGAGTTACCTATATTTCCTCTTTTATTCATTGCCAACTGTGCATTTAACACTGATATGGACAAACCAGGATAGAATATCTAACTTAAGCCATTAAAAGATCAAGGTGTGAATATACCTGGGTATTGGAAAAAGATAAATGCTAATTTATTTCCTCAGCAAAGTAAATTAAGATTTAATTTTTCAATATGTAGGTGTGAACTGTGAAGAATCATAGTAAATGTGCCAGACTGCAACATTTCCTGTATTTTTCTTACTGCTTGGCAAGAGGATTCTGGAACTGATCATTCAACCGAAGATTGAGAGGTAAATTCTTCACTGTATTGCTTTCCATTCCAAGAGGTCTTTTACAAACAAGGACATAAGTTTGACTAATGGTACACTTGGGTGTGTTTTCTGTAAGGTGAGATGACATTGCTGTATAATTCTGTATGGAGGAGTTAGAGAATTTAAGACCCAAGGAAGTGATGGAAGAACAGGAGCAACTCAAATCTCTAGGTAAGTGAATGTTTGTTGTTGTTGATTGTGTATATAGTTAACACATTACCATATGTGTGAACTAAATGAAACTGCCCATACTGAGACATTTAGAGGTGTTACTCAACCTCCGTCAATTGCATTTGTATGTCATAAGCAAGACCAGAACAAGAGTTCCAGGCGAACAGAAGCCAAATGCATATCACAATGCATCAGAGAAGGCTAGGTGCCCAGTAGGGACCCAGGTAAGAGGAGAAATTGTTGCAAGTTTTTAAAATATATTTTGTTTAACCCCTTTGGTTAATAAACCTTGATGTTTAAGCAAATACATTATTATGTTTATTATTTTAGTTAAATCAATTTCAATCGTTCTTCAAATATTAATAAGAGTGATTAATCTTTAAAGCTGGAGATAGGTTACTTTGCAATAATTTTATAATAATCTATGTATTTTTTTCCCCAAATAAATTTTTAGTGTTTTCAATTCAGGTAACACGCACAGTTACAAAAGCATCTGGACAAAGTAAATGATAAAGTATTTTGACATTAGATAGCAATATACAGAATGTATCATTTGCTCTGAGGTGGGTGCACATGTCAAACTGTATGTCCAGTAATTAGTATGAAGAATTCAAATCAGATCAGCACAAAACATTGAGAAATAAGGTGTGCCGTCTCTACACCCCCAATGCCTAGAGTCAGCATCCCCAATATTCTCTGGCACATCTTCTCATCTACATTGATCTGTTGGATCTTATCTATCACTAAACCTTCCGCTGGAGCAGCGTTTCCCAATTGTTGTTCCATGGAACCCTGGGGTTCCGCGGAACACCAATTGGGGTTCCGCCAAAAGTTAAAAAAATAAAATGGCAGCGAGGGAGCAGTGGGCAGTGATCTCCTTGCTCGACCGCACAGCAGTGATGCTGGAGCTGGAATACGATGTCACTCCAGCATCACTAAGAGATGCCCGAGGGAGCTGAGCAGGGAAATCACTGCTCCCTCGCCGCCTGCATGCCAGCCACTCAGCAGCCCCACTGGACCCCAGGGACTCCATGCCAGCACTAAAGGTAGGGGGGCTGGGTGGAGTAAAATGTAAAAAAAAATTGTATGTGTGTCTGTTAGGGAGTTTGTGTTTGTGTGTCTGTCAAAGAGTATATGTGTGTTTGTCAGTGAGTGTATTTGTCAGTGAGAGTGTATATGTGTTTGTATGTGTGTCTGTAAAAGAGTATGTGTGTTTGTCAATGAGAGTGTATATGTGTCTGAGTGTGTCAGTGTGTGTATCTGTGTGTCAAGGTTTGTGTATGTGCCTGTGTGTATCTGAGAGTGTGTGCATGTGCCAGTGTGTATCTGTGGGTGCAAGTGTGTGTATATGTCATTGTGTGTATCTGAGTGTGTGTGTGTGTGTGTGTGTGTGTGTATTTGTGAGTCAAGATGTGTGTGTGTGTGTGTATCTGTGTCTCAAGGTGTGTGTCTGTGTGTCAGACATATATATATATATATATATATATATATATACACACACACACACACAGATACACACTGACACAGAGATACACTGGCGCATACAAACACAGATATACACACCTTGACACAGATCAGCACCTACAAACACAGATACACATACATTGACACACAGATACACACACCTTGACACACAGATACATACACACTGTGTGTCAAGGTGTGTGTATCTGTGTGCCAGTGTGTGTGAATCTGTGTGTCAGATATACACACAGATACACACACTGGCACATACAAGCTCAGATATACACACCTTGACACACTGGCACATACATGATGAAAGTTCCATCTAGACACATGTTCAGGAAATATGCTGAGTAGAAATATAACTGGTTCTAGGGGCAATAACACCCATGTACATGACCTAATAATAACCGATCCTCCTCAAAATAGGGCATGATTAAATTGTGTGTAGCTGTAGCAAACATACCCAATCCACGAGCCTGTCATGCTAACTTTGCCAGGCCACGTGAGTGGAACCTATTTTCTCCCATCTGTGTGATAAACTGGCGGTGGGGATTAGGTTCCCCCCTTTATTATGTAGAGCCCCCACCTGCCGCTAATTGGTGGGGTTTAGGAGGGAGCAATAGATTCTTCCCTATTATTACTTGGGCCCCCACTCGCCAGTAATGGGTGAAGACAATAGATTCACCCTTCCCCCCCCACCCTGCCCATTAGTACTTAGGCCCCCACCAGCCTGCACTGTGTGTGTCCCCTTCCTGTTAATTATTATAATAGATGCCCCACCATTAGGGTATGGGGGACCTGTGTCAGTTCCCTCTTTATTGGATTTGGGGGGGTGTCTTTTTTTACAACAGTGAGCAGCTCTCTAATACTTGTTGGATTGCCATTATATATTTAAGCTTGTGTATGTCTTGTGTAATTGGGAGAAAAAAGTTTGATTTCCTTTATGATGGGTGCCTAGACCTCCAATAGTCATATAGAGAATAAGTGTGGAGCAGGCCATAACATTTACCACTAAGTGCAAGGAAATTAGCAAATCGATCCTTTGGCATAATGCCCCTCTAACTCTAGGACACAGTTCAAATAAATGCAAATAAAGAGTTGGCCTAATTGTAAAGTGTAACAGATCCCTGTATACTCCGGCAGAGTATTTCCACTGTAAGTTTCCCAAGTCCCAAGGGCTGCAGTGATTATATCTCTTGGTTCCAAGCAGAGTAGTGATTAGAGCTCTCCAATCCCCCAAACATGAGCCTGAACTTCATGAAGGGGTAAAACTAATGTGTTTAATCCAGGCTCAATGGCCTGCTTTTATACAATACAGGGACACAGTAAACACACCCCTGACACTCCCACACAAACCGGATAACCCCCTTCCGGACCTGAGAGGGGACTAGTTACAAGTTACAAACTCCTCCTCTGTGCCTGAGAGATAATTGAGTCAGGAACTGAACTAACTCCATTATCACCAGGCACAGAAAAACATACAATATTACAAAACCCCATAAAATACCTTTAAAACACATAAAATCCCCACAAAAGTTACATCCCCTGATAGCCCCGATCTGGGTGACCACCATATCCGAAAATCACCCAGATCGATTCAGGGGTTTGAGATTTTCCTGGACGTCATATCTGACCGACTGCACACATAGTCCTATGCCGAAAACAGTTCCAGGAGAAAAGTGGTAGTGTTCGGTCAATTTTGCCATACCGTGGAGCTTGTTCCCTTCATCCAGACGAATGATCCCACCTAACAGTGTTCTTCTAAGTTATATAAAACCAAACACAGACGATCATGGAAGTCCAGCGGTGTTCAGGAGTTTTAGTGTCCGAAAATAGTTTCATGAACTCGACGACCAAAATCTGCTGCCTGTGTTCATGCGAACAAGATGGCCGCCACCTCATGGTCGTTTATACGAATTGCGGCCATGCAGATGAACAATTAGAACACTGTGGTTAGGATTGTTACAATGCATCCATTAGGCTTAACAAGCTCCCGGGTGGTCCATAGTTCATGCGGCTGTTCGATTCCAAAACAGCATAGGGGAATCACACAAACCAAGCCAGTTAAATAGTCTTTTACAGGTTTCCCGGGAGGGCCAATAGTCTGTGGGCAGCAGGCTGGCAAGCAGGCTCCTCCTGGAGCTTGTGGCAAACTGATGTAGGAAGGGGAGTTTGTCACATAAAGTATCTAGCTTTTTAATATATTTAGTAAGGAATTTGAGTTGATTAGTATTTGAAGAATATATATTGGCTTAGGTTATATGAGTATCATTTAATTAACATCACCACCAAAAATCTTAATCTGTCCCCCTGTTCCAAATATTGTCTTTGCAATGTAAAGGCCCAGTCTCTGTGTATCAAAATAGACACTCCACTGCTTTTAGTTGTAGTGTAGGAGTAAGGTATTGGGGAATTTGATTGACTTAAAGGGACACTATAGTCACAAGAACAACTACAGCTTAATGGAAACACTGCCCTTTCAGCGAAACACTGCCTTTACACAAATACCAGACTTCTTTTTAGTATATTGATGGGTATTTCTTGTTATACCAGGGGAGGACAAGCAAATTGGTCATGGACTCAGGGCCTGTGTTTTGTAGGGTACTGATCCCCTTGAGCAGTTGTAAGGCTGGCTGGAAGTTAAGATGGACAAACCAACAGTGAGATGCACAGCCACCTCAGAAGCACTTGCTAATGGGATAATTTTTGTTTTCTTTCAGCAGTGCAGCTAAGGTCTCTGCAAAGATTTGGCAGTGCCTTTCCTGTATTTGGCCTGAATACTGTGGTTGCAAGACATCATCATGCTTCCTCCACACACCTCTCACAGAGCTTCAGTTGTAAGACTGAGTGTAATCTGTGATCAGCTATAGTTTTGGATCTTAATAGTTGCATGTTTTTGCAAATGTATGCTGCAACATTTTGGCTGATGTACACCCTTTTTATTAATCTCTTATTCTACTGCAACTTTTTGGGATACTCTGAACACCAACACAACTTTAAAGAGAAACTATGAAGTTAAAATGACTCTATTTTAATGAATTATGAAGATAATGCATTTAAAGTGAATATGTAATGGGAAATATGACTTGCCTTAAGTTACTTCCATGTACATATGTCATAAAGATACATGGTGTATTCAATGTAAAATATAAAGATTTGCTCACTTTTCCTCTGTTCCAGTTCCACTTCGTGGGTGTTACTGTTCGCGTAACACCCACCTCCTACCTGTCTTCCACTCTGCCTCTGTTCTTTTTTTTGCCCTTCTTAGGATACATCCCCAAGCAGGGCAAATCTCATTTGTGACTTTGGCTTGTTGGCTTCATCAGAACAGATTAACGTTTCCTTAGCAAAGAGAGTTTCCTTAGCAACCACAGTGCATGCACTGTGGTTGCTATGGGAGAAGAGCAGAGGGACCTCCTATGGGAAGTTTTTTTTCTGCTCTCCCTTGTCTGTCAGTGCCTTTGCACATTTTTAAATAGGTTTTTCTCCTCATCTACATATCTGCTAGATGTATAGATAAAATCTTATGCTCAACCTCATGATGATAAGTTGTTTGGGGGCATTTTTTTTATTTTTTAATCTGGCAGATACTCTTCTCTGATCTCACAAAACTGATCTCAAAAAATGCAGTTTCATTCTTTATTTAAGTTGAGAAGAAATGCTGTGTAAACTGTTAATAACCACAGTATGATGCTATTGGTTTACTCATAGTCTGGTTCACCATTCAATTAACTGGACTGTTTTCACATTGGCTGCAGTCTGCACATATGTGGTTCACAGCTTTCTCTCCTGAGCTGAGAGAGTGCTCAATCAAAGTTCATATCTCAGCTGTCAATGTTAGCCAATCAATATTCAAAAATGCATACTAGTTACAGGGCCATCTTAGGTCCTTCCCTACTAGCCAGGTTTTAAAAGTGACTCCAATTGCAAGCCTGAAGGGCTCATGGCACACTCACCAGAGGTGAAGTTCTAGTCATCAAGACAAAATATTTTATTAAAGTTGAATGTACACTTCCTACTTACATTGTATATTGATATTTTAACTTCCCCAATAGAAATATGGTGTACAGGGGCCAGGAAGTTTGTGTCAAACAAGTTGATATAGAACCAGGGGATGACACCATAGGTACAGCAGGCTGTCATAGCTACAGTGTTTAGAAAGCTCCTTTTGTTTTGTTCAGGAAGTAAAAATATAGAGGTTGTTCCCTTAAAACTAATACTTAACAGGAGCTACACTTAAAGGGTATAGTCCCAGGTCCCTTAACCCCGCAAAGCTAATTATTGCAGTTTAAAAAAAAAAATAAACTGCAAAAAGTACCTCTCAGGCTTTACTCCGGTCTAGTGGTTGTCTACCAGATAGCCACTAGAGGAACTTACGGGCTGTTATGCAACTTTTGGTCCAGCGTCACCCAAAACCCATGGGAAAGCATTGACGTTGGTGGGGAAGGAGCGAAAGCGGACCTCGGCGCTGGACCCAGGTAAGCAACAGAGGTTTTTAACACCTTCTGCTCTGGGAGAGGGGGAGCTATAGTGCCAGAAAAACAAGTTTGTTTTCCTGGCACTATAGTTTCCCTTTAATAAGGTCAAGTAATATGATTAGAAACTGTTCCTGCTATCATGCAAGTAACTGGGAGCCATACCTCTTGGAAGGTTTTATGCAGTGCAATTTTTAAATGAACTTTTATTGATATCTCTTTTTTAATACCAATATTCTAAATTTTACACATGTATACTTGCGCCAATGTAATCATATATTTCTTTCCAGAAGAAAGCTCTGCAGGTGAAAACACATTTGAAGGACGTCACACCCCTAACTTTTCATCAGACTCTGTAAGTCAACAGGAAACCAAATGCATGTCCAGGAAGAAATCAAGAAAGCGCTGGAGCCATCCAGTGAAAAATGTGGGAGATGAAGCTTCTTTGTGTGAAGAACAAAATATCATACATATTGCAAAGTGCTCAATGCTTGAACAGATATCTAATATTGAGGAAGAAGAACAACTTCAAGACAGTGACCCTTTCAGTGAAGCTTCACAAATAGAATCAACTTCGATTAAGAAGTATGACAAAGGGAATATGTCACAGATAAGAAATAACTTGCTTGTTATAAAGTGCACTGAGTGCGATGAAATATTTAATGCCAAATCAACATATATTGCTCACCTCATGACACACACAACTGAGAACACGTTTAAATGCTCAGAGTGTCAGAAAGGTTTTACTAGCAATGCAGATCTTATTAAACACCTTACTGTTCACAAAGGGAAGAAACTGGCTTGTCCTGAATGTGGAAAATATTTCTCTTATAAATCACAGCTTATTAAGCATCATCGAATTCACACAGGAGAAAAACCATTCTCGTGCTCTATTTGCGGAAAATGCTTTAGCAATAACTCACATCTTACGAAGCATGAGAAGATCCATTCAGACGAGAAGCCATTTGTATGCTCAGAATGCGGTAAATGTTATGCTATTCGTTCAAATCTTGTTAGGCACCAGCATATTCATTCTCGAGGAAAACCTCTTATATGTTCTGAATGTGGAGATTTTTTTAGCAGTGTAACCGATCTGAATGCACATATAAGAAGCCATAAAAGACAAGTTAATATTTCCTGCTCTGAATGTGGCAAGACTTTTCAACATAAATCTCATCTTGAAATGCATCAGTTAGTTCACACTGGGGAGAAACCATTTGTTTGTGGTGAGTGTGGGAAATGTTTTAGCAATCACTCTAATCTCGTTAAACATCAAAGAATTCATACTGGAGAGAAGCCTTACTTGTGTTTGGAATGCGGCAAATCTTTTACTCACTGTGCAAGTCTCATAACTCATCGCAGAACGCATACAGGAGAGAGGCCATTTGCATGTCTTGAATGTGGAAAATGTTTTACAAATTATTCACATCTTGTTAAACATCAGAGAACTCACACAGGAGAGAGGCCTTTTGAGTGTCCTCAGTGTGGAAAACGCTTTACATCTAGTTCGCATGTCACTACACATCAGACAGTTCACACAGGGAAAAAACCATACTCCTGTCAAGAATGCGGTAAATCCTTTGGATTCAAAAGTAATTTAAATGCACATTCAAAACTACACATAAAAGAGAATTCAAACTGATTTTACTTGAGTCTAAAAAATAAATATTTGCTGTAAGTGGCAGATTACGTTGTGGCAACCTAATATTTTCCTTGCAAAAGGTCAGGTAGATAAGCTAGGATTAAAGATGACTTTAATTGGATTCTCCCAACTACAAAGAAATTGATTTAAACATTTTAGTAACAGCTTATAATGCAATAGCTGCTAACACAACAAAAATCTCCTTTTTGTTTTAGGTAATTATATAGTAGTGACAGTCTGCATTCATTTTAGGAGACCAAAGTTCTATCTTTTCAGTTCCGTTGATGTCAAACATTGATGATTAGCACCTCCACATTATTTGCAGAAGGTGGGGAGTCAACAACTAAGGTATTGCTGTATAATTACACATTTTTATTTAACTTCTTAAGTATGGAGGTAATTGACTAAGACCAGCCCTAAAATTCCTCCCTATTAGGGTATAAGAACAATACCTACCATAGTATCCCCCATTTTCTGCCTGCCCATCCATGGTAGCATTTATCCTGTTTTTATATTGTTTTTTCTTACCTGCAGTAGGTGAGTCTGTAGGAGTGGAGACTAGGGCATCTGTAGTTCAGGTTTAGAGCTCTTATAGTGCTGATTCGGCTGGCCACTGTGGTCGTTCTGCCTCAGCTGCTGCAGAGCCTCTTTGAAATGTACACCAGAATCTCAGAAACTGCATGCATTTCTCTCCACTCACTTCTGCCATGATCTGAAACAGGAGGCGGGTCTATTGTGGAGGATTTTGGGCTTATCGTAGTGGATCGCAGGCCTGGATCATGTCATGTTCCACTATTGATGCAGTTGCCAAAATTTCAAATTCAAATGCCCTTGATAGCTTTCAGAGCACTGGGTGCTAATCGCAGGAATGTCATCACCTTTCGCCCTGTGCACTGGAGAGGCGTTTTTAAGGTATTAAAATTTATTTTTTACTTTTAAAACTCCTCTGAGAATTCTGTTGCCCAGTTTGTCAGGTCTTTTTTCTGATTTTATTCCCTGGTTGTTTAACACACCTGAGATTCAAGAATCGCCCATCAAACCTGAGAGATCCAAAGCTGTAGCAAAAACAAATCTCCTTAATTGCTCAATGTGCAATATTCATGTACATGATGGATGTAAAAAGAAGCCATGCCTATGTTAAAGAGACTGCAGATACAGCTAATCAAGCAGAAATGTGTTCATTTGTTAATTGGTTCCAGCAAAGCTTAAAACAGACATTTTAGGATAAAAAATGAAACCGCTATGCTACAAAATATTCCTGCCATTTCTGAACAGGCAAATTGTTCTGAAAATGTAAGGCACCATCTAAGTATCTGAAGATTCCTCGGATAGTTCTGCTTTTTCCTCAGGTTCATCTGAAGGTATCATTATCTTTGATGTGGCATTAAAATACAATCACAGAGGAGCACCACAGAAAAGATCCAATACCCAGGGATTAATAATGAATGGATGCTTAAATGGAATAACCTTATTACATTAGTAGGATAATATAAACAATATAGCATCCATAGCACGTCATATTTTACAAATACCTTTATTGGTACAAAATTCACATAAATACTCTACATACTAAATTTAAAAGTAGTATGAAAAATACTATAAAGCAAAATTCAATTACAGTTAAACTCATACAGATCTTAATGGTTACCTTTAAATGGACCAACATGCTCTAGGTATAAGGTATAACGTAGGCTCTGCGTGGGTTTAAGTGTAATTGCATTTATGTATTGAGATTGCTTATTGAAAATACTTTACTGTATTGTGAATGCTACTATATTTGAGTGTGTAGTGTATTTATGTGAATTTTGTACTTCGAAAGGAATATCTAAGGAATGAAAATCTAAGTCGTTCCCTTTTTATCCCAGATTCCAAGAATTAATGTCCAGAGAGTGGAAGAATACAGAGAACAAGGTGGTTTTTAACTAAGCATATTAAATATATATTTTTTCTATATCAGAAGATGATAAACCATTAGCATTGATCCCAGAGGTTGCTGTTTCCATAGCCCAGGTTGGGAAAAAAAATTCTGGATTTAATGGACAAGATGTCAGATACTTCCTTGAGAATTTTTCAAGCATTTGCAGTGCAAAGCATGGGTTCATCAGTTGCAAGAGCTCAAAGGATATGACTGAAAAAGCTTTTGAAAAGTATTCTGATGTCATCCATGTTAAGCTACTTCAAAATATTAAGTTGGCATCAGAGGTCCAAGCTCCTAATATAAATCTTGCATAAACATGGGCCCTGTCTTTGTCGGAAAACAAGCTGTATGAAAATGGGCCTGGTCAGTCGATGGACTCTCTCCCTTTGAGCAGGGTCATTTTTTTTGGATCATCCTTAGATGATTTATTAAAGACATTTGTAGAGGGGGGGGGAGGTCCTGCTTGAAGGTAAACATAAGCCTTACTGGAACAAAATATTATTTGTGGAAGGAGCTCACTGCTCACTCCAGAATGTTAGGAAGTGTTGTTATGTCCTAAAGACATTAAAGCCCAGGCTTTGTAGGACTTAATGAGATCCTAAAATTGTCAAAGGATTAACAAGGACCATACCAGATTCATAAACAAAGGCATGGTTTGGTGATATTCTAAAACTACTATTTGTATTCATTTAGTATTGACATATTCAGCACAGTACCATTTACAGTACGGATATAAATCCGCAAATAACTGAGAAATGAATGTGAACAAAATTTGAGATGAAAAGTGCCTTGCTGGCATTAGTTGATTTTATTTTATTTCTTTCAAAAATATGAATTTCAGAATAAACACTAAAAGTATCCCATCACTGTTTATATAGTGAATGCTTGTTAGTAGTTTACAATACAGACATGGACATATTTTTAGCGGTAATTTATATAGGAATAGTAATCCCTCCAAAGGTCTAATAGCAGATCTTGTGCCATCAGCAATGATCTGCACATCATTACATAGGTTTAAAAATGAATACATTTGATCAACCTTTTCACATTTGTTCCCCCTGTGGATCCTAAAAAAACAATTTAACCCCGGAAGGACAGAGGATGTCTACATTTTATATATTGGATTTTTTTTCTAAAGACAGAAAAGGCTTTTTTTACTATCCTATATGTCCTGATTGTTAAATTACTAATATGCCTAAGATTCAAATAAAGTTTTGGTTGTTAACTTTAACCCTATACCAACCCCTCTCCAAATCTATACCAACCCAACCCTAAACATATGCTTACACTAAATCTAACCATTTGTGTTCCGTAACTTTACACCTAATATTAAACACACTATTTATAACCCTTAAAAAAGCATTAACCCTTACCTTACCCTTGCCGTAACCCTGAAGGATACCCTCTCGTGATACCATCAAAGGAATATCCCAGCTAAAAGCTACTAAAGTTAAGAGTGGTCAGTGGCTGTTTGCAGCATGACAGGGAGATCTCTCAGTAGTGCTGCTGACCGACATGCTCTATCTGCTGAGCACACTGATTGGTGCTATGAAAAGCCCAGCACTGATCACAATCGGCAGATGGGCATGCAGGAGAGACGCTTTGTCTCCCACTGAGTGCTGGCATGTTCATACTGTCTGCCAGCCGTAATGCTTAGAAAGGATTTAAAGGGCTGTATGCAGCACTCACAACTATCAGTCTGGGGGCACTACTTAGTTACATAGGCTGAAAAGAGAGATGTGTACATCAAGTTCAGCCTTTCTCATATCTGTTTTTTTGCTGTTGATCCTAAAGAAGGCAATAAACAGTTTGAAGCACTTCGAATTTTGCAACAAACTAGGAAAAAAATCCTTCTTGGCCCTAAAGTGGCAGTCAGATTTATCCTTGGAAAATATGCAAATATGCATCCAGCTGCTGTTTAAACATCATCTGTACACACTAATTAAAAAAGCTATTCTGAGGCAGAGACAGCCACATCCGTATTGTTCTTATTATAAATAAACCTTTCCTTTGCCTTAGACTAAATCACTTTTTTTTCCGTCTAAAGGTGTGACCTTGTGTTTTAGTGTATAGTTCTGTTTGTGAATATTTTTCCAGAAAATGGTTTGTATGGGCCCCGGATATATTTGTATAATGCTGTAATGTTTTTCTAAATTAAAGAGGTTTAAATTTAACCTTACTATTTGGTAAACTAGAATGTTCCATTCCTTTTATAAATTTTGTAGTCCGTGACTGCACTTTTTTTTTTTAACTTGATTTAAACCTGGATTTAACCTTGCCTACACCAGAACGTTAGGCCGTTACATGCAGTCTTAAAGGGACCCTATAGTCACCAAAACAAGTTTAGCTTAATGAAGTAGTTTTGGTTTATAGATCATGTGTCTGAAGTCTCACTTCTCATTTCCATGCCATTTAGGAGTTAAATCACTTTTCTTTCTGTCCATGCAACCCTGGCCACACCTCCCCTGGCTGTGGCTGATACAGCATGCATTAGAAAAATTGGATTCATTTTCAATCAGATGTTAACTTCAGAAGTTTTTATCTCCTGCTCTGTAAATTGAACTTTAATCACACAAAGGTGGCTCATCGGATCTCACTTTTTAGGAAGGCTGTGAAAGTCACATGCAGGGATGTGTTATTAGAGGGCATAAACAAAGTGATTTAACTCCTAAATGACAGAGAAATGAGCAGTGAGACTGCAAGGGCATGCTCTATACACCCAAACTGCGACATTAAGCTAAAGTTATTTTGGTGACTAGAGTATCCCTTTTAAGTGCTTTAAATCTCAGTCTGTGAAGGAAAACTTGAAACGTCCAAATGTTTTTAAAGGAGTTAAAGCGACACTGTCATGCCGAACTTACCTTTCTTTAATCGCTTCCTCTTCTCTCCCTCTGTCAGGATCTGTTCTTCATTTCTTCCTGTCTGTTCTAGTTTTCTTTAACCCCTTAAGGACACATATTCCGTCATGATTCCCTTTTATTTCTGAAACTGTCCTTAAGGGGACTACTTTATCTTAAGGAGGTTTCCTATGCTTGACTATCTATGACCGGCGCAGGAGCAAAGTGTGCTCCGTTTCCTGTGATCAGAGAAATTTTCCCACAATTCTCACCTTTACTCCGTGTTCTCGCGATGCCTCTTTTCCTTATTCCCGAACACCGGCAAAACTGAATTTCGTCCTAACAGAATGAGAGAAGTTCGTCCATTCGTGTTAGGATGCAATCCAGGACTTAGTTTAGTTAGAAATTTCATTTGAATGAATGAAATTCCGATCCGATCGCGGCTGCATCTTGCAGCCGCTTAGTAGATAGCTACCTAATTCCCACGGTATTAGGGAGCTATCTACCAAAAGGCTAAAAAATCAAGATTGGTCTTTCAGCCAACTTTACTAATACCAAGTAAAAAGTGGCTGCTCACTGTTTAGTAGACATGCCCCTACTCACAACATAGCGAGTAGGGGCATTCGTAAGATTTTAATCTCCCTTATGTTATTATGGGGGTCATATTGGCCCCTATAGAGGGAAGGAGGACATGGGGGGCTTAGGAAATGGCTGCTCCCTGCCGCTTCTATTTATAAATAGTACAAGGAGTGAGCTACAAGCTGGTAGCTCCCTCCTTGTAATAAACCGAACGAAGAGGTCTTTGTTCATTCGTTTAAAATTTCTATTCATGTATTCGTCTTTCTGACGACTGAATGAATAGATGAAATTCCCGTTCAAATGCCCAAGTGTTTAACTGGGCATGCACAGGAATTTCACATCGCTATCTAGTGTGGACAGATGACGTGTCCCACAGGGACTTCATCTACCCACACAAAGATGGCGGCGCCCAGGACCTAGGTCTGGGCAGAAACTAAAGATGAAAAAATAGGTAAACTGGGAGGCTTAGGGGCCTTTGGGGGTGACTAGGGGGACAATTAGATGTAGTGGAGTCGGGAGGGGGGGTTAAAAAAACCAAAACTGGATTCGACCATGACCGCGCCGCTTTAACTGGTTTCCAGTAGTGCTGCTGAAAAGGTTTGCAAAAAAAAAAATCCCTCTTAACTTCTAAGTCACAATTTGATTTCTCATTGGATCAAGTATGGTCATGATACACAAATTCTGTGAATGGAATGTTAGCAGCTGAAAAAGCATGTCTGCACCTCCTAAAATAGCTACAGATTAGCATTTCTATTTTATCGTAGAAGTTATTATATTACTGATATGGTAAAAGAGCGCTTTAGTAGTATGAAATCTTGAATGTGTTTTCTGGTGACAGCTTCCCTTTAATTCAAATAGTAGTTTCTTTATGTGGAACGTGTGTTTGTAGCATTCACAATATATATACAGACAGGTTTGTAGAAAATAACATAAAAAGGACTGGCTCTGTTCATCAACATTATTTGCATTTTGAAGTTTTTATTTATGTTTACAAACATATTTGTATGTATATGTGTTTGCGTGTTTTGTTCATATATATATGTTTGTCAGTGTGTGTGTGTGTGTGTATATATATATATATATATATATATATATATGTGTTTATTCAGACCCCTTCATTTTTATTCACATCAGTCTGCACTCTATACCCCACAATGACAAAGCAAAAAAATTTAAGAAAACGTACAGATTTTTGATACTATTGCAAACATATTAAGCAGAAAATAACAAAATGTCATATTGCATTGTCTTCTCAGCTTTAACTCAATACTTGGTTGAAGCAAAGTTTGCAGTGATTACAGCCTCAAGTCTTTTTTGTAATGACGCAACAAACTTGGTCAGGGCACCTCTCTTGCCAAGGTCCTTTTCCTCTGATTGCTGTTTGGTTCAGCTGCCAGAAGTAATAAGAGTTTGGGTTAATCCAAACTTCTTTCATTTGAAAGTTACAGAAGCCACTGTGCAATTGGGAACCTTCAAAGCAGCCAAATATTTGTGTAGCCTTTGCCAGATCTGTTCCTTGACACAATACTGTCTCTGAGCTTTGCAGGCAGTTCCTTCAACCTCAAGTCTTGGCTTTTGCTCTGATTTGCATTTACAGCGGCAAGACATATAGACAGGTACACATCAGAGCAAAAGCCAAGACTTGAGGTCAAAAGACCTCAAATCATGTTTTATCAATTTATTTTTCCACAGGTAAAAATCCAGTCAAGGTGATTCAGAGAAACGGGATGCATGTGAGCTTAATTTAAAGTTAGCAGAGGGTCTTAATACTTCATTGAATGCAATATTAAAGTTTTTTTTCCTTTAAATACATTTTCAAAGTTTTTAAAAATCTGTTTTTTTATTTGTTATTGTTGAGTGTAGATTGATGGGAAAATAAATAATTAAAACAGTTGTAACATAAGGCTACCAAAATAAGTGAAGGGGTCTGAATAGTTTTTGAATACACTGGGTGTTTGTATATATATATAGAGAGAGAGAGAGAGAGTGTCACACACGTTCATTTTATTTATATCCAGCATGTTTGACATCAAATGAACTGGGACTGTGTTCGGCTGAACAGGATGTCAATATTAGTACATTTAATTAAAAGAAGACCTGTAATTATTACATGTTCCAGTACATATTATGTATCTAGAGTGAGTGATCATCAACAAAGAAATTATAACCTCTACACATTGCTGTAAGAATAAGTGTACTAAATAAAGATCTGGCCATAAAGAGCTGTCTATTGTTTATTTCCTGATTTATGAATTTTAAAGGGACACTCTAAACACCAACAAATGTTAGCTTAATGAAGTGGTTTTGGTGTAAAGTTCATGCCTCTGCAGTCCCTGCTCAGCCATTAAGGAGCTAAATAGTTTTGTTTTTGCGGTCCTAGCCACACCTCCCCTAGCTGAGACTCATACAGCATACCCACACACCTTCTGAAAAGAGAGATCTAGTTTCTAAACTTCCTTTATTGCACAATGTGTTTCATCTAGAATTTCATGTCTCCTTCTCTGGCCAATTAGAGTCAACAGGAGCTTCGTGTGTGTAGAGCAGGATGGTAAAGCTTCTAAAGTAAACATAATGTCGTGTAAGATCTGATTTTAAAAAAAAAAATGAAACCATTTTTTTTTTCATGGAGTCTTTGTAAGTCACTACCAGCGTAGGTGTGGTTTGGGAAGCAAACGTGTTCATCCTTCAAAATATCAGTACACATCCATTTGCTTCAGAACCTTTTGATAGACAAGTCGTACTTTTAAATCTTAAAGTTTAATAATTACATTATTAACTTATGCATAGGTGGCTGGGAGGAATGATGAAAGCAGAAGAAGGAAGGATTTCTCTGAACATTTTTTTAGAGAATGAGTCAAACCAAAGAAAAGGCATAATGTGGGTTCATACAAACCATTACTCCCTGTAAGAAGTAGAATTGCCCCAAAAGAGAAATGGAGAAAAATCATAAAAAGTGTAACAGAAGAGACAACATTTTTTAAAAAGGTGAAGTTTGTTAAGGTATTTTTAATCTAACACAAATACCACTAACAGATGTGGAAATTAAATTGTTGAAAAGGGGATTAGATGTTGCTCCTAATCAAGACACAGATAGGTTTGAGTTGTTTATAGATTTCCCAAAATGTATCAGAAAACCATTAAAAGACATTTTCTAAAACAACCTTCTAGCAATTATATTGCTGAATCCATTTCAGAGATACAAAACTCAATCAATTGATTTAAACACAGTCATTTGAAACTCAAATCACATGTTTATTACACAGTTATTTGAAACCCAAATCACATTTTATACAATAGGGGAGCATATATAGTGATCTTTAATGAAATGGTAGACATAGTCCTGAAAGAGGCAGAAGGAAGGGGGTAGTATTGATAACCTGAGAATATCGTCTTGGAGAAGCCTCTCAAATTTTAGGTGATTCTAGTACATACATGAACTTGTGTATTGACCCCACACATTATTATAAACGAACCTTAGAACAAATAATATTTATGGCTAAGGAAAATATAATAATAATAATAATAACATAGGAAAACTGAATTTAAGAATCCTTTCCTGGATTTTATTTTGGAACTTCTTTAAAGGGACACTATAGTCACCAGTGCAACTACATGTAATCCTGACTGTATAGTGTTAACACCACCATCTAGCCCCCCTGGGTCCCTCATGCCTCCATAAATATAGTAAAATTCTTACTGTATTCAAGCCAGAAGCTGTAACTCTGAATGCTGTTTGCCTAAAAAAACAAAACAGTCCGCTGACATCAGCAGATGTGGTAGCCTGATCCAATCACAGTGCTTCCCCATAGGATTGGCTGAGACTGACAAGGAGGCAGATCAGGGGCAGAGCCTGCGTGATTCAAACACAGCCCTGGCCAGTCAGCATCTCCTCATAGAGATACAGAGGGAGAGACACAGTGCTGCCCTGTGCTCTGCTGACAGCAGATCTGAGTGGATTGAGGAGTTTTATGCCTCAATCAACTCGGAAGTCCCTCTGGTGGCATTCTGAGTGACTGCAACTGGAGGTGTTCCTAGCTTTCAATGTAAACACTGTATTTTCTCAGAAAATACAGTGTTTACTTGAGGGCCGCAGGGAGCTATAGTTCTCACCTGAACAACCTCATTAAGCTGAAGTTGTTCAGGTGACTATAGTGTCCCTTTAACATACTTTGACAAAGAACTACTTCCAATTTGAAAATAGATGGTACATGCAAATGTCAGGAACTTCTACAGGTGCTGCAATGTATGCCAATGGCTTCATTTATCAATTTAAGACGACACATATCCCACAGCCATTCAAAAAAACCAATCTTAGGTTATTTTCGCATCATAGATGACATCATATGGGGTGGCGGGGTGGGGTAAAATTGAGGATGTCACTACAGCAATTGAGAAAATCAATGGCTTGAAAACACCAATTCAACTAACAGTGTTAGCAAGGTATGAAGCAATAGACTTTCTGGATGTGAGAATTTCCAGAAATCATAATAAATTGGCTTACACATTATTTACCAAACCGACTGACAGAAAAACAAGCTTACATATGTCCAGCTTCCATCCAAGACAAAACACATTTGTACATTTGTAGTTCTTGTGTGTTATAAGAAATAACAACAGCAGAGCAACAGCAGATGTTCAGCTCTGTGAGATGTGGACTACGTTCGCACAAAAAGGTAACAATGATCCAACTTTACGAAGGGCTCTGTCTTGAACGATGTTATGAATAACCTATGAAAAACAAGATTTAAGATACCACCTTTACAACGAATACATCAAGTCTTGAACAATACCATATATAAAAATTGGAACACTGTTGCAAATGACACTACCTTATCAGAATGCTTTTGCCATACTCCTGAGCTAAATTAACTCGTATACAGCTTATAGACCGCAGTATAAATATATTACAAGAAAGAATTGTCAATATAATAAAATATAGTGATACAAATAAATAGATAGACACTTATAGAGTCCTACTAAAAATACCAAACTTAAATGATCCTAGAAATCAGTCCATAATATGTAGCATAAGGGTTAATATAATCCCACTTTGTGTATAGAGACACAGAGTAGCGTAATCCTTAGAGTGGTATACAGTAAGGTACCCAAATGCCAAATTGATCTGTTTTACTGAAAAATGGATACAGTATATATTGGGAAAATCTGACGCTGGAAGTCCGTGAGGTCCGTTTGGATTCCAGAAGCCCTTTAGTGGCTGTCTGGTAGACAGCCACTGGGGGCAGACTTAGAGCTGCAATGTAAACATTGCAGGTCTCTGGAACTGCAATGTTTTACTTTGCAGCACTAAGTGCAAAAGGGTCACAGCACCCAGACCATTTCAATTCGCTGAAGTTAAAGTTCTTAAAGTGTCCCTTTAAAAACACTCACGAAGTGAATATGAATCAATGCAAAATTGGCTCAATAGCTTACAACAAAACATGATTCTGTGATCCTTAGGATGGATGGGATCTGTAGGAGCTGCAGTCCATGCTGTGTGTATGCCGCTGGTGAGCTCGGCGTGCGTTCCACCCGAAGCCTCACTCCAAAGTCCAACTCTCAGATGTCGTAGACCAGTTTCCGGTCTACGAGAGCAGCAAGTAGTGGTGCTTTGCAGTTAGCTTCCTAATGCCTTACGTGTTTGTAGGGATCCTGTCCCACTTCATCAAAGGCTGTAGCTTCTTGAAAGCCACAAGCAGGCACATATATTTCCAGAATGATCTTAATAGGTAAACAAGCAATTAAAATACTATAAAAAAAAAACCTCTTTAGGCAATTAATAAACTACATGTTTATTTGTTTGTGTCATATTATTCATATTTGTGCATGTTTCTTTTATTATTGTGATTTGTGATTTTAAATACGCTGTCTCTGAAGAAGTCCCAATTGAGGGGAAGAAACGCATAATCTACTACTGTTCCTTGCTGGAGTTCTTGGCAAATGGGAGGTTGGTTATCTCTGGTTCGATTTAGGTCCACACATAAGATATCGGAGGAGACACCTTGAGGAAAACTGCATCAGTTCCATCTTGTGACTGCATTTATACTTGCTGTCTTGATGTTACACTATCTTGTGTTTGTGCGAGTACGTATATATATATATATATATATATATATACAGTTGCAAGAAAAAGTATGTGAACCATTTGGAATGATATGGATTTCTGCACAAATTGGTCATAAAATGTGATCTGATCAAGTCACAACAATTGACAATCACAGTCTGCTTAAACTAATAACACACAAAGAATGAAATGTTGCCATGTTTTTATTGAACACACCATGTAAACATTCACCGTGCAGGTGGAAAAAGTATGTGAACCCCTAGACTAATGACATCTCCAAGAGCTAATTGGAGTGAGATGTCAGCCAACTGGAGTCCAATCAATGAGATGAGATTGGAGGTGTTGGTTACAGCTGCCCTGCCCTATACAAAACACACACCAGTTCTGGGTTTGCTTTTCACAAGAAGCATTGCCTGATGTGAATGATGCCTCACACAAAAGAGCTCTCAGAAGACCTATGATTAAGAATTGTTGGCTTGCATAAAGCTGGAAAGGGTTATAAAAGTATCTCCAAAAGCCTTGCTGTTTATTAGTCCACGGTAAGACAAATTGTCTATAAATGGAGAAAGTTCAGCACTGTTGCTACTCTCCCAATGAGTGGGCATCCTGTAAAGATGACTGCAAGAGCACAGCGCAGACTGCTCAATGAGGTGAAGCAGAATCCTAGAGTGTCAGCTAACGACTTACAAAAGTCTCTGGCAAATGCTAACATCCCTGTTAGCGAATCTACAATACGTAAAACACTAAACAAGAATGGATTTCATGGGAGGATACCACAGAGGAAGCCACTGCTGTCCAAACAAAACATTGCTGCACGTTTACAGTTTGCACAAGAGCACCTGGATGTTCCTCAGCAGTACTGGCAAAATATTCTGTGGACAGATGAAACCAAAGTTCAGTTGTTTGGAAGAAACACACAACACTATGTGTGGCAAAAGAAAGGCACAGCACACCAACATCAAAACCTCATCCCAGCTGTGAAGTATGGTGGTGGGGCTGGTTTGGGGCTGGTTTGGGGCTGCTTTGCTGCGTCAGGGCATGGACGGATTGCTATCATCGAAGGAAAAATGAATTCCAAAGTGTGACGAGACCAATCTCGTCACTGTGCATTGGAGGAGCCTGGTTGCCCGCCTGCTGCCTTTAGACTATGGCCCCATGTTGAAACGCTTGATTTTCCCCTGCAAATACACTAAAGCCGGGTCATTCGGTGCTTGCCCTGTTTGAGCGGTGATACCCCAGATAGCTATGCCATGGAGCCCATTCGTATAATGAAAGACTATAAGAAAGACTTTGGCTCCATGGCAATTGAACTGTATGTGTGTGATCTGAGCGTCATTCAGTAATAATATGCGCTCAGATCTGAGCTATCTGGGGATATGTTGAATGTACCTATTTTATGCAATGGCTGCACAGTTATATATTTTTATGTATTTTATTGTCTTTTGCTGCCATGTGTTCAATGGAGTTTTGCCTCTGTACTTGGAGATAATTGGATTACTTCCCAATTATCTCCAGGATAGAAGACTCTGTGGAACTGGTTTTGGGCAGAAAAGCCATGCTTCATTTGGTCACAAAGGACTTCGATCTATCTTTTGAACCAATGGACCAATTTGGATGATTTTGACATATGTTTGTATTTTGAGTATGCTGATTCTGAAAATGTAAGTTTTATGTGAATGTCATGTGTACTTTTAAAATTATGAATAATGTGGAAAAACTGTATTTCTCTGCCTGTGATAATTACATTACCCATTGTGTAAGGTAATTGTATCACAGGCAGAGGGGAGGATTTTGTGTGGGAGTGTCTGAGTGTATTGTACATGTTTATTGGTTGTTTTCCAAAACCCTGTGGGTGGTACAAATGTGTAAGAATGTGTATATAAGAACAATAAAGCCACAGCTCTGTCTGTTCCTGCTTGACCCTCAAAACGGAGCCTTGTCTCATTCTTGGGGAGATTTATTGTATGCTGTTCCAGTTTGTCTGCTAGGAGTGTTGGTTTTTCCTATTCGGCTGTCTACAGCATTCGTACATGTTTGAGAGCATTCATATGCTTCTCTGGTTCAGTGTATTGGTGTCTACAGTAGCTGCCTGTATATCTGGAAGGGAATATCCTCTAAACGGTGTTTTACCCCTTTTATGCCTGGGGGTGCTGTTACACCAAGTTTATCAAGACATTTTGAAGGAGAACTTAAGGCCATCTGTCTACTAGGATAAGGATGGGGTAGGGGGTAGGAGGGAAGAAACAGGGGAACATACGATGATAAAGGTTAAACCCATGAAGTTTTACTATAGTTAAGAAAATAAGAAGTATTTTATTAATGATGATAGAGAGACCTCAAAGCTGCTTATTTTATGTAATAGTTTTAATAACTATACATTGGTAAGGTATTTATCTGAAATACAGTAAAAAAAAAAAAGTGATGCCGGGAGCCGGTCTGACGTCATATTCCGGATCCTGGCATCACTAAGCGGCAGTAAGAGCTCAGGCTACAGCACTCCCTGAACCCGCAATAGAAGCCTCCGCCCGCCCCATTTGGGGGTCCAAAGGTGGGGGTCCCACAGAGAGGGCTCGGCGTGCCAGCTGTGGCACATGTACCATAGGTTCGCCATCACTGATCTAGTGGCTGTCTATCAGACAGCCAATAAAAGTACTTGCTGCTGTTTAACTCAATCAAACAAACCTGGACATCCTCACCCTTAACGCTATATGCCTAACACTGTTAGAGGCAGAGGAACACTATAGTATTCCTAATACTATAATGTACCTTTAACTATTGCTAGGATAATTGAGGTAGACAGGGTTAGGTAGTTAGTTCTTTCTTCTTAAAATTAATGCTTCGATATAATCTACATATTGTTTTCATATTTTTTTTAATATATAGATAATATAACTGTATTCACTTTAGTACATAACTCTGTTACCTTAAAGGGACTCTTCACTACCCAAATTCAAAAAGAATGAAAAATAATTAAAGGGACACTATATACAGTCACCTGAACAACTTTAGCTTAATGAAGCAGTTTTGGTGTATAGAACATGCCCCTGCAGCCTCACTGCTCAGTCCTCTGCCATTTAGGAGCTAAATCTCTGCAAGAGCCTCCTGTATGTGATTAAAGTTCAATTTAGAGATTGAGATACAATTATTTAAGGTAAATTACATCTGTTTGAAAGTGAAACCAGTTTTTTTTTCATGCTGGCTCTGTCAATCATAGCCAGGGAAGGTGTGGCTGGGGCTGCATAAACAGAAACAGTGATTTAACTCCTAAATGACAGTGAATTGAGCAGTGAAATTGCAGGGGAATGATCAATACACTAAAACTGCTTTATTTAGCTAAAGTAATTTAGGTGACTATAGTGTTCCTTTAAATAAAATCTCCATTTAGTAGATATACTACCAATGAAAGCATCCATGGATTTATGCATTTTTTTCATATGGGGTATATATAAAATATCATACAAATACTGCAGATCTCTTGTCTGCAGCTTTTGCAAGCCATACCCTTCTTCCGAAGCCCAGACTTTCTGTGGCTGTCCAAACACAACCTTCCCAATGCAGCTCAATGAGAAGTCCTTGCAAGGCAGGTACTTTGGGCAGTTCTTTAGGTATTTGGAGTGTTCTTTTAAATTATTGTTTTGTTTTACCTTTACATTGTGTAACACCAATGTTACATTTCTGCATGGATTTTTTTCTACATCCACTCCTTTTTTTACTTACCTGATTCCAGCACCGATGTCCCTTGGCCCTGAGTCGAGGCTCTGCTTTCTCCAACATCACTCAACAAGGGGACACTAATGCACATGCGTGGCGAGTGCGGTGTGCACATTATGCTTCCCTATAAGGAAGTATTAAACCAAGGCTGTCCCGTGGGGAAATAGCTGATGCTGGATGTCCTCATGCAGAGCGTGAAGACGTCCAGCGTCAGTTAGCGGACCAAAGGTTTTGTAACATTCTGGAAGCACCTCTAGTACCTGTCTGTCTCTAAACCTGCAATTTTATACATTGCAGCACTAAGTGCAATAGGGACACTGTACTCAGACTACTTAAAGGGACTCTCCAGTGCCAGGAAAACAAACCGTCCTCTCTCCCTCCCACCTCCCATCCCATGTTGCTGAAGGGGTTAAAACCCCTTCAGTGACTTACCTGTAACCAGCGCTGATGTCCCTTGTCACTGGGTCAGGCTCCGCCTACGCTCATCCCCCACCGACGTCAGCCGGCGGGGAAGACCTATTGAGCATGAGCGGCCGACGGCGGACACGCTCTTTAGACCTCCCCATAGGAAAGCATTGAAAAATGCTTTCAGTGCTTTCCTATGGGGATTTCGGCGACACTGGAGGTCCTCACATAGCGTGAGGACGTCCAGCGTAGGTATAACACACTTTTCGTGTCCTATGAACACGGAAGTGTCCTCTAGTGGCTGTCTATTAGACTGTGGGAAAGAGTGGTGATGATTCTGGTTTTCTATGTCCACCTATAATCCCTGGGCGCTGGGATTGGAACTGGGATTGGTAAATGTAGTGCTGTAGACACCTGCTTTGAATAACACAGCAGGAATTAATAGGATTTTTATATCTTTTACTCAGCTGGGGAGTTCCTCTGGAGTCTGGTTTCCAGGAGCTGATCATATCATAGATGTGACTGTCAGGGTGGGGAGCGAAGAGACTTTATCGTAGGACGGTTTGCCTGGTTTATGATTGATACAAATTGTGATCCATTTCACATTAAAGAAACGGTTCCCAACAGTCCTCCAGTACCCCCTTAACCGTTCAGGATTTAGGGATTACCCAGTTGTGTCTAAGGAGTTTTTTAGAAAACACTTTACACGCAATAGGGTAATCCTACATCCTGGACTGGTAGGGGGTACTTGAGGACTGGGTTGGGAACCCCTGCATTAAAGGAACACTCAAGCATTGTAACCACTATCATGTGCTGTAGTGATTATGGTGCCCTCAATTTGTAAGCAGTCAAACAAGACTGGTTTTGATTTTCATCTATTAGACAGCCACTAGAGGAGAACTTAACCCTTCAAGGTAAATATTGCAGTTTATAAAAATAAACTAAATAATTGCACTTGCAGGGTTAAGGGTAGTGGGAGTTGGCACCCAGACCACTCCAATGGGCAGAAGTGGTCTGGGTACCTGGAGTGTCCCTTTTAATGAGCTGAAGTGGTCTGGGTGCCTATAGTGTCCCTTTAAGCAAAGCTTGTTTTGATCCTCTTAATCAGGCTTTCCCAAACTCCGGCCCTCCAGATGTTGCTGAACTACAACTCCCATGATTCTCAGCCTGTCTATTTAATTCATAGAATCATGGGAGTTGTAGTTCAGCAACATCTGGAGGGCCGGAGTTTGAGGAAGCCTGCTCTTAATGTTCTAACTCAAGGGTTCCCAACCTAGTCCTCAAGTACACCCTACCAAGCCAGGATTTAGGGATTACCCTGTTGTGCCTAAAGTGTTTTTTTTTCTTTCTAAAAACACTTTAGACACAAACGGATAATCCCTAAATCCTGGACTGTTAAGGGGTACTTGACGACTGGGTTGGGAACCACTGCAACTCATACAGGCTCATACATACTCATACATGAAGTGAAAAAGAACATTATTTGTACACATCTCTTCAAGAATACATATATTAACAACTGCATGAGATTGTGATTTGATTATAAATAATGAAATTTTAAAACAAACTGAGCTTTATTGCCTTTTATCACTTTCCCTTGCAGGCTAGGAGATCTGAGAAAAGTCATTTCTGATAATTTCTTGATACATTCCACGGTCAAGTTACCCTGCTTGTGCAGTACACAGAGCACATTCCTATTGTTTTTAATCTCCTGCCCCCTATTAGCTATAACAATCTGCACCATGTGTCCCCTACAATTACATAATTGCAGTAACATCACAGTGCCTACAACTGGGTGGGAAGTGGGAACTAGTCGCTACCTATAAATTCCAGGCTCAGTGGTGGGTTTTAGCATTATTCTGGGATTGATTTCTTGGTAATATGTTTCTCCGTAGAGCTGTGATTGCTTTTGGTGGCTCTGCGTTTGCAGTTTTTGCTGCTGTGGGAAAGAGTGGTGATGATTCTGGTTTTCTATGTCCACCTATAATCCCTGGGCGCTGGGATTGGAACTGGGATTGGTAAGTGTAGTGCTGTAGACACCTGCTTTGAATAACACAGCAGGAATTAATAGGATTTTTATATCTTTTACTCAGCTGGGGAGTTCCTCTGGAGTCTGGTTTCCAGGAGCTGATCATATCATAGATGTGACTGTCAGGGTGGGGAGCGAAGAGACTTTATCGTAGGACGGTTTGCCTGGTTTATGATTGATACAAATTGTGATCCATTTCACATTAAAGAAACGGTTCCCAACAGTCCTCCAGTACCCCCTTAACCGTTCAGGATTTAGGGATTACCCAGTTGTGTCTAAGGAGTTTTTTAGAAAACACTTTACACGCAATAGGGTAATCCTACATCCTGGACTGGTAGGGGGTACTTGAGGACTGGGTTGGGAACCCCTGCATTAAAGGAACACTCAAGCATTGTAACCATTAGCATGTGCTGTAGTGATTATGGTACCCTCAATTTGTAAGCAGTCAAACAAGACTGGTTTGACTTTCATGTGGTCTGTTGGGTGCTGTTTACCACCTTCACTACTTCTGTTGGCGGTCATGAGCTCATCCCTGCATGGACAGATTTTCAGCTCTGCTGGAAACCGTGATCAGCATCTGGTGGACCCCTGGTAATCATTCAAACTGTTCTAAAATGTCTGACTACTTACAATGGGTTGGTGTCTGGGCACTCCTGATACCATAACAAATACAACATGCACTTCCTTCAACTGTTCCAGGGATAACTGTAGGTTATTTAACCTAAGATTACTTTTTAAATTTTCCTTTTAGTAACCTACTCCGAATTGGAGTCTTTAAAACCAGCATTGCAATGTGATTGCTCAGCATCCTATATTGGGGTTTTGTAACATTGAAATAACGGGATAATTTCTGTTAAGTGCAAAATTTAAATAGAAATGGCCTAGTCAAGCTGGAAACAAAGTTTCTGTTCTCTTGTTTTTTGCACATTGTATTGGTGACTGTGCCCTGTCTGCACCACGTTTCAGAATGACCCACACCTATCGTCTAAAGCTGGTCATTACTAGTTTTCTTAGTACCATGTATTTAAATCTCCGCTTAATTAGGTTCTTCAAATGTAGCTTTCTGATGCAATAGTGAAGCATACAACTCGGAATCGGGTGGGGAGGAAACAAAGGCCTTAGAATAAAAAATGCAGTAACACAAATCTACTTTATTTAAAAAATATATATATATATATATTTTTTTTTTTTTTTTTTCTATGGATAAAACTGGGATTTGGGGTCTTCCTTTACCACTTATTGAACATGGAGTGACTTTATCTTTCCTAAAGCCGTGAACCAATGTCTCTAATAAACTTGAAACATCTGGAAGGATGTACAGAGAAGGAGCGTGAGTGTAAGCTGCAGGAATGTAAGTCTACTGCTGTCCGGCACATCTTCCTGATCCGACATGGAAAGTACGACCATGCTGATTCTGAGTCTGAAAGGAGACTGACTGCCACAGGTGAGACTTGCAGTTTTGCATAGGACTGGATTTACATGTTTGGTGAATGCAGGGTTGGGATAAATGGGGGGGGGGAGGTGTGTTAATATTAGAGGTGTGAGGTGCCCCGAAAGCAGTCCACATGCAATCTCCTTGATAAACATGCAGGACATAAGCATTAATATGCACATTTTATATTTTAGTCAGCTATTTCAAGAGTAAGTGTGTGGCGGAACCAGCCTCGCCACTGGGCATTGGAGAAGACTGATTGCCGGCCTCCTGCCCTGTGACTATGGCCCCATGTTGAAAGGATGGATTTTCCCCTGCAAAGACCCAAAAGCTGGGTCTTTCGGTACTTTCCCTATGTGAGCAGTGTTACCCAGATAGCTATGCCATGGAGCCGATTTGTATAATGAAAGACTTTGGCTCCATGGCAATTGAACTATATGTGTGTGCTCTGCGTGCCATTCAGTAATAATGTGCGCTCAGATCTGAGCTATCTGGGGATATGTTGAATGTACCTGTTTTGTGCAATGGCTGCAGTTATGTTTTTGTGTTTTATTGTCTTTTGCTGCCATGTGGCTAATGGAGTTTTTCCTCTGTCCTGGAGATAATTGGATTACGTCCCCAATTATCTCCAGGATAGACTCTGTGGAACTGGTTTTGGGCAGAAAAGCCATGCTGCATTTGGTCAAATAGGACTTTTCCTTAACTCTTGAACCACTGGACCAATATGTATAATTTTTGACAAATGTTTGTATTTGGAGTATGCTGATTCTGAAAATGTAAGTTTTATGTGAATGTGATGCATACTTTTCAAGTTATGAATAATGTGGAAAAACTGTTTCTCTGGCTGTGATAATTAGAGTAATCATATCACAGCCAGAGGGGAGGATTTTGTGTGGAAATGTCTTTCTGTAATGTACGTGTTATTGGTTATGTAAAACCCGGTGGGCAGTACTAAGTTTGTGGATTGGGACTAAGAGGCTGTATGTGCCAGTACAGTCAGTTCCTGCTTAACCCTCAAAGTGAAGTGTCGTCTCATTATTGGGGGAGGATTTATTGTATGCTGTTCCAGTTTTACTGCTAGGAGTATAAACCTATTCGCATGGTTTTTCCTATTCGGCTGTATACAACATTCATATACGAGAGAAGGTATACGCTTGTTCGGTGATTGTGGTGTCGGCCAGAGTGCTTGGAGTCCTCAGGAAACGCTAGGAGCATCTTTTAACGGAGGTACCCAGTCGGGGTGCCAGGTGATGTGTTACTGCTATTAGGCTTAATCGGGGCACCGACTGCAAATCTTTGAGTTAGGTCGGTAATGCGTCAACAGTGGTATGGTTGCAACGATAGTTATGGTGATTACATAATGCAAACAAACTGGGTTGTTTCTGTCAATTTAGCAGTCACGTTCTGTCGGGCTGTCAAATTATCCAGTAGCTACTGCTGCAGGAATGTGCCATATAATAGGTTAGTACAATACTGTATCATCCCCTGGGGTGCCCCAGGATGAAGTCCGTCTCTGGACAGGTCGGCAGAACGTTGCTCGTATTTCCGGTAACTTGTCATGGTGTGCCATGTCAGGTCTCCCGATCAGGGTGTCAGGGGTGCGCTGCGTTTTTTATCGAGTATGCGATGCCTCGTTTGGGCTGTGCAGCGGCCCGCCATGGGTGCCCGTGTGGTGGCAGTTTGATGCGATGGCCATCTGGGCATGATGGAGTTGTTGAGGTGGGTCATTGAGCCGGGGTATGGCTGCTCTCAGAATGGAGGGTGTTCTAGGTGTAACAGCTTTTGGTTTCAGGGGCATTCTCGACGCCGCCTTTCTGGGCTGCTTCAGGGCTGTTGGTCGCTGCTGTGCGGCGGGGTGTGCAGCTTGAGGCAGGTGTCGTTGGTGTCCTCTGCCGCAGCCTGAGCTCCACTCTGAGCCAGAGGATTTGTTCCAGGCTGATCAGTGAGCCCTGCCGTGTTGCATGGCAGCCGTCCGGCCGCATGGTCTCCGCTCCACTTCCCCTTCGTTGCTGCCCTGTCGGGGAGGACCGGTATCTCCCCCACCAGTCTCGGTTGCGGGTAACCCGCTTGTAGCAGTCGGGCCACTCCAGGCTGGGAGCTCGGCCGCCGCTCCTATCAGTGCACTCCAGGCCTCATGCCCTCGCGGGTATTGTCTGTCGTCCGGTTTACCATGGGGGCTGATAGCCAGTAAGTTGTTTGGGGTCATTTGCTGCCGCTTATAGTGGATTGAGGGTGCCTTTAGATCCATGTTTGCACAAATCTGTAGGGAGCTTCAGTCAGGCACATCTTCCCTCCATGACAGTCAGGCCCCACCCCTACAATTCTAACAGTCTGTTTCAACTCCAAAGCTCTCTGCTTCCCGGTATTTCTGCTGCTTCTCAAAGCTTGGAAACCAGAAGACTCTTGCCTTGTCAATCAGTGACAAGCTGATGTACTTGGCTGATCAGTGACTCCCATTCATATAACTAGATTGAAAGCTAGCGATTCCCCAATCAGTGGTGTTGGCCTATTCTGAAAGCCTTCGGGGGAGGAGGAACATATACTAGTATAGTGTTAAAGCATTTTAAACATCTTATGTTTGACTCCTTACATGGAGGGGGTGGGGCATTCTAGGCACCAGAACAGCTGTAGTGGTTATGGTACTTGCTAGTTCCTTTAACAAGCTACATGCTGTCTTTCTCTTTCTACAGGGCGTGAACAGGCCAGCCTAACAGGACAGCGTCTGGCACTTCTTGCAAGTGAAGGGAATAACTTTAGCTGCATTATTTATTCTTCATTGACCAGATCCACAGAAACTGCTGATATCATCAGTAAGAATTTACCAGGTGAGCCATGTGTACAGGGGAAGGAAAGGTTTTACTGGACCCTCTATTGCACATGTGGGATTAGGCTGCTGCATGTAGACCTCTGAAATCCCAATTCTTGCTGTCTATGCATATTGTGAATAACTGCAGGATAACCGTTATTGAGCTGTTTTGTTGGTGGTTTGGCTTTAAATTTTTTTATTTTATATAGGTATTAAAATGTGCAGCTCCAGTCTGCTTCACGAAGGACCTCCAATCCGACCAGTTCCTGCGGAATCCAAGTGGATACCAGAGCTTTCTGTAAGCTAGATCTAGTGGTGACTCAATTTAAAGTTTCTGGTGTGCATTCTGTTTCTGCTTTTTACCCTGGTCGTTGTCTCCATCTTAGTATTTTAAAGATGGCCCACGCATTGAGGCTGCATTCAGGAAGTACATCCACCGTGCAGATCCAGAACAAACAAAAGACAGTTATGAAATAATAGTCTGCCATGATAATGTGATCCGCTACTTTGTATGCAGGTAAAATTATCATTCTAAATCATCTGTGGTCACCACCGGTATCTTCCAGGCCCTCTATTCCTAACCTGCATTTTTATTTTTTCTTTAAACACTCTTATTTAACAAAGTAAATATTTGATGGAGTACACTAAACCCAGAACAACTATACAAAATTGAAATGAGAATCCAGTATTGTAAAATTGTGGGCAATTTTTACTATAATGAACTGTGCTGCTTATTAAACATGTTTTCATCCAAATGTTATCAAATCTTGTGGTAACTGGATGGCATGTACTAATTTATCTGCCTTTACAGCAGGCTTCCCTAAACGCTGGCCCTCCAGATGTTGCTGAACTACAACTCCCATGCAGTGGCGTACACATGACCCATGGGGCCCCGGTGCGAAAATTCATCGGTGGGACCCCCCGTGCTTACTCGGCGCGGGTCAGGGCCGCAACACGTGGCGGCGGGCACCGGGTTGCAGGGCTGCGACCCCGCAACTGCAGTATGCACACACACTTAAAGGACCACTACAGACACCCAGATCACATCAGCTCAATGAAATGGTCTTGGTGCGAGGTCCCTCTAGTTTTAACCCTGCAGCTGAAAACATAGCCGTTTCAGAGAAACGGCTATGTTTCACTGACGGTTAATCCAGCCTCTGGTGGCTGTCTCATTGACCGCTGCTAGAGGAGCTTCCGCGATTCTCACTGTGAAAAGACCCTGAACATCCATAGGAAAGCACTGAGTAATGCTTTCCTATGGGCGGTTTAAATGCGTGCGCGCGCCTCTTGCCGCGCATGTGCATTCAGAGCTGAGAGGCAGAGGGATCCCCAGCGCCAAGGGAGTCTGACGCTGGAGAAAGGTAAATGCTGAAGACACACACACACACACACACACACACGCATAAACACAAGCTAACATACACTTTCACTGGCAAACACACTGGGGTCCAGTGGTGGTGCTGCTGGGCGGGCGGGCTGCCGGCGTGCGAGGGAGCACTCTCCCTTGTGTGCTCCCTCTTCAGCTACCTCGCGCGCCACATAGGGATGCCGGCACCAGAAGATGACGTCATCTTCCGGCTCCGGCATCAGTGTGGTGCGCGAGGGAGCACACAGGGGAGAGTGCTCCCTTGCGCGCCGGCCACCCAGACAGCCCGCCCGCTGGGGTCAGCAGGGCCAGCCTTGGGGGGGGGCCCTGAGGTGGCCGCCTCCTGGGCCCACCAGGAGAAGAGGCTGGCCCTGTGGGTACATGCCGGGCCCGGTCGCAGCCGCGACCCTGGTATGTACGCCACTGCTCCCATGATTCTCAGACCATTTAATAGTCATAAGAGTTGATGTCAAGGCCGGACTGGGGATACAAAACTGCCCTGTAAAAAAATGTATGCCAGCCCCATAAATCATTGCACCATGTAATATGTAAAGCTATGTCTTGCCACCCCAGATGATTGAATTATAAAATATATATTTCTAATATCAAATATTGGTCCTTGCAGACAAACAAGCTCATTGATACAGCCTCATAAACAAATGATCTCATTAACATAAAAACAGAAGCTCCTTCACTAGAAGGCACGCACGCACACAAAGCTTTATTGTAGTGGTACTGGTGTCTGTAGACTGTCCCTGCAGGCTTTCTAATGTAAAAACTGACCTTTCAGAGAAAAGGCAGTGTTTGCATTGCTTCAAAGTGACCGTCACTCAGACGGTCACTAGAGGTGCTTCCTGTGTTTCTACATTAAGGGCCTCCATGCTCTAGAGATACTGAAAATTCCCCATAGAGATACATTGATTCAATGCATATCTATGAGGAGATGATGATGATGATGATGATGATGATTGGTGCCGCTTTTTGCAGCTAATCCTCTGGCAAAGCATTGGATTGGCTGAGATCATCAAGCTTGATCCCAGCCATAGAGGCAGGGCCAGTGGAGGGGAGACCAGCACGGCGTGGGGGGAAAAAAGTGAGTAAAAAACACTATTGACAGACACACTCACACTGACACACATTACTGACACACATTGCCCGGCCCCAGGTGCTGATGGTTAGTTCGGCCCTGGTTGTAGTTCAGCAACATCTGGAGGGCCAGAGTTTGGGGAATCCGGCTTTACAGCATTAAAAATAACCTCTCTATTGTACAATCTTGTCTTATGCTTTCCATGTACTGACCAAATGTATATCTTCATCTACAGGGCACTACAACTCCCACCTGAAGCTTGGCTCCGGATGTCTCTCTATCATGGTAGTATTACAAAGCTGGTGATAAAACCTGATGGTGATGTGTCACTGAAGATGCTTGGTGATGCTGGCTTTATGCCCCCGAGGAAACTCACAGGAGCTTAGCTCTGAGATGGATGTCCTCCTAGAGATCTGTGTTGGACACACAAGTTACCATGACTTCCTTACCTTTCTGTTTAATAGAAACTCTTCAGTTGAAGCAGTCTTTCAATGCATATATTGCACACAGCATGGGTGGACCAAACGATAGTATAAATCTTTCTCATCACTGCACTAAGATGAAGGTTCTAGTTTCAGAATATGCAGCACTGTTCTGAGTTACAATGCCTTGTGTTCACCAAATGGCTTTACAACTCAAGCTTGGCACCTCCTATTGCTCACTGTATGACATTGCAGACTCTGTAGCTAAAGCTTGTCTGCCTAGTCCAAATGGCTTCTTGCAAAACAAAGTACAGTTGAAAGAAAAGGTACCTGGCTTGGTTAGTGTAAATTCTGTATCTTAAATATAAGGGGCAGTTATAATAAAACAATGTAACAACCCATTTGTATGCATGTTGACCAGACTGCTTAATTAAAAGCAAGTAAAATGACTTCCTACTTATTTTAATTATTGTATTGGTGGCTTCCGGCTTCACACTTCTCATAGGTACTAGAGGTTCTGAGAGCTCCATATGTTTAACTAAAAGTTCATCCTCCATTGTATGGGGGTCGTGTGGACTTGCCACTCAAAGGGAGTATCTGATCTTGTTTGTGTTTGGCAGATACCTTGTGTGACCACTGCGGCTACTCTTCCCACCAGAACTGTATTAACTTTAAGACTTCCACCTAGGGCCTGGGTCTGGACATGGGCTGGTGGGGTCCTGTTTGGCCCTGGAACTCTTTCTCCCTGACTTCTTGAACCAGGAGTACATCACCTTGCTGAGCCCCCTCACTTCATTGAGGGAATATTTGTGGTCTGCACCTCCTTCAGCTCCCTAGTGCGCTTGGTCATTAATGGAGCACTGGGAGCTGTTAAAGTGGTCTGCATCTGATATTGGCGCCGACCACAATACTAAACCACCAGGGATCCAGCTTGCCTTCTACTAGACAATGTGAGGATATTTATATGGTGGTGATCTTAAAATCATAAAAATGATCACATTGATATATTGGCACTGTTCCCCTTAATTTAATGCTAAGAGCTGCCCACTATTTTAACGCTTATAGACCCTGGAGTACACTTTATTAGAGTATTTCACACATTACAAACTATAAAAATGTAGTTTATTGTGACAATGCAACATGCATGACAATCAGTGAATATTTAGATATAACAAATATACAATACAGTAGTTAACAATTTTCAGATGGTTCAATAGTAACATATGCAAATGTCAACAGTTTTACGACAGGACACTCTCTTGAAATCGGCTTGCTAAACCTTTCTTAAAGCAGGACTCTTCGCATCAGCACAGCATAAAGCCATAAACTTTGGCTACAATCCTCACAGGCAAAATACCTTTTTTATATTGCAATGACAAAAACAATAGTTCTCAGACCAGTTAACCATTCGTTCTCATCCAATAAGAATAATTCTAACCGAATTTTAACTTTCATTATTAGACTATTATCCCTAATTTCAGGTAAGGGGTTTTTTTTTTTTTTTTTTTTTTTTAGCAAATTACCAGTAAATATTCCTCCTGCAGTAAGAAATTTTATAACACTCGATATCACTAAATCAGGTTTCATAATAGTTGAAATCTGACCAGCCTTTTTATCCGGATGTTTTTTTTTTTTTTAGTAAAATTAAGTTAAATTAAATAAAACAAGCATAATTAGCAGCTTCTTTGTGTAGAATTTCTTTTAGACTTGGAGTTATATCATAGGAACTGTGAATGCAGGTATAAATGAGAATTGTGGGGAAATAGGAAAGTTTTCAGTTGGAGAGACAAGTGTTAAAAAAAAAAGTTGTGTATAAGAAGTTAGGTGTATCCTCATTCCTGCTCCAGATGTTAGATCTAAGATCTCTGCCCTTCGCTGCTTTGTCCTTAATTTTTAAAGAAGGATCTTCATTTTACGTCAGTGGTTCCGAACCCAGTCCTCAAGTACTCCTCTACCAGTCCAGGATTTAGGGATTACCCTGTGGTGTCTAAGGTGTGTTTTAGAAAAAGGAAGGAAAAAAAAAACACTTTAGACACAACAGGGTAATCCCTAAATCCTGGACTGGTAGGGGGTACTTGAGGGTTGGAACCTCTGGTTTATCTTCCCAATAGAGTAAGGTGGACGTGTCTTCCCTACAGGCTATCAAGAGTTTGGTCAGTAAATGGCATAACACCACCAGAAATTTGTCAGGAGTTCCAATTCTCCTTTGTAAGGGGGTTAACTGAATTTCGTGATGCAATTGATGTCATTTTTGGCTATCTTTATGCCTATCCATCAAAGACCTGTCAGACTTCAGAGCCTTTCTTTAGATGTCTCCTTTTTGTCCATAAAATTTGAATTTTGACACCACTGAACCCTTGTTCGCCCTTCCTTACAATGGAACTTTTCATCAATCCATAATATTTAAAGTTAAATTAACTTGGTGTTCTCTGTAGTCCTGTATCTGGATTTCTTGTGTGAAGCTATATAGTAATGTGACAGCATGTGATATGCTGTCACATTACTATATATTAGCCCATGAAGTTGACAATGCTCTGGTAGAATGTGCTTATCTTCATTGGAGATCGTCCTTTAGAGATATACGCTTTCATGATCATTAGCGAAATCCAACGTTTCAATGTAGATAAAGAGGCCGCCTCAACTTTCCTAACTACTGAAGGTAAAATGAAGAGTTGGTCAGTCTCTTCTGTATGATTCAGAACGAACTAGGTTCAGTTCATGACATCCAAACGTTGCCACCTAACTTCCTCTTGAGAAGTAGGATTGGGGTAGAATGATGGAAGGACCACTTCTTGAGAGAGATGAAACTGAGAGACCACCTTAGGAAGAAACCTTCAGACCTTGGAGATTGTTCATGGCTACCTTCATCAAGGGAGCTAGTTCCTTCAAGAGCAAGCTGCTTCTTGTGCCTCCTTGGTTGTTCACATATGAAGCAACTGCTTGGTTGTCCGTTTTGATTAGTAACCAAGATTTTTCCAATCATCGGGAGGAATACCAAGACGGCTTCAGAAATAGCTCTTAGTTCTCTTAGATTTGAGTTTAGGCGACTCCATTTTCGGGTCCACTTCCCTTGTGTCCATGTGGAATTGAAGTAGGCACCCCATCCAAAGAAACTGGCATCTGTTGTAATAACGTTCCAAGGAGGTTCCTCCAACGGGAAGCCTTTTGCCAAATTCTTCTTACCCATCCACCAGTCCAACCCTTTTCTATTCTTTGCTCCCAATCTGTTTCTACTTTGTCGAATTGAAGAAGGAAGCAATTCTGAACAGGGTGAAACTTCCATTGGGCCCATTTTACCAGCCCAATCGTTGAAGTCAAAGAAACAAGGAGGCTCATGACTTCTCTCGCTGAGGCAGTCTCGAAACCTTGTAGTTTTTTTATTTTTGTCTTGGACCCTCACAGCCCTCTCTGGAAACAGGAACACATGGGTGGAGATAGTGTTTATTACTGCTCCGAGGAATATGATCTTTTGTGAAGGAATTAGGGAGCTTTTCTCTATGTTCAGAAGTGGTCTCAAAGAATGTTCATCGTAACCCAAGTATGATGAGCCACTATCCTTTGAGATGGACCTATGATAAGGATATTGTCCAAGTAATGGAAGATTGCGATACCTCTCACTCTTATGAAGGCTATCAAGGTGACAAGAACTTTTGAGAACATTCTTGATGCCAAGTTGAGGCCAAATGTCAGTCCCCGGAATTGAAAATGCCTTCCTAGAGCCCAGAATCTGAGAAACCCCATATGATCGTGGTTTATAGAGATTTGGTAGTAGACGTCCCTCAAGTCTATAGATGTCATCCAATCCCCTCTTTTGATGCTTTTTAAGATGGTCTGTAAAGATTCCATCTTGAATGTTCTTACATCGAGCATGGAGTTCACTCCTTTCAAGTTCAGGATGAGACGCCACTTTCCCTGGGGTTTTGGAGCCGAGAACACTGTGGAGTAGACCCCTTGGAACCTTTCCTGTTTTGGAACTTTTTCTATAACTTTTTGTTTCAGAAGAGTAGAAATGCAGGCCATCATGGCCCCTCGTTTGATGCCTGCCGACACCTTTGATTTCTTGAAAAAAGCGGATTTTGGGTAAGAGGCAAATTCTATCCTGTAACCCTCTCTTATGATGGAATTGCCCCACACGTCCGTAATATTTGCGGCCCACAGCGGGTAAAAGAACTTCAGTCTTCCTCCCACAGTCCCCGAATGGGCCTGAAGACCTTCAGAAGTTCTTCCCAGAGGTTCTAGCTCCTCTTCCTCTGGAAGCCTTATTGGTCAAAGAATGTGAGGTTTTCCAAGAAGAATTTCTGGAATACTCTCTTCCCGGTTTATAGCTTCTGCTGTCCCGAAAGGACCGATCCTTGAAGCGCTTAGTCTTCCAATAGGAGTGCAGTGTAAGGGGAGGAGGGACTCTTTATACCTATCAGTCTAATTAATCTAATTCCTGTCTTGTGACTGCTAAGGGAGGAGCTACCCATAAGTGATGCTGCCATGATTAGCCAGGAAAAGGGCAGATATGCAAATTCTCTGCTACGGCAATACAAAGCAAATCCTTGATTGCAGAAACATTGGTAGTAAAGGTCCAATGTTTCTGGTGAAATTCCATTGGAATAAAAGAAATATCTGACTAACAGAAATCTCTGAAGGATAATTCTCTGAAAAGACAAAAGATTGTAGATTATGGCACTAGACCTATAGGCTGAAGACATCTGACTTTTACTTCCCAATGGGGAAAATGCCACCACAGGCAACTGGATCCTTTACAAATAGCAAACAGAACTTCCTCTAAGAACATTCCTTTGTTCCACAGTCCAGCCAACCCAAACTGCTTCAGATCTTTTTACAGAAGTCCAGACACTTTGAAAGAAAACCTAGTAGAGCTATCTTCCAGAAAGACATTCATGAACTTATTAAAGCCTGTTTTTAGTCCAGAAGCCAGACGTCCGTAATATTTGCGGCCCACAGCGGGTAAAAGAACTTCACTCTTCCTCCCACAGTCCCCGAATGGGCTCCTCCTTGATTTAAAAGCAGTGAATGATATTTTTTTTTTTTTTTAAAGAAAAAAACCTGTTTGCAGACTATACTCTCAGCAACACACACAATTCAAGAAGTCTTTTTTAACCTCAAAAATGTCTATCTGAATATCCCTATTGCAATAGAAACCAAAAATACAATTACAGTAAGTAAAATTTGATCTTTCGGCTTCACTAGATTGAGTAGTGTACTAAGGGAGCCACTATTTTATGACATACCATGCAGTAAGAAAGTGCCAAGAATCTCTGGTCATTCTCCATAGATGAAGCATTCATTTCAAGCGTCCATCCAGCTTGCTAGTCAAAACACATTTCATGTGTTAGGGATCCTCTCCTTTTTAACCTGGTAATGTGTGAGCCCATACTTTATTTCTCAGTTGTGTACATATTTTCT